AGGACTTAGTAATGGGTGTACCGTGTACGGCAGGCTCAGATCATGAGTGACCGTAACGGGTGTAGTAATGAGTGAAGAGACCGAGGAAGCTGACTACAAATAAAAACCCAATCATCCACCACAGTCCAGGATTTATAACATCTTCCGGATTGTTTCCAGGATAATCAGCACCAATGAGCTTGTATGTCTTCTCATCCATTGCAATCAAATACGAACCAAATCCTCCTGACACACCAAGAAATCATATCAGATGACCAAAAGCAAAAGCCAAGACTGATCCAATCATAAGAAGCTAACACTACACAACAAGACTGGCATTTCAAAGGAACAGAGAAGCAAAAATTCAACATTTAAACGAATTAAGCATTTCTTCGAAAAGTTGATGTGCAAAAATTCAATTTTGATTTACCACTATAAGCGAGGCCGTAGCAAGCAACAACGCAAGTCTGAATAACAGTGTTCTCTTGCTTAGTTAAGGGCTTAACGCTAAACCCTAACTTCGACAACAAACCAGTCCACGACTTGACGAAGAAGAAGCCGAGAAGACCAGCAGCTACAACCAGCGAAGGAATGATTCCGATTGTCAGATTGAGCTTATGGGTGATGATACAGAACAGAATCCCTAACAAGGCGCTAGCGATTAAGCCTCGGATTGTGATCTGGTCCTCCAATCCGGCACATCTTCGTCGTAGTGGTGACCTAGATTCGTCGCAGAGTTTTCCGGTAACAATGTCTCTGAGATCTCCGTTGACTTACGAGGAATCTCCGTCTCCATAACTAGGATGATAATCTACTTCCTTCCTTGTCAATACTTGGGAAGCTCAAGCTGTAAAATTCCCGGCAGATTTCACCGGAAATCACCTAAAATCTTCGGTCAGATTTTTCCGGTTGATAAATTCATCGAAGCGGAAGAAGAAGAACATCGTGAAGGAAAATGGAGTTGACAGAATTTTGCTGTTATTAAACTGAAAGAAAGTGCCACGTGTGTGAATGCGACTTGTTGTTTTAGTTTCCCGCCTTTATTATTGGACAAAGAAACTAACCTATACAGTTTAAAATATTTCTCCCATTATGCGATTGACAATTTAATAGAAAAAATACATTTTTAGTCATTAATATATCTTTCAAACATTAAAAAAACAATAAAATCTCGTACTAAGTAAGTTAATAATATTAGTTTAATCAAGGATGAAAAGACATGTAGCCGTTTGAGATTTTTTCTCTTACTCTCTTACTTATTCAAAATTTCATTACCGTTGTTGGTCATCTCCTTCTCTCTTCTCTCTCAATAATCCTTGTCTGAAACATTTTCCTCCTCGTTATTGATTTTACTCAGATTCTCAGTCACAAACAACATTATCTCTGAACCACCTAATCCTATCCAGATTCTGTACATCTCTCTCACTTGTGATTCAACATGGAAAGCAAAAACTGTTCGAGGAATCTGAAAGATGCGTGAGTTTCTTTGCTCTTTGTATTTAAGTATTTAACATATCAATCCATAATACGTATCATCTCCTTATCTCTTCTCTCTCAATGATCCTTGTCTGAAACATTTTCCTCCTCGTTATTGATTTTACTCAGATTCTCAGTCAAAAACCTGACAACTCTGCTCCACAAGACAAGACGAGTAAACACTCATAAGGAGAAGATTAAGGTGAGCCTTGTGGTCTAACATGGATGCTTTTGCTTATATAAAATTTCCTTGACGAACCCTGAAACTTAACTCTTTGTTTTCACTTTTGAGGTCTGTATCCCTAAGCAAGTTTAAACCTTTCATTACAACTGCTGAATCGATGCAGAAGTTCCGGAGATTTGTCATTTCCTCATGCCTCTCTTCCACGGTAATAAACTAACTATTGATTGTTCCTTTTCCTTTACTCTTTCCTTGGAATTTGTGACATCACAAAGGGCTCATATGATTGTGGCTATTAGAAGCAGAGTTAGGAATTATTTGTATTGAGATTTACGGTCTCTAGGATATGTTTGTGGTTCTGAAATTCTGAGTTTATGGTGCCTTTTGTTTCTTGTCAGGTTTTACACTTGGTACGGAGCCGACAATTGAGAAAGAAGATTTTATATTTTGGAAAAGACTTGATCAGTTTCGCCATTGAAGAAAACATGGCCATGGTGAGAGAATTTCTTCACTTTTTTATCTTTAACCCTTTCAATTAACAAAGCTTCCCTTTCACTTAATTGATAGGTTTTAGACTTCAAATTACTATCCAACAAATTTGACCTCATTATGCGTCTGATCTAACATTTTCTGTACCATTTCCTTTTTGTAGGTGGTCCACGTTTTCTCATTTGTCATAATTTGATTGAGGTTAGTTTTGACTCCATATAGATTAGGTAATAGATCTAGTAGGGAATGTATATAGTCTAAGCTTGTTAGAAGAGGATTTTACATTGCCACAATTAACTAATAAAAGTGGATTGTTTTTCATAGTTGTGAAAACGATTTGAACATGGAATCCGGTCAGTTTCTAATTGTCCGTAAGTGGGGCCATGAACGTTTTGTTTTTACAACATAATGTGTAAAACAATTTACTTTCTAGTTAATTGAGCAAATAAAATCTTCTTGTCGTAGATGTGTGTGTTAGAAGAAGATTTTAGTTTGCCAAATTATTTAATGCAACTTGACTGCTTTACATAGTTGTGAAAACAATTCGAACATGGATTCAATCAGTTTTAACTGTTTGTAAGTGGGGCTACTGAACGCTTTGTTTTTCACATCTTAACGTAAAATGGTCGGTTTCTAATTAATTTGGCAAAATAAAATCTTCTTGTTTTCCACCTAATCACGACCCCAAATTTCTTAGATAAAAACTTTGGATTGTCGTGGGTATGTATTTTAGATTGTGAGATTAATTAATGAATTTGATTGCTTTACATAGTTGTGAAAACGATTCGAACATAGATCCAAACAGTTTCTAACTGTTCGTAAAAGGGGCTATTGAACGTTTTGTTTTTCACTCCATAATGTAAAGTGGTTGGTTCGTAATTATATTGGCATTAGATACATAGAGCTTTAAATTTTAGGAAAGAAAAATTTATAGGATTTTCTTATCGGTTAGAATTACAATATCCAGTTAGTTTTTACTACCTTTAATTAGCCTATGTAATTAGTATGTATTGTACTTCAACGTTTTATGTTTATAGATGTAATTTCAGCTTGAATTATAAAAGTTGTAACTAAAAGAAAACCCCTCGAAAGTTTAATTTAAGGAAAAGCAAAAATGAAATGTACAATCATATTTATTCATTGGCTCGAAATACACAAATGATCAAACGAGATTAGTCCAATTTTTGTGTTCCAGGTTCTGCAGCTACATCTGTTCCATTGCGATTAACAAAACTGAAACCAAACCCCATAACCTGTTGATGCAAAGCAAAGTATCTCAAAACCCAACTAAATTGTATTATCCGAAAAAAGAAATGAGTAACGTACAGAATAAATGAGTAAACAGATGAACACATTATCCGAGCAAAGAAATAAAATCGCAGAACAATTTTAGTTTTTAAGCTAAATTGCATAAAGAAATCGGAATCCCTCTTCCAAGCCTCTTCCTTTATTGCCTATTTTTCATAACTGAAGAACAAAGATCAACACTGATGCATAGCGTTTAAGTCAAGAAACTACAACTAATACATAACATGAACACACACACACAGACTATTCGGTTCACATTTTGATTATCTTAGACCAATAAGACTTACATTCCTAGCTTTATACATGAAAACAAAGAGTGTCACAGTGTTCATAATAAGAGCCAATACCAAACCTATGAAGAAAACTATCAAAGTAGACCCTTAAAAAGAAACAAACTAGTGATATCATCATATTTTACACAGTCATCTACTTTTTAGCAAACTCTTTAGCAAAAGCAATACACCAAAAGCAGAAAACACATACCAAGAACGATCTGTAAAGCAAATGTTGAAGATACAAAACATAAACCATAAAAGAAGCAATTGAACTGAATATTTAAGGCTAAGGAAAAGTTCATAGACACTAAATAAAGCAAAACCCACTTCAACAAGAATACAATACCTTTCTTTTGTAGTTTTCACAAAGCTTTGCATCTAAAAACAATTTCCTCTCCTTAGCCACCAAGAAACCCATAACTCTCTACATAAAACCATTACAAACTTCTCCATTCTCAAGCTTTTAATCTTCCATCTTCATCTGCAAAAAAAAACAAGAACCTGTTACACAACAAACACATTTCAGATTACAGATTTTGTGGGAGATATGAGTGCGGATTGGGGACCTGTGATCGTAGCAGTGGCTCTCTTCATTCTACTCTCACCAGGATTGCTCTTTCAGCTACCGGCGAGGACAAGAGTGATGGAGTTTGGGAACATGAGCACAAGCGGCATTGCAATTTTGGTCCACGCCATTATATATTTCTGTATACTCACTATCTTGATCATAGCCATACAAATTCACATCCATTTCTGATATTGGTAGTGTGCATCAAAGGCAAGCTTCTTTGGCTTCAAAGTTAGTATTTTTAATATTCTCTGATTCTTGGCTCATAGGGTTTCAAGCAGGGTGACCAAAAAAATGGTTGTACACAAATAAAAATCTGTAATTTTTGCATTCTACAATTCAATTTCTAAACTCACAAAGTACATTTCTGATCTCTTTTGACTTCATCATGTAGTAGTAATGCAACATAAAGCATCTTCATTTTGCTTCAAAATTTCGATTGTTTCCACAAATTTTCACTAATCTCTGATTCTTTGCTGATAGGGTTTCAATCAGTATCACAAAATGTTGTATTGTATAATCAAAAATCTTTCATTTCACATTCTACAATTCAATTTGCCAACTCTGAATTGCTCTAAGAAAGATCGAATCAAACATCAAATGGTATTAAGAAGGGTTCAAATTTCCATTAAACTTAATCGCAACAATACAAGGTTAATTATTAATACATTTTCAATAACTATAGAACAGAGTATGTAAAATTCTAAAAACAGAGTTCCAAATCTCAGAAGATTCCTGCAGAACCCAGATTCAAAAAAGGGTTACCTTTATCTAGCTCAGGAAACCCCAGATTAAACCCAGAAATCAACCGGTTGTGATGTGGAGATTGACTGCGAGGATCAAGATCGTGTAAGCAGCGAAGAAGATGAGAGAGTGGACGGCGATGGCTTTTCCGTTGGTTTTCATGCCGCCGAACTCTAACGTCCGGTGATGTCCCGGAAACGAGAAGAGGAGTCCTGGAGAGAGCAACACGAACAGCACAACTCCGACGAGAACCGGAGCCCAATCCGCCATTGAAAACTTGCAAAGTTCCGATAAAGCGGTGGTGAGAGAGCAAAAGGAGTCAAAAGAGTTGAAAGAAAGAGGAAAAGCCAAGGTCAGGCCTGTAATTTAATTATTATTTGCATTTTTGTATTTTTCGTTAATTTTTATTCAGCTTTATTTTAGTTAAGAAAATTTTAAATAATATCAGTTTATTTAATTTTGAAGGAAAATGTCATTATTGCCTAACTTAATTTAAAATTCGCGCAAAAGATTAAGACGGGAGTAGAGAGTAGATAATAGTAATTTTACACGTTTTGGGCTATGTTAGTGTAAAGAGTCATTTTAAACTAAATACACTAACTAAATTGATTATTTTAAAAGTATGTAAAACCGGAAAAGCAGACAAATATTGTTTTCTTTTCACGGAATATATTGATCTCTTAGCAAGTGGTGGACTCGTTGTTACTCGTCATCTAGTATTAGTTTTCTCTTTGATGTTGTAACTTGTAACTGAGTCAAATTGATTTCACCAATCAAGATCACATGGAAAAGAATTAAACCTTACACAACAAAAAATACGATCACATGGAAAGTCATAAATAGGAAGATTACTCCAAATAAACTTTATACAAAAAAAGGCTTACTCTTATTTGTTGATCACCGAAAGAGGGTCATGATTCATGTGAATCAGGTAAGACTTTAAATGTGACATAGAACCGTTACTCTACGACTTCATCCTGATTTACATCATTGTTCACGAGTTTGTCTTGTCTTTTGCATAGCTAAATGGTCACAGCTTAAGGAAATGTAATTATATTCGTGGCATATCTACAAAACGTAATCTATTCATTCCCAAATGTAGTAAATGCACAATTATACCAATCTAATAATCTTAGTGCTCATTAACAAGTAAAACATAATGTATTGCAACACTTTTTCACACATAAATAAATTATTCAAATATATTTCGTGTGAAATGAAAAGAACTAAAACAAAATGTATTCACAACACTCTTTTTCACACAACAATTAAACCACATACACCTCCACTAAAGTAAAGTTCCACTCTCTCTTTCTTCCTTTATTTGAAAAGAAATAGACTTTATTGGATTCTCATTCTCTTCAAGTTGAAACCTCCATTCTCTATTCTTCCCCCAACTAAATTCCCACTCTCTTCTCCTCAAAGCTCTCGTCTTTCTCTATATTCTCGTTCTGGTTCTGGTCCTTGTAAGAAGATATGCATGATTGGGCAGCACCGTTGATAGCTTCGGCCCTGTTCGCCTTTCTATCGCCGGGACTAATACTGCAGTTTCCGGGGAAAGAATCTCCGGTGGGTTTCATGAACATGAAGACAACGGTAGCTTCCATTTTCGTTCACACCGTTCTCTACGGTCTCTTTCTCATCCTGTTTCTCGTCGTCCTCAACGTCCATGTCTATGCTTAGCTCACTTCTCTTACACACTTTGGCGTTTGCCTCTGTTTGTCATACTTCTTTCTTTGTTCCTCTTCTTTAGTACTGCTTCAAAGATGTAAACTTTCACATCAATAACCATTTTTGGTCTAGTGTAGTTCAATAATATCGCCATCTGTGTGTTTGTGTGTATTTGATCATTAGTTTTGGTCCAAGGATTACACTTGAAGCTTTGGACTCAATTTGACAAAAGTGTTTTGGACTGGACGCACAACTCTTAAAACTCTGAAACAAAGCTTCTTATAAAAAATTAGCAAAGGCTAAAGGGTTAAATTATCACCATGAACAAAGAAGACTAAACACAGAGAGACAAGGAAAGATTCACATTTTGATGTTTTTAGCAATCGGGATTGGTTTCAGCATCATCGATTGCAGCAGAGGCAAGAACAAGCTGAGGGCTAGGAATTGTGTAAGTGTAATTCTCACGTCTCGCCTTCTTCTTCTCCCTTTGCAGTCTGAAAGATTCTCTCTTTCTTGCTCTGTAACTGTTTGGATTCTCTGGCACAATTTCTCTTGGGTACACACTGATCTGCAAAAACAAAAAAACAAGAACAAATCCCAAATTTTGAAACCCAACAAGATTAAGAAAGCTAATGAAGTTATATACTAGACATGAATGATCATAGACTTACCTTCTTCCTGTCAGGACCAAACTTCTCGAACTTTACTAATCCATCGATTAAAGAGAAGATGGTATGATCTTTCCCAATCCCAACGTTTTTTCCAGCATGAAACTGCATAACAAAACATCATTCATCAATCAAATTCAATCTCCTCAAACAAAAATCGTTTTTAACTTAAAAAAATTCTGAAAACAAGAGCTTCAAAGCTTCAAATTTCAACAGTTTCGTGTTCATGAATCGATCTCCTAAAACGGAATCTGAAACAAGAGCCTCTAAATTCGAAAGTTTCGTGCTTTAAAACATCGTTCATGAATCAATCTCCTAAAACAAAAACTGCATTCAGATAAGTTTCATCCTAAACCAGAGCTAAACCGAACAAAACCTTACAAAATCCCAGAATTGAGTTGAAATTAGAATACATTTTACATACACAGAAGATCATTGAGAAACTGAAACTCGATAATTTCTAAAATTCTACAAAATTCGTGTTATCAGAGTTACCTTGGTGCCACGTTGGCGAACGATGATGGCGCCAGGTTTAGCGACTTGGTCACCGTAGATCTTGACGCCGAGTCTCTGACCGGGAGAATCACGGCCGTTCTTAGTGCTACCAGCTCCTTTCTTATGCGCGGACTTGATTGTCAACGGAACCGGAGCTTGGAGGTTTTCCAACGGGAGAGTCACCGTGAAGGAGGTTTTAGTGGGAAAATGCAAATCGCCTCTGAGGAACGACGAGGTTGAAGAGAGAGATAAGCCTTTGAATGATCCAATTAGATTCAAACTCATAGATGTAGCAATCGCCATTGCTAAAATCACCTGAAAAACCCAAACCCAGAGAAATCTGTGGGAATTCGAAATGGAGAAATTAGGGTTCTGTGAGGATGAAGAAGAAGAGGGAATGTGAGTGTGAGTGTTCTTTATCTCCTTATCGCTTCGTCCCACTCGATTAGTGACCACTAAAATTCCACGTCATCAAATAATGGTGAGTACACGTCATCAAGTTAAAACGGGAAAGAAAAAAAATCAAAAAGAGAATGTTGACAGTGGGATTTGAACCCACGCCCTTTCGGACCAGAACCTTAATCTGGCGCCTTAGACCAACTCGGCCATATCAACTTATTGTTCATGTGAAGCTAATCATTTAAAAGTATCGTAATCAAAATAAACTTAACAGAAAATTTGTAGAGGATGATTATAAAATGTTTGAGTTAATCAAACCATTACTCTCTCGTATTTAAAGTAAGTAGGAGACGTTCTTTACAATTTTTGGCGCATAATCGTAATGAAAAACCGATAGTTCTTTGGAATTTTTGGAGGTTTATTAAGTAACAAAGATTCATTTAAACAAGTGTTACACACAATTATGATCTACTGAAAAATTACAACACCTACAGTATATGTAAAAGTCACATTAGTGATTAGTACATGGGCTTATAATAATTAAGTTTGCTGAGCCCACGATAGGTTGATCCGTGTGGCACAAATCTCAAACCTTCTTCTTGGAGTCACTGGTTAGAGTTTCCATCCATATGCTGATAGTGTTTTAACTTTAATTCACAAAAAGGTCATCTCTGGACTGCGGCTATGAATTCCGAAGGCGAGCCACCGCAGAAAAAGAAGAAAACGAATCTATCTCCTTCTTTATTATCGCTTCCAGATGAAATCATTGCGAACTGCCTAGCTCACATATCGAGATCGTACTACCCTGAACTCTCCCTTGTCTGCAAGACCTTTCGTTCTCTCATCTTATCCAAGGAGCTCTCCAATGCGCGACTTCTCCTCGGAAACACTCAATACGTCTTACATGTCTGCTTACAGTTACCCGATCGCAAGCATCCCTCTTGGTTCAGTCTCTGGATAAAACCTCATCAAACCCTAAACAATGACTTGGACAAGTGTAGCAAGATTACTCGGTTGGTACAAACACCCTCTTCATATTCTACCCGTGTACCATTTTTAAGGGTTAGGGTTGGTTCTGAATGCTGGCTTGATGGCTTCAGCCAAACCCAATATCGGTCTTCTGTCATGAAGGTCAAGGGGATTGATGGCTTGTGGCGTGACGCCCCGAACATGACTGTAGCTCGAGAGAGTATGGTTGCTGGTGTCCTAAATGGGAAAATATATGTAGTGGAATGTTGCGGGGCCAAAAGAATCCGCGAATTGGGCTGAGGTTTTCGATCCAAAGACTCAAACTTGGGAAACTTTACCTGATCCTGGGATCAAGATACGCTGCTCAAAAATTAAAGCAATAGATGAGATCAAAGAAAAGCTTTACTTTAGAAGCTACGACGAGAAGGAAGACTATGTTTTTGATCCGAAAGAAGGTAAATGGGACGTCGTCGCTGCGATAAAAATGGATCCCCCGTGTGTGGTGGAGAATGTATGCTATATTTGTTATGAAAAAAATTGCCTGTGGTATGACATAAAACTTGAACGATGGAGAGCGGTTAGAGGTTTGGATGTGTTGATTGAGAATCTTTCTACTCGTATGATTAAAGTAGCTAACTACGGTGGGAAACTGTTAATGTTAGGGGACAAGCCTACAGGGCCTGGTCGTAATCGATACAAATTCATTTGGTGTGCGGAGATTGCGCTTGAAAGACGTGATGATGGTGAAGTTTGGGGAAACACTAAGTGGGCTAATGTTGTGCTTAAGGTTCCAAGTTCGTATGTTTACTTGCGTACTCAAGTGGACAAGATTTGATCGTACGAGTTTATAACTTAACCACAGTGAGTGTGGTTTGGTTTTTTTTAAAAGAGATCAAGTGTGGTTTGGTTTAACCATGGTAAAGTTTTGTTCTTTTCCTAAAATTGTAAAAGATTCCCTCGCAAGGGACTGGGACTTTTTTTCTTTGACTGTAACAAACCCAAAGTAGAATATTTTCAAAAATATATATCGAGAACAACTTTTGGTACCAATGAAGTAAGAACCATATAATACAAGAGTTCTGATTTTAGTTTTTTTGCCTAAAACAAGAAAAGATTCTCGTAAGGTCTCTCTGCCTCTCTCTGCACCTCTTTCATAATGTACACATATACTTTAGATAAAGTTTTTGTTGTTATGTAACTTTAAAGTCCGTATTATAAATAACGAATACGTATGCTGAGAAAGCATTTTCTCCACTTAAATGAATTATTAATATGATTTTCAAATACTAATCATGTCCATCCCTAGATAAACAGATATAGCAGAAAGAAAATACTTCATGAATCGGAAGCTATTAAACCTTTTTTTTCCATTTCAAATATAATAAAGGGTACAAGAGTGATGATTACCATCTAAACACACACATAACTTAAAAAACAAAAACAAAAACAACTTGACGAAGAGAAGATAAACCCTAATACAGCCAACACAACACATCAAAGAAACAAAACAAACAAACTCCAACAAAGAAAGGTTACGAGAACACGATCCAACACTGATGATAGTAATATGAGAGCTGTTTCAACGAGGAAGCGTCTTGACCAACCAGAAGAAAAAGGAGAAGAGAGTGAGAAGCAACCCCATGCCTTGGAAAACAGGTAATCCAGAGAGCAATGTGAGATGGCACATTCTAGCAAAATTTAAACAGATGGCAGAGAGTACCAAGCAGTTCAAAGCCTGAACCAGAAGAGCTCTTCGGATTCTCTCTGATGCCGGAGGTAACACCGACGCTGAAGCAAAGACTAACGCTAAGCCCTTCAAAGGAATCACGCTCATAGCCGCGATCTGATTTGCTGCCATCGCCGATGACGTCATCCCCGCCGGAGCTGGATACCCTGGTGAGTTGAAATCGATCCGTGGAATGTCACAGGAAAGGATTGAGATGAAGGCCAGGAAGAGTGCTTCATGAAATTTATCCATTAGAGAGAGAAGAAAGAGATTTGGTGGAAAAGGAGAGTGAGAGTGAGAGAGAGAGAGAGGGGGTGTTATTTATAACGACTTTGTTTTACTATTTACTAGTGTCTCTTACTTTTTACTATAAAGACCAAACAGCCATGTGGGGATCTCACCTGACAAGCCAACGTTATTCTCAATCTGAAGTGTTTCAAGATTGGTCAGCTTTTGAAACGATGATGGAATGCCACCAGACAAATTGTTCCTGCTCAAAGCCAGAGTTGAGAGATTGGCCAAGCTCCCAATACCTTCTGGAATCTCATAGGACATGGAGTTGTTCTGAAGATCAAAGAATTCTAGCTTCGTTAACTGAGACACTGACAACGGTATAGGACCAGAGAACATGTTCTGCTTCAATGACAGCTTCCGCACTTCACTAAGACTACCTTGTAACACAAGACATTATAAACTCAGTAACACTAACATATTCAACCCTAATAATCTTCATAATCATACATGAATATTATTATCTTTAAGTTCAAGTTTTTTTTAGGCTGGTTTTCAGATTTACCTATTTCTGGTGGGATCTCTCCTCTAATGAGATTCTCATCCAAGATGAGTTCCTCCAGATTCTTGAGCTCTTTGATGTCACTACTCAATGTACCACCAATAACATTCATGCTTAAGTCAAGGCGCTGAAGAGTCTTCAAGGAGAAAAATTGAGGAGGGATAGAGCCGTTGAAGCTGTTACGGCTCAAGTCTAGAGAGAGAAGCCTGGTCAAGTTCGCAAATCCATCTCCAGGAATCTCTCCTTGTATGAAATTAGAAGAAACATCGAGCGATACAAGAGAGGTTATACGAAGGATCGGTCTCAGAAGGCTTGAACTCACTGAGCCAGAGGGGGCAAGAGAGTTCAGATTCAGGTCTATGACTTCTCTGGAAGGCGAAAGAGCGTTGCATCTCACGAGTTGCCATTTGCAGCAGTCTGAGTTTGGCCTCCATGACTTTAAACCTCCCAAGTCGATTTCTGCTGTGGATTGGTTCTTGATGCTCTGCGTCAGCAGGTTCTTGAACTCGAGAAGGGATTGTCTTTGGTCTTGTGGGCAAGAGAAAGATAGTTGTAGAATGAAGAAGAAGAAGAGGAAGCAGGAGAGAAGACATGGCTTCTGCATTTTTTTTCTGAGAGTTTTTTTGTGTCTTTTGTGCTACTCGCTCTTCTTCCACATGTCTTGTTTTATAGTTATAGTCCAAGAATAGAGATTGCTAAAAGACTAAAATCAGGACAATGTTTCTGTTCACTGTGGAAGATGGTGATGTTTAAGCTTTATTGAACGCACTAAATAAAAAAAGAGTTGATTCTTATGGTCTTCTTTCAGAAAAACGAGTGAAAATCTTATCATGTCGACTTCAAATGGTTGACTCCGCTTTAGTGTTCTGTTATACTTTATACTTATACATAAGCTCGAGTATTCATTTGAAGTATATTAGTTAAATTCCACATGTACGATTTTGGTTTTAAAAGATGATTACTAGCTAGGTCAATTACGGGATTTTCTTTTAATTTTTCTTATTAAATAGAACTTAGTTTCATCATAGCCTCTCAAACTTTCACTTTTTATCTGCAATGTGCTTTGTAAAATAACTTGTTCTTTGTCAAATAGCTGTCACTGGAAGAGCCTTTGTTTAGTTGCCTTCAGCTTCAAGACTTGAATCATTTGTGTATCCGTCAAACACAAATTACGCGGTTTTTACTTAATTAAAAAAACAATTAGGCCCAAATGTGAAAGCCCATTAGTTAAGCTCACCTCGTTCCCGCTCTTTACAGGATAGACTTTAACAACTGTAACTTCCACTGTAACGGTTTCTCTCCACAACAAACCTTTCTTCAACCAGAGAGAGAGAGAGAGAGAGAGAGAGAGAGAGAAATCGAGCTCAAAGAACGGCTTCAATGGCGTCGAAGCTTCTTACTACTTTCTTCCTCCTGATCTCCTTTCTCGATCTCGTCTCCCTTTCTGATGCTTCTCTGGATCCTATCTCCTCCGGCGTGGAAATCCTCGCCGATTCCGGCTACTTCTCCATGGGACTCACTCTCCAGCTCGCCAACAAAGACCTCCATCTAGAAGATTGGCAAGAGCTCACCATCTTCGTCCCTTCCGATCGATCCTTCTCGGAAAATGGACAGCCGTCGCTTCTCGAAATCAAGTACCAGATCTCTCCGACGAGGCTCCCCGGAGAAACGCTAAGGAACCTTCCCCGTGACGCGAAAATCCCCACTCTGAGATCTAATTCCTCTCTCACCGTCACGAATTCTTCGACATCCGGAGGTAAATTCTCGATCAACGACGTCGTGGTCCAAGATTCACCTGTTTTCGACGACGGATCCGTCGTGATTTACGAAGCCGACGAGTTTTTCACACCACCGGAGACTTCCGCTTCCGCTTCCAGCCTCAACTCATCATCATCATCGTCTTCTTCAACCCCAACCCCAATCCCAATCCCAGACCCAATCTCATCTCCTGCATCGATTCCAATCCCTAGCTCCGCGACTCGTACTTCTCCGACCCCTAATTTCGCCGGATCCTCTCAAATTCCCCCAAACCGAACTAAACCAACGAGCTGCTTCAACATCTTCGAGTCGGCTTCGAGATTGCTACTCTCCAGAGGCTTCGTGATCATGGCCACGTTTCTCGCTCTGCAACTTGAAACTTCAGAGAACAACAACGACACGACGAAGCTCACAGTCTTCGCTCCCATCGACGAAGCGATTCCGAATTCCATCGCCAAATTCTCCGATTACGCTACTATCTTCCGGGGACACGTAATCCAGCGACTTCTCTCTTGGAAAGATCTCCAGAATCTGGCGTGGGAAGATTGGATCATGCAAACTGCTCTAAAAGGTTACGAGATCGAAGTTTCTTGGTCAGGTGATGTTCTTCTTCTCAATGGAGTCCCACTCATGTACCCAGACCTTTACGTCAACGAATGGATCGCTGTTCATGGCGTTAACCAAATGATCGTACCACAAGCAATGAAGGCTAAGATTGGAGAAGAAGAAGAAGATGCTCATCAAGACTACTCTTCTGAGTTAGGTGACTATAATAATCTTCACTGATTTGTGTCTATACATTTCTAAACACACAATTTGATTCAGCAGCAGAAGTAGAGAGAAACTCTTAAGATCCTAACACATTCATTTCTCTCTTCTCACAAGTTGTAACAATGAGAAACAACTCTCTCGTTTGAATATGAATATAAAGAGAGTCTTTGGTGTGAGTGTTGTTACTGCCTCGGTGGTGCTGGTGGCATCTGAGATTTAGCAAATTGGATCCATGTAACGATGCCAACGGCTAAGATGACCCATCCGAGCACATCATACTTGAGATCACTGTTCTTCTTCTGCTTCATAGTCTGTGAGGAAATGAAACACACAAATGTTTTAGATTTCATCAAAACCAAAAGTTTGGATTTTTGAGTAAAAGAAAGCACCTTTGAACCAGAGGCAGTGGTTGATGATGGTCCAGCGACGCCGCCTAACGATTGTGGGCCTGAACCATGTTTGTGAACCTCTGTATGCAGTTCTGGAGCCTGATGAGTAAAGAGACAAGTAGAAATTGATCTTAAGAACAAAAACCAAAGATTCACAATTCCTTGAATCAGGAGCCAAAAGATGAACCATGCTTATAGACTAGATGATGGATAAAAATGTTACCTTAGAAGCCAATTGCAATGATCTCCGATAGTGTTCGTTCTCCGGTTGCTGAAACAATCAAATACTTAATCTCCGTTCACCCAAAACCATAGACGCAAAAATGATAATGATCACAAGGATAAGTGTGGAATATGAATGGAAAGAGATATTAGTACCTCGTCGACAGCTCGTTGAAAGTAGTGAGTAGCTTTATCAAAGTGCTCTCTAGCTACTTGATCAGGAGTCATAAATCCATACGAAGTATGAGCATTCCCAACGGACCAAAGCGCATTGTGCTTCTTCGGATCTATTATCAACGCTTCTTCCAGCTTCAAAATTGCATCTACACACAAAATTTCATATTAAGAGTTCACAGATTCTCAGCACAATTAGGTCCTTAGACATATATATATTCAATCAAATGAAGCTAATCTGAATCGATGCATAAACAAGAGAAAGAGAAAGCAAAGCACCGTGAAGCATTTGCTTTGAGCCTTCGGGATTCTGAAACTGGGACAATTCCAATAACGCTCCTCCCCATCTCGTCAAATTCTACAGAAATCGAACACTGTTAAAAACCCAGTAATACTACTCCATTTCCATTTCCGCCATTAAGATCACAAGTAGAACTCTTCAAAAACACCAAATCTCAATCGAATTCCTCAGAATTTCTCCCAGAAAATGAAACCAATAATAAAAGGGGGAAACTTTTCAGAGACCCAATACAGAGAGGAAACAATCAAGCGAGAATCACAAACACACACGTCTTCATCATGAAACCCAGAAAAAGGATCAAGGGAAAACTAACATCGGCATCTAAAGGGTTTTTGATGTAGGTAGCTTCAGCTGCTTTCCGAGAATGTTCGAAGAACATCAAACTCTCGATCTCACTCTGCATATCCATGGATTCTACTTTTTAAAGCTTTCGCGAGACACCGATTCTTCTGTAAACAGACGACAGTTTATGGCCGGAGAAGGGAAACAACAAAAATCATAAGGCGGTTTGTTCTTCTCGTCCGATGGGTTTAATGGGCTTCACGACGTCTTGTTTAAATGAAGCCCAATAAACATTATGAGATATAAATAAACCGATAAACCTTAAAAATATTACTACATACTGTATTAATGTTAAAAATGTTTATAACGAAGAAAATCATCAGCATTGGCTCGGAATTCTCCATCGTGGATTCTTACTTTTCCAGTCTTGGAGAAGCAGATTTAGGTGATGCACCTTACTCTTTGTACTATTACAACAACTTGCATGAACTGTAGTTATCTTGCTTCGATCTTGTGGATTTGGTTGATAGCAAAACCTCCCAAAGTTAGCATCATCCAAATATGTTACCTTCAAATGAAGCCCTTGGATTACATCTTTGCGCTTCAAAATGTCGCATAAAGATTGGTTTCCAGTTGTTGGATACACTACTCTCTCCACGTTCAAGATGTTTAACATGTCTACGGTTTCATCATTGGATTTGGCATAGAAGAAACCTCCAGTGTTTTCTGCTGCTTGATGACCACTTGATGAGAATCCGCAAGCCACTGAGAATGAATCATATGGGTGGCAGTGCAATAGAGGATTCCTTAGCCACAACACATCAGCTTCCTGCACCCAATTCAAACAAACTCATATAAATTAGCTTAGTGCTAAAATATTACGGGTAAAATGTTTTTAAGTTTATACAAAAATATGTATACGCAGCATAGAGTAATTATATGTTTTCCACATCGTTTAATGTTTGTTCTACTTCCACAAAATGAATATATGATTGACAAAAAATATATATGTAGTATTGAGAGAACTCACAGTGAACACCATATTGTAACCGAGATCTAGAATATCTTTAACCAAAGCCCTTTTCCTCCAACCAGCAACAAGACCATCCGGGTTTAAAGATTCGAATTTACTTCTTGAATCTCTATGAAGGTAACAATGCGGATGTGCACGAAGACAATATTGAAGAGCTTTGTCATCTAAAGCCACAACGATCAAATGGTTCAACAAGTGTTTGGTTCTTTCTCCATTTCGAAAACTCTCGAGGAACAGATCAAGAAGAGACTCGGGTTTAGCCCATTCTCGATCCACCATGGTAATAATCACTGTCCTGTCTTCTGTAGCTGCTTCTTTTAGTAGACTTTGTAAGCCTAAAGATTTCTATGACCAGAAATAACAAACAATCTAATTTATAAAAAAAAATCATCTAACAGAAAAAAACATCGTATATGTGATTATAATTTTGATCTTACGGGTTCAATGTACGAGACTTGTGTTCCTCTAATAGTACTCATATATGGAGCACATGAGGGATGATGAGACAACAAGCGGAGAATGATGAGGAGAAGACAACAAATGACAAAGTACGGTAACTTCACTATCCTTACAATCCTCATTTTCGTTCTTCTGAGTTTTGCAAAATCTTAAAATATTAATTAAAACCTTAAACGTCCAAGATATATTTTCTTTTGTTATACTTTCAATTAAAGGTAATTTTTTTTTAATACAATGAATGGAGAAGAATGGTGGGTTCATGCAAGATCTGGTGAAAATTATTTTCTTTTGATTCCCAAATCTGAATTTCTAAAGTAAGTAGGTAATATTTTTGGGATCTCACTTTTGTGGAAAATTATTGCATTTTACTCCTTTGAGATTCTTACCCGAATATTTTTTTCTTTTGACTCAATTTAGAGATTGTTTGATAGATTTGCTTCCATTATTTTTTATTTTCAGTCAGTCAATGGTTTGATTATTGAATGTTGGTTTGCTAAAGAAGCAATGTACAATAAGTAGATAAGATTTGACACGTCAGAACAAAAAAATATATCCGATGTATGGGGCTAACGAATAACGATATATCATGTTGAAACGTATAGTTTTCTTTTAAAACATTTTAAAGTGTTATGAGAAATGCTGTCTGATGTTTGACCGCTTTGTTTCTTTATATCCAACTTGAGTTTTGATATTGTAAACAAGCACATACATAGACGTTACGGGTAAAAGTATGAGCCTCCTTGACAAATATACTCAAAACATATTTCTATGAAAATAACTTCATCTTTATCTCGAGTTAAAATAATATCATGCTATAAGTCTATTAGAAAACTTAGTGAGTAGGCTACTCAACTATACTCATTCTGAAAGTGTCGGGTGGTAAAAACGGGATCATCTCCTCATTCTAAAAGATAACATTATCTTTGTGTTATTTTTAAATATGTCATTGATTTACAAGAAGCTTGTTTATGACTTTGTAACTGCATCATTTTTGCAAATAAACTTCTACCAACTGGTTATTTAACAATTTCATCCATTTTTTTAGTTTTGTCACATTCTGATCAATTGTATATTTTTGTAATACTGTCACCGCCAGTAATATATCAACGGACTATAATATCGTGTACGATTAAATAATTATAGTGGTTAAAATCAACATTTGAAAATTAAAATCGGATATGATAGGAATAATAAATTTATAGTGGTCACTCTCTTGCAGATTCTGATCAACTAACTACCTAATCCCTAAAATGAAAATTTCTCCCCTGTGTTATTCTAATCAATCTGGTCGTAGAAATTTACAATTAATTTGGTCACTATCAGGCCATTCCTAAGGTCGAGGAATTACATAACATAAACTTGTCAAGACTCAAGAGTGTACGTATCTGGTCGGCCTTAGGCGGTGAGTCGACGCCGTGTTCAATATTATCATCTAATTCTTGTTTTCCCTGACATTAAAATTATTTTATTATATATTGCCATTATCTTTGTCTAACTTTATACTCAAAGGAAATATGCCAATCTTGTTTTAATACAGAAATATTCCAATTTATCGTGAAAAAATACTTATGCGGAAAGCGATCGAAATGGTTTCATTTCCAATAAATAAATTTTAGCTGATAAATTTAGTAAATGGTTCTTGCGCGTTCGCATATATTAACATTTTTAAGATGATCACATCAACTTGTTAGATTTCTGAATAAGTTGTGTTTGTGTAGGAATCATGACTTACATTTGATCGTTGAAGTGGAAATCAACTTGTAGGAACAAACCATTCAAATGCAACATGACAAACGATCGAGAGTTTTTCGAAAATATTCTAACGCTCAATTCATTATCCGTAATACTCTGAAAGATAAAATAATACTATCGTTTTGGGTCTTCTTCGACTAACAAAAGGAAAAAGGGAAGAAAAGTACTAGAACATTGTGTTTTCATCCTTTCCCTTTTTCTTTATACAAAACTTCTATTTTCTTCGAAATATAAACCTTTTGTTTGTTATAATTGATTCATGTTGTTTCATCATCTCAATCATGAGCGCAAGAAAAAAAGAAAAAGTAAATAAAAAGCAAAAAAACAAAACTCACATGAACCTTGACGAGATACGTGTCCCATACATGAGACCAGCACCAGCCAGTTGGATTTAAATCTGATCTCTGTAAACACTCTGATCACTTGTGGACCCCAGTAAAAAACAAGATCGTCGCCGAATAGGGACTCTACAAATGGATCACATGGTATTCGCAGTTGCCACGTGTATGTTCATCTGTATGGGTCCCATTTTTAAACCTAATTAACCATTAATTTATCTCTTTCTTTTGGTTGGTTGAGCGATTGTTTATTTCTTTCAAAACAAAAATAAATCTTGAAAATCCTTAAAATTGTTTTTGTTGGGTAGTACACTTGTTAAATACAACATAAAGAATTATTTTGGACATATATATACATAAAAATTCGTAAAAAGCTCTTTTAATTTGTAGATAATTGTTTTTAGTTTTCTGTATAATTATTTTTAAAATTAGGGTTTTAACCCATATTTGCTTCGGATTTTGCATATAGAGTCCCTCTTATAGAAATAATAATAATAATTTGTTAACAATAAACAGTAATATTTGATAGCGATGTACACTATTAACGTTAGTTATATATTTAGGTCAAAAATGTATCCTCAATTTGAAGTTTTGGGGCCGGCATATTATATAAAACCACGTGTATGGAAAATAACATGATCAGCTATAAAATACTGGTACCAGACACATTAATATAAAAAGTGGCTGTTTATCACCTCCAAGGGTCGGAATTCTTCTGAACGTCAGATCTTGAGATGATCGACGAATGTGTATGATTACACGTTTCTACATCTAATTGGCTGCAAATTTCGGCTGATCTGTGATATGTAATGGCTGAGTTGTCGTTTGACATTAGCCACCAGTGTACAGGAGAGATATTGTCACTTGGTCAGTACGTAACCAAATGGCTGGTTAGAGAATTAAGTTTATGAAAATTATACATAACGTAGTTGTAAATGATTAGAAAAAAGCACATGGGACAAAAGAAAATTAAAAGATCGTCGATTTCTTTTTGTGATCTACCAATCTACCATGAGTACACAAGCAACCTAAACAAATATTATAAATAAAAGTTGTGAAACAAAATAGTCTTCTAGTGCAAATTGTAGAATTTTCCATAATTTTGTATGGGCGGGATTTGAATATCATTATTTATACTTATACATAATACAGAAGAAGTTTGTCAACGATGCCTTGGAGATCCACATGCAACAGTCTTTATCGATCCGGACCGGAAATGTATGGAGCTTTGGTCTGTTGAAGAAACAAATGAAAATTTTATAATGTATTCGCTTTAGAATTGTGAATTATTTATTTGGTATGCAACAATCAACTATGATAAAGTCGTTATTACAAAAGAAAAAGAAAGGGTGAAAGGTAAGAAAATGTAAACGAGAAACCCTTAAACATACCAGTTTCAGTCATAAAGGCTTGTTACCACGCAATCGCATCCGAGGATTTTGGAACTATCCACGTAGAACTTATATATATTTGCCACAAAAGTCTTCAAAGTTTATGCTTATCAAAAGAGAATAAAAACCATGTATAGTATAGTACTATAGTCTATAGTGTATGTATATTCACAAAATCTTCTTGAACTTACGTCAAAATCACAAATCGATTTGTAATTTGTTTTCGCATTGAAATAAATAGAAAATTGAGTATAAATAAATGGCCAATAATAGTCGATTTCCACACAAAATACAATGGATAATTGTTGTCAAAACAAACAAATAAAAGGATACTTTTCTTTAGTGGATAAGATCATAAGAATAAACTAATTAGTACAACGTTTACAATTTTCTTCCTTCTTCAACTTTAATTTTGTCAAAATCACAAAATCGATTTCATTTTGTTTTCTTTATTATAAAATCATAAACACATAAAAACGAGTAAAAACAATGTAGCTAGGAAAAAAGAGAGTAGATTTCTACACACAACAAATGGACTATATATACTTTAATAGGAATTAATTAATAAACTAATATAGGGTTGCACTTGTATACAGATTTACATAGTGTTCAACTAATGTCAAAATCAATAATTGATTTCAAAAGTATTATTTACTGTATTCAGGTTGAAACATATCTAGCGAATAGTAGATTCCAACACGCACACAATACAAAAATGAAATGTTTAATCTAAACATATGCCGTAAATTGCCTTTCTTTTTGGGTTAAGTGGGTAATATTTTATAGGCCAATGATTGTCTTATCTTTAGTGAGAAACGCATATGGCACCCATCCACCCACTGTGACTCCTCCTCACAACAAATAACACTTAAATTAAATGTTATGTCTGTATATATACATATACTTATAATGTGTATGTAGATGCATGCGTGTATATGTAGAGATCTATAAAGAAGCTTTACAAAAGTGTTTCGTCTATAGAAGAAACGACAAAACACGTAGAGAAAGTGGTTTTGTAAAAGAGAGAAAGCTCTTGATAGATCCAACCAAAACCTACTTTTGTTGTTGTTCTTCTTCTTTTCCTTCTTCTTCTCCTACTTTTTCTGAGTGGTCCTATTGTTTTCTTGAATCATCAAAGAGAGAGAAAGAGTTCTCGATGGATGAAGATGGAAACTTACAGATTGGTAATAGTAATTACAACGGAGAAGAAGAAGCAGATCCAGAGAATAACATTTTGAATCAACCTCTCCTTAAGAGACATAGAACTCTTTCTTCAACTCCTCTTGCTTTGGTCGGTACCAAGGTTTCACACATCGAGAGCTTAGATTATGAGTATGTCTTCTTTATCTAACAGATTTTGATCATGGTTACTCAATTTCTTTCTAAAAACTTTTCATATTTACTCTGTTTTCACTTTTGCAAAAAAAAAAAAAAAAAAAAGAAACCAAATAAATTGGATGAATTTTCATTTTCTTTGAAGTTTTGAGCTTACTCTGTTTTTAAATAAATTTTCACTTGTAAAAACAAATTATTTGGACGGATTCTTGATTTTCAATCTCTTTCGTAAAGTATAATCTCTACTCTGTTTTCAGATAATCTTCATTTAAGAAAATAAATAAAATTGGATGGATTCTGGGTCTCAGTCTATCTATCTAGAAAAGTTAAATCTTTGTAAAAAAATCAAATATAAGTGATGGAGACATATGAACTGTTGTAATACTTCAATTTTCTCTCACAACTTCAATTTTCCGCAAGCAATCAGCATCCAAATCTTGAAAAGGATCATGATCAAGAAATTGGGTTACCTTTGTTTTAGTTGTATGACAAGTCTCGATCTCAATCTCTTTATTATAAAGTTTTAGTCTTTACTCTGTAATCAGATAACCTCCACTTAAAAAAAAAAAAAAAACTGCGAAGAAAATATTCAATGATTGAGACATATGCACTGTTGCATTAATTTTGTTACAAATTTATAATTTTGAAACTTGGATTTGTGCAGAATTAACGAGAATGATTTGTTCAAGCATGACTGGAGAAGCAGATCAAAGGCACAAGTGTTTCAATACATATTCGCAAAATGGACATTAGCTTGTCTTGTTGGTCTCTTAACTGGTCTCATCGCTACTCTCATTAACCTCGCCGTCGAAAACATCGCCGGCTACAAACTTCTCGCCGTTGGCTACTACATCGGTCAAGACAGGTGTTGACTTGTAATCCAAATCTTGAAAAACCATTTCAAGATCAAGAAATTGAGTTACTTTGCATGACAAGTCTCTGTTGAATTAGGTTTCTGACAGGTCTGGCTGTCTTTACCGGTGCAAATTTGGGTCTGACTTTGGTGGCGACAGTACTTGTTGTTGTCTTTGCTCCCACCGCAGCTGGTCCCGGGATTCCTGAGATCAAAGCTTATCTTAATGGCGTCGACACTCCCAATATGTTTGGTGCCACCACCATGCTCGTTAAGGTTTGTTTCTTTAACTTGTTCATAAAGTTACAATGTTTCATTCATTAACATTTTTGCGGACTTTCGATAGATTGTTGGAAGTATTGGAGCAGTTGCAGCAGGGCTTGATCTTGGTAAAGAAGGGCCATTGGTTCATATAGGAAGCTGCATAGCTTCTTTGCTAGGCCAAGGTGGTCCAGACAATCACAGAATCAAATGGAGATGGCTACGTTACTTCAACAACGATAGAGACCGAAGAGATCTTATCACATGTGGCTCTGCCTCTGGAGTATGTGCAGCTTTCAGATCACCAGTAGGAGGAGTGCTCTTCGCTCTTGAAGAAGTCGCTACATGGTGGAGAAGTGCTCTCTTGTGGAGGACATTCTTCAGTACAGCTGTTGTGGTGGTTGTATTGAGAGCGTTCATAGAGATTTGCAACTCCGGTAAATGCGGGCTATTCGGTAAAGGAGGACTCATTATGTTTGATGTGAGTCATGTTGAGGTTAGGTACCACGCAGCGGATATAATCCCTGTCACATTGATTGGAGTCTTTGGTGGTATTCTTGGAAGCTTGTACAATCATCTTCTTCATAAAGTTCTCAGGCTTTACAATCTTATTAACCAGTAAGTGCACGGTTACACAAATAACTTCATGAACACGCAAGACTTTAACTTTACATAACCTTGTTCTGTTTTTCAGGAAGGGTAAGATTCACAAGGTGCTTCTAAGTCTTTCTGTGTCTCTGTTCACATCGGTTTGCTTGTATGGTCTTCCTTTCTTAGCCGAATGCAAGCCTTGTAATCCTTCCATAGACGAGGCATGTCCAACGAACGGAAGATCAGGAAACTTCAAGCAATTCAACTGTCCGAATGGTTACTACAACGACCTAGCGACTCTGTTTCTCACAACCAATGATGATGCGGTGAGAAACGTTTTCTCTTCAAACACTCCTAATGAGTTTGGTATGATTTCTCTATGGATATTCTTTGGCCTCTACTGCATTTTGGGGCTTATCACATTCGGTATAGCAACACCTTCCGGTCTCTTCCTACCGATTATCCTCATGGGGTCTGCTTACGGTCGGATGCTAGGCACAGTAATGGGACCTTACACCAAAATTGATCAAGGGCTTTACGCGGTTCTTGGTGCTGCTTCACTCATGGCTGGTTCAATGAGAATGACTGTTTCGCTCTGTGTTATCTTCCTAGAGCTCACCAACAACCTTCTTTTGTTACCCATTACGATGTTTGTGCTTCTGATAGCTAAAACAGTTGGAGACAGCTTCAATCTTAGTATCTACGAGATCATTCTCCATCTCAAGGGTTTACCTTTCTTGGAAGCAAATCCAGAGCCATGGATGAGGAATCTCACTGTAGGTGAGCTTAATGATGCTAAGCCTCCGGTTATTACTCTCCAAGGAGTAGAGAAAGTCGCCAATATAGTCGATGTACTAAGGAACACAACGCATAACGCCTTCCCGGTCTTGGATGGATCAGATTCAACCACTGGTGCTGCTACAGAGCTTCATGGGTTGATCTTGAGAGCACATCTTGTTAAAGTTCTTAAGAAGAGATGGTTCTTGGACGAGAAGAGAAGAACAGAAGAGTGGGAAGTTAGAGAAAAGTTCACACCAGTTGAATTAGCTGAGAGAGAAGATGATTTCAACGAAGTGGCAATCACAAGCTCAGAGATGCAAATGTATGTTGATCTTCACCCTTTGACCAACACTACACCTTACACGGTGGTGCAGAGTATGTCAGTGGCTAAGGCTTTGGTGCTTTTCCGATCAGTTGGTCTCAGACATTTGCTGGTTGTTCCCAAGATTCAAGCTTCAGGAGTAAGTTTCCTCTGTTTTTTTTTTTTTTTTTTTTTTTTTTTTTTTTTACTTTCTTGAAAGTAACAACAACAATCTTTCAAGAACACTACTAAACTTGTTTTTCATGTCTGTTTTTGCAGTTGTCTCCTGTGATAGGGATTTTAACAAGGCAAGATCTAAGGGCTTATAACATTCTACAAGCGTTTCCTCATTTGGATAAACATAAAAGTGGAAAACTTCGATGAAAATAAGCTAAGCTAAGAAAAAGCAGAGAAGCTTCACCTTCTTGCTTTTGTGGGAGTGATTGAATCAGCTTTGGCTTTGTGTTTCTTTCCCCCCATTCTTTGTAATATTTATTCTGTCCAGTTTTGCTTGCATTCTTTCTTTTTCAAGCCAAAAACAAATTATATACTGTTTCGTAGATTTGTTTTTTTCTACTTGTAAATCTCTATTTACCACATATTAAAAAAATAAAAGCAACGGTACAAAACTATCTCTACCAATCTAGTTTTGTTATGATACTGATTTTGAATTTTGAGTTGATGAGTTTTGGTTCGCTTCTATGCCAATGCATCAAACAAAAACCTTCATCTTAGAGTCTTGACTGAGCTGTAGATTAGAGAGGACAATATAACATATAGAAATTTGACCAAACACAGACATTTGACTTTATTTTATAAAGCATATTTTGTTTTGTGAAGCATACAAAGAAGAGAAAACAACACAAGGTTTGTAATATAAATATAAACAGAACACATTTTCACCCGGAGATTTTGGCTAAGCAGAGACCACAAAGGGACTTACAGCCTTGAATTTGAAGTTTAGACACATAATTATATCTTCTTTATCGTCCAAAACTTCTAGCTCAACACTATAGTCAATCTGCAAACGTTAAAAGAACGATACATAAATGGTTAGAAAGACCAACCAAATGGTGGTTTGATGAATGATTATATATACCAGCATATCCTTATTCTTGGGTTAAAACACAATCAAAATGATTCATTTTTCATTTGTTTGTTAACATAAAGTGTTGGGGTCGATACAATCTTTTATACTTAGGGAGTGTACAGTTTTAACAATCAAAAAGAAAAGGCACACTGTAAGGAAACATACCGTTGATGATGAATAATTTGGAGGAAGCATTTCTACAAACTCGAGCTTAAAGGCGCCAGGTGCAACAGGGCATGCCATAAGTTGACAGAGGTTGTATTGGTCAGATTCGATTTCACCTGGGCCATAACCTTCAATTCTCACACTCACGGATCCTCCGTTAATTATTTTACCTGTTCAATTCACACAAAAAAAAAGGAAAAGAATTTGGAAACTAGCTAAAAGCCTAAAACAAGAGTGGAAACTTGGACAAAAATAAATGAAGGGAATCAAATAGGTACTTGTAGAACCGGATATCTTAATTCTTGCATCTTTTTTCGTAACTTCAAGTACCTCCACACCAGTGGCTTCAACAGGAGAACCTTTGAGACCTAAAACATTCACAAATATTAAGGCCATAAGATTTGAAAGAAGTGGGATTGTTGAAAAGTTGTATATATGAATCTTTCAACTCAAAAGAAAAATGAAAATTTCAACTCCTAAAATTACTTTGACTTTACAAGTAAATCCTCAAGAACATAGTAACAAGAAAAAAAAAAGGTTACTAGCAAACCACAGTCTTCGTATGGGACGGCTCGCAAAGTAGGTAACAAGAAGAGTGATAGGAGGAGAAGAATCTTTGTTTGAGATATCGCCATGGCTTTTGAAGATCTTTCAGTGCTATGTTTGGTTCCACAAACAAGTTCTAAGCACTTGTCATGTTGTTATATAGTCTCTATCCACATGGCCCGTCTATAATGTGGCCAATATATTACAATATTTTGCTATATTTATGGATCGAGTCAAAGTAATTTCCCTATATACTTGTCATGGATTAGCTCGTCGCGTCTATCTATATATCAGAAGAAAACGAACAGTGTTTGGTTTGCAACTAGAATACGGTTACTGATGTTTTTAGGATTGTCATAAGTCATAACTACTTTCTCTACAAGAACCAGCAAAATTATCATTAGTGGATCGTCAGCACACATTAACTTATTAATATACGTACATACTACACTATTTTGCTAAATTAGTGGATTAGTTCAAAATCGATACATTACTCTCCCACGTTCTTTTAGAGGCATTGACATTGTTCCACACTATACGCCGAGAATTTGTTTTGATCATAATATTTTAGTGGATTATTAAATGGTACTGTCTCCTATATATTAATCTCCCACGTATAACGCGAGGATCTTAAAATATGACCCTAAATATTTAACTATATCTGAAATGGATTACTCACAAGTGAGCATATTGGGCGGTTAGATCAACTAATTCCACATCTAACGACCGAGGTTTCATTATGCATTTCAGTAGTTGTTCATTGCACTTCTCTATTTGCTTAATCAGCTTCGGGGTTGTGTTTTTGTTTCTCTCCCATTCTGTCAGTTTTGCTTGCATTGTTTTTTCAAGACTAAAAACAAAAAAAAAATATTACTGTTTCATAGATTTGTGTGTGTTTCTGTCTTTCTGATTGGAAGTCTCTATCTTTTTATATATCGCACATTTTAAGAATAAAAGCGAATTTGAATACCTAACAAAACTTAAAAGCTTAACTGAAACTAAACCATTGCAAAATAACTTCTTTTAACTCATTTGAACCACGAATGTATATATACAAATTAAATCAAAATTCTCTTCTGACCAAGAAACAAAAGAGTTTGGTCGAAAAATGCAAAAAAAAAAATGGCTAAGCTTTGGTGGCAGCTAAGTTCCAAACACGCAGCTTCCCACTCTTGTCTCCACTGAATAACAATCCTTCAGGACCAATTGTCATTGCGCCGATCATGTTCACTGAAAACATCTTTCCTCTTTCTTCAAAACTGTGTATAACAAAAAAGAAACAGAATCAATGAATAAATGATCAAGATTACATTACAATATATAATTAGAGAGAGACTCTCGGATTAAAAAGCTTTCACTTACGATGGAAGATCATAGATGCCGACTGTCCCGTATTGGTAGGAGCAGAATATGATCGGTTTAGCTTCTGCGTCGTGCATCCCACAGAGAGCATGCACACTCTGACCTTGTCTGTGATTATTAATAACTCTCAAGCTGCCATTCTCAGAGCAACCCCAGACTTTTATGGTTCCGTCCAAGGAAGAGGACAACAGATACTGATCCCAACATAACAGAGACGTGACAGTATCGGTGTGTTGCCTCAATGTCACTGTGCATTCCAGTGTGTTTAGATCCCACACCTGAACATTTATAAGCATACAGAATTGATTAGATAATGCATTCCACAAGATTGTCTAAGATGGAATCAAAACAAGTAGCAGCAGAACCAACTTCTTTACCTTTATTGTCTTATCCACGGAGCCAGAGTATAGCTGCTGACCTCCAGCAATAAAGCATGTGACTGCACCACTATGGTGTCCCTTCAGAGATGTGAGGTATGTGAAAGGATCAGACTCGTCGTCCGTAGCCTTCCAAACTGATATACTACCAGAACTTGTCCCAGCGAAGAGCATTGCATTTGCAACAATCATAGCATTCACTTGACCAACCACCCCGTTGAGATGCAAATCTTTACTGTTTTGCACGTTAAAAGCCTGCAAATTTGTAAAAACAGAGGTCTTTCAGATCCAAGACGACAAACACCAATGAGTTTAGACTAGTATTTGAGTTTAAGACTAACCTTTACAGCATTTGGCAAGCCAAGGAAAACCCATGGGCCTTCACTGATTAGTGACCCTGCTTCTGCCTGGAGGTTGATTGTATGAACGCACTGGCCACTATGGCAGTTCCATATTCTCAATTCACCGTCGCTGCTGGCTGAAAAGAGTTTATCTGAGCCCGTAGAAAGCGCAATCCCCTTTAGATCCTATGAGCAAAAACAATTTACATGTGGTTAAAATATGTTTTCCGTTTAGTCAATGGTAAAGAACAAAGCAAACCATGATAAAAGTAAGTACCTTCTTGTGGCCTTCAAGAGAAGCTACCATGGACAATCCAGGGAAGCAAGCCCAAGAGTGTATGAAGGTGCATTTGTCACCGTTCTTGCAGTTTCCGGCAATCCAAAACTTACACACAACTTTCTTAGACTTGGGACTGCCTTTATCACTAGACCCCAATCCTCTGGTGTCTGAAACAGATGAGCTTCTTGGCCCATATGAAGCATTCTTCCTTGGCTGGTTTGACACACAATGCCCTGTGGCTCCTGAAGCTGGTGACTGCGTTGGCCCATATGAGGCATTCTTCCTTGGCTGGTTTGACACACAATGTCCTGTACCTCCTAAAGCTGGTGACGTCGTTGGCCCATTCGTCTTATCATTCCTCCAAACCATATTCCTTGGCCGATTATTCTTCATTCCATTGTCATAAGGAGCATAGGGTCTTCTCGGAACTATATCCGCTGCGAAACCTTGTTGTCTGTTCACTCCGTAGTTGCTTCCTTGTGAGTCCCTCCTTGGCGCCTTGTGATTCATACTATAAACATTGAGAAACACACTAACTTTAGCAGACTGAAGTACAGATTCGAGCGTTGTTGTTGCTGTTGCTTCATCCATGATGATCCACAGAAACTCTCAGAAGAGTAACACGTTTCCCAAGGAGTAAGTAAGATCCCCAATCCTCTGATACCCCAAGTTCACGTTTCAAATCCAAGTATCGCAGAGCACCACGTCCACAGATAAAACAAAAAACTAACTAAATCTAATTTCAATCTCTCCATTAAGAGCCCTAGCCTAATCTCACTAAAAACTGTACGATTCCTTCAATTCCAAACAAGCCCAAAGACGATACATCATCCGAGACTCCAATTCGTCAATCCACATGATGATTCGATGATTTCATATACAAACCCTAACTACAACAACTATAAAACCGAAGAAGAGAGGCACAAAGCAGATCAATTTGATTCCATCATTCCTCATCGGTGGAAACCCTAGCTTCCTGGGTAATCGAAGCGAATAGGACGACGAAAATCGAGAAGAAACAGAAACCGAGATTGAAGAAAGCGCGAAGACATCATCGTAATTGCGGAGAAGCGTAGAGGATCGAAATAGAAGCAAACCTGAGAGATCAAACGAGAACGTAGGATCTAGAGATCTTCGATTAGGGAAACGCTCGATCGGCGACGAAGAAACCCAGAGAGAGAGAGAGAGAGAGAGAGAAAAAAAAAAGGAAGTTTTGACGCTGAGGAGGAAAATTAGGTTAGGAATGGATCGAATGAATAAACTCTTTGCCTTGCTCATGTATTTATAGTTTTGCGTCGAGTTAACGCAAATCTCTATTGGGCTTAAGTTATAGGCCCATAATTAAATGTGCCCACATTCCATGAGTGAAAAGAAAACAAATAATAATTGCGTTTTATTCATGTCCGAAATTTTACGTTTTTTTTTCCGATAACAATTCGAGTTTACAGAGAAAAAGAGCTTTTTATGGGTGAGTTGTTTTAATATTACTAAAAAAATTCATAATTTGAAAACTAACCCTGGTTTTTAAAATTTTGAAAACTAACTTTTTTAATAAGTGAAAAACAATAAAACCATTATCATTTTTCTTTTAATAATGATTTTTTTAATTAAGATATATATTGAACTTAGATATATAGGAGATATATATTAAATTTAGATATATATAATATATTTTCGAAAATTAGTTAAGATATTTTTTAATGACTATTTAAAGAAAACACATGTTATTTTAAAAATATATTCATATTCATCATAAATATGAATCAAACCCTATAAATAGATACATATAAATATCATTTTAGAATAAAGAAAAACTCACACTTCATTCTTACAAAAAAATGATAGAATGTGTTAAAGTTAACTCATTTTCTATATTTATGAGATGTTAAATTTCAAATAAGATATTTTAAATATCTTTTATTTTCTTGTTGTATATTTTAAATAAGATATTATATCCCAAGCTGAAGTTTTTTTCTCTATTTTATTGTTATATAAATAAAATAATTGTTTAGAATTATTATTAGGATAATAGATTTTTTTTACAAATTAAATAATTTTTAAATAAGATAAACGAATTTTAAAATAATTTTAATATCTAAAAAAATTAAAGGTATTTTAGTAATTTTGCATTTTAGAAAGATTAATTTTCTAACAATTTTTAAAAAGGGTTAGTTTTCAGAATATGATTAGTTTAGGTAATATTGGTCCAAATTTCCTCCATATAATAATCATAAGAGAGAAATATAACAAAGGCACAAAAAAACTTGTGTAGGTTCTCAGAAGAAAGAAATAGTATACAACTCAGTCAACTCGATATCTTAGACAAGGGGAGAAAAACAACATAAGGTTTGTCATACAAATATAAGAGAAGACATTTTGACCTTGAAACTTTGTCTAATAAGCAGACAACGCATTGGAACTTGAAATAATGAATTCGACTCTGATACACATTAATACCTCAGTAGGGTTCACAATGGTTAGTCTACCAGAGTATTCATTCTGCAAAGGTTAAGACAACGATTAAACGAAGAAGATGAAGAAAAAACCAATCAAATCGCTCTTTTAATTTTTACCAAAAAAAGAAAAATCGTTCTTTAAAATGAATGAAGACAATGGTTTTGATGAATGAATATTTACCAGCAGAATCAGAATGTTTCATTTTTGTTTTGTTAGTAAACATAAGAAGGTGTTCGGGTCCATACAATCTTTTATTTTTAGGCAATATAATTTTAAGAATTACTAGGAAAAGAAAAAACAATGTAAGAAAACGTACAGATGAATTATCTGGATCAAGCAATACGCTAACACCAAACTTAAAGGCGCCAAGTGAAACAGGGCATGACGTAAGATCACAAAGGTTGGATTCTCCAGTTGTGGGGGATCCATCACGTCCCATTATTATCGCCAACAAGCGTTCTCCGTTAATTGTTTTATCTGTTCACAAAAAAAAAAAAAAAAAAAAAAAAAAAAATTGGAAACTTGGATAAAAATAAATAAAACAAATTGTGAAGGGAATTTATTAGGTACTTGTAGAAGCGGATATCTCAAACCGAACGTCTGTTCGCCTATAGTTATACTCAGGTATCTCCACACTAGTGACTTTAACAGGATAACTTTCGTAACCTACAACATAAGATTTCAAACTGAGATTAATTTGTTGGAAACTTATATGAAGCTTTCAACTATTAATAACACTTTGATCTTACAATTTTACATCATCAAGAACATAGTAACAAGAAAAATAACAATGTTAGTAGCAAACCACAGTCTCTGAAACGGATGGGCCTCATGGGCTCGGCTCGCAAAGTAGGTAAGAAGAAGAGTGATAGAAGGAGGAGAAGCATTGGTTGAGCGTGAGATATCGCCATGGCGTAGCACTCAAAGATATCTTCAAAAGAAGAAAATATTTTTATGTTTGGTTGCACAACACAAGTTTCTAGCAACTAGTTGTTATTATATAGTCTCTATCCACATGGCCTGCCTAATACTATGGTCATTACTTATTATACTACAATATTTTGCTATATTTATGGATCTGGTCAATGTAATTTCCCTCTATGTACGTGTCATAGATTAGCTCGTCGCGTCTATCTTCAGACAAAGAAAACGAACATTGTTTGGTATGCAACAAGAATTAGAGTTCCATTTTAGATTTTTACTTGTTACGATTTTTTCCAATTTGGTTTTTAACGTTTTTTGGTTACCGTTTCTTTTTGGCTATGTTGCACTTCCACTTCCGTTGTTATTATTATCACAGAAAATAGTAAGAGTATTTAAACTTTTACTGTAGCCTTCAAATAAGTTGTATATATGCAGCAGCTTTAGAGAGAAACATCTTCATTGAATCATTGTTGACGAGTGATAATGTGATAGTGAAATAAAATCGTGTTTTACACTTTTACCTGTATTTTGCCAACAGATAATATTGTTACTGATTTTTTTTTTTACGATCGGCTGACTACTTGCCCTACAACAACAAACAAACTTATCATTAGTGGATAATATATGTAATATTTTCCTAAATTAGTGGATCGGTTCAAAAACAATATTCTTATACATTACTCTCCCACGTTCTTTTAGAGCCATTAATGTTCCACGTTATACGCCGATAATCGTTGTTAAATCTCCAACGTTATAAGCGAGAACCTTAAAATATGAGTTTGAATCATATATATATATGAAAAGAGGTCAAATCTCTCTATATTTATGATATGTGGATGTAACAGAAAATGACATATATCAGTAAATAATAATTGACCTTTTATTCTCCTCTTTAGTTTAAAAGTTAATCAATTACCAATTTATTAGGCGTGAAATTAGTATACACATGGTCTTTACAAATTTCTCTCTTTCTATCAGTTAATCTTCCATGATTATAATATCAACCTCCAACCATGGGATGTTCTCTTTCATATTCTTTTCTTTTAAGATGAAATATGAAAGAATAAACATATTTATAAAAGGTTTCAACCTTTTCCTGATTCGAGATACATTAGCACTCTGTTAACTAAATGTGGGGAATCAAAGTCCATTTCATATGATCGTGAATAAACAAAGAAAGTTAAGTATAAAATAAGTGATATGGTGCAAAAATATATTTGAAAATTAGTGGCTAACCAAATAAGTTGGAACTAAAACATGGGTTTTATTGTGTTAGAATTTACATTATTACATATCATATCAAAAGTTAATCATAAATATTAAACTATTTTATAACATTTTTTAAAATAATAACAACAAAAAAATTCACGCGTTGGGCATTAGTCTAGTTATTTAATGATACCTGAAATGTCATTCGTACAATGATGATGATGATGATGATCTGGATTTTATTTCAAAAACAAAAAAGTAATGATTATGCAATTACCACCTTCATGCATTTACAGGCACGTGGATTCATCTCCAAGAAATTAAGGCTTCAGATCTGTCATCGGTCCGTTTCAAATGTGGGGAGATTGTTGAAAAGTTGTATGAAACTTAGAAACAAGAAAAATAATATTTGTAAGTAGAAACCCGTTCTTTTTCTCCCGTTATTAGTGTCTTGGTGATATTCAAGAAGAGCTTCATAAGTACTCATAGAGAAAAGAGAAACATATCAGAGGCACAAGAAGCTTGTGTAGGCTCTTTAGAACAAAGACATACAAATCCATTTAGAGTCTTGGTCATAAACTTAAGGCTGGAATTAAGGGAACACATAATGCGTCCGTTTTTGCTGGAACCGGTCACAGTGGCTAACTAATGGCGACTACTGGTTTTACTCGTCGTCGGTGCCGAAGTAACGATCACCAAACTCGCCCAAGCCCGGTATGACACGGAACTCTTGGTTCAGACACTGGTCTATCTCAGACGTCACTATCTTCAATGCCGGAAAACGTTTGCAGACACAGTGTATTCCCTCCGGCGCCTGTCAGAAACCAAAATCATGATCAGCACAGAAAGAGAGAGAAGCAGAGGGAGAAGAAGAGATTTAGATTCTACACTCACCGAGATAAGGTTGAGGAATATAATGTGAGACTCAGGAACTCCTTTCTGTATGAGTAGTTCGATGGCTTGATTAGCAGAGTTACCTTCAAGAAGAAGCAAACAATCATGAAGATAGGGTTTAGAGGAACAAGAGTCCATCAAATGGGGACTAAAGAATGAGAGCGAGTACCTGTAGCTAAGACAGGGTCTAGAAGCAGGACATGGCGTTCAGAGATGTCATGAGGAAGCTTCTCATATATTAGCTTGATTTACATGAGAAGATAAACGTTAAGAGACTCGTGTTTACGAAAAGAGATTATATACTTTTTTGAAAAGAGCAAAGTATATTTTAGCAGACCTGTTTTCCATTGTCGCCGTCACGGTGAATGAGAATCTTCCCTATCTTAATTCCTTTGCAGCAAGCGCGTAAGGCGTTTTCCATGCTTTCACCACTAAGAAACAAACATACAACGACAAGATCAATTAAACGCAAAACACAAGATGTATTTGTGCTTCCAAGATGTAATACTGTTGGAAGTCTTAACCAAATTATAATACCTTTCAAGGCTCACCTTCGAATAATTGAGACCCCACAAAGTTTCTTGCAGAAATCAACACCGGTATACACAGCTCCTGGCGTGGAAAAGATCAGAAATTGTAACCATTTGAATAAGTTAACTCTAACTAATCTGTGTGGTATCATTATAGGCGACACAGAGATTGGTTACAACTCCTCTCTTACCTGTTGGAGTAACTACTTGTTTTTCAGTGAAAGGCAAATGACCAAGACCATGCTCCACGACCTGAAATAAAAAAAAACGGATAAATAGTTTATATAAGGAATCCCAAAGCTGAGTGACGTTGAAAGAGAAGACACGAGGAAAAGTAATAATACCAGACGAATGAGTCGATCTGAATAAAACACAAAGTCATGCTTTGATATGTCCTTCTCCCGGATAAGTGTATGCATGCCTCTTATCTGCAGCCATGATCTTATGGTGAGACCATTGATACAAGCACTTACCGTATAATTCAAGTATCAGAGAGGATAGGAGAAGAGAAAAAATACCTGAAATGTTGACTGGATGACGTAAACATTTGGGTAGATTTTGCAGAGATCATGCTGCCCAAGTTTTGTGTGGATATGTTGCGTAATCAAATCAACTGCAACGTGATTATCGCCTCCTCGAGGAATGATCACGTCAGCATATTTCTTCGAAGGAAGCACAAAGTCATCAAATGCCGGCTTCACAAACTTTGCATACTGTAAATGAACATAACATCCCAGCCAGAGATCAGAAGATAAAAGAGAAGTAGCAATACAACAGCAGGAAGCAGAAGAAGCCAGAGGAATATCAAGCCACCTGATAGATGAACTAAAGCTCCACCAACAATGCGAAGAAGAACTAACCTGTTCAAGCACAGAATTGACATCCCTGCCCCTTTCAACTGTGTCACGCCTGATCCTGCGAGCAAGCCTCACATCCGCATCTGAAACCATTTAATAGCTTATATAAGATGAGGAATAGATTCCAACTTGGCTAACTATACAGCTATAAAAGGATCCAGCATAAACTTCAGTGGTTAACAGAGAATATATACAGAAAATAAGTGAGAGAACCCATCAAGGCATCAGCTACAGAACAGGAACTGAAGGTAAGGTTTGTCATTACCTGTGTCAACGAAGATCTTCATATTCATCAGATTCCGAACTCGTGAGTCATGAAAAACTAGAATGCCTTCCAAAATTATAACATCAGAAGCATTGACCTGATAGAACGTCCCAACTGATATTAATTTAACAAATCAACAAAATTCTCATCGACTGCATGTCAGAAACAAACTCAATCTTTCTAATGAAGAGACTAATATGAACATATAATAGTCACTCTTAAGAGGATTCAAATCAGATGAGCACAAAAATGGTCTTGGACAGAGGAGAATGCACCTGACGAAACGTATCAGATCTACGTTGATGAGTCTTAAAGTCATAGATCGGAACTTGATAAGGTTGCCCGCTCTTGAGAGTCTCAGCACAATGCAAAAGCTGCTCGGTGTCAAACGCATCTGCAAACAAATGCCAATGAGCTAATACTTTAAAACCAAAATACAGCAAGTGAGAAGATTTCAAGAAGAGCACATAAAGATAGTGTACCTGGATGATCAAAGTTGTACTCTTGCACACGCTGCTGTTCTTCAGATGTCAAACCACGGTAAAACGAATCCTAATCAACAAAGCACATCAAATTAAAAACTTTGAATCTCATAAAGTGGAATATGAAAAGTGAGAACAGAGTGGAGCAAACCTGATTAACAAGAACAACACGATGATCATGAAGCTGCTGGATTATCATGTCGCAGACCGTGGTCTTACCAGAAGCCGTTCCACCAGAAACCCCTGGAAACAAAATTGACGCAATCAAAACGCAAAATCTAACAAAATGCATACAAAAAGCTAAGCCCTTGAAGCTGATATTCAATGCAGAAATCGCTAATCTTATACAATCGAAACCAGATTAGTCCTCTTAAATCTAGGTGGCAGAAAATGCCAGGTTTTATTATCAAAACCCTAAGATAAAACGAAAATTTCCAGACGCACCACAGATCCCAGAATCAAGAGACGAAACCCAATTATTCAAATTTGATTAAAACCCCTCAATCATGGAGAAAAACAATCGCTGAAACGAAATGGGGAATGCGAGAATTCACCGATGACGAAGGGCTGTTTGGGAGCTTCGGGATCGGACGAAGAAGGAGGAGCAGAAGAAGAAGAGGCAGCCGATCGGAGGTGAGAAGGAGAAGAGACGGAGGAATTGGGTGGAGAAGAAGAGAGAAGGCCGTCGAAGCGGAGACCGGAGAAGTGAGGCCCCGATGCCTTCTCCATCGCGTAGTCTATAGAAGAAGAATCCTCCGGCATTGAATTGGTGAAATTTTGCTCTTTGTGGGTTTTGTCGGCGAAGAATCAAGCGTCGTCGAATTTGGGAGCAGCTCTGAAGTGAAGACTGACACGAGTGACAACGATTCTGTTCAACGCAAGTAGCCAAGTACTACTACTCTCCCCTTTTTTGTCTTCTTTCTGTAATTATTTAAGTGATAGATCTATATAAAATCTGGTTGTGGTTAAAATAATTAATTTTGGGTAATCTAAATTTTCTTAAATTCAAGTTTGCTGATAATTTCATACGTTCTCCACCAAATTGTGATGATAATTACTTTTAGATTTAGTTTAAACCTTTTAAAATTATATAATAAATTAATGAGCATATAAAAAGAAAAAGGGATATTCCATTTTATACCGATCAAAAGCCTCACACCTTTAGCGAAAACTAAAATAAACGTGACGAGACCTAAAAGTATATATTTATTTGAACGATGCCAAAAGATTTGTGGAAAACCAAGATCTAATATGATACGTTTTGTAATTTTGATACGTTTTAGCCTTGCAGATATGGAAACAACAAAATATTTATGTTTGTTATGTATTCAACAAGATATATCTTCTAACTACTCGAATAAAGCTTTCCGACAGGAAATTATATCCATTCAATTCAAATATATAATTTAGAATAGTGTTTTTAAACAGTTGGGTGTATAAATAAGAAGAAACACAGAAATAGTGTTTATATGATATATATAGTCACGTCACGTTTTAAACAGTTGGGTGTATAAATAATTAAGAAGAAACACAGAAACGGAAGAGAGAAGCGATGCAACATTGCTTATATACTTTCTGTTCTTTCTCCATCTCCAGCACCACCTTCTACACGCGATTAGAACATCATCTACAACTGGTTTAGCCTCCGTTGATCCACACCATGACAATATTCCGGTCCAGTTTGTTGAATAAAAGCCGGACGGTGACGCATTCAGGCGCTGTTAATAAAAACGGATGCGGCGGAAAGGGATGGGCCGCACGCAGGCGTAGAGGCTGTCCATGGAGGGGTAACGGAGGATCATACCGGTTGCGGATTAATAGAATAATAGTCACTTCACTTGTCTTATAACATGTAGAAAACAATCTAGCGATAGCCTTTGGAATATCCATATAATATTATAAAGATCAAAGCATATTTTATTAGAGTTGAGGAACATGACAGATTCAAAACAAAGAGCCTTTGACCATTTTACTAACTGAGGAACATGACAAACTTCAGAATTTTAGTAGCAAAAATACTAAAAGTTAATAAATGGAACAAAGGCTTATTTTTCTCTAAATCAGTGTCTGGGTTTTTCATCACAACAATCAGCAAGTATAACCTGTAAAATTACCAAAGCTGAAAGTTTTCAGATTTTCTTGATAAAAAAATATTTAAAAAAAAAAAAATCTTTCAAATCTCATTAACAATAATTTTCTTCTTCTTCTTCTTTCTCTTCTCCAATAAACTTCCTTTGAAAGTCGAGAATCTAGGAAGACACCGATGATGATAATTCAATTTAAGATTCTTCTTCTCCTTTTCAGAATCTTGAATGACCTTGAGCTCACCAGAGTTATCACCAGATGACTTTTTACTCTCTTCACTCTGTGATTCTGATGGCTCTTCCAAAATCATCTCTCGTTCTTCTCTTATACTGTCTCTAAAAAGCTCACCTAGTTTCTTCCTCCTCGGTGCTGGTGGAAGCGAAAACGATACTCGAGGCTTCTCTTCTTCAAATAAAGGGTTGTGAATACGAGGAAGCCTCTCGGAGAAACTACATTTTGGAGTGTTACCAAGCGATGGAGTAAAATCTGTAGAAAAAAACATCTCAAACCTTGAGTTCACACAAACTATATAAATCACCAAAATGACATTAATATTTGACATTCCATTATATTTCCCATTTTTTTATTTATCACTAGAGGACATGAGATGTTGAAAACAGCACTCTTTTTTCAAAAAATATCGGCATTTATTTTTTTGTGAAATGAGAATATATTAGTGCTTTACAAAATTGGAGGTGTAAGTGTAACATACCACCATTGACGCTGTAGAAATCGTCTTCTGAATCGGATTGTAGCCATTGATGCGAATTCGCATCAAAGAAGGCTTCATCTCTACTACTTCCTGTTGCATTGGAATAATTCACATATTTCAAGACTTCCGAAAAGAATGACAAAAATAACATTTCAAGTGTAAGAACTCAAGTCTTTCAAGGAAAAAAAAAAGAAAATAATAGAAATCACTCTTTAAGCTCCCACCTTGAAAAACAAATCTCTCATCACTATAAAAAGTCTCCAATTTCTCGAACAAAAAAAATGGAATTTATTGGGAGGCTCCATCGAATATTAAAATAATTACACCCTAATTATAGGGAAAGAAAAGAGTGAAACAAAAAAATTTAATGTTTTTGATAATTTGAATCCCTGTTTAAGCAGCCATCAGGGGAAGAAATCTCTCTATTATTCTATTTTGATGGGAATAAAAGCCAGTGACTAGATAAATGATAAATCTAGTTAAGAACATGATTAGGAAAATTAACGAAATTTGGGCGCATATAATAATCTATTAATGGAAGAAAATCAATCAAAGACACTAATTAGTTTTTCTACAACTCATTATCTTACTAGAAACAGCTCAACTATGTATCAGTCAGATCGACACGATCAAAATAAAAGGAAACTAAAGAAGACTCTGAGAAAAGTTAATGTACCGTAGCTTCTCTTAGAAGAAGAAAAGGACCACCGAGATCTCAGTTGAGTTACACCGTTAACCGCCGGAGCCACAGTCACCTTTATCGGCGATTCTGATAATGCAATATGAATCAACAGTTCAACACATATGTAGTATGCGAAATTATGTTATAATTACACAATGTAGTTTACATTTTCTGATATACAGTAGAGTCAATTATAAATTTATTATGTTATACATAAACTCGGGTTACAAATTCAATTATATTGCATGTGAAAATTGTTAAAGAAAAAAAAAACTAATAACTCTATGAATAAAGGCAAACATCTTTACGATAGAGATTTATCAGACAGAGAAAATTAATACCAGAAAGTCTCTTTATAGAGGGAGACGAAATGATAGGTTTCTCAGGAACACCACCGTTCTCCTCCGCCGTCTCCGGCGAATTATAGGCCGGAGCCGAGTTGATTACTTTCCCGGGAGATTCGGCGATCGCCATACTTGGCGTTTTCACGAGCTTCTTCGATGGAACATTCGAAGGCATCGAATAAAAACGCAGAATGTCTTGGAAAGATTTGATTTTGCGAATCGACGTCTGATAATGTATTGCTTCGCACGCAGTCGAATATTTTGGCCGGCCGATTTTTTTAACTCAGTCGGAGAATCGTTTTGGGTCCCACGAAGACACGGAGCCCACTCGGCTTTTCTCGTGACAGCACTCTCCGACGACGTCGTATTATTTTCCCGCACGTTGATATCGTGTTGTATTTGGCTAGGTTTTGGAATGACGTGGCGGTTATTAGGACGTTGACTGTTTGGTCAATACTTTTTTTTTCTGTAAAAAGCTGATTGGCATTGTTAATTTAACTTTTATTTAAAACATTTTTTAGAGTTTTTCTATCAAAACATGTTTAAATTAAATAAATAGATTTTCTTCTTTGTATCCTCACAACATAAAATATATTTCAAATCTTTGATGAAATAATAGGAAACACAATTATCACTTGTATTTCAAAATCAAAATGTATTTCAAATCTTTGATGAAATAATAGGAAACACGATTATCACTTGTATTTCAAAATCAGTAAGAATGTTACTGAATTAAAATCCCAATTAAAAAAGAAAAATAAAACTTATTTACAAGCACAAGATTTTAATATTTAGAGATCACCAATCTGAGCAATCAAGGCCAAATTTAGGTTGTACCTTAGTTCTGCTATGATAACCAACATTTTTTTGCGACATAAACCTCTCCAAAACATCATTAATTGGAGACAAACATATCCTAAAACACACATAGTTGATCTATAATCGTTCATGTGTTGTTAAGTTTTACTCTATCTTTGACTTCAATTTGCAATTGCAATATTAGCCTTGTGTGACTACATATTCAGACCAACAAAAAAAACACTCAAACTTCTGATTTTTTGTGCCTGGTCTAGCTCAATAACATTTTTCCGAGTCTTAAACCACCTAAATCCATGGTCTACACTATGTTCAACAAACCAAGATGTTTAGACGCCGACGAGTTTGTGCACTTTTTTTACACAAATATTTTCTACTGTCGTGGTAGGATCCCATGGCCAAGCTGGAGAAGATTCGAGAGAAACTCACAAAATGTATCACTTACATTGGTGACATGAACACCATAACCACCATCGTCTCTATTCCAGGTGGTTTGGACGCCAACGGCCATATCCGGTTCGGACACCAACACCAACACACATTCTACGCAGAGACGACTTTTCTCCTCTCTGTGGTGAATCACTGTGTCATCAACATTGATGAAGCCCTCACCCAGGCACAGAAGATCAAGTCAGTGCAGTCAACACTCTTCGCTTCTCAAGTCCTTCATTGGATCACTGCCGCCAGTGCTCTTTCGACCTACATATGTGCTTTTCTGCTCATCTACACCGACAACAACTACCACACAAAAATCATTAAGACGACTGACAATGTGACCAACACAAGAAATTGGACGTCACCTTTTTAGTCGTAATAAAAATAGAGAAGTCACCTTGGTGCACCTCGAATATCTACAAAACATTGACCTTCTTCACACTTCCAAGATAGACAAGTGACCTCTTACGTATTAGCAACAGATACACCGGCTCTAGTTGAAATTAATAGTAAGAAGAAAATATATATATGTTAACTAGAGTCTTTATTTATTTAGTCGAAAGAAATAATTCTAGTCGCTTTTCATCAGAATTGCACCTCAACATTGAATATATTTGAAACTTGTTTCATTATTACTATTTACGTTCGTATATAGTAAAGTAGTATGTATTCCAAAACATCATTGGATCTCCAGCTTTAAGCCTCACAAGTCACAACAGTAGCACCAGCTTCAGCAAAACTTAAGAGTAGTTCATGCATGTGTTAACAACATCAAAAGGGATCTCAATAGTATTGACCTTTCTGGTTTCCCAAGAAAGTAGAAATTTTATTTGAGAGAAGCAGGCACATATTGACTCGTGGATGAAAATTTCTTGTACTGTGATCGGAAAAAATTACAAAAATGTAAAGTTATCTCCTAGGCGAATGGAATCTATTAATTACTAACGCAGAGGTGGATATTTAGTAATATAGAAGCATAAGTTAAAAACGGTGAATACACATAATGAGGTTTGGTACTTAGATCCTCCATTTCTGAGGTTCAGTTCCGGGAACTAGTGGCGTTAAGGCTCTGGAAGAGCTCGGGAAGATGGGCATTGGTGAGTTTAGTTCTCTTGCTGATCTCCTGTTTCTTCTTCTTCTTACTCTTGGGTTTGTTCATGGGTATCCCCTGCATCTGCGCAGCAGCTCTCCTCGCCGCAGTGTCTGTCGCCGCCTTCAAACCATTCTTGAGCAGCTCCTTCTCCACGTCCATCATGTCGCTTGGGGCGTCCGTGTCACGGTACAGAGCTTTAAAGTCGTCATGAACCTTAATCTCGCACTTGAAATCATTTGGATACGCAATGTCTTCTTGTGAGTTTGATAGCAACCAGATGTCTTCTGAAGCTTTAAGGGCCTGCAATCATTCAAGACCACCATCTTCAAATATTCCACTGTCTTGTTGAAGGATTCAAGGCGAGCAATGCTGAAGAATCTCATATTTCATGTCAAGAAACTATAATCGTACCTGCAAATCCTCCATGACATTAGGGTAAGCGTCTTTGAGATCAATCACGGCAATGCCATCAGGATTCTTATATATCAAGGAAAGAAGCTGGCTCTTGTCATTGACATTGTGCTCAGCCTTGTAAGAGAACCTTCTTCCGTCGTAATGCGCTTTTGGGTTTTTCCTCATACTATCAAAAACAGCCTTATTGGCTTTCATATCCACATGACACGCTTCGTTTATCAGCTCCGGCGTAAAGGCTTGCCTTGTCTACAAGAAAAAAACCAACTTTGTATTAGCTCATACGAATATGAAGAAGGAAAGCAACAACAAGAGCAAGAAAACAAACCTCGAAGAGGAGATCAATGACACGCTTGATCTGAGCTCCAACAGGAGATTTTCTGATGCTGTTAATGAGCTGAAGCCGCTCGGTGTCGTTTGAAAACTTGGCACCATCGGGAGGCTTAGGCTTCTGAGTTATTGCGGCAGGCACGGGCCGCCTCAAAGGAGGTGCAGCAGCTCTTGAAGAAGCAATGCTCGAAAGCGTGGATTGGCATTTCACTTGCTGCCTTTTGAACTTATCAAGCTGGTCATTCAGAGACATCTCAACTCTACAAAGAAGAACAAAAACAAACTCAGGTGCAGCTAGCAACAATACAAATACCCTTAATTATAAGCAATATCATTTATTCAATGTCTCTAGCTAATGAGACTTCAGACGCAGAGAAATTAAGTCGGAGCAAACTCGGGATTTCAATTAGCTAATCTCAACCACAATCAGAATGTGTAGATACAAAACACAAGATTTCACAAGCACAAAACATTACGTATTGCTAAAATCTCAAGCACAAACAGAATTTGTAGATACAAAGCATAACATATACAAAGGAAGATAAAGCTAGTGGAGATAGATGAAATACACCTGGAAAATGCTGCGATTTCCGGTGGTGACGCCTATGTATAAGTGCAAATCAACAAAAACTTAGATTTGGACAAGCTTAGAGAGCTTACGGAAATGGTGAAAATCTCCTCTTGTGACTTGAGAAAGCTTAGATTCGAAGAGATGTATGCACTTGGATGAGTTGGTGTAGCTCAATTTAGGTCGAAATCGAAGAATTTGCGGTCGGAGAGGATGGTGTGATTGGAGAGAAAGGATGGTGTAATCGGAGAGAAAGGGAATCGATCGGAGGAGATCGCTACACTTCAATAGTTTGTTTACCTCAGTTTAAGCCTCGAAATCGAAGAAATTGTGATCGGAGATAAAGAATGGTTGTATCGGAGAGACGGGAGATCGATGGCACTGAATAACCCATTGAACTTTTCCTTATAACACTGAATTGGGCTTTTATTTAATGGGCCTTACGTAATTCATCCACAAATATTGTTGTACTGTGATCGGAAAAAACTGCAAAAATGTTTTAAGTTATCCGAGACTTGTAGTGGATGATGAACTTTAATTGCTTTTCCTAAACTTTCAGCTCAAACTTTCAATCTATTTGAAGCTTGTTTATTACATCAAACATTGGCCTTGTCATTGTCCGCACAATAACCCAACAACACTTCACATGGACACAATAAAAAATCATCTTTTTAGCTCCTTAGTAATGTCCATGGAAGCCAATCTAAAGGGTCTCTACAAGGCAGGAGGATTCTTTGGTGCAATGTGGCCATAAAGGCGAGAGCTCGACGACTTTCCCTATGATAATAAGCGTCGGTGAAACCAATCCAGCTGTCTGAATCTCACTTGCAAAATCTTTAAGCTCAGCAAAAACCTGAAAATCATCATCCCAAACAAAAAAAATACTTTCAAAACTCGGAAAGTAACAAACCACAACAGTTTGGTTGCTGCTGCTGCTTGCTTACCGTACGCTGTAGAGTGGTGGTTCCACGTTCAACCGCAACAGCTGGTGTATCACAAGGGAGACCATGGTCCATCAGTTTCTGTGCAAGAGAAGGTAATGTTCCTAAACCCATGTAGACAACGAGCGTTGTGTCCGGATCAGCTGCATTCTCCGCTACAAACAGAGGATCAGTCCCTCCTTTCCTAGAATGGCCAGTGAGAAACCTCACACTCGTTGCAACACCTCGGTGCGTTAACGGAATCCCAAGCTCCGCTGCTATCCCGGACGCCGCAGTAATCCCTGCAAATCAATCATAAACTTCCAATAAGATAAAGTTTCATCACAATAAGATGAATGAATGAGTAGAGCATAACAACATGTTACCTGGGATAACTTGAACTCGAATCCCTTGTTGTTGAAGAAAGTCCATTTCTTCTCCACCACGTCCAAAAACCTGAAACATTAAACATCAAATCAAAGTTGTAGCAAAAACACATTTACAAAAAGATCCAAAACCAGAGAGGTATCAGAAGAAGCTTACCAGAGGATCTCCACCTTTAAGCCTCACAACCGTAGCACCAGCTTCAGCAAAATTTAGAAGTAGTTCATGTATCTCCTCCTGTAATAACATCATCAACATCAAAAAGGCTTATTACTCCAATTCCATCAATTCAAACTTCAAATCATCAAACGATTACCAATCTAAGCAATCAAAAGTTGTTATCATTGCTCCAATTCAGACTTCAAATCATAAACAATTACAGAGACTAATTTAAGCTTTACCTGAGTTCTGCTATGATAACCAGCGGTTTTGCCGACATAGAGAAGCCTAGCATCAGGAGCGACCAAGTCCAAGACATCATTAGAGACAAGCCTGTCGTAAAGCAAAAGATCGGCGCTTTGAATGACTCTGACAGCTTTAAGAGTCAAAAGCTCAGGATCTCCTGGTCCTGTCCCGACTAGAAACACATCTCCCGGTCCGCAATCGCCGCCTCTGCATCCTTTCCCTCTCTTCTCTTTCAGAACCGCCAAGAGCTTCTTCAGCTCCGGAAGCTGCGATGCGATGTCGTTTTCCCTGACAAAGACTTCATCTTTTTGGTTCGACGACGGAGATGGAGATGGAGTCGATGCCTTGTACAGCCATTGATCCCTCTGGTATCTCTCAGCGGAGTGCTTCTCTGTGAAGGGCGAAGAAGAAGAAGAAGCATAGATTTGGGTTTTGTAATGGAGAGAAGAAATGGGGATCTGGTTTGTCGAATTGGTTTTCCAATTCCGCAAATTGGATGAGAAATTGGGAATTCGCTGGACAAGAGCCATACGAACAATCGACACACGCCTGCAAAAGGTTTCAGATTCGACACACAGAATGTGTAAGAAGAAGAGTCGTGTTCGTTGACACCTACTTGAAAGCTTTTGCACATATGCCTTAAAAAGGAGACATTTTTAATTTATAATCCGATTTGATTTATTTGTACTTTTTTCTGAGGACGAAAGGGCACTCAAGGGAAAAAGGGTTACTAACCCTTTGATGCGTTGAAGGGGACTGTGACTCTGTGTACTCTCTCGGAGCTCAAGACGAGGCCAAATTCGTAATTTGATCAGTTGCCATTGGACCCAAATACTATTTTGGTCAAATGGAAGTTTTCAAATTTGGTTTTGCCTTCATGAGTCAATCAAACATTTCACAGAGAAAGAACAAAAAAAGCAGAATTCGACAAACTGAATCAAAACTTAAATCAACAAGGCGGAAGGAGAATCTCCGGTAAGGTGGAGAGACTGGAGGAATCGAGCCGCACGGAAGAGGAATTTGGGCTTCAGAACTCGGGAGACTAATTGGGCCATTATCTAACTATTGGGCCTTTAAGGACGGCTAATGCCACGTTGGATAAATGGTCAATGGTATTGTCGCTATCACTTAAATGCCACGTTCATTTTTATCTGGACACGTGCTATACAATATGACCGTGCGGTAGAAATGTTATTTTTATCGCCGCTGTTTTTAAACTTTCGAAAAGTGCCAGCTCACATTCTTCGTAGTTATCCTCAGTAACTATCACTATTTACTTCTTATTTTCCTTTTCATATTTTTTAGATCTTCGCAATATTTACTTCTGTTTTTTAGGATCTACTAAAGGTAAATCAAAACTACGATATTAATGTGAGTACTATATACCACGGCTAAAATATTCTTCTTTTTTCCGTCAGCATTTATCTGACACTTTGAAAAATATAGGAAAAGGAAATAATATGCATAATTAAGATGGTTTGATTTTATGCCACACTACCTAATTAAGACTGCCCATATATGACTTATCATACCACCTAATTCAAAAATATATTCATGTACATTTTAGAGAATTGTTTTAGTTACGCTTTTTTTTAAAAATGAATTGATTAAAAAAACAAAAACAGATTAAGCATGACTTAACAAGAAGAAATTAAAAAGCTTTTCTCGGATTTTGAAGAAGCTTGTTTCGTACACCGCTTGTGACCGTTTTTATTTCCCATTTTTCCTCCACCTTCTTCCATTTTTCTTTTCTCTCCCTCGCTTCAGTATATACGAAGCTTCTGCTCTCTCTCTGCACTTAAAAAAGCACTAAAATCCGAGAATCTGGGAGTGAGAAAAGGGAAATAAAGTCAAATGTTTTACTCGCAATGTCTCGTGTCGAGAAAGGGACCTTTGGGAGCGATTTGGGTCGCTGCGTATTTCTTCAAAAAGCTTAAAAAAGCTCAAGTCAAAGATACTCACATTCCTTCTTCCGTTGGTATGTCTCCTTCTCTCACATTGTTCTTGTTTCTCCGTTCAAAGAACAGATTTTTCCTTGGCGGTTTTTAGGGTTTGTAGACTTGGAAAGGAGTGACTCAAAGATTCCAACTTTAGTGTTAATATTACCGGAAATTTCGTTCACCATTGTAGTTTCAGGCTGCTGAACTTATTAATTCTTTCTCTGATTCGTTGGTAGATCATTTTTTTTTTTTTTTTGGCTTCCATTTGCAAATCAAATCGAGAACACTGTTGATTTTTTGGGATTTTCTATGTCGCGCTTTCATTTTGTGCTCATTAGTTGTTTGACGAAATGCCTGAGTGAAACCTCACAGATTCTACAGACGCTTTTATTGCTGGAAAGTTTCGATTTTTCTTTTGTAAATTTGATGGAGCTTGATTTAGTTTATTTAGTTGAAAGAATAAGTTCACTTTTTTGTGGAAAAGTGACAAGAACAGAATCTGTGAAAACTTACTTTGAATCTCTCTGAATCTCTTGGCATATCAAAAAAATGATTCTTTTTTCAAAAATTAGTTTGCTTGATCCCTACAATCCTTGTTTCCTTGAAAAAGATGGATTCTTTTTACATACTTACAGTCTCTTATAATATTTTCTTTACTTTCTGTTGGATGCACAGATCAGATCTTGCAAAAAGAGTTGGACGCGTTGACATACAGGGTTTTAGCGTATCTTCTTCTTGGCGTTGTGAGGATATATTCCAAGAAGGTGGACTTTTTGTTCGCTGATTGCAACAAAGCGTTGATCGGAATAAAAGAGTTTGTGGCTAAGGAGAAGGATAGAGAAACCACAACTGTGCAGTTGACTTCATCCACGGAGTGTTTTTCCATTGCTTTGCCTGAGAGTTTCGAACTTGATGCCTTTGATCTTGGGGTTTTGGAAGATTTTCACGGGTATGCTTATTAATCCTGTAGAGAATTTATTTCGTAGCGATCTTTTTCATAGTCTCACATTTTGTGTCTTCTTCTCAGGGGAAATGTTAAGCCACAGGAAGACATTACGCTTAAAGGTAAATCACTACTTAAACATTTTCAAGTTAATCTCATCACTGTTCATGTACTTATACCACTTCGTTGCGATGAAACAGATGGAGGTCAGGAAGCAGAGAACATGGACCAGTACTATATGGAAAGGGTATGGCTTCTCACCTTGTACACTATTAGAGTGTGCGACTGTTCAGTTCTACTACATCGTATATTGACATTGTTTCCTTGATCCCATTCCTCTTTTGAAAGTAGATGTGATGAAGATACTATTTGTGTATTTGCAGTTTGACATGGATGAGGACTTCATGTACACGTCTAATGAGACTTTCGTTGCGGATCATAATAATAGCAAAGAGTGAGTATGATATATAATTCTTTTGTTAGGTTTACTTGTAATTGACAGGCGTAAGCCCAACTGACTGTGTTTAAAATTCTTGTTGCAGTGAGAGTTTGGCTCATGATATGGACATATATACAGAAAACCTTAGAGATACTACTGAAGAAGCATCAGTCAGAGTCGTTGAAGTGGAACCACTGGATTCTAATGAACCATCCAGGGATCATCAGAATGCATCTAGGCACAGAGAGGATCTAGAAACAGATGACATGGTTGTGGAACTGCAAAAGTTTGAAGATATCAGAAGAGCTCAAGAAGAAGAGACAGATAGAGAAACCATATGTACCATTGTGCAGAGACTGGTGGATCTTCATGAACCCTCGGGAGATAGTCTACACAGAGACAACGACAGGGAGAATACGATGCCAGAGAAAACCACGGTGGAATCAAGTAGGGAAAAGATGCGGCATGACCAGTCCCTCCCATCTGAATGCAATAGTCCTGAAGCGATTCATGGGGCTGAGGAACAACCTTCTGGTGCCTCAAGAATTGACGGGGAGAGGGAGATCCCAGAGATGATTCCTCTAGTAGAACCAGAACCGAGAGACTTGCCTGAAGGCGTAGAGAAACGTCGAGGCCATAGTGATGGGGAAATGACAAACAGTGAGATGTTACATGGATCTCATAAAGAGCCAAACGAGACTTCTGAAGTGAATCAAGTTGGACTTCACAGAGACACCGAGAAAGATTTTCTCTCTGACATGAGTAGTTCTGAAGACGGGAGTAAAGGGTTTAATGCTAAAGAAACGCCAGTTACTGGTACTCCCAAAACACCTTCGCGGTTGAGAATCTCTGAAGGTGCGAACTTCACTTTTTAGAAGTAAGAGCTCCAGAAAATTTACGTAGTTATGTTTTTTCATGTGTTATCGTATACTGAAATGCAGGAGAAACAAGCCATCAGTACTCGATCATTCCTACGCCGGCTGCAAAGGAGTCTGCTCGGAGTTCACGGAAGAGAAAATGTCTAATAGATGATGAAGTGATCATTCCGAACAAGTAAGTGAACTTGTTGTAACCTTGGATCATATTCATCTGCAGAGTTCCATACAAGTGCCTAATATGTTTGTGCTTCTCTGTTAATGTAGAGCTATGAAGAAAATAATAGGAGACCCAAGTGATTTGATGAAAAAAAGGAGAAAGGTCCCTCGTACTGACTATTCTGAAAAAAGAATTAAACGTCTTGCCGATCCCTCAAAAAATATATGGAACCCTTTGATTCCATGTAAGTCAAACTTCAGAATTTAGCTGTAAATTTAAGATAGTGTTGTTGTGTTTGCTGATTGTTATGATCCTATCATCGCAGATGGTTCTTCGGAACTCCAGTTACTTTTCTCTCAACCCATCAAGCTTACAGAACCAAATATTACAGAAGCTCCTAAAGCTGCTAGAACCACTAGGCGAGTGAAAGATTCCTCTATGGGAACAGTTAGAAGTCACGGGGTTGTTGCTCAAGAAATTATGGAGACTCCTCAGGCTGCTGCTCTTGCGGAGCTGAAGATTACTGTTCCAGAGACTGTAGTTGAGACGGGATCTAGTTCGGTAGCTGCTGGAATTGATCATCAAACAGAGACGCCAGTAAAGCCTGCAGAGATTGCTCCCGAAACACCAGCGAGGACATCAGAGCATACAGAGATTGCTCCAGAGACACCAGTAGTCTCTGAGCGAGTAGAGATTGCGCCTGAAACGCCAGTGAGGGAATCATCGTCGAAAAGATATTTCGAGGACCCTGAACCCTGTGATAAAGAAACGAGACATGCAAGTTGCTTCACTTCCTTTGACGAGCACCCGTCAGAAATTTGCAAGGATGGAAGGGACCTCGATGCAATTTTGATGAACGAGGAGGTACTCATCCATTGCATTATTCTGACAATAGCAAAAGAAAGCCTTTTATTCAATACTTTCTAGTCATATTAGATTACAGAACTGAGCATTTGTTTTTGTTTCTGCTTCAGCAGGTGAATGCACATGAAACAGAGGACTTGCAACAAGGTAAAACGCCTTCTGATTTTTGTTTGAATATTGGAAAGCATCCAATTTCTTGAAACCATAATTCAGAAATGTCTTCATGCCAGTGCTCAGTTTTTGTTGATTAATTACTGAAATCTATGAAGACAGTGAAACATTGGATGGTTATTTTGAAAATATATGTAGCTTTCAGTAAGAGAAAGTTCCAGTCAAGATATAGACAACTTATCTTGTGATCCAAATCTTATTGAAATGTTTTTTGTTTGCATGTTGATCATCGTACCAATATGTTCTTACCTTGTATGTTTTTTTTTATTTGCAGAGGCTTGGTCGGCAAGAACAAGGTTGGTAGACTCACACACCTTCGGTCTCAACTTCTTCGCTTTGCCTATATATATATATATATATATATATATATATATATATATATATTCAGATAGTTAATCCGGATTTTATTGCTCTGGATTGTTCAGGAATGTGGCGAAGTTCTTGGAAAAGACGTTTCAGGAGAAGAGGGAAAAAGGAGAAGAAGAGAAGGCAAGTTTGTTGCAGCTGTGTATAGGAAGAACTCAGAAGGAAAGCGCAAGACTCTTCTACGAGACTTTGGTATGTCCCTCTTTTTCCACTATCTCAAGATTCTGTTGGTTTTTCATGTTTTTGGAGAAAGGTTATGAAACTCTGTGAATTGATTCGATATGGTTTTGTTTTGCAGGTTTTGAAGACGAAAGGATACTTGGAAGTGAAGCAAGACCTACCATACAGTGATGTTCTTCTCACGCGATACACAAGACAACAAGCAGCTTGTTAAAAAGATCAGAAGATCTAGCTACCTAGATTTCTTCTCTCTAGTCTAGGTTTCAGTTTCAGAAGTATCTGTGAATCGAAGTTAGTTTTTGACTAGAATCTAAGGAATTTTAGCCCTTCTGCTTAACTTGTTTTGAAGTCAAATCTTTAGTAAGAATGATCAATGATCTCAAAAAGTATATAACCGTTTTAAAGTTTCTAGAGACAGTCCATTAATCCAATAATGTTTCGTATCCACAAGGAAACAGACAGAAACAAAAGACCCCACATGTGTTTAAAATACATAAATATCCTCTTCTCTGTAGTCACTACAAATCCTCAGTCCTCTCACTAATCACACTTTTTGAGAATATTCATCGACTTTTAAACCTCCTTATGCTCTTCTCTGTAGTCACTACAAATCTCTTCGTACTATACACCTTCTCGTCTCGATCACAATCCAACATCCCACCACATCCTCTTCACTCCAACAACGTCTCTTTGGTTTCACAACACCTCTCTCTCATCCTCAGAGAAATCGATTCTTCGCAACGCAAACTCTCTCAGATGGAGGAAGAAATGATCGATTACGAGTCTCTCCATCTTTCGAATCAAGAAACCCCTCAAGAGATTAAACTGTTCCTCCAGCACCATCAGATTCCTCTTGGTAAAGATTCTCGTACTGGAATCACTGAAATGGTTGCGTCCGTTGGACATTCTAGCAAAACGTCTCTACATTTGTTATCTCAGTACATGTCGTACGAACCATTCGAAAAATGTCCTGATGATTGGAGCCTAGCTCAGAGGTTGATTCTCCATTCTTGTGAACCATTGCCACGACGTCGATGCTTGGCTAAAACAGTACACAAGCCCGGTCTTGCTGTGTTCATCGGTTATAAATCAGTACTCAGAGATTGTTTATATTCTCGAAACCCATATATTTTTATTGAAAGATGAAGTGAGAGGCCCGTTTATGAGACAAACAAACAAAAAGAGAATAATAACAATCTCAAAATCATGTGTGATATGAGTAAGTTGGACCAAGCTTTTTAAACTTGTTTCCTCTCATTAGACTCTCCAGACGATAAATAAACAAAAACAGATCTTTCCCTTCAAATATTTTTGAGACAAAAAAAAGTGGGAGTTTAACATTTTTGTACCCCTTTCAAGATTATCTTTATTACCCCATAGAGAAACAAAAAGGAAAAAAGCTGCTCTTCTTCTTCTCCACTTAGTTCACAACGTCGAGAACCAGCTTACGGGATTTGAGAACAGACCATCTCAGTCTCCTGTAATATGCAGCTTGAAGCAGAGCCAACGAGAGTAAGAAGATCCACTTGAAACCCATCTGCACACAAAACACAAATAATAGAAGAAGCGTTTAAAAGAGACCCTAACCAAACCGGAAAAGGATTTTAGTTTGGTGACAACAATGTTCCTAAAACCAAACCAACCAAGGAAGCTTACCAATTTCCTCTCTTCCATTTCTGGTTCAGCTGCCCAGGACAAGAATGATACAACATCTTTACCCATCTGCAACATAATCGAAAAGAAGTTAACTATTAACTCAAGGAAAGGTCAAATCCGATAAAGCCCCATCTTCTGTGATTATTAGAGGAAAACAAAACCTGTGCTTCTGTTGCAAGAGTTCCATCTTCATATTCCACAGCTTCATCATTAAGCATCTTTGGCATAGCGATTGCTCCCCCAGGGAAATAAGGATTGTAGTGTAACCCCTCTCTGATCTGTACCGTTGTAACATGACATTTTTTAACACCCAACACTTTGAATTTGTAAAACCAATTCTGATGTGAAAAAAAAGGAGAGAAAGTTACCGAGATTCCAGCAGGAGGATCACGGTAACCAGTCAAAAGAGCAAAGACGTAATTCTGGCCATTGTGACGTGCCTGGCATTAAAATAGCAACACCGTTTAATATCACAGAAGATGAATTCTCTAATAGTTATACAACTTGAGTGAGAGAACAAAAGACCTTAGTAATAAGACTTAGATCAGGTGGATACGCTCCTCCATTGGCGAACCTTGCAGCTGACTCATTCGAGTATGGTTCAGGAAGCCGGTCACTGAGCTTACCGGGTCGAGTGAACATCTCACCCTCATCGTTTGGTCCATCAACAACCTCGATTTCAGCTGCCATTGCCTTCGCCTCTTCCTCTGTGTAGGCAACACCCACCAAGTCTCGGTATGAGATCAGAGACATCGAGTGGCAAGATGCACAGACTTGCTGGTAAACTTGGTGACCACGACGGATCCTGCTCATTGTCAAATCAACCACAAAACGTTACAATAAAGTAGTCCCTAACTTCATTCATTCTTTCTAGTATAGTGAAAAAGTGTATTTTTGAGAAAACTCACGAAGCATGGTCGTATGAGCTGAGAATGCCATCATGAGGCCAAGGGTAGTGTGGAGACTCCAAGCCGTGTTCAGCTTCATCAGCGGATGCTACTGTAGAGAAACTCAACAACCCTGTAACACCAGCACCCAGGAGAGCAAATGCTCTAAAACCAGCAGACCCAGCCTCGTCATTAGCTTTCTTCGAAGACAACCATGACAACACCGGAGTTGCCTATGAGATAACACAGAAACAACAGTAAGAAACACATATATACTTGTATGCTCCAAAAAATGATCAAAAGATTGCAGAGAATCAGAAGTCTGCTTTGCCTCTAAGCACAAATCAAAGCGTTCTCATTTGTTCACCAGAAATTCTCTACCTTGAATCTCTCCAAAGCATGAAATGTACACACAGAACATCCTAAAGATTCTTCTTTTCAAAAAAAAAAATCAACTTGAAATCCCAGATAATCATTATGCAAAAACAAACGAGAACAAAATTCAGATGTTGAGGGAGTGAAAATTGACACTGACCACTGATTGGGAGTGAAGTTTCCTCCTTAGAAGCTGCTGGATAACTCCTCCTCCAACCATTTGATAAACGTTTTGTACCAATCAAATTCGCTGGAAAATGAAGAAGAAAACAACAAAGACGAGAGCTTCAAATTCAAAAGGTGATATGCGAATAGATAAAAAAATGCTATAGCCCTACGAAATTCGACGCTACATACAGATCCGACGAATATATTAATATCCAGCTAACGGAGATGAAAGAAGAGATCCATCGATTCGGATTAAGAAAATTTTCGATCGAGTGGAAAGGAACTCACCGGAAGATGACGCAACGGGATCGGCGATTGGACGACTATCGAGCAAAAGGACAGATTGAGAAACACAGGAGGAAGAAGAAGCAAACAGATACCAGAGAAAATGGATCTCTTTCGATGACGAAGTTTGCTGCAACACAATATGATTATGGGCTTTTAAGGCCCATGGGCCTAACATCTTCTACTAAGGTCACGAGTGTAAATAAGTCAACCAACGCTAAACATCAACAAACAAATATTTGGCTCAAGTTATGTTTCCTTTGTGACACTACTTCTGTATGTTGCACTAAAAGTTAACATCTGGATAGAATTTTTCTTAAGAAGATAAAGCACAAATCTGCGGAAACAAAAAAGACATTTGACCGAACTTTGATTGAGGAGATATCATGGTTACTAGTAATAAATATTCATCTGTATGTTTAAATGATAAAATAATCATACAACAAGTAACACATAGAGGAATCGGAACTATAGTCTATATATAGGTCTTTGTTTTTCATGCAATAATTCATATTCTCTTTTTGAGCAAAAGTTTACATTCATACGTGAAAATTGACGCTGTGTTGTTAATTAGTTTGTTTTTGTTGGTATGAAAAAATAAACACTAGATGAAGACGACATGTATATGTATTATTAGTTGTTACGCAGTGAAAGAACTTATTTTTTGTTTTAAAATCTTGTAATCAATTGTAGTCATCTTCTTTTGGTCAGAATGTAGTCATCATAATTTAGATTATTCATATCAAATGTCCGACCACGAAACAAAGGACTTTATATTGCTACACACTTTCATATAGACACATTCGAAAATATCATATACACATGCATATTTTGATGGATACGTGCATACAAACAACTATTATACGTATCTATTTCCAAATGTGCCCTGACATGACAGCTTTTTCAATTTTGAAATGGAGGACACTTCATGCAATGCGATTGGTTGGGTGGTGAAGGACCATATAAGAGTCTTGAAATAAGGTAAAAAAACACCAGATGCTGTTTTAGCCTGATCGTAGGACCCATAACACCCATTTTATCATTTAGTATAAATCTCATAATAAAGAGCTGTGAACCAATCAAATCACACATCTCGCAGTTCCCAGAATTATTGGGTGCTTTGGATAACCATCCGATTAAACTATCATATAGACCTATGTGTATGGTTGTATCTGTACTCACATTGCTTATAGTCTAATTAATGATGTTTGTGTGTGTGCCTGCTTCGGATTTTAATATTAATCTTTGATACAGAGAGCTTACTAATCTCGAATCTCAATACCCGTTTATAGGATTCGAGTCCGAGATATTTCAGAAGATTTTACAGTCATATTTTATATAAATAATTCTTTCGAAGAGGTAATCGACCATGCCATTTATAGCTTTATCATGTGAAACCGAACCATCTGGTGTCCGTACTGTAATAATATATCTAAATCGCAGAAACTGAAAATTAAAATAATTCAGAGCAAAAACTGAAAATAAAAGCGGATGGATAAGATAAAATACAGTTAAGAACACAATATATATCAACTAGCTTTACTATAGTGTAACTTCGAGTTTCTTTTTCAAACTTCTCTATATATTCGCCCTTGACTTAAACAGTACCCGCATCAACTCAATACGGTAGTCATCACATATATACAAACATTGTTTCAAGTTTGTTTTTGGCTTCTTTATTGGATTTGACCACTCACGCATATATATATGAAGTTATGAACCCAAGCAAACGCACATAAATAAACATATATTAATGCATATACAAACATATATATGTCGAGCTGATATAATTGAAATTCAAATTAAGAGTTTCAAATATTTACAGCAGGGATTAGGCTACTCCCCAAAACTCATAGATTGCACTATATAATTAAGCCCTAAACGAGAGTATACTAAACTTTACAACTTAGATGTGATTATTAGTACTTCTTAACAAACATCTAATATCAACTTAAATCTATATATATATATATATATATTTCTATAAATTATGCAATTCATCACATGCATATATTAGCAGCCATTATGACCTGTAATCGTTGGTTTTTGTATCCCAACTCCGTTTATAGAATGTCCTCCCCTACTATAAGGACTAACAAATATTCATGTATAGTCCTAATCAATAAATCATATAAGAGCTACAATGACCACTAGGTGTAGCCCGTATCGACACCTACTCTGATTGACATTACTTTACTAGTTAAAATGCACGACAAACATATACTGAGATTTCAAAATACTTTTGCCAAGTAATTGGTTACTGGTTAGAAAATTTGACTATCAATGGTAAGGAAAAAAAAAAGGTCAAATTTTCTTGTAAAATAATCCTTCTATCGGAAAATAAAAGTTAAAAAAAAAAAAAAAAAAAACAAGAGAAATAAATTAGTGTTAATGAACTTAGCCATCAACTCATTCAAGTGTCTCGTATGTTTGCCCTAGGCACGTGGCATTCTCCTATTCCCGAATGTTAATCTCTTTGGCCACCGGAGAGACACTGAAAGAATATACAGAAAGAGAAAGAGAGAGAGAGTGAAGAGCTAAAGAGGTGAGAGAAACAAGAGAACGAGCGACAGAGAGAGCGAGAGAGAAATCAGAAATGAATCAAGATCATGAGTTATGGCGGACGCTAAGATGCGCCGGCAAACCGCAAGATAAGACCTCCGTGGATACTCTCATGCTTAAGTACCGTCCGATCGCTCCAAAGCCGACGACGGCTGGTCAACCATTAGTCGGAGATAACAGCTCCTCAATCACGAGAAGGACCAAGAGAAAGTACGTTAGGGTTTCTAAGAACAATAAAGCCACGTGCCGATCCAAGAACGGAGTTAGATCTGTCTCAACAGATCCAGAGAATGGCCGAGAACGAGAAGACATCGTGACGTTACAGCTCATGCCGGAGAGATCCGATCTGTCCTCATACGAATCAACGCCGTTGAGTTTGGATCATCATAATAATCTCGATCCAACGGTGGAAACAAGTAAAACCGACACGTGGTTATTGGTTAACGGCGGCGATGAGGCTGTGCATCCGGTTCCGGTGGAGACGTGGGTGACGGTGGAGTCCGTTAACGGTGGCTCCGTTTCCCATGCGGTAGGGTGTACGGACGAAGACCTCGCGGATGCTTTAGATAAGGACACGTGTCCAGCCTTTGTATCAGATGGCTTGAATCGTGTGGTGATGGTGAACGAGGCCTACCGTAGGATAGTAACCGGAGACGGTGGATTTGAAAGAGAGACGTCGTCGTTGTTGCCGCAGGTGATTGTGTGGTTGGTGGTTGACCAAACGGCGGCGTTTTCTGACTACCGTACTTTCACGTGTAAGGTGAGACTTGAGTACACGTGGCGAGAGACGAAGTACGCTAAAACGGTGCCGTGTGATGTGTGGAAGATGGACTTTGGTGGATATGCATGGAGGCTGGACACTACTGCAGCTCTAACTCTTTGGCTTTGAGTAAGAGATGTTAGAGGATACGATTAAATATTAAGATGTGGTTAAGGTTCATAAGCTCAAACCTTAATCACTTTCTCGCACTTTGGTTAATTGGTAAACTAATAAGTAATACTAAAGAGAAAGGTTTGAGAATCAAGTCTTTCGGAATAAATTTGTGTGAGAACGTATATATAGAGATTGGAAATTGTCATTATGTCAAATATACTGATTGGCAGAGCTTAAGAAAAAAGATGTCAATGCTTGGTTTTTTTTGGCTTTTGTATTGATTACTTTTATTTACTTGTTAGTCTCTCTCGTATACAAATTTGCATATCAAAAGATATCAATAGTAACTTCAGCGGTATAGTTATTAACATGAATAAAATTTGTATGTGATAAGATGTATATCATCAGTGATTAATTTCACCGATATTATAAATCATATATTTAACAATAAACAAGCAAATTTTTCCAATGTAATATGTGATCATTTAAACCTGTAATGATTTATGCATGTCATATATATGCGTCTATGGTTGATCGATATACATGAACTGTATAGGGACACAATACGTTTTTTTTGGTAAAATGTCATGGGACATTAATTTAGAAACATATATATATATATAATACATTAAGTGTATTAGGACACTATAATATTGTTCTTAGTAATATACGTATATATCGATTCATGCACCAACCTACACATATTCGTAAGTGCCAATATGGGTAAGTGACAGTCCATATATAAAGAGAAGAATCCGATGTGTACATGTTTTTAAGCACAATATTCTCGAGATATCATGGTCCCGACACGTGTTACTGTCTCTACATTATTGGACAATCTCATCTCATCGTGATGTAGTTTCATATATTTCTAAACTTTTACTAAATGTGTATAGTCACTCACACATATAATACGTGTGTATATGATGACTAGCTTAGTGTATATGTATGTATGAACTTCAATTTATTCATCTGTTAAAGTTGTCAAATGGCAAAAGTACTAGTAATGAGAATGCTTATATTAAAAAACGAAAAAGAAAATGAGAGTATATATTAAAAGCAGGCAAGAAGTTAATATCTAAATATAACAGCATGCCCAAAAAGTGAATAACTTGTAACTGAGGACAATCTATTTCAACAATCGACTTGAAAGTATTGATCTAATTAACCTTCATAGTCAATTACGAAACTAAAATCTCATGCTTTCTACTTAGCTAGTCCTAAACTCCTCATTAACCTTCATAGTCTTACAGATGTGTCGACATGCTATATGCGCATGTTAGATATACTAATTCTGCAGTAGCCAATAATGATGATTACATCACATCCAAAAATCTTCGTGGGCTTTTGAATCCCAACATATGGAGAAGTCTCATTGGCTGAGCCAAAAGTCATATATAAAAATAATAATATAAAAAGCCAAAAAGATCTATTGAAGGGAGGGAATAAATAAAGTGGTTATGGAACACTCAAACACGAACAGCGAAAGAAAATACACGTGGCATCTCGACGGAGAAAGACATCAACCAATCAGCTTCCATGTATTTATAGTTTATCACTTTCTGTTTAATTGTCGTTTTTTTAATAATTACTGACGTCATTCCATACCTGGGGAAGTTTTTATCTGGGTCCCACGGTTCCTTCATCGGAACCGTTCATCTCTCAGACTGAGATGAATCAAGCCGTACGTTGATATCACGTACTTGTGACGCGGCTGGTGGAATATCATAAGAGTGATATAATTTGTGGTTGACGAGAAAACGAATTGGAGCCTATCACGTGTCCTTTTTTTTTTTTTTTCTCGAAACAACAACAAAAATAATCTTGCAGCAACAGTGAAAACACTGTAGTTATCCCGATAAATTAAATAAAATCTCTCAAAATTTTAGTGTTTTTTTAATACTAGTGATGTACTTGCATGTCATCGTTCTCCACTTCTCCGTATGTAATGTAGCTTAGATTAATTTTGACCATGAGCTAATCAGTTTATCAAATCTACTTCATATGGTTCACTGTAGTAATTCTAAAGATCAATATGCATGTTAGCTTCAATGGATAACCAAACCAAATTGACAGTATATTCGTTAAGTATTTCAAATTCTAGATAATTGACAGGCTAGGTTTTCACATTATGGTTTTTTCTTCTTCTTATTTCGCAGTTTGAACTTTGAAGTCTTTCAAAATAGATGCAAGTATGAAACTAAGATGCATATCAATTCTTATCTGAGAGTTATGAAATTTCCAGTGATAGATGTATACTTTTGTTTTGTTTTTACGATTACTATTAATCTATTATTCACACTGAAAACTGTAATCAAACAAATTTGATATGCTGTTTTGTTTTGTACTACTTACCAACAATTTTGAATATATATATATATATATATATATATATTATAATGAGCTTAAACCTATAATCTACAGATTAGTTTCCATATAAATGAACTTAAACCTATAATAAGCCTTTGTTCAAACAAAAAAACTTAAGCCTATAATTTACAGATTAGTTTGTTATGCAAGATCTGAAACTTTCAACTATTTAAACTATACGACGAATCTTAAGAAATAAAACCCAAATTGTATGATAGCATCTCTACCAATCAGAAATGAGAACAAAAAATAATACGTACCTATCAGAAATGGTCCTATAAAAAATAATAGAGACAAATTAATATGTGTGGTGGGGAAAAATGAAGAGTGACGCTATTGGTGAGGAGAAAGTCCACGTGGACTATAACTTTTCCATAGTGGTGGAATAGATGGTCGCGACTGATTGGTCCAGCACTCTGTTTGGACCAAAATCTCAAAGCTCCCATCACGATAGATACGCTTATATCAATATCTTGTCGTGCTTTATAAAATTCAAAACTCAAATCGTCTTTACTTATTGGTTGTTTTATTGTATTAATTTATTTGTACTCGTTCAGTTGTTTGGCTCGATATAATCCTGAACACGTGTGTATGTATATATTACGTATTATGCAGAAAACGTATATGCATAGCGAATGTATGACTGAACGCATGTTATATATCTAAATAATGTTCATGTAATTGGTATAGCTTTAAATAATAAGACGTGTATAATGTAGCTAATTACAGAGACATATTTATGTTCTTACAGAATACAGACTCAAAGAAGGTGATGCTTCCAATGGTACTTGATTACATTTACATCATGGCGTATACTTAGTAGTTAAATCTATACAAAGCATATTTAATTTCATGCATATATAGATAATTTTCTTTTGATAATATGTATAAGTATATACACCCTTGATCGTATGAATTACTGTTAATATATTGAGAATACATACTTACATTAGTTAATCGATCATTAGTTACATACTTACATCTTATATACGAAAACATTGTGCCAACATTTGAGTATGGATTTTAACCAAAAAAAAAAGAGTTATACGTGTATATGAAGGTTTGTTGCCAACATGAATACGTTGAAAACTTGAAATGCATTGTTGACGAGGGACCCTTAAGATAAAAATGGAACCAATCATCAAAGCATTTTTTTCTCTCATATGTTAAGCGCTTGCCCTAACCACGTGTTCATGACTAACTTTCCTCTTTTATCTCTCATATTCCCAAACTCTCAAACCTATAACTTTTTTGCTCATCTTTTTTGACAACCATTTTTTAATGAAACACCATAAAAAAAAACCCCTAAATAAATCAACCCTACCCGGAGAGAAAGTGAGATCGAGGCAGAGTCAAGTCATGGAAGACGACGGAAAGCGGCGGAAATCTTCTGTTTGCGACAGTGTTGCGGATCAGGACAAGACCGTTATAAGCAAGATAATGCAACGGTTCCGTCCGATCGCACCAAAACCAATTGTCGGTGAATCCTCCGACGATTCAAAAAGCTGCAGATTCCTTGGAAGAAACAGAAGATCTAAAAGAAAGTATGTTAGGGCTCGGAATAAAAACGTTAGTAGTGGTAGTAGTAATAATAACAACAATAGGATAATTAGTAAAAGGAATGGTTGCGATGGAGAGATTAAAAAGACCGATTTTGATAAAGAGATAGACGGTGATGATAGAAGCGATATAGTCACGCTTCAGTTGCTACCGGAGATCAAGGATAGAGATCTAAGAAGTAGTGAATATCAAGTTGGTGAGTATGGTTCGATCGTAGAGCAGCCGTTATCTTTAGATCGGACGGTGGTGGAGTCTTGGTTGACGGTTGAGTGTGTGAGTGACACGCGTAGTGACTTGGGAGGGTATCACATCCCGGAGCTAAGCCTTATGGATCAGGGAGAGGAGAGAGTGATGGGGATGTTAGAGGTTGACACGTGTCCCTGGCTACTTTCGGATGGATCAAACCGGGTATATTGGGTAAACCGGGCGTACCGGAGAATGATTGGAGATCCGGATGCAGAGGTGATCAAAGTGTGGTTGGTGGTGGCGATGGACCTTATGGAGGAGATGGCGTACCTGGTAGAGTTATACGGTGCGGTGACGTGTAAGGTTAGGTTCCGGTATAAGCTGTCCACGTGGAAAAATGAGAAGAGATCGGAGTCGGAAGTGAAGATGACGGTGCCGTGTGATGTGTGGAGGATTGGATCAGATGGGTTTGCTTGGAGGTTAGACGTTGAATCAGCTCTAAGACTCGGCAGGTAACTGAATATACGGGTCTGATGGTATAGATACAAAAAGAACAAATGGTAATTGGTAAACGACATTACACTATGAACTCAGTCTATATATATATATATACACTTTCATATATAACTACATACATCGCATTAATACTATATATATACTAACTAGAAACTTGTGAATGGTTTGCATTACACAGATTAAGAGTTGTATGTTGTATCCGACTCCGGCTTTCAGTACTTTTGTCTGAGAAGATTTATATAACTTTACCATGGCTTTATGTTATGACGTGTTCCGAATATATATGATGTTGTATTACTTTCATGTAAATGTCTTTTCGTATATGTAACCTTGGTGTATAAAGAAAATGTAGGCAAAAATAATATGACATGGGATGAGATTTTATTTACTTAGGAAGTGACGACTTTTAGATTAATAATGGGATAACACAATATTCGAGTCGCAGAAATTTTTGATGGAAAAATAGAGCTTCTATGAAATAATCATAGAACACTACCAATATTTTTTGCGTGTATTATGTTGATCTTTTATTTAGTTATTATTTAACACAATCATAGGATATAGCGAAATGACTAATAAAAAAGACTTGATCAGTGTTTTATATAATGAAAACGTAGAAACATATTCACTTTAAAAACTTTTTTTTATTCATTACTTTATACATTCCATAGACATAGCTAGAATCTTCTCGAGTCAAACACGTTTTCAGCTTTCTTTTGGATTTGTTTGAAGCTATTCCAATTTGTTATATACACACCAATAACCAAATTTAGTTTATGAACCATTTTCTTGCTTTGAGACGATCCACATTAATTACAAATTTGTCATCCTCGTTATTGTTTATACGAATTAATAGTACAAACATATATAAAAGAAAGTAAAAAAAAGGTTAGAAGAGTGAACAGATGGCAATTTTTAGTGAAAGGAGAGGTCATAGAAAGGGCTGTCTTGGTTGGTCCTTGTCTATGTATAAGGTTCTTTCTTTCTCTTCTTTTAACGACAAAACCCATGATTTATGGACTAAACCTTACAGCTCACACATGCATATAGCATAAATATCACTGGATGTAATACTTAAGTATATTAATTTCTGTATCGTGTATACATATTTTGTTGCACTCGTGCTTACTTTATGCAAATATTTACTTTATACAAATTCTATTTTTAGTTTAACTTTTTTTTACCTTATACATAAGAAAATAAAGAAAATATAAGCAAATCAAGTAAAGAAACAAACAGAGTGTATGAAATGTCTATTATTGTTTTTTCTTGTCTTGAGAGCACAAAGGATCAAAACTCACACAAAACCAGACTTGTGATTATTCTTGAATCTTGTTTTGTAATGGATCTAGATCTGAAGTCTTCTGATTTTTACTCTTATATGCAAGATATTTGAAATCTTACTCATCTCACTGATATATTCATTTGGTAACCTTGGATAGTTGATGTCTTATAGTGATAAAACTTTGAGTATTTGCAATGTCTATTATTGTTTTTTCTTGTCTTGAGAACACAAAATATCAAAACTCATATAAAATCAAACATTTTGAAAACAGAAAACAACGACTTGTTTTTTTAAGCGCAACAAAATATGTTGTTTTATGGAATATATATAAACACACAAAATTACAAACTCTAGAAGCTATTTCGAATTCAGACCTCAGACTCAGACCACTGATCCTTCTACGTCTCGTGTTGATCTTTTAAATCTGTTTCACACATATATTAATGTATAAATATGTTTCTCAATATTAATATATCATATTACATGTTTACGAGTAAAACTTGTATCCCTTTGATTGAATAACGATCGTCCTTAGCCCTCCAATCGGCGATAACACCATCAAGAAAAGTCCAAACACGATACATACCTGAAATAAATAAATAAAACAAACCAAAATCCATACTAATCAGAAATAGATTCACAAATCGCAGCCAACGGTCGCAAACGCTAGAAAAAAGTAATAATTAATTATTACGTTACTTACCCAATTAGCCCACCAAGACAAGCTGTACTTCTTGGGTTTGTAGATGGCTAGCCAAATAATGCAAGGAAGCTGTAAAAAACAAATAACATTTATGTTAGGCTAATTCATATTCGAGGTGAGAACAAAAGTGTTTAGAAATGGCAATCTTACGAAGTAGGTCGTTGGGGCAAACGCGAATCCACCAAAGAACGCCAAAAGCCCACCAAAGAACGGAAATGTCATACCAACAAACATTGTTGCGGCTACAGAAGAATCAAAATTAAAGTCAGATATGTGAATCAATTAACACCATAATTTAATGTTCTTAGTTCTAGATATATGCATATAGTTATGAATGTAATATTTATTTTCTTACCAACGTAGAAGTTGCGGACACAGAACCGGAGAGCCGTGGTCGGTCTGAAATTTAGCTTCTTAACCAATAAAGTCTCCATCATATCGAAAACCGGCATTGCATAAATCTGCAAAAACACCAAATTTTGGTTTGGCACACGCTCAATTTGGGTTCTTCATACCACAACAAGAGAATTTAGAAAAACCAACCCGGTTTAGATTAACCGACCTGGTAACTACCGATGACGTGAATAACGACGAAGATGTTAGCCGTAGCAATTAACCACGCCGGTTTCTTGAGTGACATGAGGATATTGTCTTCCACACCATTTCCGAAGATGTAGTATCCGACTAGAGCCACCGGAAAATAACAAAGCGCGACGACGATGTAAGCAACGATGACTCCTCTCCACATCGGACCTTTTGAGGGTTTCTCAGGGGTCGAAGGGATTGTTGCTTGGATCTCAAGGACCACGTTGTGACCAGCGTAAGCAAACGCCACGTCACCTAAACCGCTGAAGAAATTGAAAACCGTACCGACGGTTGATTTCGCTTTGTAACCGTATTGCACATCTTCTTGAACTCCTTTACTTGCCGAAGATGCCCATGCAATCGTTGAGTAGCTATACATCACAAGGTAACAGATTTAGAACCGGTTAAAGAATTAGAGAAAACCGAATTTAATTTTCATTCAACCGGACCAACACCAAACCGAAATGAAATTCGAATGTAGTCTATGCAAACCGATTCCAATAATTGACAACAAAGAACCGAACCGGTTTAAGAAATTACCTGAGAGACATAACGGCGGCGGCGAGAGAAACGCCGGAGATGGAATTGAAGTTGGGAAGATGAGAGAGGACGAAGTGGACAGAGGCAAAGATCATGATGAAATAAGTAAGTTTGATTGGTTTGCAATCCTCACAAACAAGCTCATGAAATTTCTTTAACGATTTGCCTCCAGTGACCATATAAACGATGCAAACGCCGATTTCAACGATCAGCTGTTGCGGCACAACTATGTAGAGACCGAGTTTTTCTCCAAACGCGTGTTGTCCAAGCTCGTGGTAGCGATCAAAACGCTTCCCCGGAACCATTTCGTGCATCTCCACCATTTGCCATAGTGTGTATAGTGTTATGATCCATGACAGAACCAAAACTGCAACTCCTGGTCCCCTGAAAAAAAAACAGATTAAATTCGGTTTAGTTTTGATTGATCCGGTTTAGGTCAATAACCGGTTTGGACTAGAAATTTTACCAGCCAAGCTGAGACATGGCGTAAGGGAGACCAAGAACTCCGGCACCGACCATGGCCGTGACATTGTGAAAAGCAGAGTACCACCATTTAGCATTTCTTGATGAAGTAATTGGTAACCAATCTTCGATCTCTTTTTGTCTCGCCAATTTCTCATCATCCTGCTTTATTTCATAAAATTCATTTGAAAAGTTAGATATGATAACTTATGGGGCAGAAGTAAAATAAAGTAAAAAGTTAAGGGTGGATTTTGGGAAATCTCTTGGTCTAAAATTAATGGTTAGAGCTAAGATCTAAACTACAAGCAAAAGGTAAAGAACAAGTTGAGTTTGTTTATTCCACAAACACCAAGTCAACGATTTTGAATTTCTAAAGTTAATGTTGGTTTGCTCAAATGGTGAAATTTTTTGGTTCAAAAGTTAGATGTTATCATTTATGGGCAAGAGGAAATGAAGTAAAAGTGTAAGGGTGGATTTTCAAAGATCTCTTGGTCCAAAATGGTTGGTACCAACCTTAAAGATAAGATCTAAACTACGCTCAAAAAGTAAAAGATGTTGATTATGTTTACTCCACAAAATCATTGGACGCAAAGTCAACAATTGTTTTATCGGTTGCTAAATTCATGATTATTTGGGGTTGAAAAGTTAGATATGATCAATTATTGGATAAAAGGGAGATAAGTTAAAACTATAAGGGTGGATCTTGGGAAGATCTTTTGGTCTTTTTAGACGGCGGTTTAGGATGGTACAACTACAAGCTCCATAGACTTTGGAAAAGCTAGAAATCTGACTTCGTACGGTAGTATCTATAAAGGTGAGATCTACACTTCCGAACAAAACGTAATGAACAGACGAACTTTTTTGTGTTGTCTTTTAACCTATCATAACTCAATTATACTATGTGAACAAATAAAAAATAATGGAACCAAGAACCACAGAATTATATTTTTCTTATACATCGGAACTTTTTGTAAGAAGAAAAATCATAAGCTTTTAATTATTATAGTCAGAAGTCACTAAGTCAGCAGTCAATATCTTACATTAAACTAGTTTTGTCTTCGAGTTCTTAAATTTCCTCTCCATCTATCTCTAAGCACCACAATCTATTTGTTTTCTTGATATTTTCTATGTATAAAAATCTAAAAGGCAAAAGCAGAGATGAATCTTTGAGAATAAAAAAAAAAGGCGAGAAGAAAATTTCTCATACAAGATAAAATATTACAAATAATTTCAGTGGGTGAGGCTAAAAACAACAAAACTAACATTGTTTATCATTTGCGGGGTTTTTTAGTTCTGAGAAATAACTCAAAGTCCATTTTGGTTTGAAATTTTTTTAACAAAGTCAAGATCTTAATCACAATAAGGCAATGAAACATAGATAAAGACTTACCAAATCATCATGAGGAGGTTGAGTTACCATGGTGACACAGAGAGAGATTGAGGGGGAGAGAGTGAGAGAAAGAGGAGAGAAGAAGAGCTTAATAAGTTCTCACACTTCTGAGATATTATGCTAAATATATAAAGCTCCTCATGAAGACTATACACACTGGTATATCTATATAGTTGCACTTAATTAGTTGAATATTATGTGTGTGTGAGAGAGAGAGAAAGTTAAAAAGTGGAAATTTTTGTTTGACTTCACAAACTACTTGTGGAAATGGGCACAGGATTTGTGAGCTGGAATCTGCTAATATATCGAAGCAACTAACAATAGAATCTTTAAAACTGAGTACATTATAAACAATTAAAAATATACCCACCAGTAATTACTCTACTATATGAATTTAAGTTCATACACTATGAAACCATCCCTAGTTTCGCTACTTAATTAAGGTTAGCTAATAGAGAAGGGCGTTTGGTTAAATCATAGCTTAAAAAACTTATTTGGTTAGTTTGCATAAACCAGTTGTGTAGTAATTAGATGCTATACTTTTCTAAACATACAGTAGTTATCTATCTCTTCACATTTTAGTTTAAATCAGTCACGTAATTTTCTTGATAAAAATATTCTCAGAAACGTGAATGTCAATGTAGTGACTCTTCAATGTATCAGCTATGTATGTTTTTCCTTTATAAGTTATCTTTTATTGACTGAAAATTTAGTGGGAGAAGAAAGCAGTTCTCTTTGTTCACACTACAATAAATTCGTCTTATTTTTCGTCTAAACAATACTAGTAGTAGACTAGTTGTAGTATGCAATAGAGTCGATCCAATTATTATAATATTAATTTAAACTATTAGTAATTGAATATAGATGGAGTCGATAACTGAAATTCATTGGATTCGTACTTAAATGTAACAGAAACGCGAGAAAGTGGCGTTTAGTCTTTGACCGCCGCCAACATGTAACCAAACAGTACGTTACTGATATTTTGAAAACGTTATACAAATGTTTGCTTTCTGTCAACATGGAAATTTTATATTTCTGTTCAGACTTCCGAGTCAGACCAAACCATTTCGTTATCTCTTCTAAAAAACACAAAACATAACATATTCTTTTACATTTAATGTGATTTTGAGAGGAACACATCATCTCTTTTTGGTTTTTAGGTAACAAAAAAAAACTAATCATCTCTTGCTCTTTAATTTGGATGTCTCACTTCTTTCGTATCTGCAATTTTTTTTGTATCTTTTACAAAAAATCATGTATTTGTTCAATTCCGCTAATTAATTTTGTGTTTTTTAATTAGTTATCGATTGTAAATTAATTTATTGGCTTTAGTGCTTAAAATGCGAATGAGGAGTTCATAGAAGTATCCTAAGGGCTAAGGGTACGAACAGAGGAAGACTTGAGAAAATGATGAAGTCAACGAAAAGACGAGATAATGAAGTGTATGATTCCCTTTTAACAATCTCTATTAATTGATTTATCATTTCATATATTGTCAATTAATTGTCATGTTCTTGCTTTTCGGTCAAGTGGTTTCTTCCATTGACTTTTCTTTCTTTGATTTTGTTGTTTTTGTGTGGTGATACTTGCTTGGAATTTTTTTTACATATCGATTCCCATATTAGTTTGTAGAATTTGCAGTTCTGTGTAAAACACTTTGCGTGTATAACAATGAAGAAAATGTGTAGGATTTTTTTTTTTTTTTTTTATCTTTGGTGTTGGTCATTGATCAACACAGATAAACATTTTAGCTACCATAAGATAATTTAGATAAATTTGTTGGAATTTTGAGGCAAAAATCGAAACTAGTCGTGCGTTTAGCAGTTGGGCAAGAGTTTTACACCGGCCTATGACGCATAGATGAGTAACCCAAACCCTTTACCAAAGATCAACCCATTGTAGTTTTCGGTTGAAATGGAACATCATATTTGATCTAAACTCCCATATACAGTAGAAGATTTTTCTAAGTCTATTATATTGAAGTTATCTCATCCCTACGCACGTGAGCATTTATGGAGTACATGGCATGGGCATGTTCATGTATTTTCCTTTTGAATTATCTCGGTTGCTCTCACAATTCATGTATTGCGGTGAACACGAGAATCCAAAAAAAGAAGAAGTTTGTTTTGCTTTCTCGATCAAAGAAAACTACTTAACCTTGAGCATGGGCTTATTTACTAGAAAAAATTGTATGGAAAACCCCCAAAAAACCATGAAAAAGAAGAAGAAAAAAACTCAAAACACTAAGCTATAGCCACATAATTTATTTTCTCAATCCCAATACTTTTACGGCATAGATATCGTTATTCTTTCAGACGAGAAGACCACATCAGGATTAGACACATAACGTGTTTACCTAAATCAATCTATAAAACTCCCCATAGTTATAAGTTCGAGGAAAACAACATCAAATACGATAAACTATAAATAATTTAATTTACATTTTTACATTTCATATATGATGTTCTTGCTGTTTGGTCAAGTCGCTTCTCACTTATCTTGATCAGAACAAAACCTGTCAATTATCTTGATCAGAACTTGGCACAAACTATTCAGACACTATAGCTAAGTTAATAATTTCCATAAGAATTTGATAGTAATCTATACGCGTATTTAGTGGAAGATTAGTCTCTTTTTTTTTGGGAGGGCAACAAGTACTATTCCTTAGAAGAAGAGTTTTGGCCTTTTGGGTGTCGTTACATAGAGGAAATGTCGAAGAGAATCGGCTAATACATTTGCTGACCGATAAATAAAGACAAAGATAATGTGAAGAAAGTCAATGCTAGAGAATGAATATTGAAAAATACATTCACTACTACTAATAGAAAAAGGTGGAAATTAGCTCCTTTCATGAGAACCCACTTTTGAAGATCGGCTTTCATATTTTCTTGTGTAGTGAAAGGAATAAATACATTCACAAAACGTTTATCAATAAGACGCAAAACAAATAGTGAGATGATACCAAATTTGATGATGACGACGGCTGTTGAAGCTATTTCATTGCCGATGGTCAACGAAACTATTAGATTAAAATCAACCGACTGTATTTTTCTTTTATCGACATCTAATTAAGTTTCTATCTAAACTTCGACACGTAGTATATTCTTATAACATATTCTATGAATCTGAACATGTATGTGATAATTGACTTACATATGTTATATACAACCAACTTTGTAATATTAATGATACAATTATCAATTGTAAGGTTAGTGGACGTAAATTATCTGCGTTAAACGACAAATGTGTCAAACATCTGTCTGATCAATGATCATAACTTACATTATGTTCCTTCCATATAGTTAAGATTTTGAAAAAACCAACTCACATTTTTTCTTTTCAACATATGTAAATTCTCCAAACCGTAACTATAGAGTTGACGATTAAATAAAAATAAAAGAGAAGTGATACACGGCTTCACTACAAACAAACTTATCAAGTCAACTCTTGATTAATGTATCATACTTAAAAACATTATATAATGGTATATATAATAATAATATGCTGATCTTTAGTTCGTTTCGAAAGGAACTTTTTTTTTTGCAACACTAAAATTTGGTCTCTCGTTTATTTTGGTTACCTATCGACTATCGTACGCATTGGGATAACATTGTCATATGACTAATATTGATTCGAGTCAAATTGTTTAAAGAATTGAATTGAGCTCAATCTTGATATTTACGATTTCTTTTTATTATATTGTTTTTCTGGAGTACTGAAAATGGCAATCAAAGTCGAAGGATTTTTTTCTGCAGTATATTATAGTTATTTGTTTTGTTTCAAACCTGCAAGATTCGACACCGAAACATTTGACATTTTCGATAACGTGCTGAAGTCACACTGTGACTAAAAACTACTCCATCATTTTCATAGTATTCGAGACGACTTAATTGAGTCTTCATTAATTAATCAACACGTAATCATTTCTAAGGATAACATATTTGGTACATGCTTCAGATTCTTCTTTTTTTTTTTTTTTGTTTTGTCGGCAACTATTTTTCATTAAAACCCATATTGGGAACTATTTTATGCTTCAGATTCAAGTTTGATTTTTATGCTAATGATATCATATTCTAACTGTGTTACTGAATCAAAGTGTTAAATATTTTTGCGCCCTTTTTAGACTACACTGATGAGCTTTTAATGGGCTTTAAATTAATATTACTGGGCTACATACTTGGCCCATTTAAGTATTTCTTGCAAGAGATTCCAGAAAAATTGCATAAACCCTAACAAACTCTTTCCCCTCGTCGTCTCAATTTCTCTCTCTCTCTCTCTCTCTCTCTCTCTCTCTCTCTCTTCGTTCTTCTCGTTTCATCGTAATCCAGAAGCAAAAATGGGAAGCCAGCAAGCGGCGGTTTCGTTCCTCTCCAGTTTGGCGAAGGCGGCTTTCGGTCTTGGAACGGCAGCGACGGTGCTGAATACGTCGCTTTTCACCGTTGACGGCGGAGAAAGAGCTGTGATCTTCGATCGATTCAGGGGAGTGATGGATCAGACTGTCAGCGAAGGGACTCATTTCCTGATCCCGTTTCTCCAGAAGCCGCACATCTTCGACATCCGCACGAAGCCTCACACATTCTCTTCAATCTCCGGCACGAAGGATCTCCAGATGGTTAATCTCACCCTTCGTGTCCTCTCTCGCCCTGAGGTACTGTATATCGTATACTGCTTCGCTCTTTACGCATCTAATTTCGAACTAGACTTGCTCCATTTCCGGTGAAATCAAAGTTTGAATGTCATATCGGAACTGGATTTGGGGGTTTAGGGTTTTGAATCAATCGGACTAGGCAGTGTTGAATCCTTGTTAGTTTAGATATCTGTATATATGGTTAATGGAAATGTAGTTTAATCTTCTGAAGCTCAATTCTTCCAAAGATTGATCTTTTGGCTAACAACTTAGCATCGAAAAGTGATTAATTTAGCATCAATGTTGCTTTAATCGTATGAGATTTTTGAGTATTTGGCTTGTTATGTGATACAAAACCTTAGTTTAGTAGTATCTATGCTGCTTTAATCGTATGTGATTTTGAGAATTTGACTTGCTTATGTGATGCATTTATGGCGTTAAGGTGTCGCGTCTGCCATACATTTTCCAAACCTTGGGTGTAGAGTACGACGAGAAGGTTCTTCCTTCGATCGGAAACGAGGTCTTAAAGGCAGTTGTCGCGCAGTTCAACGCTGACCAGCTTCTCACAGAGCGTCCTCACGTCTCAGCACTTGTTCGTCAGTCACTAATCACCCGTGCCAAAGACTTCAACATTGTGCTCGACGACGTTGCCATCACTCACTTGTCTTACGGTGTGGAGTTCTCAAGGGCTGTCGAGCAGAAGCAAGTGGCTCAGCAAGAGGCAGAGAGGTCTAAGTTTGTGGTGATGAAGGCTGATCAAGAGAGGAGAGCAGCGGTTATCAGAGCTGAAGGTGAGAGTGAAGCTGCTCAGTTGATCTCTGACGCTACGGCTAAAGCTGGTATGGGACTTATCGAGCTTAGGAGGATCGAGGCGTCGAGGGAGATTGCAGCTACACTTGCTAGGTCTCCTAATGTGGCTTACTTGCCCGGTGGCCAGAACATGCTCTTGGCTCTGAACCGTTGATCTTATGGGTATGTGAAACTCTCAAACTCTGAACCCATAGAATTAAGAGGACTGTTGTTGTTGTTGTGTGATTTTGTATGAAATACTTTTCTGCTTGTGGTGTTTGCAGGTTGTGTGAGGGAACATACGCGATGTTTGAATGATCAAGTTGTGAATCTGGATTGAGTTAACATGGTTAAATGCTCTTTTGTTTTCTGATGAACCGAAGAAAAGAAAAGAACCTAGTTTCCTCGAGTTATCAAATTATGCTGAATCTTGGTAAAATATGTTATTCGAATTACATTTTACCTTGTTTGAGGTATCTTTAGTCTCAACAAATAAATATGTTTTTGTTATAATTGAAACGAAAGCATATCGTTTACCGTATGCTAAGCATTTATCAGTAAAATTTGATAATGCCTGATTAAATCATACGTGTATTTCCTGCCATGGCCCATCTTATGTATATAAATGGGCCCAAGACAAGTTAATGAGCTGAAAATTCTACAACAAAACACTCTTATTATGTAATTTTGTTTTTACATAGCCGCTTTGCTTTGCAACTAAATGGTACCAGTGACCACCACAAAAGCAAACACAAGACAAAGACAAGTCTCAAAGTGAAAAAGCACAAGTATGTTGGTGTTAGGGTTCACATACATACACCAAACTCAGGGAAATATTATTCAGCAAGAGATGTCCAGTTGTCTACTTACTGTATAATACACATACATATACATGTATTGCGCATTACATGCGTGTTTATAGCGTAGGAGGGATCCAGATATAGCCATGAGTTTGAAGGTAACCAGCTTTCTCCAATAGCTGATCGGCTTCTTTTGGTCCTCGGCTTCCTGGTTTGTACGGGATTGACTTCACTTCTCCATTGTCGATTCTGTGAAGCAACGGCGTGAAGATCTCCCACGCAACCTGCGCAATCATGGAAATTGACACCAAGATGAAGCATATTTGACATTTACAGTGTAACAAAAAGTGGAGAAAGAAGATGGTTTCTACCTTTAATTCGTCTCTACGAACGAAATGTTGTTGATCGCCTTTGATTCTGCAGAGAGATGGGAAGAAGAAAGGTTGAAGATAATAGTAACATGGAGGAACAGAACAGACCAATTGGATGGTGCGTATAATTTAATCTTACGTGTCAAGAATTAGGCGCTCGTATGCCTCTGGGATCGAGACACCTTGATAACGTTGCCCGTAAGACAAGTCTAGCTCACTTTGCACGGTTTGCATCTCTAGACCCGGTTGCTTAACCTGTGTAACCAAAGCATAGCCAAGTGAGATATACTTCACAGTAAAAGTTAGTAAATCATGTTTGTTTGTTTGTTTATCATATACTTACAGTTAGTTTCATGTACATTGCCTCTGAAGGTTGCAAGCGTATCACAAACTCGTTCCTCCCTTGTTTCTGACCTGTTGCATGAAAGTGAGCGTCTCAGTACACAAGTTTCAATTTAAAAAAAGCTAAAAGAAGAGCTTAAGCCACAGCGAAAAGAAAAGAAAATACATCTGAATATGTCGCCTGGAACGTCCTTGAACTGAATTCGAATTTCTGCCTTCCTTGAATTCAACGCCTTTCCGGCCTTTAGAATAAAAGGAACACCTGAAAGACACATATCAATCAGCATGTTAATATCAAGCTCATATTGAAGTATCATGTTTCAGAACAGTTGGAATGTGCATACAAACATTTCGGATTTGAGTTTACGTGTCCACTCAAACACACAGAATTTTAGTTCCACGTTCTTCAACCCATCAAACCTCTAAGTTTTTCCTCATAATCATGACGATTTACGAATGGTTCCGTGAGTTTACCTTCCCATCTTTCGTTGTGTATGCGAAGAACTGTTGTGGCAAACGTTGGAGAGTTTGAGTCGTTTGGAACATCGGGATCATCCCTGTACCCTTCATATTGTCCAAGAACCACCTCTTCATCTTTTATTGGAACCACTGATTGAAGCACCTGAAGTTTATCAAAACAGTCAGTAACTTGGAATTAATTGGCTGAAAATGCAAATGAATCCAGAAAAAAAGAGGCAACAAAAGCTTGTTCGAATGGCTTAAAATGGTAGAACACAAAATGGCTTAAATTGATCACCTTCACTTTTTCATCCCGGATGTGCTCAGGTTTAAGAGAGATTGGTTTCTCCATGGCAACAAGGCAAAGAACCTACATTACTCTAAACTCAGTTAGTTAAAACACGAAAGCATTTACACCTACAGAGAAACTCTGAGGGAAACAATCGCAAAGGGGTAAAATTTTAAGTTTTGTTACAAGGAAAAATATATCAGGTATACTTGCCTGGAGAAGATGGTTCTGAATAATATCACGGATAATTCTGTGAAGCAAGAAGTGAAGATTTAATCAGAAACGCACTGGTGTTAACATCCTTTACGAAGAACAAGGAGACATTAAAGAAAGTTTACCCATATTCATCAAAATACCCATTACGCCCTTCAGTTCCAAAATCTTCCCTGAAAACAATCTGCAAGAAAAACATTTGACATTTATGTTCATTACCGTCTAAAGAACAGTCTGAAAATTTCTGTCTTGGCTATGCAGCTCTCACCTGCACGTTCTCGATATTGTCACGGTTCCAAAGTGGCAAGAAAAAGCGATTGGCAAATCGGAGGACCAACTGCAAGCGAAGTACGGTATTAAAAAATGATTATTGATTGTCTAAAGAACTAACTTGATGACTAGACTCTAATAGCCAAGCATGTTACCATGTTTTGGACCAATTCCTTCCCGAGATAATGATCAATACGATAAATCTGTGATTCCTCGAACAACTCTCCAATCTGAGAACTCAGTTGCTCTGCAGATTCTAGGTCCTTGCCAAATGGCTTCTCAACAACAATCCGTGTCCATCCACCAAGATTAGCTGATCATTACAATGTACATCAATTTTTACACGCTGTCTCATGAAATGAAGACGAGGCTATCAGGCTTTCGTATCTAAGACAGCTGAAAGGGACTCACATTTGTTCATGCAGCATGTTTTGATCATCTTGCATACAGAAGGATAAACGGACGGCGGAAGTGCTAAGTAAAAAAGTCTCCTAGAAGACCCTTCAGAACTTTTTGTGGAGATCTCGTGCTCTGACATTGCCTTGTCTAATCTCTGAAACCCCTCCTCAGAATCATAAGGGCCACTCACATACTTAATCTACATTGATAAAAACTCATACTTTCAGCATCAAGAAACAGACTTTATTCATGAAATAAACTACCCAAAACAAAGAACTCACCAGCTGGAGAAACTTTGACAAAGCTTCTGCTTGCTCGGCATTCTTCTCATCAACAAGATATCTGCATAGACAAAATTTCAATATGAACATGGACTAGAGCTAATAATCATCTCTACCAAGGTGCGAAACTTTACTCATCTCTGAGAAAGATGTTCAAAGGAAAAAAAAAAAAAAAAAAAAAAAAAAACTCAATTCAGCATAACCATTAGGCTATTAAACTCACCCTCGGATCCGATCTCTCAGCTCTTCATCAGAAATCTTAGTCCTTGCATATCCAAAGATGTGAACTTCATCTGGATTGAGAAATCCCTGCTCATGCAAACCAAAACTCATCAAGAAGCTTCTACAAATGCACTAGCCAATAAACATATACAGTAGCTAGTGTGGAGTGAACTAACCTGGCGGTATAAGTTGAAAAGCGCAGGAAAAGTCTTCTTCTTGGCAAGATCACCTGAGGCACCAAGAACCACGATTGAAAGACATCCAGTTTCTGGAGCTGAACCATACTCCTTTGCAAACGAGTCATTCCTGAAAGTAGACCTTTTCTCAACGTGCCATTGACCAGATCCCATCTTCTAAATGCTTCAATTCCACAAAAAAAAAAAACGTCAGTCTAACACAGTCAACGAGGCCAACACTCATGACTCAACCAAACTGCACCACTTAAGCTACTGAAATAGAAACTTCAAATATGCAAATGGAATTGTACTGGAATTGGAATTATTGTCAAACGAAGAGAGAATTGTCACTGCCTCAGTTTCAGCTAGTCAACACAGAGATCGAATTTCTAGTAGAAGAATCTCATCAGCGAAACTGGGAATCAAATCGAGAACAGACTCTAATTATTTGCATGAATCGGAATTTCACTGCTTCATTTGGATCAAGTCAACACTGAGTAGAAGATTGAAGAATCTCATCAGAGAAACTGCGAATCAGAAAGAGAAGCGACACAGCTAATAACACAGAGATCGAATTTCGAGTAGAAGAAAATTCATCAGGCCAGAAACTAGGAATCAATCAAGCAGAGAACTGGAAATAATCAGTAGCTCCAGAGCAAAGAGAGCACAAAATCAAACGGATCGTAGAACAATCTCAGCTTAGCTACCGCACAAAACAAAATCACGATCAACAAAAGCGACAATGAGATCTGAATATTAAGAAGGGAGAAATCAACCTGGGAAGAAGAAGCACGAGGAATGGGATAGAGAGAGAGAGAGAACGAAGTACGGATTAGGTGAAGAAGAAGAAGGAAGAAGCTCAACTACTACAATGGAGAGGGGGTTGGTGATTTTAACTTTTCACATTCAGCTTCCGTCAGACTCAGATGACTCCATTTCTACTTTTTGGCATTTTTCAGACTTTTGTTAAATGCGTACGGACGGACGGACTCAGAAGCGAATTTGTTTTTTTCTTCAGCTCTTTTGATTTCTTTTGTTTTGTTTTGTTTTTCAAATCTTCATTTTCACTTTTAAATTTCCAAAAAGAGAGACAAAACCCGAGATATTTATTTGTCAAAGTAAAAGACGTATCGTTTAAGAGAAATATTTATAACCCAAAATTAGGGACTGTCATATCTTTTTGAGAAGTTTACTAGAGTAGCATAAATTTTCATGTTAATTACTAGATTAACTCAAATTATTTTAAAATTACTAATTTTTATATTATACCTATATTACCCCTAAATGATTTGATAAGAAAAAAATGTAATTACATAATTGCCATTATTATTTATTTATACGTCATCAATTTTTTTTTTTTACGGAATTGCCAAAATCCAATCTGATAAATCTGTTAATTTATTGACGACAGAGTTTTTAATTTTCGACAGATTTAGTTCGAATGGCAGATTTTTCATTTAGATGACAGATTTATCTTATGTGACGAAGCGACAGATTTACCATGTCTCACAGTTTTGTTTACTATGTCAGACTTATTTGATAGATTTGTGGCTATTGATGCAACAGAGTTATTAATGTCTGCCAGATTTAAATTACGGTGACAAACTTTCTTCACTTATTTGATTAACCTCTGACAGACTTCCGTAACATGAAGAGCCAGATTTTATTTTGTAGTGTTAATAACGACAGACTTATGGTACATGTAATATAAATCTGTCATCACAATGAGTTCAAAGTTCAATCACGGTACTAATTTTACGTTGTCACAGACTTTCTTTACATGGTGGCAGTTTTAGTTTTTGAAGCACAAATCTGTCTTTGACATCAGTCTTTTATTGTGTATATTGTGTCAGATTTATCATTTAGTAAGATAGGGGATCTATGGCAGCAGACTTTCCTCGACAGATTTATGCCTATATTTGGTAACAGATTTACTATGACGACTAATTATTTGATAACCACAGATTTATTGAACTCATGACAATGACCTTTTTAACCTTTTAAAATGTGAGTCCACCTAGGGTTAGCCGTCAGTTTTTGTTTTCTCCTTTGAGTTACGCATGGCAATAACTTCTTCTTCTTGGATCTAATTTTTTTCCTTCTTAGATCATCACAATAATCATCTTCCATGGAAAAGATTATCCTTGTATGTGGAAAATGGATGTTCCAAAAAGGCAGATGGTTGTTTGAGGTTGATCAAAAAAGAGGGTGCAAAATCCTCTCAGTAAATGATAGTACAAGTTTCGATTATTTCGTTACAATGGTATTCGAAGATTTTAAGGTTGATAGAAACATCTATGAGGTGGAATTGAGTTACATGTTCTCGAAGCTAATGCGACTAAAATTACCTCAAGATACACCACCGGTGAGTGTCGGAACTTCTCGACAACTCCATAAGTTTCTAAATCAACAGAAGACTGAGAATGCTCGTCTTTGTGTCGAAATTAAGAAGAAAGATGTTAAGACAAGGTCGTCACTTCCGAAGCGGAAAAAAATAGATGATGATCTTGAAGAAAATCTCGCAGATCAAGAAGAAGATGATGATGATGATGATGATGACGAGGACATCGGTGACATATTTGATTACTGTGACGATTCGGATGGAGCATCGTCAGATGATGAGAATTTCACTTTGTATGGAAAGCTTCCGCAACCCGATGAGCATGTTGAGGAAAAGAAAACTCCCCTGGAAATGAATCCCACACCAGTGACAAAGAAAGCAAAGGGAATTCCTCCAACTGTTAAGTTAGAGTTGAGTTCACTTACTCTAACAGTTGGGCAGCAGTATGAGACAAAAGACGAATTAGAGATGCGGTGTAAGATTTTGTCAGTTTTACATCATTTTGATTTCAATGTCGACAGATCAGACCCAGAGATGTTAGTGATTAAGTGCTGGATAGAAGGCTGCAGTTGGCGAGTTCGAGCTACACCTGTTGGTGATTCTACACAATTTACTATTCGCAAGTATGTTGCATAACATACATGCTTTGTTACAGAACGGTCTGCTCGTGCTCGAAAAGCAACTCCAGATATACTAGGCGTATTGTATAAAGATTTTGTTGGTAGTGTTGATTCAATGGTTAAGCCAAAGCATGTTTCTCATGCGATGAATTTGAGATTTGGTATTAAAGTAAGTGGTTACGTTTTCACATATTACTATCTTCTTCGTTTTTGTATTGATTACTAATACACTTTTTACTGTAGATGGACTACTGGAAAGCGCATCGCACACTTAAAAAAGCACGGAAGTTGGTTAGGGGTTCTGCTGAAAGCGGATACGCAGAGTTACCTACGTACTTACACATGATAAGAAAGGCTAATCCGGGAACACTTACTCGTCTCGAAGTTGATGAGAATCAACGCTTTAAATATCTTTTCCTTGCATTTGGAGCAAGCATCAATGGTTTTCCCTACATGAGGAAAGTGATTGTGGTTGACGGAACATTTTTGAAAGAAAAGTACAAAGGAACGCTGCTAACTGCATCAGCACATGATGGTAATTTCCAAATATTCCCTATCGCTTTTGCAGTAGTTGATACAGAGAACAACAAGTCTTGGGAATGGTTCTTTAGGCAGCTTAGCAACGTAGATGACGAAGGGCTTGCAATTATCTCTGATAGACATAAAGCTATTGCGAAAGCGATTGGGAAGGTTTACCCTATGGCTAGTCGTGGAGTTTGCACATATCATCTTTATAAGAATATTCTGCAACGCTTTAGAGGTCGTGATGCGTTTCGTTTGGTTAAGAAAGCGGCGAATGCTTATAGACTTACTGATTTCGAGACCGCTTTTGAGGAGATAAAAACGATGAATCCATCATTACATAGGTATTTGGAAAAAGCTGATGTACAAAAGTGGACACGTGTTCATTTTCCCGGTGAGAGATACAACATTACTACGACTAATATCGATGAATCGATGAACAAAGCCCTCTCGGAGGCCAGGAGTTTGCCAAATGCAGGACTCTTAGATGCAGTAAGATTAATGATGACGAGATGGTTTTCAGATAGAAGGAATGATGCAATGTCAATGAAGACTACACTTACACGCGGAGTAGAGAAACTTTTAGAGGTATTTTACAATTTGATTTATTTCATTTTTCAGAATATGAAGTAATTATTTCATTCCATGTCGCAGGAACGAGTAGCCTATGCACGTACGCTTACAGTTCAATCAATTGATTTACATCAATCTCAAGTCACTAGTAAAACATCCTTACACGTTGTTAACTTGACGGAGAAAACATGTTCTTGCCGACGATTTGATTTGGAGAAGTTACCATGTGCTCACGCAATTGCTGCAGCTGAGGCAAGTAAAGGTAAAACGTCTACGATATCACAATGTCATCGATACTTTCTGAGCAATTATTTGTACAATTCGTATTCGACTTCTGTCATGCCGAAAGATGATGCGATTCCTGTTCAAGATGCTGTGAAAGACAAAGTTTGTCTACCTCCGGTGGTTCACCAACCTCCGGGAAGACCCAAAAAATCAAGAATCAAATCAGTTTTGGAGAAAGCAGTAGAAAAAAAACGGCCACGGAAACAACACGCCTGCTCAAGATGTCATTTGGTTGGGCATAACTGCAAAACTTGCCCATCTGCAATTTAAATTCCTTACGTTTGCATTTTAGAGAAAATTTCAAATACTCTATGTTTCTGTTTTGGTAAGCCTCAAATTTATGTTATTTTCGTAAGCCTCAACTCAAAAATAGATGTTTTTTGAATTTCATGTTTGGGTTTTCCTTACTATTTAATCCTTAATATATGAACGCAACTTTAACTTACTACTTCCTATTTGCTTACATACTACTAAATATTATATGTATGTTGCATGTGTATTATATATTTATATATAAATCGTATACATGCACACGTAACATATAAATCATATACATGCAGAAATATTCATATGATTAAGAAATAATTCAAATTACTAAATAATATTGTTGCTTCTAAATACTAATGCTTAACGACCAAGTAACTTCTAAATTTGTTCGACCACTACTGAAATCAAATAGCACGAGGAGAATCCAATAACCGTAGCTCGCCATCCAATTGGGTCTCATACAATTCTCCAACACCAACAATGGCCTCATATGCCCAAATAAGCAACACATGGACTAAACCACATAACGTATATGACTTCTTCCCAGTATAACTTGCTATCTTTATCGAGTTCATCAAACTCTTGCAAGCAACCCGACCCCAGGGATAGCTCTCAAATGCTTCTGGATCAAGTACTCTCTTGGCACACTCAAGAGGAATTCGAGTCTCCGGAGAAACGCCAAAGATACCTATGGACAGAAGACACAACCATCCAACCATTCTCCTCTTCTCGAAACTCCAGTTCGTGCATCTGTCTAGTACCAATCGCAACTGATTCAAGCAAGGTCCTCTCGATGTAGGAACTTCCATTTCACCCCAAAATGGTGTATGGTCGAACTCAAAGCTGACAGAAGTTTTAAACGGCTCACAATTCAGGCCTGTAATATTCCCAAATTCCAACAAAGACAAACGAATTGGCTGGCAATCGATCAACGACCACAACTCATAATTCTTCTTTGTAGCCAACTGATGCGTTAGTAGATAGTGGACAACCTTGGCAGACCATATAAACTTAACATCTTTCAGTTTAGCTATAACTCCAATAGAAGAGTTCTTCACGGCATCCCAAGCATCTATTCCAATTTTTTCTTCCACTGTTTTTATGTTGGACACATAGCAATTATAATTCACGCTATGCTCTTGGAGAGGAGCTCTTCCCTTTCTGAAGAGAAGTGGGGGATATTTCCCTCTACCACTTGATGCAGCCCTTTCTAGCAAGACAGAAAATAAAAAGAAATCACCTTCCAATCAAAATTAGGCCACAAATACAAACTAGGAACACCAAATCTTTACTATATAATCAAGTCGGTTATGTATGAAGTTTAATGTTCTGAATTTCTAAGTTATATCAAGTCCGTTCCCTCTGTTTCATGAATTTCTTACACAAATCAGACAATTTGGAAAAAATGATCTCAATCTCGAAGCTATTCTCAGAAAATATGAAAATTTGGTTTTGAAATGCAGATAATTTGAAGCTACTCTGAGAACAATCCAAAGCTACCATCTCGAAATTACGTTCGTTCAATGAAATAAAAACACAAGTCCGAGAAGTTTACACTGATTGGGGAGACGGAGTCGACGAGGTGAAGAACACTTGACTGAAATTGAATAGAGGGAACTGAAATTAAGAGGAGAAGAATAGGCGGCAGGCGGAGGCGGCGGGCGGAGGTGAAGAGATGACGTGAGAGAGGCGACTTCGTAATCGACGTCGGAGACGGCGACGGAGTTTAGGTTTTTTTTTTGGTAAAAGACAAAGTACAGAATTTTAATACGAATTTTAATTGTACAGATTTTAAACTTAATAATAATAATAAAAGTAAATGGCATAATTATTTGAGTCTCCTAGGGGTATTATGTCATTTCAAATAAAATCAGTGTTAATCTAGTAAGTTATGTTTTGGGTATGTTTACTAGGTGTTAGTCCAGTAATTTAAGGAAAAAATACTGTTAGTCTGAGTAATTTCTCTATCTTTTTTTGATCTTAACATAAACCAAAAGTTGAATTGATCATTTCAAAATTGAAATGCTGCTTTTCAATAATTATTCTAAACATGTGTTGTGTTTAATTACGTCTTGTTAAACAAAGTTTTGTATAGTTTTTTTTTTTTTAATTAATAATGTGTTTTTTATAATCTCAATTCACCATTACGTTATAGTTAAATCAAATGTTAAAAACAAAAAAAATCGCGAAAAAACTAAGAAAAAAATTAGTAAAACATAATCAAAATATGAGGAAAAATAATTACTTATGGCAAAACAATCAAATTTCTTGCGATAGAAAGAAGTAGGAAAAAGATTAGGGAAGATTAAGTCATTTGACAGATGATCTTAGCAGTGAATCTTTGAAATATATCACTTTTTTATCCAAAAATACTATCACAAGTTTTATTTTTGTAAGAGTACCAATAAACTGTATTTTAGTGAATTGTTATTGAGGATTGTAAAAATACCATGACTTTTCTTTAAACGGGATTCGAATTGCTATATGACGTTGGTTCGACTTTAGGAGAAACACCGCTTTTCAATGCTGAAGAGTGAAGGCTATTGTGTCAAGAGCTTTGTATGTATGTAGGAACCTATGTGGCTATGTACCTCTTCGCTAAAAAGGGAATGCGAATTGCAAATCTGACGTTGTCTGACTTATGAAAAGGATATGAGACGTTGTTTGTCGACATAGGAAAAAGTAAAAGACCACTTTTCAGATAGATGTAGGGAATTTGTAAATGCTTAAGACTTTGTTGTCTTTGAAACTTTGTACGTAAGAGTTCGTTTAGTGTTATGAAATGCATGCCTTTTAATGTCTGAAAGATGTTATACTGTGGAAAACAATAAGCATGGTTAATCTTTTGGTCCTGATGCAAGGAATTGATATATAAATGTTATAGTGGTTCCTCAAATTGTCCTAGTAATAGTGAATCTTATAAATTATGTTTCTTGCCCCGTAGATATATATTCTTATTTTTTTTATACAGAACAACATATTGTATAGCGAAGCAATGGTTATGAATCTTTGGTTTTGTTCTTTAGATCAATTTTACTTGTCTCTGAAAGCAAACGAGAACCACAGAAATGGATGTTTGGTCTATTTTACGCCGTGGATGATTTGGAAAGTATTTAATTTTTTTGCAAAAACTAAAAACTAGTATATATAGTACTAATATATACTCTCTAAAACGTTACTTATAAGTTATAACTAATTCTTAGTTATACACATATATAGAAGGACAGTTCACGAGAATGTAAAATTAAGCAATGACCCTACAAAAATGTGTTTGTTGCTTTGGTTCAAATTCAAAGGAACCGACCGTTGGAAGATAATGCAGTTGAATACTAAAAGAATGCGTACATTGTCTATTTTAAATCCACCAGGTTCGTTCGTTGTACCAATAAAAAAAGATCTGATATTGCAATTTGGCATCATTAGTAAGTCCAATCTATAAACTAATCCAAATGTTAGTTCGGTGTATACAACTTTTTGTTCGTCTTACGAAGTTACAAAAGTGTTGACGATGTTTGACAATCATTTTTTTCTATATAATAAGTTCGAAATTGTTGTTACTGTGACATCTTTTTGTTACGGCACACATTCACATACCTTAAAGCCTTAAACTAAAAAAAATGAAATTAATTAGAACCTAAAAATCTAACTTGAACATAAACCAGAAACTATTAATTAATCCCTTATAGGAAAAAGAATGAGCTTCCACGGTTGATTCCGATATCCTTTTCGTTATCATCCAACCGTCGATAATCTCAGCTTGAGATTTTTACTCCAAAAGCAAAAAAAAAAAACTAAACAACTATAGCAGAATAGTAACACGTGGCTTAATGTGATTTGTTAATAGTGTCGAGGGCGCACATTAGCATTACGATCGCCTCTTCATTTTGAAAATGCCTATGCGTGTCGTCGGGATAAAGTCCAAAATAATTTACAACATTAATACTCTATACTTTTAAATCTCACATTATAGCCCTATGATTCCTTGTTTATGAGATTATGATTCAAATTGGCTTCGCCATACAAATATTTTTGGATAATTTTGTCTTCTGAATCTAATTTTTTTACTAATCTCAAAACCTATCGTTTCAAATTTAGTCAAAATTTTTGTTTACTAGTGAAATGATGCATTTTTTTGTTTTTGTTTTATGATAATACTATATAATGTTCTCACCAATAAACATTAAACTACAGTATAACCTCTATAAAACAATACTCGATAAAACAATAAACACTATAAGATAATATTTTTCTCCGGTCCCAACTCGGGCCAGTGTAAAAAATAGCATAATGCGATAAGATGATAAGACAATAATATTTTTGAAACTCCTATGTAAAAATATAGTCCCAACAATAAGCTAAGATAATAATTATAAAACTAATGCATATATATCTAAGACAATTTAGTAAAATATGACTCCAATGTAGTTTGTCTTTTCTGAAAATTGGATTCCCGTTGGAGCTCATCTCGAATTTTTCTTATTGCATCTACAATTTCTGGAGGTGTATTCTCAACATGCAGCCAAAAGTTGTGAAGAGTTCTCGAAGCCACAATTGCATCCTTACGTGTAACTACTTGCACATGTCCTTCCTCATCATCTTCAACTTCATCTTCACCATTAAGAACAGTAGACATAATTTCTTATAGACTTTGAACTTCTGAGCATGAAATATGTAAATAACAAAGTATAAGGAAAATTTGAATAAAAAATCTGAAAAAATATATTTCTATAAAGTTTCTTGTTTTTGATAGAATATTTCTATAAAATAATAATTATTGTTTTATCGATAAAATAATAACTCTATAAGATAATAAAATTTCAAAGTCCCAACATTATTGTTTTATAGAGGTTTTACTGTAAATTTGAAAGCTACAGATGATATGATAGATGGTATGGTTCTAATCAAATTAAATTTGAATCTTAACGATAAATACAAGTATGTATTCTGTTTGTGCATACCGTATTTAGTATTTACTGTGACTACTCAGATCTTTATTAGAAGTTAGGGACAATTTCTGTAAACTATTTATGTACAGGGATTCATTTTTAAAAAGTCGCCGGAAACAGCACATTTCGATCGAGATTCAATTAAAAGGGGAAAAAATCGAAAAGGAAAAACCATTGAAGACGGGCAAAAAAGAGGCGAGAGGAAGATCGGAGACGACGGTGATGACGATGGACAGAGAGAAGGAGAGAGAACTTGAGCTTGAGAGTGCAATGTACACAAACTGCTTGCTATTGGGTTTGGATCCAAACGTGATCGGACTCGGAGCCTCCAATGGCACGCCTCGGGTCGGACTATTCCGCCATTCGAACCCGAAGCTCGGAGAACAGCTTCTTTACTTCATCCTCTCCTCTCTTCGGGGCCCTGCTCAGTCTGCAAAGGTGCGAATTTTCTCTTCACTGTATCTCTCCATCTCTCTCTCGCTCACTCGTACGAAATTGGTTTTTTGGAATTCTGGGTTTTGAACATAGTGATTGGCTCTCTGCTAAATTTTCGGTTTTGGAATCACTCGTATGATTTTCGTTTATCTCGATCTCTCAGGATTTCGATAAGGTCTGGCCAATTTTCGATTCGGCTCAATCTCGCGATTTCCGTAAGGTAAATGGCTTGAGAACTCTGACTATATCTATGCAATTGTTCCCTTATCGAAAATTATCGTTATTTAACGATAGAGTCCTCTGATAGGTTGTTCAAGGGATTATAAGTGAGCTTGAATCACAAGGAGCATTGCCAAGGAGTAACTCGAGGGTTTCGTCACTGGCCACTTGCTGTGGACCAAGGTTGGTTGATGTGATTCTTAATGATTATGTTCATTAGGTTTCTAGTGCTTAATGTTGAGATTTAGTTAGAGAACAGTAGGCTTTAACTTCTCTAATTAACATGTTAAGCTCTTGTTCCCAAGAGCCTGGTCATGTGTTTTTATCTGAAGTTCCAGGAAGTTGAGCAGGATTAGATGATGTGATATGTAAATGTGGAACCTACTGTTTTGATTGCAGATTTGTGGAGCTCTTATGGCAACTTTCATTGCATGCATTAAGAGAAGTTCATAGACGGACATTTCCTGCTGATGTGGCTTCCAATCCTCTGCCTTCCTCTCTAACAGACGTATCCTTCTCACATGCAGCTACCTTGCTTCCTGTAACCAAGGTAGTACCCATATACATTTCCCTTCAAGATTGTGTGTTATACTTACGTTGGTCTGTGCACCCCTTTGAATAATGCACGGGATAACAGACAAATGCTCGATTGTATGTTTGCAGGCCCGTATAGTGCTTGAGCGCCGTCGGTTTCTTAAAGACGCAGAAACTGCTGTACAAAGACAGGCAATGTGGTCAAATTTAGCCCATGAGATGACTGCAGAGTTCCGTGGTCTCTGTGCTGAAGAGGTAAAACGATATGTTTTATTTTTTTGGTAAGAGGTACTGAATTGATTCGTCTGATTGTATTGGCTTTTATTGATGCATTTCATTTTCTGTTTCGTTTGTATCAGGCTTACCTGCAACAAGAACTAGAAAAACTTAACGATTTAAGAAACAAAGTAAAGCAGGAAGGAGAAGTGTGGGACGACCTTGTGTCTAGCTCCAGTCAGAATTCTCATCTAGTCTCAAAGTCCACTCGGTTATGGGATTCCATAATGGCTCGAAAAGGTAAGGATTTTTATGCGTCTGTTTTTAAGCTAATACAGGAAATAATACTCACTGTAGAATTATTCAAGAGTTATATTGTTTATGGTTTTGTTGTTTGTCACTATCTTCAGGTCAGCATGAAGTTCTTGCGTCAGGTCCCATTGAGGATTTAATAGCTCACAGGGAGCATAGGTAATTGGTCTCTTTAAGTCATAAGCTCTGAATTCCACTTTCCCATTTGCTGACATCTGATTTTCTTTGATCTGCAGATACCGAATTTCAGGATCAGCCCTACTTGCAGCAATGGATCAGAGTTCTCAAGTCCCTCGTGCAGAATTACTTTCTGCCCATTCAGATGATTCAGCATTCTCACTTGCAGATGACAAAGAACTAAGTGATGGATCATACGCAAACATGAATGAGCATTCTGTAGCAGACAGTTTCGAAACCAGCTCACAAGCAAGTGATGAAACACTTTCACGAGTAGATGATAGAGGTGGAAGGACCAACCAGACAGTTGATGTAGCGGAAATCATAAGACGCTGGACACACGCATTACAGCGTATTCATAAACAGTCTCTCCAGCTGGTATGTGAGGCTTTCCTTAATTGCTCTACACTCTTTTCTTATTCTGTGTGGAATTCAGTTCCATGACTTCGTTACTTATCTTTCATCTGTACATGATCAGGCTAAAGCAAATGATGGGGATGGTCCAGATATTTTACGGACAGCAAATGATGGTGGTACAAGTAGGCATGTTGAATCATTGGCTGCAACTTTGACTGAACATCAACAACATTTAGCTAGCTTTCAGGTAAATACGTTGCTTGTTTGGCACACTATACGCAACATTCAACATTTAACCGGTTAAATCTCTGCTATGTTCTTACTACTGATGGCACACTATATGCAGGTGCTCATCAACCAGTTAAAAGAAGTTTCTCCAGCCATACAAAAGTCCATATTAGAAACTACTGAGAAGGTTAATAGTCTTCCCCCGACCTTACCTCCAGCTACGAGAAGTAACGGTCAAGCAACTTCCCTTCTTCAATCTCAGGGGAGTGGAAGAATCACGGTAACAGTTTGACGAGTCAAATTTTTTATTCTCTTCCGATTCATACTTGATTTAAACACTCATTGTAACACCATTATTCCCTTGTGATACAGGATGGTGTATCCAATGATGTTGCTGAGCTGACCTCGGCAATGTCTAATGTTCAGCTCGAGAAAGTCTCAGCTAGTCCTACACTAAAGCTTCCACAGTTATTTAGCTCCACTCCTACTTCCTCTGGTAAAGGTGGAAATGCACAAAAGCGACACCCAGTTGCTTCTCAGATCAGCAAAATGGAGAGCTTATCCGAGAAAAACTCAACAGACCAACCTTTGTCAATTACTCGAGCAGACAACTTGCCGTCTGGTTTGTTGCATAGATCCCTTCTTTATTAGTATAAAGCTTATATAGTTTAACAAAGAAGGTTTATCGAAACTCTATTCTTGTTTCAGATACAAACAGCTCTTTTGTACAGAGCCTGAAGAAATCTGTGAGAGAAGCGGCTCTATTGGTTCCTCCTTCTTCAGCAGGATCGTCACGGGACAGTCAATCCGATGAAGGCTCCGAGCATTACTTCGTACCACTTTCAGCGACCGGCTTTTCCCGGTTTCCATCAGAAGCCAAAGGCCTCCTGCCTCACAGAGGGTCGAGGTTACTCAGCGAGCCTTCGTTTCTCGAGGAACCAAATGTTGTTCGGGATAGCCTCGGGCCAAGCAAGTACAGCGATATGATACCTGACACGTTTGATGATCTAGATTCGTTCAAAGATTACGATAACGGGAACGGGTTTCTCTCGGTTGCTGGATCAAACAGTGTAGCTTCTGATGCACAACAATCATTTTACGACGTTGAAGATCAAGTGTTTTCGCCACCTTTACTAATGGATTCGTCTCTACTATCAGATGCCTATGAAGACTTGTTAGGTACTTTCAGTATTAGGTTTTAGAGTTTAGATCGTAAAAAATGAAGTTTTGTTACAGAATTTAACTTTTTTCTTTTTGCAGCTCCTCTTTCAGAAACCGAAGCCGCTTTGATGGAGCATTAGGAAGAAGAAGAAGCTCTGAATTCAGACAAAACCTATGATCACTTGTGTTTTTCTTCAAGGATTGTTTTTTTCTTTCTTTGATATGTTCTTAAAAGTTTGATGAGTAAAAAGAAATGTAATTGACATAATTAATTTGTTGTGAAAAAAGTTTCTTTTAAAATTAGCAAGAGAAAACAAAACTTTCAGATGATTGTACATTAACTCTTTCATACAATTTTTGGTTGAAAATATCGTTACCAATAGTATGAAACACATCTTTTATTTGTAGTCAAGCTTCTTATTGTTCTATGGACTGATATGTAACTGTGTGTGTTTGTAGTGAATTTGTGTGTGTTTTCTACGCCTGAATCGATCGGATTTATAATCAAAATGCTAGCAATAAAGCAAGTCCAATGAAGTTTTTATTTTTCTTCACCAAATAAGATCAATAACAATAGAGTTAACCAAATGATTTTTTTTGTAACAAAAACAAAACAAATATTCAAAATCAAGAGAAAATTCATAAAACGCAGAAACTGAAAGAAAAGAAAAACGATCAACTCAGTGGTTGAGACCAACGACGAGAGCCACGGCGGCAAAAGCGAGTCCGGTGAACATATTGGTGGCCGAGACGACGGCTGAGCTAGCCGGTCCTGGTGCTGGAGCAGGAGAATGGCTGTGAACGTGACCTTCGTGGGCGGAGACGACGGCGATCGTCGCCAATAGACAAATCACTGCGATCTGAACAAACATCTTCTTCATCATCATGATCACTGTAAAAAAAAATGCAACGTTTTTGCTTTGATGTGATGAAATGAGAGAAAGATTTGTGTTGTTTGCTGTGTAAGTTGGATTGCAAGATTTGTTTATATATATAGAGAAAACTCTTACTTCAATATTTATTAAAATATCTTAAATAAGATTTTATTTTTCTTTTCCTTTTTGGGTCTAAAAATAAAGATTTGTTCTGAATTGGCCGGCTTTGATGCATTTTGATCGAGACAGCTGTTCAAGATTGTATTTGATTCTGTCTTTCACGTTCCTATAATTGGCCAATAATTTGGGTGAAAATCTTCTGCATAATTAGAAAGTTTCAAAGTCAATTATTGTTTTTTATTTTGTCATCAAGTAAAGTATTGTTTGTTGCCCTTATAGATAGCCAATGAAGGGCAATATTAAGCTCATAAATACAAAATAACCTTTAATTATGGGGATCATTGGCTAACATCATTATATAATTTAGATTTTAATTTGATAGAAAATGGATTATTAAAACTTGATTCTATTGATTACAAAACTAGACGTGGAGCCAATTCAATTTTGTGCTGTAAAAATGAATATAAAAATCACAAGAAGCATACATTTGGCTCTCAGGATCATGGTGTGATATTCATCATATATATATCACACCATTTTTTTTTATTATTTTTTGTTGTTGTTGTTGTTAAAGTTATTCATCATATTTGACAATAGTAAAAAGAAAAAAACATAACCATTTTCCGAAAGTGAATAAACATCGAAAAAACGTTATTTGGCTTAAAGTTCTAAATATAATCACGTTAGTTGCGGATGTGCCGGATTAAACGGTATTGAAATAACTCCGGAGTCTGTACTCTGTATATCGTATTGAATTTATGCGTAACAAATATTACAATGATCTATTCTTCAAAAGGAAAACCATATATTAGTGTTTAGTAACAGTTAAAACTTGTAATATAGCTAAGCCATGTGGGAAACAAAACGCCGACTTGATGATTATAGTGATGATTGATATGTAAACATACAAATTACAAAAAATTCATATTATGTTAATTATCATCATCATCATGTTATGTTGTTTTCTCTCCGATATCTAGAGGAAATATGGGTCGGGGCCAACTAATCAAGATCTTGCAAATGTTTTCACCATATCGTTGATAGGCATGTACAAGAGGTTGGCGACTAATCCATCTCTTTAACAACACGATCACAAAGCATGAAGATTAACCGATTAAGAACCCAACATTTTATTTAGACTACCTTTTTTTGTTAATCTATTCCAAATAGAAGAAAATACATAGGAACAAAAAGTGGGAAATGAGAGATATGGTACTATCTCTTTATCGAACAATAATAACAAGCTTTGCTTCTTTTTTCTTTTGGAGGTTTGCTTTACTCTTATAAGGCTGCTTATCAGAGATACTTTGTCATTATTCAGTGATCTCTTCAACGACACTGGTAATATCCCTTGAGTTGACTCTTAGGAACAGACACCCCACAAAAACGCATAAGATGGGAAACACGTTCCATTTGTGGAGGGGTTTTAATATACCAACACATACATGGGTTTGGATCTAATATCTCACAACATTTATTATGTGGCTCTATGCCTTTTTTTCCCGTTAATTAGTTTTAAGCACAAATCGAGAGTCTCTGCGCACCTAGTGTCGAATGTGAATCCGTGCGTCGGAGTCGGAGCCAAGTATGATGTCAAGAGCATGGCCAACGCGATGTACATCAATGGAATGATCTTCATTTTCTGATTTCTTACACTAGCTCGTGAAATATGTCCCAAACCTTGTAGTTTTTGCAAAAAAAATATGTTTAGGTCTTTAAATAGGAAACTGAACTCAGCAGTACATGTGGAAATACTGAAAGTGGGAATCGATTCCTAAAAACTGCAAATTCTATTTTTATTTACAAAGCAAACAATTGACTTGTTCATAAGACCGATTCAATAGGACGTTCTTGATTTGTTACCATGTTGTTCCTTCTTTTCGTAAAATTAAAACTAACAAGCAAAATATACACTGGTTTCTTTTTTTTTTTTTTCCTTTCAGTATTTACAAATCGATCATATCTACATTATTTTTACCGTGTAAAAAAAATCGGAAAAATGTATAAACTATTTGGCTTTTAACTGTTTTTTTCTCTTGCGACCAACTCTCTTATCAGCCCAAGACCCCATTTGAGCTACAACTTCATCTTCCACTCTCTTTCCTTCTCTCTCCCACACCAAACGCTGCGTTTTACGGTCCATAAAATTCTGGATAACCCAGTCCCTGAGTCCAACGTCTCTCACTTCGCAAAACCTCTCGGCCCAATCCGGCGGTTCAACGGGTCGGGTTCCTAATCCGGGTGCCCGATCTTTCGACCCGACATTCTCTTCGTTCTGCCAATCCGCCACGTAAGTCGCCACTCTCCTTTTAAACTTCTCCTTAAAAATATCCCAAACCTGATACTTATAATGGTTAATTACCATCGTACCCATATCCATGTCAGCAAACGTGAATCCTTCTCTGAGGTGAAAATGATGCACGACGTTTATCAGCGTCGCGTTTAACGATTCCGGTCGGATTATGCTCTTGTGCCTCTCCGGCAACAACATACGGCACGTGTACGCTGCTGTGACTCCTTCGCGCGGTGGATCTCTGAGACCCGACGGTCCGAAGCTATGACACGGTGTTCGAATTTCACCGATCTCGCCGGACGGTGATGGCGTCGTGTGATTTCTTATGACTTCGGTTAAGGTTTGACCGGACGGGATGTAGAAAAACTCGTCGACGTCGATAAACGCGACCCAATCGCATTCGCTTCGTGCTCGGATCACACAGTGAGCGAATCCGGCTTCCTGAGTTTTGATCCACGGCCAAAAATGTCTCGAGATGTTGTAACCGCGATGTTCTAGATTCTTAATCTCGGAAACTAAGTCGTCGTCGCTATTGTTATCGTAGATGAACCACCGTTGAACGCCGATTCCGGCGTGGTACATCACCCATTCTCTCAAAACGCTGGCTGCATTTCGCGTCATCGTACAAACGCACGTCTCGAACGGTTTGCTTTTGCCACGTGTCGGGTTTTTGACCCGACCCAGACGAGTAATCGGGTGGGCTATGGAAGGAAGCATCCCACTTCCTTTGATTCTCACGGAGACTTTTACCGGTGGAGATTGCGGCGATCGTGGGCCGTCCAATACTGTTAACGGCGTTCTGCACCGTACGATCTCTTGGGCCGCAGAGGTAACTTCCGCTCTAAGCATAAGGTTGGGATTCGTTAAATCCCAACCGTACACGCACTCATACCTCGACACGTCAGCAATTTTTCCTGACCGTAGATTAAGCCCCTTGACAAAAACCACCGTGGAGTTGTCTTGGTCGATCACGGCGTCGTAAACCAGCCAATCCCACCGGTGTGTGGGTCCTACCGGGAGGTTGTTATCAACCGTCCATCTCGAAACGGCGAGCGATATCGTATGTCCACGTGGCACGGCGGAACACTGGACAATCTGGCGACCAACATCGTCGATTTCGACGGCGAGCGGAAGCTCTTTGAACAGCTTTTTCGCGTCGGAGAAAACGCAAAAGAGGTCGTCTTTTGTATATAACCGAGAAGTCGAAGAGCGATTTAAGAAAATCAATGTTTGATCAGGAAACTTAACCGCTTCATGAATCGCGACCACCTTAACCGCCGGTACAGAGCCACCGAAAACAGCTTTAACCGTTGCTGACTTTAACGTCGATATTCGCACCACCGGCCGAAACTTTCCTGATTTCCCAAAATCTTAATTAGTTTTTAAATTATTGATTATCGTTTAACGATTGTGGTTAGTCTGTGATTAGATTCATTTACCTAAAAAGATAAACAGAGCAGAGAAGAGAACGAAGGAGAAGACGAACAGAGAAACGAATCGGAAAAATCTTCTCCATGAAACAACGACGTCGCCACCGCTTAAACCGCCGCGTTTCCTACGGTTCTTCATCATTTGCGCCGCCGTTTAGCGGCGGCTGTTGATAAATTAATCCAAAGGTGAAAAATTGAAAAAAACCGAAATTCGGCGACAACAATTGTTTTTTTTTTGTTCTTACTCTCTCTGTCTGAGGCTATTAAAGTCGACGAATTTTGCTAAATAGAAATAGAAATATCTCTCATTTTTTGTTTTTAGCATTTTTTTTCCTTTTCTCATCGGCAAATTCTAAATTTACTTTGTTTGATTCTCTGATTACGAAGGAAGATATATATGGGGTTTAGCCTTTTTTTTCTTGAACGATGCTCAAAGACGTTCGTGGAATTTTACGAACGTGATGTCGAAGGCTCAAGAAAGAGACCGCTTTACTGCTATAAACCACCACCGGTTTGACCGGTTTATCTTTCTCTACTCCTTTTAAAACCAATAAAATATCTATAAACAAATTTTGGTTTTATTCTCACAAATACTTGCAAGCTCTATACTCTGTAATAGTACAGTTTTTTAGTAATTTGAAATATTCATGAAAATGTTAAGCGCAAATGGTATGTTCTTAAAAAACATGGAATCATTTTGATAACTAAAACTCATGAAAATGTTTAAACTTTTCCTCAAAATAAATGTTTTTAGTGAAAACTTAAAAGTGAACATTTGATTTATGTGTCGTAGTAATTTACATTCGAAAGGTTATGATATGCAGAAACAAAAAAAGCTTCACCAAAAGAAGAAAAAGCAAATAGAAGGTTCGGATACCTTGCTTGTTAATTTGATTTTTCACGTCAATATCTATATTAGTGCTTTTGAATTTCCAACTTCAAATTATATTTCTTTTCTTTATCTCTTGAGGTTGAAAGAGACGAGGCCATGATTCGATTAGTGTCATTGACTTAAGAGTCATACTGATATTGAAGTATTGGACTCATACTGGGAAAGCTTATCGCCTTTTTTATTTCTTCACGTCATCTCTAACGTATACACCACGTCCTCGTTTTAGGGTTCTTCGAAGTGAGATTTGTTTGGCCCAATAGAGAAATGATCAAAGACTTAAGCCCAGACGAGTCTGCTAATTAAAGGAATCAATCTGTTTTTTTCTACAACAATAATGAAAAAAATCTGTATTTGATTGCATTAGCATAGAGTGACTATGCTTCTTTGATCTAAGGGGCTTGCTAGTTTAGAAATACCTTCTCTCAAATGTTGAATTAGAAGTTACTTCTCTTTCCGGAAATGATTTGAAGTGAGCACTATAAAGGATTTTTTATTTTTATTTTGGTAAAATTTTCATAAATTGATGTGAGGTTAAACTTTTTGAATTAAATATAATTTTTGGAAAGGTCGTTGTTCTCATAATGGTATAGAGTAATTACTTGAAAGTGAGTTCCTTGTTGTAGAAGTCACCTAAAAGTGAGAATTTGATTTGAGTAAGTGGAACTTTTGCAATTCAGTCAAAAGTGATAAACAAATGTCACTTTTCTAGTTGATATTAAGAGATAAAAACGAAAAAGAAACATACATGATTATGATTCCGAAAAAAAAGAAATAAAAAATCATATTGACCTAGAAATGCACAAATCCGTCAGCGTGTAAATCTTTTGGATGAAAAAAGGTAATCTCCCTCTAAAATTTGTAGAAGACCCACAACAAGCTAAGGAAAACCTGAAGTTCAAGGTTTGTACCTTATATATTTCATATTTTGGATGTTACGTCTTTGTTGGTTAAAACTTCTTTTGTTTGTGTGTGTTTAGATCTCAAAAAGTGAATATGAAGAAGCCGTTTCAGAAGACATGGATGTAAAATATGGTGAACAAGACATGAATGGAGAATATGGAAAAGAGGAGTTCAGATTAGGGATACATCTTGGTACCACCTACTCATGTTTTTGTTGAAGAAGAAGATCCTTGTATTTCATCTTGGTGCTGGTACCTGCAATGTGTCTGTATCTTGCAGGGGTAATAGTGGACATCTTTTGACATTAGTATTTAAGAAAACAAAATGTTTGTTATAAACTAAGATCCAATTTTTTCTATTGTAAAACTAACTAAAATAGCTTTAGAACTCGTTAAAATATCTCTAAATTTAGTTTAAATTATGTTTTTTCAAAAGAAGAAAAACATCACATTTTAAGGATTGGTTACTAAAATTTTGTTTTGCCTTTTGTTTCAATCTACAACCACTTCATGTCAACAACCATAGCAGAAATAATTTCTTCTTGTTAGACTTCTTAATTTTATTCACAGTTTCTTTATTTTCTGTCAAATCCTCCTATAAACTCAAAATTGAGTCTTTTTAATTTTTATTAATTAAAAAAAAGATTTTTTTAATTGGTTTCTGTTTCGTGGGACCCAGATTTCAACAGATCGTCTCCTAAAACATGTGTTTGGCCTAATTAAACGACAAAGAAAAAAAGAAATTCGTTTTAAAAAAAAGGTTCGAATTTATAGCCGTTTGGCTGACAGAGAAACACTTTGATAGAAAATCTTTATTTTTAGAGCTGAGAGAGAGAGAGAGAGAGAGAAACAAAATTGTTCATTCTTCGAATTTTTTTTTTTGGATTTGAGGATTAGCCATGGGTGAATCTGCTGTTCTGTTCCATTCATATTCGTTCGCAGCTCCTCTTTCTCGTAATGAATCTCATGAGGTATTGTTTCATTGTCTCTATGATCAATTTCATTGCAAATGATGAATTTTCCTGTAAAATTCGATCGTTTCTGGGCGATCCAGAATTAAAGTTTACACCTTTAGGATTAGCTTTATAGATTTTCTCTCAATTCCTTGATTTTGATTAGAAAAGTTTCTTCCTTTGGTCTCAATTTTCCCGAGAGTCTGGTAAAATCATGATTGTGTTTGTTCCGGTTGATTCACCGGTGAACATTTTCCCGGAAACCAAACAGAACAGCTTCTCTGTTATAAATTCTTGTCATTTCCCCCAGAAAACGCTTTGATTCATGAGAAAGTTTATAAATTTGGTTGATATTTAAGATTCTGATTTGACAAGGATTTGTTGGAATGAATTTGCAGGACAATACGGTTCATGCGCTTAGCCAATCAGTTTCCTTTGGTAGGTTCATTGAAGAGAATCTTGAATGGGGAAAATGGTCAAGTTTCTCACACAAGAAGTATGTGGATGAAGCAGAGAAATTCTCTCAGCCTGGATCTGTTGCTCAGAAGAAAGCTTTCTTCGAAGCTCATTACAAGAAGATAGCTGATGCCAAGAAGGCCAAAGCTTCAGATGAATCATCTGTTCAAAAGCAAGAACAAGAGCAACCAGAAAGTGTTGCTGTGTTGTTAAACACTTTGGAGACATTGACTAAAGATGAAGTTAAGGAAGAAGAGAGTAGTTGTGAAGAAGTGTTGGTGTTGAGTATTGAGAATGATGAAGAAGCTGAAAGAACAAGTGTTGTTGTGGCTTTGGAACAAGGAGATAAAGTTGTGCTTGCAGATGATTTACAAGCTGTTCTTGAAGTGGTTGATGAAGTGGAAGAGAAGAAGAGCTTTTCTGTTGAAGAAAAGGAAGAAGAGGAAAGATCTGTAACCAAGAACTCATCGGACAAAGCAATGGAGATTGATTTATCAGAGAAAATAAGGTAACAGAAGGCAGTTTTTGATTGTTTGATTGTTGCTCTTGAGATTTGTCATCTATCTGATTTGTTTTGTAATGTAAATTTTTGCAGTGAGAGACCGATAGCTCAGCCTCATAGTTTGATGAAGAAGAAAGAAAAAGCAGTTAGTCAGAGATTCAGTTTCTTGAAGTAAGACTGATTTGTGTTTTCTCTTCTTGAGTCAATCTTTGCATTTGAGTTGATGTTCTTGGTCCTGACTGTATGTTGTTTTTTTTGGGTGATGTAGGTTCTTGATGGGAAGCACTAAAACTCAAGATCAGAACACAACAAGGAGGAAGATGGGTAAGAAACAGAACAAGCAGTTTCTATGTCTTTGCTTCAATCCAGAGATGGTGGGAGAAGGAGAAGCACAGAGGAGGAATGTCTGAAACAGTACTTGCCATGGATTTGAGAGAAATAATAAAGATCGATCCTTTTTCTTTTGGCCTCAAAGCTTTTTTTAGAAAGATCTGTCCTCGGATTCTGTTATTATTCAGGTAAATTTAGAATCTTTGGGTGCACAGTAGTAGTAGCAGAAGAAAGTTTGTTTCTTATAATTTTTTTCCTTTCTTGTATCTCTATGAAAATGAACATTTTGTTGAATGTTTTGTATCTTCACACTAACTAATATCAAAGGTTGTGCACACTAGCGAAAAGAAAATAACAGAACAAGAGTTAAACAAATAAATTAGAAACCAATATTAAATACCAAATCCGGTGAAAAATCTCTGAGACATTATAATCTGTTTTTCTCTTTGTAAAAAGACAACAACCATTTCTTCTAATAATGAAAAAAAAATATGAAAAAGTTGGCTATAATGTTTTTCTTCTCAAGTTTATCATTGAGCATTCTTGTTGACGAGACCCTTGTACATGGTTAAAGCTTGAGCAATCATGCTTGCAGGATTTTCAGCAGAACTTGGAAGCAGCATTGTTGTACCCTAGCAACAATAATAATACATTCCATTAGATAAAAGAGTAAAAAGTAGAACTTGGTATTAATTATAGTGTATGTTGTTTAATTACCTCCTTAGCAATGTTGCCAAAAGCCTGAATGTATTGCTCCGCAACTCTCAAACTTGCGGCCTGCATCATATATTATACATTGCAACACGATTAAGCAAATGAAAACACCTAATCAAGACTAAGGGTAGTCAAGTTAAGTTGATTTTTTATTAAGCTCAAAAAGTTGTGGAAATTAATTACCTCCATTCCACCAGTTTCACTTAGGGATTGGGATAACATGGCTAGTCCTCTAGCTGTTGCTTGTGCTCTAGCTAATATTGCTTCTGCTTCACCTAATAGAGATGAAACAAACCGGAAGAATAATGGGTCAACATCCATGTTTCTCGATTGATCTATACATTAGTCTTTAATTTGCTTACTAGTTAAAATACTAACCTTGTGCTCGATTGACTTGGTCCATCTTTGATGCTTCTGATTCCAAGATTACAGAACTCTTCTTACCATCAGCAATATTGATATGGGATTGTCGTGTTCCTGTTTTGATGCTATGAATTAGTAAAACTTTTATAGTTTGCTTGTGTTTCAAGGAAAATAATTGCCATGCAATTTTACCTTCAGACTCAAGAATTTGGGCTCTCTTTCTACGTTCAGCTTCAGCTTGCATTTCCATAGCAGCCTTCACTCCATTAGGAGGCATAATATCCCCTGGACATACAAAATAAATGTCACACTCAGTCCTCACACCCCCAAACCCTCGGGTTTCAAACAAACATAACTTGCAGAAGAAGCAACTATTATGTGAAAAAAATTAAAAACTAGTCGAGAAAAAGGTATCCATCGAGGAGAAAAGAGTCAACAGAGAATATAAATTTGTTACTCACTTATCTCATAACGAAGGCACTGAAGACCCCAATCTTTTGCAGCAACATTGATGGCTTCCTGTGCAAGAAAACTTCCATCTCTCAAAATGCATTCATTATTGGAACCAGAAGAAACAAAGAGAAGGAAGGAAACGAACGTACCACAATCTTTTCATTGAGTGTATCTCGTTCCTCAAAGGTCTTGTCAAGCGTAATCTTACCAAGCTCACTACGCATTGTTGTCTGAGCCAACTGTACAACAGCGTAGATTGGATTCTCAACACCATACGAAGCCAACTTAGGATCCACTATCTTGACGTATAGAACACCATCGATGTGGATGCTAACGTTGTCCTTTGTAATCGCAGTCTGATTACCAATCGGGATAGCTTCCTCTTTAAGGGAGTGAACATAAGCAATACGATCCACAAACGGAAGAAGAAAGTGTAGCCCCGACGGCAAAGTCTTGACGTATTTACCAAACCTCTCAATCACGCAAGCTTTCCTCTCCGGCACTATCCTTACCCCCCCAGTTCGAAGGCGGCGTAATTTGGTACCTACAAACAAAGAAACACATCATTTAACCTAATTACTTAAACATACATAGATCATCAACCTCCTAAGCTAAGCTGCCTCGTTTAATCATTCAAGTTTTAATATAAGCTCTCAAGAAATAAAAACCTGTCAAAAAGATCGCTGGCAGTGGTGAACTGGTTGACGGTGGCTATGGCGGAGGGTAGAGGCGGAAGAGGAGCTATGGAAGCTTGACGGAGACGTCCGGGAGAGTTCACGGAGGCATAACCTGTGGAGCTAAACTGGCGAACGGTGGCGGGACCGGAGAGTTGTGGAGGCTGAAGAGGAGCTGCGGAAGGTCGACGGAGATGTCTTGGGGACTTGGCGGCGGTGTAACCTCCGGAGCTGAACTGGCGAACGGCGGTGGAGATTATGGGAAGAGCTGCGTAAGCATGGCGGAGATACCAGAGATTGCAACCGAGGGATCTTGAACTTGAAGTGATGATTTGGTTCATCTTGTTGATAGGGAATAGCTATTTCTTTCTTTCTTTCTTTCTTCAAGATCTTATTTCTCTCAAGAGTTTATATATGTACAGGAGCTTTACTTGGAGAGGTGGTAAACGAAGATTACTAAAATGATAATAAAATACCCCAACCAACCGTCTATGTTTAGTTAGAGTTTCAATTTTTGGAAAATTTAAATGGAAAAAGAATGTTTTATGAAATAAAAAAAAAAGTAAGCAAGAGACTTGGTGGTCAAACAAAAATAAAAATAAAGATTTGGAAATTTGTGGACTAGAAGACCAAAGGAAGAAGAGAGTGTTGTCCAAAACAAAAAAGAACTAACCGTCTATGTCTTGTTAGAGTTTGAATTTTTGGAAAATTTTAAAAGGATGTATCATGTTTTAAGACTTGGTGGTCAAACCAAAAAAAAAAGAAGAAGAAAGAAGAAAGAAGGGGGAGGTAAGATTTTGATTTCTACTACTCTTGAATCAATTTTCTTTGAGTTAAAATTTCTTTTCTAAAACTCAAGATGAAAATATAACAAGGAAGAAGGTAAGATTTCGATTTCAACAAATGAAGAAGAAGAAATTTCTCATTTCTATTAGTAATGTGATAATGGGTATGTCTTTACTTCAAACCTGAGATGGTCGGGAAACAGAAGCTCCAACCAAAACAGAGAGAAGAAATCTCTAAAACTTAAAGACTTGCAAATTGTCTAGGACTTGAGAGAATAAAGATAGATATCCTCTATGTTGGCTTTTAATCTGTCCTCGACTTCAAGTACGGTAAAAAGAGAAAGAGAATCTTTGAGTGCACAATAGCAAAAACAATTCTTGTTTAATATACGAACCGTCATCACTGTATGTATCTTCATCTTTAGCGAACAATTATAAATTCTTAACCATAGAAATCATCCCCAAGTTTGTAGAAATGGTAAATTTACAAAATAATTATAGTTGTTGGAACCTCTGTTCTAATTTGGAATGGAAATGAGTTGTTTGGAATGGAAATGAGTTGTTGAGTAAATGTGTTTCAACTTTAAAAAAGTTATTACAATTATAATTATAAATCATAGTTTTTGATTTAAGAATCAAATCACATTTACATAGATATAAATCATTCATCCCCAACCCCCCAAGTTATTAAAAATGATAAAACTGTACAAAGCAAAAGGAAAGACAATTATTGTGGGGTTGATAATCAAAGAGAATCAGTTAAGTCATCATTTCTTCAACCAAACACCATCCTTCTTCATCATATTCTTCCACATGATCCATCATCATCATCATCCCCACATCATAAAAACTCATCCTTTCGTCATCATCATCATCATCATGAGACCCATCTTCTCCTTTCTCACTACCAATATCAACATCATCATAAACACTATGTAACTTCACAATCTCGGCCTCCACAACACTTCCTCTGTATTCTTCTTCTTCTTCTTCTACATATTCCTCTTCCTCTTCATCAGATTCATAATCATGATCATAACCATAATCATCAGACATAAGATCAAGGATTCCCGTAGCCGAGAACCCGGAAAGCTTCAAACCGGGTCTGGTCCCACCACCAGAAGGAACCTGCCAAGTCAGCATCTCGTAGGTAACATCATTGGATCTCACCTTGGAAGACCCTTTTGTTTTGACTTTGGATTTGGTGATCGGATGCATACGGCACTCAAGGCACCTCGCCTGACCACATTTTCCGGTGAACTTGGAGTGGTTGGTCGGCTTCGATGTCACTTTGGTGAATAAACCGGCGGTTGGGCGACAAGTCAAAGAGTTGACCAACTTTGATTCCGGCCTTGGATTCAGCGACGGAGGTAGAACTCGGTAGGTTCTCACCATACCGTGCTGTTTGCCTTCTCGCTTCATCTCTGCCGGTGATTGATAAGACTTTTACTCCACAAAGAAGAAGAAGAAGAAGAAGAAGAAGAAGAAGAAAGATGTGAAATGTGAAAATGATAAAAAGGTTGCTTGTAAGGATATAATAAAGAAGAGGTACTTAAGAATATGCTTGCGGGACACGGAACAGATCAAAAGTCAAGACGATACCCCAAAAGTGTAACTTGTGGACCAAATCAGTTTGAGTTGTGTAGATAACTTCCACTATAGAATTATTGGAAATTTCTTCTTGGTATTCTTGCAGAAAAAAGTACCAAAATACACGGAAATCCCATTTTTTTAAATCTTTAATTATTTATATGTTCTTGTTAAAGAATGATTCCGTCTCGGACAAGAAAGTTTTAACAACCCAATGTCGGTTAAATAATTAAATTATCAACACCAAAACCAAATTTCAGTTGTATGATATATAGATTACACACACATAACAATATGTATCCGTAGCGCAAATTTATGAAGATTTAATTGTCATCTTGTTCTTACAAGAAAAACTCAAGATTGACCATAGTAGTATACATTCGTTGTATCTATGACAATGATATACATGAAACTGATAATTTTAAGACAATAAATAACATGGGATAAATAAAGAGTCTCAAGAGTTTCCACTTTTGTACTTTTAATGTGAACTTTAACATATACAAGATCATTAGACAGTTTCAAAAATTAAAACAAAATATATACAAGATGATGGAACGCTGAACTAAGGCTTTTTCTACGACAAATTCTTTAAACATGTTCATTAAAAAGATCAATGAGAGGTTCGTTCGATTCCAACACAAGTTTCTAGATTTTTTTATACCTTTTTCTCTAGGTATAATACATAGTGTTGAAACATGAAGTATGAAAGAGATTTGTCATATACATAGAAACATTCAAAGTAAGAACTGAAACAAAACAAAAGGAAAACAAGATTTCTTTTACGAGTGAAGTTCTTTTTGTACATATTCGGAGCACTTGATTGAGGATTAGACCAGCATATCTTAGTTGTATTTTCATTCTTTGAAAAAATCCTCAAATGGGATTTTGGTATGGCATCCAAGTGAGATGGACCCGTAAGAACTACTATATCTATGAATACCAAAGGAACGAAGAGATTGTAGAGGTGGTGTCTATGGTTTCTTATCTGAGACAGAATTCCAAGGACCCTCTTGATGGTGTGGACGAGTGGCTTAGGGGATGGAGCCTCTTACTCTGTACAATGGCCAGTCTCTGTTCTGAGCCACTCCAACCCTCTGCCTAGCCTGCTGTTAAACACTACCAGGTTTACGCTCAAAGACCATCCTCATCTCAAGGAAAAGGTTGAAAGTAAGAGAAAAAGAGATTCTGATAAAGATGTGACCCATCATCATCTCTTAAGAAAAGTCAGAAAATGTAAGTGGTAAAAAGTAGCTTGATCGATTATGTGTGATGTGATGTAATTAATATCCTCAAATTTTTTGTTTCATTTTCTCCAGACTGGTCAGAACTGTAGGAATGACGCATAAACAACTTTCTGGTCATTTGAAGGCCTGATGGAATCTTCAGAGTCACACATTAGACTGTCCTCACCACACACACAGATGGAATCAAGTCACTGTCCTTACCACACTTATATCGAATCATATTACTTCGTATACATAATACCACCACCTATATGATCAGAACATATATAGATATATTCCTTTACTTCTGCTCTCTGTTCGGTATAGAGCAATGGTTCTTTGACCAGACCTTCTTAGATTCTTTGATGTTGGTGTTTTAGTTTTTATAGCTATGGATTTGTGACATCAATGGATGTTCACTGGGGAACAATGATCTTTTCTGATTGATACATTTTTCCTGTATGAAGGCACCTCTCTCATATATGTTTTGTTATTCGTAAAAAGATTACACCAGAAATGTCGCATGTTCTGTTTTTCGAGTCAGTCTTTATCAGGTATGGCTTGGTTTTTTATTTGAATTCGAATTCAGTTTCTAAGATTTCAGAGTAGATTATTTCAACTTGGTTTGTAAGATATTAAACATAATCACTGTTAGCTTAAGATATTAAACTACCATTTGATTGGCCTTTTTAATGGCTTTTTCTTCTTCTTCGTTCAATCGTTTTCTTAACCTTCGCAGAATGAATACATTAGTCATATAGCCATTGTAAAGACCTCTACTGAGGTATTATTGTGTCTCAGGGTCGAATTCAATATTTCAAGTTCCTTTCTATTTGTATGACAAACCTTATGTTGTTTTCTCCCCTGAGAGTTTTTGTGGATCATCATGGATGAAGCAACAACAAGAACGCTCCAATCTGTACTTCAGTCTACTAAAGTTAGTGTGTTTCTCTATGTTTATAGTATGAATCATAAAGCGCCAAGGAGAAAATCACAAGGAGTCAAGGAAGGAACTTCGGAGTGGACAGACAACAAAATTTCGCAGCAGATAAAGTTCCGAGAAGACCCTATGTTCCTTGTGACAATAGGATGAAGAATAAGTGGTCAAGGTATCTGGTTTGGACGAATGATAAAACCAATGGGCCAACGAAGTCACCAGCTTTAGAAGGCACAGGACGTTGTGTGTAAAACCAGCCAAGACATTGTGTCTCATAAGGGCCAACGCAGCACCAGCTTTAGGGTCAGGACGTTGTGTGTCAAATTAGCCAAGGAAGAATGGTGTGTATGGGCCAAGAAGTTCATTTGTATCAGACACCAGAGGTTGTGTGTCTAGTGATAAAGGCAGTTGTGTTGTGTGTAAGTTTTGGATAGCTGGAAACTGCAAGAACGGTGACAAATGCCACTTCTTACACTCTTGGGCTTGCTTCCCTGGATTGTCCATGGTAGCTTCTCTTGAAGGCCACAAGAAGGTACTTACTTTTATCATTGTATGCTTTGTTCTTTACTATTGACCAAATAAAAGAAGATGCTTGCGGGACACGGAATAGATCAAAAGTCAAGACGATACCCCAAAAAGTGTAGCTTGCGGACCAAATCAGTTCGAGTTGTGTAGATAACTTCCACTATACGATTGCAGAAAAAAGTACCAAAATACGCGGACATTCCAGTTTTAAATCTTTAATTATATATGTTCTTGCTTAAGAATGATTCCGTCTCGGACAAGAAAGTTTTAACAACCCAATATTGGTTAAATAATTAAATTATTAACACCAAAACCAAATTTCAAAATGAATGATATATAGATTACACACACATAACAATATGTATCCATAGCGCCAGTTTATGAAGATTTAAATTTCATCTTGTTCTTACAAGAAAAACTCAAGATTGACCATAGTAGTAGTAAGCATTCGTTATATTGTATAACGATACATGAAATTGATATTTTAAGACAAATATCATGGGATAAATAAATAAACTAGTTTTACTTTTGTATTTATGTGATATTAGTATTATACAAGATGGAACGCTGAAACTGAGGCTTTTTCTGAGTTTTCTTCTCCTCTGAACAAATCTTTAAACATGTAAGACGAAGATTGAGCTATTGATGCCACCTTTGCCTGTTTTCTGGTTAGCTTTGATTTTCAATCCTATTTCTTCTCATTCTCCTCCATAATGTTTGTGTCTTGTTCAGGCTATGACATCGTGATAGAACAAAGAATCTCAAATCAAGTTGATAACCTAAAGCATGTAAGATTCCCTACAGATTTTATTCGTTGATTTTTCCTGTCATCCGTATGTCCAAGTCATATAATATGCTTATGAAAAGGGTCATCAAGGATGTGATTCTTGAGTTGAAACAAGATATTATGAGGATGAATAATGATTTTAAGAATGTGTAAGGCTATTGGGTTGATGTTGGAAGATTGCTTAATGGTTATTGTGATTGCATATTTCCTCGTTTGATTGTGGAATATCCGGCAGTGGAGCCTCATCCATCCATGCGCTCATTCTCTAGTTATAACACATGATAACACATGTGTTAACATGAAAAAGATGTCGAAAAATAGTAAAATTTGTAGAAAGTTATGAGAGATTTGTCAGACATAAAAAAACATTCAAAGTAAGAACTGAAACAAAACAAAAGGAAAACATGATTTTTTTTACGAGTGATAATCTTTTTGTTCATAATCGGAGCACTTTATGCCGAATTTTTAGAATTTCATTTTGAAATTGACTTTGCAAGTTTATAATTTTACTTTAATAGTTTGATTGTATGGATTGGTGCGCCAGGATACACATCATATATGTATCAATAACGCTAATCATGAAGATTAACTTTCAACTTGTTCCTACAAGAAAAACTCAAGATTGACCATAGTAGTTGTAAGCATTCGTTATATTGTATATATGATAACGATACATAAAATTGATATTTTAAGACAAATATCATGAGATAAATAAATAAACTAGTTTTACTTTTGTAGATATGTAATATTAAACATATACAAGATGTGACGCTGAAACTAAGATTTTTTTTCAGAGTTTGAAACTCCCGAGAAGCTGATCTTTAAACATGTTCATGAGAAGGATCAATGAGGGGTTCGTTCGAGTCCTCACCCGCTTCCAAAGATTTTGATGCTTTCTTCTCTGGGTACAACACATAGTGTTGAAACATGAAGAGGATATCGAAAAATATCGAGATCTGTAGAAAATGCATGAGAGAGATTTATTAGAGACACATAACATTCAAAGTAAGAACTGAAATGAAACAAAACAAACATAATTTTCTTACGAGTGATAGAAGAGTCTTTCCAATATTCCCATAGAAATTCACCCAAGAATCTGAAAACAAAAAAACAGAGAACGTTCACTATTCTTGTGTCCATATTATCATAGCAAACAAAAGCTAAAAACATGTGATAAAGCAGAAAGATTGTTCTTACTTTGGTCAATAGATTGAATAACCATCTGAAGATAATTAGCGACTCCTCCAGTAAAATCGAGAAGAATATTCCCAATACTCCACCCGACTGTGCTCTTCCTAGTGAAATTCATCTTCGCCTGTGGAATGTACTTGACGCATGTCATGAAGACCTGAATCGAGCTATAACATATAAACGATACAAAACACAGTATCAATCAAAAGTGCCAAGATTTAACCATAACCACAAAATAAGTGTGGTCAAGTAACAACTTACTTGAAGATGGTAATGAGCCAGAGCCAAGATTGTGAAGGTAATGCTATGAAGAAACAAATAGCTACAAACGACCACACCACAACCACAATACCTACAGCAAGTCTCGATACTTTTTGAGGTCCACGCTGAGAAAGAAACCATCAAGATCAGCAAGAACACAAAACAAACATTCAATATTAGAAAAAAAAAACTTGAAATTATTGATTGATTGCTCACTTCATAGATAAAGATCTGGAACAGTGTAAGAGCTGTCATAACAACCGCATGGATTGAGAAGGCAACATCATTTGCAGCCACTGGTAACATCTGAAAATCAGAGATAATGAGTCACAAGAAACTAAATGGGTTTGAAGAAAGGTACCAAAAGCGAAGATACCTCTTTATCGCCATAAGTGTCGAAGTATTGCTTCTGAACAAAGGGACTAAAGTAGAGGCAGACATTGTAGATCATATACGACGAGTGTTTTGTCAGATTCAACAGCACGAAGTCGAAATTCAATCCAACAACACTTTTCCCCGAAAATACACACAGAAAATCAAAGATAAATTAATCTCAATTTCTTTCTACAGCTACAAAGGAGAAGCAAAAAATCTCCGAGGGTTGAGTTTACCTTTTCCGGCGGAAATTCAAAATGAGCTGTGGGTAGAAGCTAATCGACCACGAAGCAAACGCGATCCATCCGACGACTTCGTACGAGATTTCCAGCGGAATCGAATTCCACGACGCCATTTTCTGTCTTTCCGTTTCTCGATCGATCAATCGTTTGATTTTTTTTTCTTTCCTAAATTTGTTCTTCGGAGTTGACGACGGAGAGAGCTGAAGACAGGATGATATTGGGAAACGAAATTATGACGAAACAAAACACTTGCAAAATGTGGGTCCCATATGATGATGACGTGTGAATCTGTAGCGTTAATGATTCCACGATCTGAGCGTTTATGGGCTGATGATTAATGAGCCTTATCTCTGACTGAACCTGGCGGTCTTCACGGGTTTGTTCGTTTTTAATACCGGCGGCTGCGCGGTACGACGGCGTTTAACTTTAAGTTCTCAAACATAATTTGTGATCGATGAAAGCAACGGTTTATTAGTTTCAAGAAACACACGCGATCGAACGTGATCGAACGGACTAAATAAAAACAAAATTCTTGTAATTAAATTTCTACAAAGTATAACATGTGTTTTCTAAAACTTGATCCTTTTTCTTCTTCTTCTTGTGAATTAACATATGATATAATAAGGGTTTTGTGCAAAAAAACCAGCCCAGCCAACTAAATTAAATTTGCAAATTTAATCCTCAATTGTTTTTTGTGCAGGTCAAACCCACGAACTCAAAAGTCACCCGCTAATCAGCCCTTTTGTGTATTGTCGACGTGGCCTGATTTTGGTCCATTAAAAAAAAAAATGAAACGCTGCGTTTTGGTTGTTAAAACGGGATGCTGTTTTATTATCTCTGCCGTTTTTACACCTAACAAGAATGACAAAACTTGAAAACTGATAATCTAAAATCGATTTAGGGAAACAAAATTTAAGGTTCTTGTCTATTATAGAATCAATTGGGGAAGAGAGTGGAAGCTGAAATTGGGGAGTCAAATGTCTCTCTCTCCAAATCCGGTAAGCTTGTTGGTCATTTAGGAGTTTGTTCCTATGATTTCGGGTTCGGGACTGAACAAAATCGAAAAAAGTTTGAAAGAGTGAAACAAAAGATACTTACCGGATTTGAGAGGAACCGACTTTATCACAGTCGATGGAGAAACCGCAATTTGATCATCAGAATTCTTCCGTCAGCAGCTACGGAGATCTTACAGACTTCCAAATGGAAGACACTGCATCGTCACATTTCAGCCACGAGAGGAACAACCACCAAGCAGAGAGATTCCCTTCATTGGAGAAACCTCGTTTTGATCACCAGAACTCATCCAGACAGCAGCTATGGCAACCTCTTTCACAGAGCAATCTTTCCAAAGACCAGAGACATCATCATTTGACAGACTCAGCCCTGACCAGGACCACTAGCAAATGAGACTGCCTTCCATGGAAGATGATCCCTATTACTCATATCCTAATCTGTTCACATCGCAGAAGCCTGATCGCTCTCCTTCATTCTCAGACAATACAAAACCTGCCCATGATTCTTGACTCTTTTACCTGCAAATGTTATAATCCAAGCTTGCGCTTTTCGGTGTGTTTCATTTCTGCTGTTCCTTTTCTTATGGAACAAAGGCTTCAAACGTTTCTTGAAGAGCCTCTTCTTCCTCTTTATGCAGTGGAAGACATGTTGTGTAATGTATAGAACTTGATGCGATTGTCTATGTTAAATTTAAATCCCTTGGTTTGCTTAAGAATGCTATTGTCTAAGATTCGAGACTACTTTTTATTTTCCACCAAAGAAATAAAGAATACAGAGAAGTGATTTTTTTCTTAATTTTCTCTGTTCTTTCAGGTTTCTGTTAGACAAATTACATAAGTCTTTATCTAGGACCAGACAACTCAACCGCATGAAGGTTATCTGTAGAATCAAGGATCCAATCAGGTGGGATGACAACAGCATGAAGCTACTTCGCTTAAACTTTTTGTTCAGTCCCGAACCCGAAATCATAGGAACAAACTCCTAAATGACCAACAAGCTTACCGGATTTGGAGAGAGAGACATTTGACTCCCCAATTTCAGCTTCCACTCTCTTCCCCAATTGATTCTATAATAGACAAGAACCTTAAATTTTGTTTCCCTAAATCGATTTTAGATTATCAGTTTTCAAGTTTTGTCATTCTTGTTAGGTGTAAAAACGGCAGAGATAATAAAACAGCATCCCGTTTTAACAACCAAAACGCAGCATTTCATTTTTTTTTTAATGGACCAAAGGACACGTCGACGATACACAAAAGGGCTAATTAGCGGGTGACTTTTGAGTTCGTGGGTTTGACCTGCACAAAAAAAAGTTGAGGGTTAAATTTGCAAATTTAATTTAGTTGGCTGGTTTTTTTGCACAAGTGTTTTCAATAACATGTGTTTTCAATTTAAAAAATTACTACAAGTGTTTTTTTACATGTTATCATGTCTTCTAAAACTGTTTTTCCGACTTTGGAAAATTAATTAAGCAAATAGTTTATGTAGTCATAAATCATTATCTGTTAAGTTCTTTAATGCTATTTTACCAAAAAAAAATGCTCTCTCCATTTGATATGAAATGTCATTCTGACATTTTTCACACAGATTAAAGAAAAATAACTTAATATTCAAAATAATCCTTGTTTAATATTCTATAGTATTTAATGTTTTTTCTTGTTTAACTAGGAGCAAAAGAGAAAAATCAAATAGAAAAGATGCATTGAAATCAGAAATAACACTTATTTTGTGACAAAAAGATCTTTCAAAATGACACTTATCATAAAACAGAGAGTATTTGACAATACTGTCATAATTTATTTTTAAGTCTTGATTGTTTGTGGTTTTTGAATTGGTTTTTGGCTTTTAATTTCTTTTAAAAATCTGTTTTATTGTCATTCAAGATTCTGAAAAAATCAAAATTCCTACAAAATATGAAATCTGGTTTTTGAGTGTTTTAACCAATTTTCAAAAAAAAAAATGAAATCCTCATTTTTGCAGCTTCTAACAAAAACCAACCATTTGTGTATTTTTTTATTTTAACAGAAAAATCCAAATCAAAAACCAAAATCTAAATTCAGAAACTAAAGTCCATAAATCTAAAATCTAAAACCTAGTCAAACATTCATGGCCTTATTCCAAACCAGATCGATAAAAGCAACGATCATGATGATGTACCTTCAAGAAACACACGTGATCGAACGCACCAAATAAACACATTTTGTAATTGAGTGTCTTTCAATTGTATATACAAAATAAAACTGGTATTGTCAATTGTCTGTTCTTACCCTTTAACCTTTTTTTCTTCTTGTGAATTAACATATGCAAATAACATGTGTTTTAAATTTAAAAAATTACTACAATTGTTTTTTTTTCATGTTATCATGTCTTCTAAAACTGTTTTTCTTCTTTTGAAAATTAATTAGGAAAATAGTTTTTGTAATCATAAATCATACTGTATTTGTTAAGTTGATAATACTGTCATAATTTATTTTTAGCATGAAAACAACTTAATATTCAGTAGTCTAAGTGAAAGTGATAACATAGTCATAATCTTTTCTTTATTATACTTATACATAACGTCATTGCTGCGATTTAAGTAATTTGTATTGGTAATCATACGATTAGCTATTAAGCAGCATACATACCTTGAAAACTGATAGAGAATAATTCGTTGCCACAACAATGCATTTTGAAACCTCACCACATGTTTCTTCAATAGATTTATTTTCATAAAATTATAAAAACGAAAAAAAGACAAATTGGTCAGAGTTGGTTGGTCCATATATTTCAATAGAGTTGTGAATTAATCTCACGAGCACCATGATACAATCTCTATAAACTCATATCTCCAACTAATTAGCAATCAAACACATTGATATACATACATCTTTTTCTATTAGAATTCATCTTTGAAAACTAACGATTGAGATTATTTCATCTTTCTGGGCCCACATTCGAAACTCGACCGGATAGAACTTAAAGATTCAACGTTGGCAAACGAAATCGTGATAATATTCCGGTCTAACCAATTTGGTTTGTAAACAAATTTTGGCTTGGTTTGATTTCGGTTAAAGCATTTTAGTTTATTACTCCGACGTCGTTTTAGTTTTCTCTAATCTAAGAACCTCTGAGCAAAAGTGAGAGAGTGTTTCATTTTCGTCTGGTCAAAAGTCAAAACCACCGGAGCGGAGAGCGAGGATTTATGGCGGCGATGTTAATCGGAAGAGCTTTTAAATCAGCTAAGAGCTCTCACTTGGTCGTTCGTGCTCGATCCTTCTGTACAACATCTGCCGCTCTTAAACCCGATGCCGATGGTCAATCATCGGAATCCTCATCATCGTCGTCGTCGTTCACGTTCGACAAAGAAACCGAGAAACCCATCTTCGTGAAAGCTCCCAACGCTCGCAAGAAGAACGATTCGGATTCGGTGACGATGCCTACGTCTTTCATGACTGGTTCGATCGTGGGGAAGAAATTCTACAAGACAGTGACGACGAGAGAAGCAGACGATGGCAATGGATGGACTGTGATGCTCGATTACAGAACCCTTAAAACCCCTTCTAAAAGACCTCTCAAGCTTCGCTCCGTGGCTCTCGCTAAGGCCATTGCAGCTGAATGGGAGTATCAGGTTTTGCTCAATCCCCAAATCTCTATAATCATTTTCAAATCCGATCTCTTTAGCTTCATAAAATTCACTGCTTTAAGCAATTTATTTACTGTTCTGAAGCTAATCGATAATGGGTTTGATGGAATTTAGCTAGAATCCTTGTAATTGGATCTGTTCTTTGCTTATTCAACTTAAAGCTGAGAGCTTGCTGTTGTTAGTTTGATTTGCGATCTGAGATGTATAATGTGTCATGTGTAGCTAGCAGAAGGAATCAGACCGTTCACAATGCCACTCATGAAACTAGCATGTACTGCACTTGAGAGAGTTCCTCTCACACGTTCGAAGATCATCGAACATCTGTTGAGAAAGATACATCAAGATCTCGTCTTTTTCCGAGCGCCTGAAGATAATGATCTTACTAGTGACGTCCATGGTATAATATACATACTTTCTCTCTTCAGTTTCCACTGAACTTCTGGATTTTACACTTACTTGGTTTGGTTGTGCCGTTTTGTAGAGATTCAAGTAGAGAGGATTGATCCTCTGCTTGAGTGGGTCGAATCAGAGTTTGGTGTCAAACCGAATCTGTATTCGAGCATCTTTGGAGGGAAACAAGATGAGAAGCTATTGAAAGCAGTGGAAGAGCTTCTCAAGAAGACGAATGATGGTGAATTGGCTAGCATTGATGCGCTTGAAGCATCAGCTCACTCGGTGGTAATCGCTCTTGGCATCTACTGTGGGAAATTGCAGATCGATGATGCAATCCAATTGATTAGACTTGAAGAAGATTTACAGGTTTTGTTATTGTCACTCACTTTGCTCAACATCTCTAATTGCTTTTGTTCGACTCTATGTGTAACTAATCGTTGTCGCATGTTTCATTCAGGTGGACAAATGGGGACTCGTAGAAGGTGGGCATGACATTGATATAGCTGATCTTAAAGTTCAGATCTCAGCTGCTACTGTGTTTCTTGCTCTTTCCCGTGAAAATTGAATCATCAGTCTCTTTTTGCTCAACACTTGTCTCAGTTATTAAGACAAAACAAAAACAGGAAGCTTCTCTTTGAGCTTACATGTTTGTAGGATAGATGATTTCTCTTCTTTTTATTAATAAAGCAAAACTCGATAACGAATGTAACAGAAACACGAGGAAATGCAGAGAGAGTAATCAAATTTTCAGAGTATTATTGCTTGTTTATTGGCAATAAGTTTCTGCAAGATTTACCACAAAATCATCTATTTCTGATATTTGTAACAGAAATACAAGAACAGACTCCAAAATCAGAGTTTCTTGCAGATTATTGTTTAACTTCAAAAATCAATAGGCAAATGAGCAAACCGGTTTGGGTTCTGCGTAATTGAGTTGGTTGTTTCAACCGGATTGCTGAAGCTGCTTGATGTGTGATATCTGTTTCCCTGGATTCAATCCCTTTGGACATGCACGAGCACAGTTCAAGATTGTATGGCATCGGTACAGCTTAAACTCGTCGTTAATGGCTTCGAGTCTTTCACTAGTGTACTCATCTCGGCTATCACTGATCCACCTACATAATATCAAGAAGCACTTACAATATCAAAACTTTTAATCTAATAAACACACAGATACAATCAGATAATCGAGCTAGGGGTGTTCTATAGAGACATTCAAAGAAGCACAATGTGTCTTCCTTCAGAGGTTTCTCCTCCATTTCAGCTGAACAAAATGCTAAACTACACTACAACTTTAGAAGCAAAAACAACCTAAATGGCCTTACTTATTCCTCAAACCTACATAATTCTTTACAAATTTCTCGAAGCAGAACAAACACTAAGTACTTAGCACGTTCCAGAGCTAAACTACAAGTAAAGAGCTTTTGAGCAACTAAGTGACCATATATAAAGAACTAATGTAAACTACCAACAAGCCATGCAAAATCTTCACAATTCTTAAGCAAATCCTCGGAAACACATTGTTTAGGGAATCCATTATGAAAAGCAAAGATTTTGTTAACCTGTTGGCATGGAGCAAAGCAGCTGGGCCAAGATAAGACTCAGGGTTCCACCAATAGCTAGGGCAAGAAGTGCTACAGCAAGCGCAGAGGATACATTCATACATTCCATCAAGTTTAGCTCTATCCTTCTTGCTCTGCAAAATCTCCTTCCCAGGAACAGACGCTGGATTCTTCCTCTTCAACCACGGCTCGATACTCTTGTACTGATTATAAAAATTCGTCATGTCCACCACCAGATCCTTAATCACAAACATATGCGGCAACGGCGTGATTGTCGTCTCCGACGATCCAGATTCGATCTTCGTCAAGCAAGCGAGACCGTTGCATCCGTCGATGTTCATCGCGCACGAGCCGCAGATACCTTCCCGGCACGAGCGACGGAAAGTGAGCGACGGATCCATCTCGTTCTTAATTTTGATTAAAGCGTCGAGAACCATTGGACCACAATCCTTGAGATCGATCTGGTAATCCTGAAGCTCAGGCTTCCCGGGATTATCTGGATTCCATCGGTAGATCTGAAACGTCTTCAGTTTCGGTCCTACGCCGCCGGCGGTGGAAGCTTTCGTTTGTGCTTCTGATCCTGATGATGTCCATCGCGCCGGAATCAATCGCGCCGCCGTGGATAACCTCGACGGCTTCGTTCCAACAACTCTTCCGATCAAACCAAACGCCATTTTTCCGGACAGACCAAATGAAATTGAAAATTATCGAGAAATGGCTGAGATTTTTTTTTTATTAGTCTATTTTTTCGAAAATTGATTAATTTCAGTAACCTATGATGATTATGATGACTAATTGGAAAAAATGATATAATAAGTGAGCTTAGCTTCGTCTAATTCGTCATCACAACCGTTGATAAAAGCTAAAACAATCCTGGCCGTTTATGGATACCGACTTAAGGCTAATCAAAACGCGCGTGCTCACCTCGAGGAGTACTATGCAGATTCAACCTGACACGTGACAATATGTGATTCGATGAGTCATTTAACGAACAAGAAAAGCGTCCCGTTTCAATACAGAAGAAAAACAACTCGTGGCGTTTAAAGGTGTAGAAATGATCCGACACGTGGCAATATTGTATTCGCTCAGGTCACACTAACAAAAACGGTGTGCGACTACAAGAACGAGAAGAAACCGTCCCGTTTCGATACAGATGACACAGCATTCGTGCGCTCTTACGTGTACTTTTTTCAGTTTTCAAGTTTTAACAATAAAAACACGTAAACTGAACGTAACCTATATTTAAACCTCAGAAAACGCTTATTGTTTCTGTATTATAATTCTGTCAACGTAATCAAATCCTCTTGTTGTTGAAAAACAAACAAAACAAAACAGAAAGGAAAAACAAAATAAAACAAAACAGAAAGGAAAAACAAAACAAAAAACTTCTATTGTGAAGATCATTGTCTCATCGTCTCATTGTCATATTGCTGAGATCTCATCACACGATTTTTGAATGGCATCGGTAAGATCTTTTCTCAATCCAATGCATTTTTGTATGTTTGTAACATTAAAATTGTCATGTTGTTCATCATCCAAAGGAAACAGCATAATTAATTGATGTGTTTTTCGTTGATTTCGTTGGAATATATTATTAAACTTTTGTTTTTGGATATCTCAAAATCCAGAACAATCAACCGCGACAACAACAAGATCGACCATTACCAAAATTTGGAGAATGGGACGTGAACGATCCAGCATCAGCCGAAGGATTCACGGTTATATTCGCCAAAGCTCGAGACGACAAAAAGACAAACGCAAGTGGTGGTGCGACGTCACAACGCCGTGATAACAACAATAACAGAGGCCAAGAAGAACCTACGGTAACATCATTTCTTTCTCAATTTCACAAAACATTTAGACTAAATATCACCAAAGCGAAACATGAGCCTTTAATCGTTAAGTTTTCAAAACTTTGAGGACGAAAGTGAAACAAAAAAGCTCATATTGTTTGCTATTTCTATTGCAGAAGAAACGGTTCTGCTGTTTCTGAGGAATACAACAACAAGAATCAAGAAAAAGCCGAGTCAAAACACACATTTGTAAAATCAGATTGTTAGATCATCGAAAAAGAGTTTCATATTCACTGATTCTGTATAAACTTATATTATTACAGACCTAAAAAAAAAAAAAAAAGACTGACGATTTCGATCTAATTCTGTTTTTTTTTTTCACACAACATTTTACTTACACTTACACTATATCAACGTCTCTTAAGCCTCTGTTTGGCGAATCTTGATCTGAGCCATTGCTACTCGTCTTCTTCTTGAACGATTTCTGGCTGAAGATCCGACGTGGAACCGATCTTGAACCGCCTTCAAACCGGTTATGTTTCTTGTCAAGATCGTTTGATAGTTTCTTGACAAGCTCCACAAAATGTCTCCTGAATGTTGGATATCTTGATATTGATTTCGTCAGTCCTTGAAGCCTAAAACCAAAACCAATCACAAAAGATTATATCTTTCACAATCCGTATTAACAAAGACAAAACAAGATTGTAATGTTTTTGACTTTTTGTTTTGTTATTACCTGCGAGCAAAGGCGTCAAGTTCGGCTTTTCTGAGCTCGGTTAAAGGAGGAGATTGAGAGTCAAGAACAGAGCTTTTAAGCCTCTCCGAATCTCCAAACAGCAACACCAGTTTCCCAAGATACTCTTCTTCTTCTTCAGATAAGTTCGCTGCATTGATCTGGTCTTTCAAGATCAAGAACGGATTCAGAAACCAATCAAAGAACGCATCTTTCGGACGGTTTTTCGAAGTTATCTCCGTTACTCCATCCCCTACAGAACAACAAACAAACCATTCATGAATCTTTAACTAAAAGATAAACTTTTGTTTGTGTTTTTCATGCAACATACCGAGTATTAAACCGGCGGAGTTGGATTTGATGGATCGTAAAAGCTCATGAAGAAGAGAGTAAGCTGGTAAACCAATGCTGATCACTTGGCTGCCTTTGCTTGACTTAGCTTCTTCAATGTCCTTTGAGTTTATAATCCCTTTCGTTACCATACTCTCTCCGTAACGCCTACATTCCACAAAAAGTGCTTCCAGAAGCTGCAACAGTTAAACAAAAGAAACGATTTTGAGTTTTTCAATAACCACCAAAGATCAAATAAAAAGAAGATGAGAGATTGTGATTTACATCAAGTGGCTTCAGGTCAATCATTGGGCCTTTGTTTGATCCTCCTCTTGATGGAGTTGTTTTGAAAGAGCTTGGTCTTGAAAGAACACTAGAAAATGGCGTATTATTACCGCCTTCTTCGTCCTTTCGATAGTTTGGTCTGCAAAAACAAATATCCGGTGAGAGAGAGAGGAGATAAAGATAGCTAAGATAAGCCATTGGAGACAAACCTGGGAAAGCAAGAACCTTCAGGCATGTCAAGAACATCGTTGCTATACTCATCATAAATAGAAACAGAAGCAACAACATAGCAAAGACCAAAGAAGAACGATGACTCCTGATATGAGACTACACCGGCATAAGCACCAAGGAAGACACTAGAGACAACAGAGCCTAAAACAGCTCCCACAACACCTAAAGGCCAGAGCAAGATCACAAGTCCAGCGATTGGGACACACATGGTCTCCAAGAAAGGACCTTCACGTCCAATGAGATCATGAAACAAACGGCGCCAGCCTTTGAACAGCATGTAGGGGCTTTTGAACAAGGCTAACAGCGAGATCACCGGGAAATCAACAAGAATTCCGAGAGCCGCAGCAATCACAGCTCCTGGAATTTGAAGCAACCTGAGAAAACATATAACTGTAAGTTGAATGATGCGTAGATACAAATACTGAATATTCAAAAGAGCTTTGTATTAGACCTTATTTCATAATAATGACGATCCGCACTGGTTGTTCTAAGATCATCCATGAAGGAAAAGTAGGAGTGAAAGCAAACATCTCTGAAATCACAGACAACGGTGAAACTTCCTTGAACAGTGCTCCAAGTTCCATCCTAAAACAAAATTAAGTAAATGTGATTACATAATGAACCTACCAAAAAAAACATATAATAGCATATAGAAAATGGAGAGACAAAACTTACATAAAAGCAATGGAAGAGCGGATTGGACTTCCCTTCACCAACAGCATCAAACGTGGCGAATATCGGAGAAAGAAAGCCGTATATAGCTCCACCGAGAATGCTTCCTATGATACTAACCACAAGCCAGACGATGATAGAGAGAGGAATACACAGGCACAGAAAGATCTTCAAGATTGGTCCTAGCTGTTTAGCACTGAAACCAAGTGAAGACACTTCACTTCAGTATCAAAAGAAGGTGACATTGGTGTTATGGTAGAGGACAGAGATTGTTTCGTACCTCGATATCGAGTAGAGAGTCCAAATAAAGTGTACTGGTAAAAGGCCTATGATGATTGCAGAGTTTCCAATAGCCATGATAAGGCATATAAGCGGGCAGAAAATGACACCTAAGCAAGCACAGAAGAAGTAAAAGAAACGTTTTAAAACGAGTCATTGCTACAAATTAAGTGAACAAGATACTAATTTCATACAATTTCACCAACTGTGGAAGCATTTGATTGAATGAATGAAACTATTAATCACTCTTAGATAAACCCTAAACCACTGAACAAGATTTGTAAAACAGAACAAAATGACACGGATTCGGTGTTTCCTTCAATAAAAAAGGGGACTTTATAGTTTATAGTATTGAAGAACCCTTAAACTGGGTAAAACTGCTAATTTCATATAATTTCACTATCTGTAGAAGCAGTTATGATTGAAATGAAACAATATATTATGAACCCTAAGGGTCCCAAAACAGAATAAGCAGCCAATCTTCAAGTCAACATCACATTACGAAGTCAAAATCAACGAATGGACCAGAAATTATAATTCAAATTCTAGAAAGATTCAAAATTGGACTTATAAAGAAAGGACTTTAGCAATCAAAGCAATTCCCAAAACAAACCCATCATCGAATTCGACTCAGAAACATGAAAATAAGATTAAAGTAAGTAAGTTGAGATTCACTGAAATTTCTTACCTTTAATAACACCCAGAAGAAGCAATCCAGTGAAATAAGGAATGAAGAGTATAAATTGCCACAGAGAAGACAAAATTCCCGTTGGAGGCTCCATTTAGATTATCTTCTTTTTTCGTCTTCAGAATTACCCAGAAAATTTCAGCACAGAGCCGTCAGTCAAAATGTCGCACTTATGAATTGATTTCGAACCCTAGAATCAGAGAAAATAAAACGAATCAAAAGTAAAGCAGAGAATGAGAGAGAGACAACTGTCACGGACACGACAAGAAGCACAAGAAGAAATCTTCTTTCCGAGGATTTTGAAATATCTTTGTAGTATTTAAAATTTAAAACAAGACACGAAAGATTCGAGAGAGAGAGAAGAAAATGTCTAAACATGAGATTTTAGAACGGTTAAGAAACCGTCATTTCTAGGAATAAATCAATAAACCCTACCAAAATTTACAGATTAATTAAGCAAAGAAACCTGTCATTCAACGCAAGAACACAAAGAATATGTTTTTACTTTTTAACCCCTGTTATATGTGCTAAAATGATCCTTCTGTTTCTTGCTGATGGGTTTTTGAGTTTTCAAAACGTATCTCCTCGTATTGAGAGAATCACACGAGAAAAAGGCAAAAGAGAAAGCGACATGTGAAAATGACAGTTAAAAAGAATCACACTATAATCATCTTAGTTGTATTAAATTAGTCGGATAATTCTTTCTTTCATTCTCTTTTTTTTTGTCGGCAAATTAGACGGATATAAAGCTAGGAAAAAAAGGAGGATTTTAGTGCTCCTACTTGTTGATTGATGATGCTTCTCTGATTTAAAATTATTAAAATTATAAACATATTTATTTGATAAACCTAATCCAAATTTCTTTTTGGGGACCAACAGAAAAAAAAAAAAAAGATAAAGAATTTGAATTCTGAACAGATAATATGAAATTTAAAAAAAAAATTATCATATAAATGGATATGTTTCTTGATATGAAGTATTGTTATGTGCAAAACTTTCATCCATGTATTAAGCAAAGACAACAATATTTATTCGACACATGGGGGTGGGTGATCTACTGGGACAAATCTTATGCAAATTAAAGACTAGCACGTATGGTTTTTTTTTTTTTTTTTTGTTGACATCAACACGTATGGTTTTCTAAATGAAAACTTCTTGATATCTAAATCATTCTTTAACCAAGAATATTGGTCTATCTAAGGCCTTTTATTAATTAAAAAAATGGTCTATCTAAATCACTCTTTCAGCCAAGAAATTTGGTCAAACTAAAATAAGAAAACAAACAGAAAATAAAGCTACGTTAGGTCTAACGAAAGATATTTTGCAATTTGCATTTGATGAAAAGGACAAATGAGATTTTTCTTAAAAGCGAGAGAAAAGAGTAGAGAAGACATCAACCACCGATTGTTTTGTAGGAGTAGGTTTAAACATTTCTAGAGATGATGTAAAAGAATCAATAGTTGAGTTACAAAAGCATACTAAATAACTTGTCTTAAGTACTAAACTATTAGTGGTTTTAAATTATTTGCTATAGCTTTAGCTGCATTTTTTTATCCAAAAAAGTTATTAGAAAGGAAAACTTCACACTGTAAGAAGAAGAAAGTTTCATTTACAAACACACAAAAACTGAAGAAGTTTTCTTCAATTAGGTGTGTTGAAAAACACAATTTATGAGATTATAATAAGATGATAGATTCAACCTTTTTTCACAAGCCTGAATCAATTCAAACAAACTCGAACTAATGTTAAACGAATACGTCTAATATACTGAAGGTTTTAGACTCATCATCTCCTTCTCTTCCGACTACTTAATAAAATACATGTTTGTCCGGCCCAATGTAGTTGTAAATATAGGCACAATTAGTTCTACAACAACATATTGAGAATGGAGATTTTGCGTTCGTAGGCCCAATCTGTAATAGCGTCAAAATTCAAAAACGAGTTGAATATTGAGATTTCTTTAACCATCTCAGGTATGTAACTATTCCACAAAAGGTCTACTTCAACATGCAGAAACCGAGTCTTGTATGATTCAAACTCCGGATTACCTGGGGCCAAACATTAGTTAACCATTTGGTCAACCACTAGACTAAGGAAATAAAATAAAATAACAGGTAAAACGTCTTTCTTCCATGAAACTAGGTTGTGAAATTATGATCGTTAGCGTATAATTGTCGTTTTAGCCACTGAGTTAAATTTTCAAAAACTGGAGACCTCGAAATGTATAAGTAGACAAATGGTTTATTGCTGTTAACTTCTTTATACCAAACAACTATGAATGCATGCATATGTATAGCGAGAAAAGAGCAAAGATCACATGAGCAAATTTGTTGGGAATCGTCCGAGAATCAACATTGTGTTCCAATCGATTTATTTTTTATTTCATTCACAAATTTCTACAAGATCTCACTTAATTTTCATGCATTTTCTTGCAATCCGCTCTAAGTGAATTGTACATTAATTCGTTTTCTCTTGCATTCAACAATGCTCATGCATAACGTGCCTGGAATAAAACACTCTTGTACTTCCCTTTGGATTAGTAATATAATAATTATTGTTATATGTTAAAAGTCGAATCTCTTCCTATTGTAGAAGAAAGTTTTACACAATAAAGAAAACAGTGTACTCTTAAATACCCTTAGAGTATGTTTTTTACCCCGTCATATGTTTTAGATTCAGTAATGATTCTAGGAATTCGTATCAAATATATTGACCTGCGTAGTGTATCTCTCGCCATATCTGTCTGTTGACCAGCAGACTTTTAAATTTACTTTTCTCGTTATTACTTTCGTGAGGTTGAATATCAAGACCACAATTAGTTATGCATGCTTTTGAAATTGGTAGAATTTTATGACGATGGTAAGAACTAAGTTATAAACTCACGAAAGTACAACCATAGAAGTCGCATGCCTTTGTTGGTTATATATATAACAAAAGCACCAAAATTGTGTGACTATGTATTATCTTTACAAATGATGAAACTGACGTGATTAACAACATATACCAACTCGTATAGTCGTATGTATTTGAGTTTGAACTCTTTTTACCATGCAATTAACATGACATGCACGTCGTAATCGTATACTTCAACAGATTTCCCTTACACTAGAAGGATTTTTTTTTAGTTTTGTGCATTTGCAATGATTTCAGCTAAAGAAAAATCGTTGATGTTTGAAATTATAAAGATTTCAAATCAATATAGTAACAAAAGTGTAATCTTTCTAACTTTTTCGACCCACGTGGGTTGATACCCTAAAGGATAACAAACCGGCCTTCTCTATCATAAAGTAAGCCTCAAGGGACATCTTTAGAGGCAAATATATGAATATAAAAGATTTTATTCACCTAACTAACAATAACTAACACAAAAATCCACACGCTTTGCTACGACAAGACACAAATTATAGGTTTAGAAAGTGTATGCAAAGTTGTGAATATTACGTCTTTTCCTTTAACAACGAATTACGATAAGAATATTCACAGCCATGTAAGCACAATTAGGATTTAAGTGTATCCAATCCGATTCTTTTTTCGGTTTTGGTTCATAATTTTCAGTTTATAAAATATAGACACTTGTTGATAAGAAAATAAAAATAAAAATATAGACACCTTTAGTATCATTAGATTTGATATTAATAAAGAAAAAGCTAACACTTAATTATATATCATGATCAATCTAAACTTATTTGAAAAATGAATTATTGAAATCTGGTTCATCAGATATTGAAAATTGTACAGATCATCACTCACAGAAAAAGAGACAGTTTGGTAGTGTCATCATTTCTCTTAGACAATTAGATTCTAGTGTCGACACTAGAGTTTCGTGATAATAATGATGCAATAGACTGAAATACCAACCAAAAATAGAGATACTTGACTCCTAAATTAAAACAAAACCACGTTAAAATGGACAAAAAGAGGAAGTCGTATAATGGTAATCAAATTCCGGGTGAGAAAGAAGATAATCTTGAAGAATCATTAGACCTTTTCAAACATAAGTTTGACGGTTTAAGTGACTTTTCTTTTGGCATTTACTTATTCTCGACATGATGTTTTAAAAAACATTATAATTGAGCTAATGCCACTGCTAAATCGCTGATATTCTAGGTATTCAAACAAATGAAAATAACCCTGAAGATCGTTTTTGAGAACTGGCATACAGAACATGAGATAAAACATATGCACTCGATTGTATTAAAAAGAGAGAACTCGTTGAGTCAAAGAGGAGGAAAACCGTGAGAGAACAGAGAGAAAAAGTAGCTTGTGACTTAAGAGTACTATCGAAAGCTACTATTTTAAAGTTTAAGCATATAAAAAAGGAATTTACACTTTAGTTTTCTTTATTTATTTACTTTTGCTACATCCTACATATGATAATTTTGTTTAAGAATAAATTATCAATATGCGTACCAAACCGTATTTTCTATAAGTACAAGCCAGCACATATCTCTTCTTCTTGCAAACAAGAAAAAGAAAGAGAGAGAGAGAGAGAGAATGGGAAAATTAATGGCAAAGAGGTTTTGCATTGGGTTTGGATGTGGAAGAATTGGGACGGGCAACAGCAACAATAAAAGATCATCATCATCAGCTTCATCATCATCATCATCCTCGTCAACATCCTCATCATCATCATGTAATAATAACAACATAAAGTGGGAGCTGAGGCCTGGAGGGATGCTGGTTCAGAAGAGATCAGAAGATTCTAACACTGAAGATTTGATCAGCCTTAGAATCTCTACCGTTTCTCAGCTTTCATACGAAATCTCCATCGATGCCAATTCCACTTTCGGTAATTACATATACTTTTCACTTATATATAGTTTTATAACATTTGATATATGAAGCACATATTTACAATAATTATCTAGTTGACAAAAAACTGTCATTGTTGTTTAGAATGGTTTCCTTTTTGTGTGGTCATTCTTGATAACCAGCTTACAAAACTAAGTACCCACTCAAATATTACATTTTCACCTGATCCAACTGGTATTTTAATTAGTTTATAAATCGTCCTTAATCATATTATAACCGGTCAAAAGGTATCATTATAATTTAATATTACATCAGTAATATTTATGCATGTAACTTTTATAAATGATCATATATATGCTTTGATCGTCAATTTATTAGTAATGAGAACACACTCTCTAATCAAGATCATTGATTAGTTGCACTATCAGCAAAATTCTTAAAAGGGTTACTATTGGGTGGTGAAGTGTATACTCCTGTTTTTGGGTTCAATGTCGGACAGATACTCCTATTTTTCTCGTTTGGTTGGTTAATTACGAGACAACTAACTATATATTTACATTTGAAATTGGTTGGAGCACCTTTTGATACAAAAACGATCACTTATTATACAGTTTCTCATTTAATGTTATTTTTTCCCCAGGTGAATTGAAGATGATGATAGCTATAGTGAGTGGAATTGAGGCAATGGAGCAAAGACTATTGTTCAAAGGGAAGGAAAGAGAAGACAAAGAATACTTACACATGATTGGTGTTGGAGATGGAGACAAAGTCTTTTTATTACAAGATCCTGCTTTTAAGGAGCTGAAACTTCTTCATCTCCCAATTACTGCCTAATTTAATTCCTTATTCTATCTATTGGTTAATCCATCGATTGTTTAGATCTAATCTACCTTGAAAGTTGAAACACTCTCTTGTAGAAAGTGTTATGAGTTCTTGATTTTGTAAGAGTATATGTTTGTTATCTGTTGTATTGTCGCACATTTCATAGGGTTTGAACTTTGAACTGAGTGATTAGTTATACTCTACTAGTCTCATTGCTTATGCATGTTTACAGCTATTAACATGATTTATCATTGGCAATGTGTCAATTCTGATAGATAAAAAGAAAACAAACAAACAAAAATAGAAAAAATATCAAGCCATGTACATATAGCCATAGGTACCGTACCGTATAACTAATTGTAGCTAGGTTATACGAGGTGTAATGTTAATTAGTTTACAACTAATTAATCAATAACTCAATTGTCACAATCATTTGTCTTCTTTTTCATTATAATAGTGTAGTATGGTTTAACAGTTAACGGTAATATTATATCGCACGCGTGCAAGCCGACAACACGAAAACAATTGGTGTTATAAAGTGGTAGTTGAAGTACCAAAAAGAGACTATAACATAACTCAATAATTTAATCTAAAAGTTATCTGTTCATTCTTAATTTAAAGTTTTAAAGACAAAAATAATTAAAAGTAACTTAAAAGTCGGAAAAGTACTAATTCAAGTTGGAAAAAGTACTAATGATAGTAATACATTAATCCGAATGAGGTAACTGACTAACATGTAAGAGTGGAATATAATGGTGCGTAAAAAGCAAAGCATGCAGTTAATACTTAATACTGTTAGTGACTAAATTCATTCATATTTTTATAAGTATTTTAGGTCTCATCTAACTTTTGATGTGAAATTCCTAACTTGTAAAAACTTCATAGTTTACTTATATATGTAGATAAAATCTTAATAGTACTCCTGAGAGTTTCATATCATAAATGTAAAATATTACATTCTCTCAGTCATATTTAACCAATTTGATTTTTCTTTCAGTAATCAATATAAGTAATCATGTGTAACCAATTTGATTTTCTTTCAGTATTCATGTGCAAGTATTCTTTGTCGTCTCTAGTAATATTATTTTTTCTCCAGATGAATTGAAGATGATGATATATTGATATATAGCTATAGTGAGTGAAATTGAGGCAATGGATCGAGCAAAGACTATTGTTCAAAAGAGAAGACAAAGAATACTTTGGTGTTGGAGATGGAGACAAAGTGTTTTTATTACAAGATCCTGCTTTTAAGGAGTTGAAACTTCTTCATCTCCCAATAACTGCCTAATTTAATTCCTTACTCTATTTATTGTTTAATCAGTCACTCACAGTTTAGCTCTAATCTTGTAGAAAGTGTTATGAGTTCTTGATTTTGTAAGAGTATATGTTTGTCATCTCTTGTATTGTCGCACATTTCATAGGATTTGAACTTTGAACTGAGTTGGATGCGGGATTGCGATGTGGTTGACCTCCCCCCATGGATGTCTCTCGATGAGAAGCTTTGTAGAGTTTTGCATTTCTTGTAACTCAAGGAACCTTGAGCCCCAAGGAAGCTTATTTCTTCTAAAACCCCAAGAAATCTTTCCCGAGGAAGACATTATCTTTCCCGCGTTTTCTCCTCCAAGATCCCTTTGATCCAAGCCATTTTAAAACCTCCGATTCCTATACATTAAGGACACCCTTTTCACCATCAACTGACGTCGTTCCCTTCTTTGTTCAAATCTAACAAAGATATTAAATTAACAGTAAAGTTCATATTTGGATAGCATAAAATGTGGTTGATTTTATTTAGAGAGTGATTAAATTAGAATCCATTGCTTTCGGCTAAGCTAATAATTAGAGTCACCACGAGCACTGCTAATAATCCCTCACTAATCACAGAATACAAGAAGATTATGATTATGATTATCTTCTTTCTCACCATGCTCTGAAATTACACTAACAAATATAATTTTAGATTTTAAATCGATTATTGTATATTTAAGCTACTAAATAGCCAGAAATTTTATATCGTCACTTAAACCAAATTTTAGTCAATTGCTTGTGACTGCCATAACAAACAAAACAAGAATTATAGCAACAGTCCATATGCAATGCAAGGTTAAACAAAAACAAGTAAAAGAGGATGCATTTACTTTCCGAGCAATCTCTTCACGTCAAAGATGGTAGTCTCAGAGTTGGTGAAACCCATCACTGAAGGTGTGATAAGGTGTCCTTGATCATTGAGAATGAATTTAGAAAGGATTTTATCATCTTCAATCCGTACTCTCTATTGTTTGTACCGAAGTGAATTCCTAAGACTCTTAAGGCGTCCTCTTCTTTGTGCTCTCCTTCACTTTCCTCTCCTTCACTTGAGTCCTTTTCTCCACCGGAGTCGTCCTAATTCCAACACCCAACAATTCGGGCGAGATTTGTATGCATATATCTAGAATATGTGAACTTTCTTTTCCTTCTCCTTGCTCATGTCCTTGATGATTCTTCTCTAACATAAACTATGTGAACGACCTCAGCCTTGCCCGAGTCATAGATATGGCTACAAACTAACTCTAGTCTACACATGTACTATCATTACAAGAAAAAATTGCTATTGTTACAAATCGTTTCGTCACAATATATGAATATTCCGTCACAACAAAATTATTGTGACAAAAATGATACTAATAATTATAGAACGTCACAATAAAATCGTCACAAGTCTTTTTTAGTCTCAAAAGCGTCACAATTATTTGTGACGGTTAATAATGGTAACAATTCGTAACAAATTGTGACATTATTTAAACGTTAAACGAACAATATTGTCACAAATAGGTCACAAATTGTGACAAAAAAATTGTCACATCTGTGTCACGAGTTATTACCGTTTTTAGTCACCGGAACGTTACAATAATGTGACCAAAAGAATACTACAAATACCCAATGATTTAAAAATCGGACCGGACCGGCCGGTCCGACCGGTCTAACCGGGAACCGGTGACCATCCCGGTTTGGGTTTAATAGAAAACCGCAATTGCAATTGACCCAGAAGAACCAGTCAAAACCCGGTCAAAACCCGGAACCCGGCCGGTTTGGTCTAACTTGTAACCCCGGTTATGTTGTATGCACCTTAAAAAACCATAAAAAAGTCCAGTTATTAAAACAGTTATTAATAAACACGATTCTCCTCCGCTTCTCTTCTTCTGTCCAGTCCAAACTTGATCAAACTGCAGAGATTCATGTAAGTCAATATTTAGTTATCGTTTGTTTTTGATATTATCGTTTTTCAGTCCTTACTTTTTCGGTTTTTCCATTTTGATATTCCGAGTGTAGTGTTTTGATGATATATTACTTTGAATCTTTGACCAATTGCTAAGTGTTCTTAAATTTGTATGTGAAGGTGATGGATCCAACAGATGGGTCCAATATGCCACCCAGTTCAATTCGACAAAAACAGGATATTGCATGGACTTATGTCACTCAGAGTAAAGATGATAGAGGAAGATTGGTTCTTACTTGTGGGTTTTGCAAAAAGCAAAATTTAGGAGGAGGTATCAACAGAATGAAACATCATCTAGCTGGGCAAAAAGGCAATGTGCAAACCTGTAGGAATGTACCTCCAGAAGTTCAACACAAGATGAGAGAAGCACTACAAGCAAATGAAGAAAAAAGGAAAGAAAAACAAGGGTTGTTCGGAGATGTGAACTTAGTTGGACCAGATTCAGAAGATGTTAATGTGGGTGACGATCATGAAGGTCCTTCATCTCGACCGTTTATGTCTCAAAGTCAGAAAAGGAAGGTCAGTCCCAACATCACTTCTTACTTCAAGGGTTTCAATGATCCTACCCAACCTACCATCAAAGCTTGCATGCAAAGTAAGGAAAAAATTCATGACACTGACTTGTCAGTTGCTCTATGGTTTTATGATGCTTGCCTTCCTATGAATGCTGTGAATTCTCAGTTTTATCCTATTATGGTTAGCAAAATAGCAAGTATGGGTCATGGATACGTTGGACCCTCATACTATGCTCTGCGTGTTGGTTTGTTGCGTGATGCTAACTGCTAAGCAACATGTCTCCTTAACGATTGATTCTTTTCGAAGTACTTGGTCTGCAACTGGCTGTACGTTGATGGGTGATGGATGGAGAGATACAAGACAAAGACCATTGATTAATTTTCTGGTCTACTGCCCCAAAGGAGTCACATTTATAAAGTCTGTCGATGCTTCTGATATTTATACCAATGCAGAAAATCTCTGTAATTTGTTTGCAGAGATTGTAGAATTGATTGGTCCTGCTAATGTTATTCATTTAGTGACAGACAATGCACCAAATTACAAAGCTTCGGGCAGGTTACTTGTTGAGAGATATCCTACACTTCATTGGTCTCCATGTGCAGCACATTGTATCAATTTGATACTAGAGGATATTGGAAAGTTACCAGATGTTGAGGAGTTAGCAAATCGTGCTTCAAGGGTAACTATATTTGCTTACAACCACAAATGGAGTTTAAATTACTTGAGGAAAAGAGTTGGTTGGAGAGAGATTATTCGTCCTGGAGAAACTCGTTTTGCTACAACTTTTATAGCTTTACAGAGTTTATATCAACGTAGAGATGACTTGCAAGCAATGGTTATTGATCAAGATTTTAAGCAGTTTTTGAAAACACAAAAAGGGAAGACTGTGAAGCAAGTGGTTCTTGATGAATTTTTTTGGAACAGCTGCTTGATCATAGTGAGGATGATGGCTCCTATCATACGACTGTTGCGAGTTTGTGATGCTGATGAGAAGCCATCATTGGCTTATGTGTACGAAGGAATGTACAGAGCAAAGTTAGGTATCAAGAAGCTATGCAAAAATAAGAAAGAGCTTTATAAGCCTTACACTACACTTATCAGCGGGAGGTGGGATAGAATGTTGCGCCATGACCTACATGCTGCTGCTTATTATTTAAATCCAGCTTTTATGTACGAGCAAGATACCTTCTCAACAAAATCAGAGGTTATGAGAGGGATGCTAAATGTGATTGATAAGCAGAATGTGAGTGGATCTACTAAAACAAAGATGGTTGGACAACTTAATTACTATCGAGAGCGTGAACTTGGCTTCTCTGGATCAATGGCGCTAATGTGTAGTAAGACTACACGACCAGGTAACTAAAGATTTTGTGCTAATTTTTAATAGTTTTATTTACTTATACTGAAACATGTTGTTTCTCTTTTGCATGGGTTATAGACGTGTGGTGGAAAACATTTGGCCATGATGTTCCAAAATTACAAAAGCTTGCCATACGAATTCTTAGTTAAACTTCTTCTTCTTCTGGATGTGAGCGTAATTGGAGTGTGTTTGAAAGAATCCATACCAAGCGGAGAAACAAGTTAGAACATCAAAGGCTTAATGATCTTGTTTTTGTTCATTATAACCTGCGTTTACAAGATAGGTAGTAGTAGCTTATTTTACGAACTACATTTACGTGATCTTATTTTTTTGTTTTGTTTACTACTCAGATTTGATATTTCCTATTTTCCTATGTACAGATCATCAAAGGCAAAGCGAGCATATGATCCAGTTGATTACGAATCGATTGATAAAACAGAGTTTTGGATTGTTGGAGAAGAAGGAGAAGCTGAACTTGATTATGATGAGTTAGAAAGTGCACTTCTTGAAGAACATCCTAAGAATGGCGAAGAATCAAACTCTAATACTCCTAATGGTATGTTTATTTTCGTTTATTGAGTTTAGTTTACTATTATTTGTTTAGTACATATATATTGAAATACTAACATGATCATTTTGATATTAGGTAACGAGGATGAGAGTTTATCTCAGGAAAAAGAATGGGATGGTGCTTTAAATGAGTTCGACTTAGATTCTTAAACACATATGCCATGATGTTAATTTTAATTTATTATGCTACGATGTTTCACATTCTGACATTGGTAATTTTATTGCATTTACGTTTTTATTTGAAATTTCTGAAACTTTTACAAATTTCTAGTCAACAATATTATGAGTCATATATATTTATAATATATATATATATATATATTATAAAATTAGAAAACCCGGTCCAACCGGTCGGACCATATTGACCCATGACCCGAAGGCATATCCGGTTCGGCGTCCGGTCCGGTTTTAAAAACATTGCAAATACCTCACAATTAGAGACTAAATTGTAGACTAAATTGTAGTCACATCCTTTCTTTTATGACGTTTTGTTCTTAATTATCCAAACAAATAATGCGAGAAAGATTTGGCAAATTAGTTACGATCAATTATATATAGAAGAGCCACCATTAAAATGAATAATAATTATTAATTAACATCCAAAACAAATGATAGTAGATTACAAATCAAATGCTAGACAAAAAAAAACTGTCTTGACAAAATAAATACTATAAGAGACTAACTTACTAAGGTCCTAGGATAAACGGTGTCTAAAACAAGTAGATTACATGTGATGTAGACGTTTGGTGGAGCAGCCTTGTGATAGACTGAACAATACTCTCCAAAGATTCACAGCTCTATTTAAGTTCTGCTTTCACCTCTCTTATAGTCTTTGCATTGTCATCTCCAATTCTTCAGAAGTCTGTGGGACACTCGACTAAGCATAACAAATCATAAATCCTTATTGTGTAGCCCTCTAGTCCAAAGACACGTCCTTGTTTAGATAATCCAAATAAACTCTTTCTGAAAACAGATTATAGCAAACATGAAGATTGAAGAACCAAGTATGTAACCATTAACAAAATAGCTTTATGAAATAAAAAAACAATCGATACCTTAAACATCGAGAACCATCATTGTTATAAGGTGGCACTCTTTTCCAAGAGTTTCATGAATTTGAGCCTCTCCAAATGTGTGTCTGCTTGTAACTGGTGGAACCATCTAGAAAACCAATCGATCAAATAAGCCACAATATAATCATCAATAATATAAACAAATGAAAAACAGAAGATCCACATTAATATATTATCAATGTTCGTTGTTGATTACTAGTTGAAACCAACATAGTTGGATAAAAGCTAAACTGAAACTATTTGAATGATTGAGTTTCACTGGCAAAAGCATGAGTTGGTGTTACTATCTATTTTTTTACAGTTAACAAAGTTATAATACATCGCTTTAGAAAATCAACTCTAAAATAACTTTTCAAAGTCCAGAATCGAATGATGTAGAAGTTACCTTCTTTGTAAGATCTCTGAACTGGAAGACAAACAAATCCCTGGAATGGGAAACGACAAAAAGAAGAAAGAAAAAATGTAAAAGAGACGGTTTATTTCTTAGGTCTTTCAGAGGCAGAGGTTATCAAATGCTTTTGGGCTTTTCACTGGTCCGTGTAATTTTTGACAGCACTTAAGGCAGTTTGATAAAAAAATCAGAACTCCACTAAGATAATTCTGAGATGTGTGAAAATTATTACTTTTAGGTATTGGTGACGGTATTTTGATGGAATTTAAAGGAATTGACGATTCCATTCAATTCTTGTGTTATTCGAGTATATGTTTTTTCAATTCCTTTAAATTCCGGTGTTATTCGGTGAAGGATTTGTAGTCATTCTTTCCAATTCCTTTAAATTCCGGTGTTATTCAAATTCTCAGTTTTTCTATTCCATTAAATTCCGGTGTTATTCGATATTGGATGTATTTGGTGGTATTGTCATTTGGAAGGAATTTAATAGAATTTGAAGAAAATTTTGTAAAGGCTCAATTCTTCCAGTTTTTGCAGAGATTTTAATAGAATTGATTGAATTACCAACAATTACTCCAAAGTATTTTAAAATCCTTTAATTTTCAATTCTTCTCATTTCTTCCTAATTCTACAAGCGAATACCCCCTCTAAACTGAAAGACTGTGTGTTTATTTCAACAAAACAATATATTTTTAATTTATAAACTATTTTCTCTTGAATTCAAATAAAACTTTATCATGTCATTTATACCTTTTTCAGTAATGTATTTTTAGTTTTTTTGAAGAAAAACAGCTATCTTCTTATTTGATTATAATCTTGTCACAAAAAGTAACAATTATGTAACAATTATTCAGCAGTAGCTAAAGCAGTAACAAAGTATGACTAGATAGTTAAAAATTTTTGTAAGTATTAATGACGTAAATTTAGTCACCAAAATCGTATATTTTAGTTACTAGATTTTGTTGTAAAGCCGTAACAATATTTGTGACTTTTTATTCCGTAACAAAATTGTCATGATTAGTGATCAAAGTTTGTTACCTTATGAGTTAGTCATAATATTATGACGAAATGGTTACACTTTCGTGACCAAATAATATTGTCACAGTTTGGTATGTAAATCGTCACAATATTATGACAAAACAATTTGTCACAATTTTTTTATAACAATGATCAATTATTCTTGTAGTGTATAGATAAATTATGGTTACAACGTTTACTTTAGAAAAGAAAGACATGGTGATGAATATCTCGTTTCTCCCTCTTGTTACAATAATTCAGTTTAACAACAAGTTTAGTGATGCAGGATTGTTGCTAAAAACGTGCTTTTTAGTCTTTAAACGCACATTGTAACTTTCACGAGGATTTTTCACTGTGTTGGTCGAAGAAGAGAGGCTTTGTTTTTATCAATAACTAGTCTTGATAGCAAGAAAACACAAACTCTCTTTCTTTTGTTTGTTCAAAATCAAAACTACACAAATAATGTCTTTCAAAAACTTCATAAACTAGTCTTCTTGATTGTGTGTTTCGCTTTCTTGGTTTTCTTCTTGTGCTCTCTGTCTTCTTGCTGCTTGTTAGCTCGTCTGTGTCTTCTCTTCCTCATCATCATCTTCCTGTTCCATGATCGTCATCTTCTCCTCTGTTGCAGCAAAACTGAAAATTCTGCTACATCCACGTTGATTTGGGTGATACATTCTCTTTGCACGCTACAAGAACGAGAGCTGAAATTCGATGATCTAGTATCTTGTCATGTACAGGTACATATGCTTAAACCTTAATACTATTTCCTTTAATCCTTTCCTACAACTTTCTTGTGTGAGCATGAATGAATGCTTATTAGGGCTCAAAAAACATATAAAGGTGGTTTCTGGTTATGGTAAAGACACAAGTGAATAGAACAACAGGACACAATTAAAAAAACCCCACACAGATAATAATCCTTGACAAAAAAAACCGCACCAAATGATAATAATAACTTAGTTCGACCATCGATGGTTTAGGTTTTATTATAATTTATATTTATATCTGATCCCACATATTCAAAACAGACTAGACAAGCCATCGCCGCCACTGTTTTCTTCACATCTTCAAATGGATCTTGTCTAGTGCCTAAGAGAGACAAGATCAACATTCATGCAAGAAACCTGGCTGTACCTACGCCGTCAATACCCAAAGCCTCCGTGTAAGGCATCGTCTTTCTCTTGGGTACATATGTAGGGAAGTTACGGCGCTTCGGTTCCACTTTGGGACGATAGTATTTTCTCTTGACAAACCCTGCTTATCATCAACATTCAACAATTAGTGATTAAGCTAGCAAGTGATCATGGCTTGCTGTACAAAATATAATATACAATTAATGCATATGCACCACAAAGTCATCGCAAATTACCAGTTTTAGGCCTAGCCCTAAGGGGCGTCAAACCGTCGTTGCTTCTCTTGGTTTTACGTCCGCCGTCGTTGCTTCTCTTGGTTTTACCTCCGCCGTCGTCGCTTCTCTTGGTTTCAGTTTCACCTAATCAAGAGATAAATTTAATTAAGACGATGACGATTTAGCTGGCTTGTTGTATATTATAATATATGCAATGAATAATGCATCGTGTAATCAAGTGCAAGTAGCAGTACCCGTGGACTTGTTGCATACAGGTTCGCTACTGGGCGGTAAGTCTAGGCCCTAAGAGAGAAGAAGAAAATCGATTCAATGAATTTGTGCAAGCAAGAGAGGATCATAGAGCAATAGTTTAGTATATATACCTGGAGCAAATTGTCACGATCAAGGCTCATCCTATCATAAAGGGGGACTAAGCAAGAACTTGGATCACTATCGTTATCATTATCATTGCAGATTGATGTTGGAGAACAATTGACCAACCCCTAATAATAATAATAGCAACTATTAGTGTTGAGAATATTAAGCCAAGAAATTAATAGCATCAGGGTGAGAGAGGATTTGTGACCATTTTTCATGAACACAGGACAAATCACGATAGTATAGGTTAAACTCGATGACATGTGAAGATTATCTATGTACCTCGGATTGATTCACTGGTTGCATCGTCTCCCTCCTCCTCAAGGTCGTTGTGGTTCGGAAATTCGCCGGAAGCTAGCGGCTGACGGCTGATGCTTTTTTATTTATTTGGGGGGTCGATTTTAGGTTTGTCTCACGCGATACTAATATTTCTTCATCATTCGAGTTATATATATATTTTTTTGATCAACTTATAAATTTAAATCATTTAACTTATATAATATGTTAAAATATTTTAAAATTTTGATCTAATTATACAGTTCATTCAAAGCACCACTAAATTGAATAAATATTGTTTTTTTTTCTAACATTTGGATGCCTACTACACAAGGTTTCCTATTCAAAGGTTGCACATCATTTGGATCTTTTTATATAAAAACAAGGTGGTTGTCCCGCACCTTGTGCGGGTACAATATTTTTTAAATACAATTATTAATTAAAGATTTAAATAATATAAGTAGTACAACTTTTTATTGTATTCATCGTTTTTGTTTTCGCAAACTTCTTATTTTTGTAATCTTGAGGTGTCTTATTTTTATCTTCTCTTTCTTGTTCTTCTACGTAATATTCTTCATTTGTTTTGGAATTTTCTTCACATTCCATTATTTCTTCTTTCCTTTCTTTTTCCTCATGTTCGACTTTTCTTTTTCTTTTCTAAATTTTTCATCTTCTTTTTCACTGTTTTCTTTTCTTTTACTTATGTATCTATTATGTCTTGTTTGTGTCTTGCATATCACCTACCAATTCATTTCGATAGTTAAAATTTTCAATATTTTTGAAATAGATTCTATCTTTATATAGTTGAGGTCTTTTAAAAATTTATTAGTTTTGTTATCTTTCAATTCTGGATTTTCTTTAGTTGTTTTAGTTTTTTTTTCTATTTGTGAATGTAATTTTGAAAGTAGATATAAATTTCAAATAAATGATTTTTTTATTATGAAATTCTTCTGTAATAATTCAAGTTTTTTTAAAATACACCAAAAACTAAACCCTACCCCATCAATATAAACCCTACACCCTAAACCCAAACCCACAGTGTAACACCACCCCCTAAATAACCCAAACCCCACATTGTAACACCACTACCAAATAACAACCCCCTCCCCCCCAATCCGCACACCTAAACCCACATTTTACAAAATCTTTTTAGATAAGTTTATTCAAATTAGGGTTTCATAAGATTTAAGTTGAAAATAAAAACGAAAGATGTACATACCACTAATTTTTGTCAATGCATTTTTTTTGAGTTGGTACCATAGTTGATTTCTTTGACTCAATTAGCTAACAAACCTGGAATTTACTGTTATAAAGGTAAAAGAAGTAGAAGTTAGATGCGATTCTTTGAATAAAATTTCCAGAAAATAACGAATAATCAGTTAAACATTAGATCTAATACAACTAAGATCTAGCAATAACTATAAACCTACATGACAAAAGATGAAATATGGAATCGAAGAATTTAGAACACGAAAAAGAAGAAACGAAATTCTGTTTATTTTGCTTGTTAAATAGGACTAAGTCGGTTGTAAAATCTAGAGTTTTTTTAAAATACCTAATTATTTGATTTCTTCCAGAAAAGTGGTGCGGTAATATGATAGTTAGGATATTTATTTAAGTGATAAATATAAATCGAGGAAAAAAGAAAAGGATAATTATCAATATTTAATAAGGAAATTAATAAGGAAATAATGAACTTTTATATAAAAAACGAAATTGTGAAATAATTAAAAAAGGAAATTCAGAAGATTTAATAATAGATTTTCATTAAGGGCATCTTGGTAATTCCGAGGCTGAGAGTTAACGTGGTGGCTCCATTCACGAAAATTGATTTGCAAATACTAATATGATTTCTGAACCATCATTCAAAATCATTTCCAATGTAAGAATTTTTAACAGTTTTATTGATAAAAAATTACACAATTGTACTTTATTATTCTGTCGTTAATATAAAAAAAAAACTCAAAATGTGAATCACTTTTTGTTTTCTTGACAGCTAACCCTCAAAACAAAAACAAATTAGAAGCAACAATCAAAGCGAGGGAGAAAGAAGAATAAAAAGAAGAAGCTGCGTTCGTAGGCTTATTTTCAATCTTACTTAATTCTTCTTCAGGTTCCGCTAGCGAATCAACCCCTTTAACATCAATCGGCGCATAATCTTCAACGACTTCGACTCCTTCTGGCGCTAGATCCAAGGGGACATCGTAATCGGAGTAATCTTTAGCGTCTGTTGAGTTTTTCTCAGCGGGAGTCGCCGGAGGAGATTTTACAGTGGTGTTTGACGTTGTCGTTGGTGGAGAAGGTGAAGATGAATCGGCAGCGTAACTTCCACCGGCTAAAGCAAAAGCTATTAGAAGAAATACGAACGTAAAACGTCGAGCCATATATATGAGTTTTAAAAGATAAACAAAAAGATTGAGAAAGCCCTCTTCGATTAGGTATAGATATGATTGTTTTGTGATGATTCTTATAAGTAAATGGTATGGATGGGAAAAAAAAAACTTTATATGATCGAGAGAAAAATCAATTAAGAAAAGTGATGAGGATGAATGAAAAAGAAAGGGGGAAACAAATTGAGGATTTAAAGCTATTAGGAGATGGATATGTTTGGTAAATTAAAACCAGTTGTTTGTTTTAGAGATTTGTGTGTGTGTGTTTTTTTGTGCTGTTAGCCAAATTTGAATCATAAGCTGTCGTTTTCTACATTGTTTCAAAGTTTTTAGTATATGGTTTGGTATATTTTTAGCGTTGGTTTTTGTTTTTTTTGTCAAGTGACAACTCTGAGTTGTTGTTAATAATCTAATGCAGCAACGTAAAACGAAGTACATGTAGAATTTGATGGACAAACAAAAAAATCTATTTTAAGATAAACGTTTCAATTGATACTCGTTTCTGTTTTTAATGTCTAATTTAAAAGTTTCAACTGAAAATTGCACTAGTTTTCTATTACATTTTCGTACCAGTAAAAATCTAATATTTGCTTGATTAACTTGTTTTTAAGGTGATTAGACACACAAAAACATACTTCTGATTCTAGCCATAACTATAAAACTTCCTACTGTTTATTTTGTGTCACTACGAGATAGAATATGTGTGGGCGTTGTTGAAGGAAAATAATGTTTCTAATTTCGAATTCAGTATTGTTTGCAAACAATAAGTTTTGTGATGTTAAAGTTATAAGTTTTGTTTTTGCCTTAAAGATATTTTTCTTACAAATTATAAAAAACATCTAATTAAGAATTTGACGTTACAATAGTGTTATGCTAACGAAAAGATATTTTCATTTCTGGTAAACTTCATAATAATTTTTGGAAATTTCATTCGAAAAGGAAAAAGATAATTACAGAAAAAGGACAAAAAAAAAACAGAGGAAGAAGAAACGAAACGAACATAGAGCAGATCGCCACAAAGATCCAACCATCCAAACATGGCGGCTCATAGAATCAAAGGCGTCAACACAGCTGTTACACGTACAACCTTCCTCTCTTTAACGTGTCTTTCTTCTTTCATTCTCCATCTTCCATGCGAATCCGATTATTCCTCTCCCTCTTCTTCCTTTCTTCACATTCTCGCTCTCTCTCTCCTTCTCTCTCTTCCTCTTCATTCTTCTCTCGTTTCTCCTCTCTCTCCTCCGCCATGTCTCCTGCTCCCGAGAAATCTCGACATGGCAATGGCGACGAAGGTTTCAAATCTAGGGTTACTGTCGTCGGTAGTGGTAATTGGGGAAGTGTCGCTGCTAAACTCATTGCTTCTAATGCCCTCAAGCTTCCTTCTTTCCATGGTAACGATTCGTCTCTCCCAATACACACCTTCATGCAGAAAAATTGAATTTTGAAATTGAAAAATTCAAATTTGCAAATTGGGCATTGAAATGAAATCTCTTTCTCTTTTATGATATGATGATTTTGGGTTTCTGTCATTATGATCAGCAGTTGTGAAAAATCTTTCATTTTCATTGCAAGATACCAAATTTCTTTGAATTCCAAAATGCCAATGGTTTGATGAATCTTTTTGAACAAATTTTCAGATGAAGTGAGGATGTGGGTGTTTGAGGAGGTTCTACCAAATGGTGAGAAGCTCACTGATGTAATCAACAAGACCAATGTAAGTGAAAAAAGGGATCATCTTGTTAGATTTTTTTACCGATTCTTGGTCGGTTCTGTAACCATTTGCTCTGTTTTCTTGATCAGGAAAATGTCAAGTACCTTCCTGGTATCAAGCTAGGAAGAAACGTTGTTGCAGATCCTGACCTTGAAAATGCAGGTTAGTCATGAACTTTATCTCCTTTAGATTATCCACTTAAAAATTGATGGTGTTTAAGTTTAAAACCAATGCAGTGAAAGAAGCAAACATGTTGGTTTTTGTCACGCCGCATCAGTTCATGGATGGTATATGCAAGAAACTAAGTGGAGAGATAACAGGAGAAGTTGAGGCTATCTCTCTTGTGAAAGGAATGGAAGTGAAGAAGGAAGGTCCGTGTATGATCTCTAGTCTCATCTCCAAGCAACTTGGTATCAACTGTTGTGTTCTTATGGGCGCAAACATCGCCAACGAGGTTTGTTACATTGATCCACCAAGTTGAAGACTTTTTGGTAAGTTCTTGTAATTCACATTGCTGTGACTGATGCTGTTATTAATACAGATTGCTATGGAGAAGTTTAGTGAAGCAACGGTTGGGTATAGAGAGAGTAGAGAGATAGCTGAGACATGGGTTCAGCTGTTTAGTACTCCTTATTTTATGGTCACAGCGGTAAGAAAGTTTCATCCTTTCTTTAGTTTCATTGAATGGCTTGAAGTTGTTGCCATTTGAAATTGAAGAAGTTGGCTATAAGACTCTCTTGTGTTTGAGATAGGTACATGATGTGGAAGGAGTAGAGTTGTGTGGGACGTTGAAGAATGTAGTGGCTATAGCAGCTGGTTTTGTGGACGGTTTGGAAATGGGGAATAACACAAAGGTAAGATTAATGTTTCCTTCTAAGAGAGGCTTAAGTAGTTTCCCAAAGATCTCAGCTTTTTGGAAACTTATGTGTAGGCTGCAATTATGAGGATTGGTTTAAGAGAGATGAGAGCACTCTCGAAGCTTATGTTTCCATCTGTTAAAGACAGTACTTTCTTCGAGAGCTGTGGTGTAGCAGATGTCATCACAACTTGCTGTAAGTACCGAAGAAAACCCTTTTTGGTTCATTGTAAGAGTGACTCCCTTTTTGACTGTTCTTTCACTGACTATTACAGTAGGTGGAAGAAACCGGAGAGTTGCAGAAGCATTTGCTCAAAGCGGAGGGAAAAGGTTTAAGCTTTTTGTTTATCTCTGCTTCACCTTGAGTGCTTTTGTTCAGTGTTTTGATGGGTTTTGTGTGTGTAAACGTTACAGGTCTTTTGATGAGCTTGAAGCAGAGATGCTACAAGGGCAGAAGCTACAGGTAGTACTCTTGGTGGTTACTACTATCTGTTTAATACTAAATCTGAAAGTTGTTTATGTGTGTGTGGTTGCTTGTGGAAGGGGGTTTCGACGGCAAGAGAGGTCTACGAGGTCCTTAACTACTGTGGATGGCTGGAGATGTTTCCGCTGTTTGCAACGGTTCACCAAATCTGCATAGGTCGTCTTAAACCTGAAGCTATTGTTCATTACCGCGAGCACAAAGCCTGATTTTCCACTGTGGTTTATATTCATCTTCAAAGATTAATCTCAGTTGATGAATTTTATGTAGAACCTTCTACCTCGTTTAGAGGGTTTTGTTTATTCAAAGTGGTTTTTTCGTCCATTCCAAATTTTAATCAGTCGTATGTTCAATGTTGTAAACATTTTTTCTTTCTATTGACTGATTTTGATAACGAATATATAAATTTTAGATTTCGACGCATTATAGAATTTTCAGTTAAAAAAAAGTGGCAAATGGACCAAACTGATTCAAACAAGTCTTTTAAAGAGAATTTCACATAAAGGGAATCACAGACCATGATGCTACACAAGCCTCACATCTTTGCTTCTTGTAGTAATAACGTACTTTGAATCCCCAAAAGGCATTTAAAGATCTTCTCGGATCCGCAGAGAAACTGATCATATGTTTATGTATATATATTCACCTCAACTAAATAACTTCTCAGACACACATAACTACATATGTCTGTGTCTATACCACATAAATGAAACATATATGTTCAAATATTTATATACAGATAATTATTTGGTACTATATATCAACTTGATTTATCAACTCTCTCTCTCTCTTTCTTGCGTGTTCAAAATGAAGATGGGCAATTTGGTCAAGGTGATAGATGTGCAATTGAGATTATGTTTGAAGAATTTAAACGTCTATTCGTTTTGAGATCTCTTTGATGTAGACTCTTTTTTTCTTTCTTAAAGGGTTTTGTTTTATGGTCTACATAAAGAAAGACTGCTCATGTAAGCTTACAAAGACAAAAAGAAATGTTGATGAACAAAGTATTGGTGAAAAATCATAACAACTCGCGAGCTTACGCATCGACTAAAGAAGAAGATTCGTTAGCCTAGGATCTCTGGTCCAAGAAATACTATAAAGAAACTGGTAACTGGTTACCAAATAGAAAAACTATGAATTAATCTGTCTAAATGATCGGAATTAAGACAAAGAAATCGTGTGTTTTCATTTCGTCAATATATACGTAGTCCACTAATTCGATCGTCATAAATTACTAGTATAACATTTTGGTTAATCTTGTGAGTATTGAATTTATAAACAAGCAGTAAGCCAAAGAACAAGATTTCGATGAATATAAATAAATTTTTCAATGGAATAATAATTAGCGTAGTTTACGATGAAGAAAGGGTTCAAACTACAAAAAACACTCATTCTTTTCTTTCATACAGAAAAATGGCTGCACAGTGCACCTATGTCCTAACTGCCACATTCTTGTATTGTTTATAGAGTATATTCTTGCTATACATTTCACAATAAACCGACCTTACATATCAAATTTTAGTATAGTGTCTAAAATATATAAGTAGACAGAAATGAAACAGTACATTTGCTTCATTAAAGAAATATATTTGAAAATATATTTGAAAATTGATATTATCTGAATTATTTATATTTAATGATAATAGTACATTTGCTACTGTATATATATACTAGGGGTGGGCATTCGGATTATCGGGTCGGGTTCGGATCGGGTATTTCGGGTTTCGGGTATTTCGGTCCTAAGAGAAAAGGATCCGTTCGGATAATTATAAAATTCGGGTCGGGTTCGGTTCGGTTCTCTTCGGATTCGGGTATTACCGGATATACTTTTCGGATCTAAAAATACTTTCGGTTTGGAGTAAGTTCCTTTGTTTTAAACAAAAATTGACCTGATAACCTGTTACTTCAAATGAAATCCGAACAAATAAAAAAACAACCATTCAACTTGATTCAACCTAAGAACAAAATACAAATCATTCTCGTCCAAACACTAAAAACCAGCAACACAAAAGTCATTACCAAAGTGATATCATTCCATAACACAACCAAATGAAAATAAAGAAAGAAATTCAAAGCAATCAAATGAAAAGAAAGAAGAGTGGTGAGTCTCAAAGTCCAAAACGCGTTGTTTCTCCGTGTCCATGTCTCATTGACATCTTTGATTGCCTGTTACAACAGAAACAAATCAAGTCAAAAACACGGCACAATATAGAAACCCAATAACTTAAGTTGTTATTAATCATGTTACCTTTGAACTTTGAGGACCATATCCACTTCTAGTTCTAGTTGGGTCTAGGATACACTGAAAAAGATATATAAAATCAGAATGTTAGGATATAAACATCAATCATGAAATGGAAAACCGTAAAATGAACTTACTTTTCTGGAGTTCATCCTGCAATGTAACATCAGCAAGCATCTCCGTGTTTGAAACAAATGTTTTCTCGCCTAACTTAATCTCAGCCTTCATCCACTGCTCAGTACACATCAAGACCTCAACCATGTAATGAGTTAAACAACTTCGATACGGATCAATGATTCGGCCACTAGTGCTAAAAGCACTTTCAGATGCAACAGAGGACACTTGCATAGCAAGAACATCTCGAGCCATTTCTGATAAAATTGGGAACTTCCCTGCATTTACCTTCCACCAAGATAAGACATCGTACTCTGTTCCAAGCAAAGTATTAGGATTTTCAACTTTGTCACTCAGATAAATATCCAACTCAGACCGTTCATCTTCAACGCCTAAACCACTGATCATATCCTTATAAACTTGATCCATCCTTTCATACCCCTGTTCATCATTCACAAAATCCATGTTCTCAGAGCATGAACCATGGCCACCGGAAGTTGATGCTTGATCCGTCTGTGATGGTGTGACAATGGCCTCCTTCTTAGACCGAGTGCTATACTCAGCAAACAGAGATTTCATAACTTCAGTGACTGAAGTATACATCCATTTAGCTTGTGCAGTATCTTTGCCGTAAAGTCTTTCAAAGCATATCTTAGCAAACTGCATTTTCTTGCTCGGATCAAGGACACTAGCAACAATCAGAAGCCTATTGATGTTCTTCACTCCATCCCAATATTTGTCAAACTTTCCTCTCATGTCGTCAGCCTTTTCACTCAACTCTCTGTCTAAACTATTGCTCAAGTTCATCAGATTCTTCTCTATAGTAACTATCTCAGTATAGCACTTGTAGGAGCTAACCGAATTAGACGCTGAGACGATCAACGTAGAATTGTAGAAGATGATCAGAAACCTTACTAACCTCTCCACTGCATTCCAATCAACTTCAGTAGGCGGACCAATCCTTTTTTGACCATTCTCTTGTTCGAGAAAGTAATCATTGTATAGCCGATCTTCAGCTTCCATTTTATCAAATGCCTTCCTGAACTTAATAGCTTGTAGCAGCATCAAGTATGTTGAGTTCCACCTAGTTTTTATATCCAAAGGCAAACTCCCTCTAGTCACCTTGGCATTATCAGCACGGCTATCAAAAGTGTCGATCCTATTAGTAGACGCCCTCACATACGTCACGGCATTCCTAATGGCACACACATTATCAACTAACTCTAGCAATCCTTCCTTGACAATTAAGTTGATAATATGTGCACAACACCTCATATGCATAAACTCTCCATCTAAAACCAATGCCTCATCGCTCACTAAGCTGAATTGGGTCTGAAACCTCTTTAGGGCAGATGTATTGGCGGTGGCGTTGTCCACCGTGATGGTGAATATCTTCTGTATTCCCCATTCAGCCAAACACTCCATAAGGACTCTTGTTATAGTGGTCCCTTTATGATCCGTGATGTACTTGAACCCGATGATTAGCTTCCTCATTTCCCAATTTGCATCAATGAAATGTGCTGTAATCACCATATAGCTAGCACCTGTTGCTTGAGCCACCCATATGTCAGTAGTAAGTGACACTCGCTGCTTGTTAGCTGCAATCCAAACTTTAAGACCCGCTCTCCTCTCCTCATACATCTTCACAATGTTTCTGGTAGCAGTTCTTCTTGAATGCGGTGTGTAGAGATTAACTCGACTACAGAAGTGTCTCCAAGCCATGCTTTCAATGAAGGCAAGTGGCAATTCTCCTAACACTAGCAACTCATCAGTCGCCACTTTGAAGATATCCTCTGAAACCTTTGCTTCCACCAATCGTCCATCCTTAGTAACAGCTCTCGTATCTGCAGACTTACTTGCTTCAAATGCCAACAACTTCTTGCAGGTTAACATATGCTTCCCCAAGTTAGAAGTCCCTTTGGATGATGCACAACCGTAAACTCTTTTACAATGACGACAAATGCATTTGTCCTTGTCCTCCTCAAGTGGATCAAAATGTTTCCACACTTTAGACCTTTTACCCGCTGTTTTCTTTTCATTGGGTTGACCAGAAGTATCTCCATTTGTCTCCTTCCTTTTCCCTTGATTAGGTGTGGACTGTGTGGTAAAGGTTTCTGCTGTATCTTGAGTTTCACCATCGGGAAATGATGAAGAATCCATCTACAATAAAACAAAATCAGTTAGCATAAATAATAATTCAGATAGATAATACTCAATATCGAACTGATAAATAACAGAAACATGAAGACAATTAGAAAAAAAAACTAAGAAACATAAGCTAATAACCAGAAAAACAAACACAGTTACAGAGAGATAAGACACAATAACGCTAAAAAAAAAAAAACTTAAGAACAAGACAAGACAAAAACAGAAACAAACCGATCAAGAAATAAACATTGTTCAAAAATGTTGATTATTTTAATAACTAGTTACTTGTTCGTGTCTTAAGAACTAAGAACCAAAACCTTAAACTAAGAAGTATTAAATTCACATATTCACTCGAACAAGACAAGACATCAACGTCACATATTAACTCAAACAGATACATCACTTTGAATCTCATCTCATAATTAAGCAAGAAAATAAATCACAAGGGTTAACAAGATTAGTAAGTACAGAGACAGAACGAGAAGAAGATCTAAACTAACTAAGCATAAGAAGACTTGGAATTAAACTAAAAATTATAAGCTAAGCTGAGAAATAAATCCAATAACATCGAGTATCGACAATGCAAACTGAATTGAATCAAAGAAACAAAAGCTAAGTAACTGAACATAAAAACCAGAAACATGACAATACATTTTTCAAAAACAAATTATGAACTCAGGATTCGGAAAGCAAATCAAAGCAGACTTAATCAAAAGAATTAAGAGAAAAGAATTTGAGATCACCTTTGAATGATTTCTTGACGTCTCTGATGGAGGAGACGGATGAGAAAATCGAATGAGGGTTTCCAGATTTTCAGTTTGGGATTTGATATTGAAGATCATGTAAACGAAAATAGCGGGGAATGGAGATAGTGGAATCGAATCGACTAATGCAGGTAAGGGTCAGTTTAGATTGTGCGGATATTTCGGGTACGTTTACGGGTCTCGGGTATTATCGGGTATTACCCGGTACCCGAATGGAGAGAAGAAAAGGATCCAAATGGGTATTTTTCAAAATCGGATCGGATCCGGATCGGATATTTTCGGGTAAATATCGGGTCGGATTTTCGGATCCGGATAAAATGCCCACCCCTAATATATACTCTTTGAATGATAAATGCACACAAACATGTTTATGTTTATATAATTTTTGATACGAATTCTGACCCTGACTCAGAGAGCAGTCCCTAATGAGCATCGTATTACATGAACATAATTGCCTTCAATGATCATATGCCTTATCTTGAACATCAGCAACTCAAGATTCTCAACAGACTCAACTACATCTCTGCCATATCTTTTATCAGTTTATGCCTGAATGCCTCACGATCCTTTGAAATAGACTACACATTTAACTATAGTAGTTAAAATTTCAACATGTTCATACTTATAAAAAAGGAGAAAAACGAAGTCACTTAAAATTAAATATAATCTTTAACACAGAAAAACCTAGACGATAGTAATTAACCACAATTAAAGTACGTACGAAGATAGTAATAGTATAATAACTGCATCGTTTAAGTTAACTAGCCAACAATAGTTGTAAGTTGTAAAGAAACACACGAGTGAGAGAATGAAAGAGCTTTAATCCGGGCGCCAGGCGTACGAGCTTAGGTCAGACTTAGCTCAAGAGAAGCACAAGGGCCTCTAGGCCCTCTACCATAGAGATCACGACCGTCTGATTGACCATACTTCCAGATGGCACCACCACCACCGTTGATGTGATCCTCACCGTGCATAGGGAAGAGAGGAAGCGTACGCCTATATTCAAGATAAGCATCGCCACCATATTCTTCATCTTCATGACTTCCTTCTAGACCAAACAGAGGCTTTGGTCTATCGAAGAAGTTGTAAATTGGAGCTGAGTAATGATGATTATGATCCGTAATGTTTGTCCACCCTCCACCTACGTTGTTGTAGCTCATTGAACAATCTTGTTCCTTCACCCAAAAAAAGTTCCAATTTCATTAAATTTATAGTATATTTTTATGTAGGATATTTGAATTTAATGACTTATAGTTTCTCAAGTACCATAGCCATAGATCCGTAGGCATGGCTACTCATGTAGCCATTAGAAGCATTAACAGCACCAAATTCAGTACCTGAACTTGCATGATTTAAATTCCCTTCATACAAGAATACGTATTTGTGAGCAAAATATATAGAGAAAATGACGAAAAAGAAACATAAGATAAGTTATTTTTCTACTGAACCCTATTACATGAATTAGTAAAAGAAGCATTTTTAAAAAATCTTCTCAACGATTTAAACCTTTTTTTGTTTGCTATCAAAGTCATTTAAATAAAATTCATTAAGGAAATACATATAAAAGAAATTAGTCACCGTTATTGAAGCTGGAATATGATCTGTTCTGATGAAGCAGATGATTTTCTTGGTCAAGTTTAACGCTGACTGAAGCAGGTCGCTGCATGGAAACACCATGATGATGATGATGATGGTGATGAAGAAGAGGGTGATGACGGTTATGATGATAATGATCAGTAGCCATCATCACGGCGTTGGGAGATGAAGACGTTGGTGTGGTAGTCATGGTTGTGCCATTGAATCTCTTCTTCTGACGCTCACGAGCCTTATGGTTCTGGAACCAGTAAAAGACGTTTTTTCCCTCGATCTTTCCGTACTGTCTCAGCGTTGCAGAGATCTTCTGGATCTGATCGGCCGTTGGTGACCGGACTCCGTTATTGTAGTAAAGATCTTTGAGGATTCTGATTTGCTCGGTCGTTGGTGTCCACCTCGTGCTGGTTTGACGACATGTGTAACCACCGGAGCCGGACTTGTTGTTGTTGTTGCCGCTTTCTTGGTCGGCTTGATGATGATGATGATGATGCTGCAGTGGCTCCATTTCAAAGATTAAGATCAAGAGTAGAGAGAGGAACAAGAAAATGATATCTTGAGGGAGTCGAGAAAGAAAGTTTACTTTACCAAGAAAAGAACTCAGCAAAAGAGATTCTAGGTTTTGTGTGTGGGAGATATAGAGAGAGAGAGAGTGTGTGCGTAAGATGTAGAGTTATATATACATGGATGGGATTATAAAAAAAAGTTTGGCAATATTCTGAAAAGTTATTCAACAGTATTATTCTGTTATATGGATTTAGGTTTGATTCCACACATACAAAACTCAATTTAACATTTCTGTTAGGAAACGCCTTAAAAAATGTTTATATCAAGTATATTACTGTAGCTAGGATAATAGAAAGACTCGTGACTATGGGCTAATAATACCAAATTGGAGAAAGTATCACAGTATATGACCTAGAAAAATGCGTATATGAGAGAAAAAATTTGTGATACGTACTCAAGAGAGTAGATGACACAAAATGTTTATTTGGATTAATGTTCTTGTATAATGTTGACATGTTATATCTAGGATGAAAATTCAGATGTTAAAATTTAAAATGTTTGTATCTCAGCTCTCTTGTATTAAAAATAAAATGGTCTTGAAAAGGAGAATCAAAATATTTTATTTTCGATATATTGTAAAATTAACTAGATCACCATTACTAGCCGAAGTTACTAGCCAAAGAAAGGAAAGTGCTTAACGTTAATTAGCTAAAGTTATGTTTAGAATTATAAAACCACGAGTTCTGTTTTGTTTTTCTTGTGAATCATGAAAAGATGCAATTATTCTTGGGAGTTTTATTGATTTATTTATTGTAAAATATTGTGGGGATCGGATCAGAGGATATCTGATGGAGAAGGATTGAAAGGGACAGAGAAGTTAGAAAGAAACATGAAAAAGGAAAGGGACAAATGAGGGAATTAGAAAGGTGAGGGCTTCATCGGTATTTACTTAGACGAAAAACAAACTCCATTTTTTCAATTTCTCTGTCTCTTCTCAATTATTACTTCACCAGCTTTAACTGTTATGTATCTGTCTACGTATGAAAGATAATTTACCCATACACCCACAATATAAAGAAAAAACAAGAAAACTGAATCAAGAAAAACTATCGTTATGAGTGAAAGAACTTATAATTTTGTTAGTTAGAGAAAGAATGATAAAATAATGTGAATACTGTTTGATAAATAATTCGTTAAGGCAGTTCTTTCTTTCTCCACTGTTTAAGTTCGATCATGTCCCATAAAAGTATTAAACTATTCCTTCCACATGACCATATTGTCATGAGTTTCAATTATTTATTTTGGACACCGGATCAAATAAAATGAAAAAAACTAGAAATCAGATCACCAAATCCTGTTAGGCTCTACATATATATACAGTATAGTTGTTTATATATAGACTCATGATTTCTCGGATTGATCCTGCTCAGCAACAATGCATAATGACCTTGAATGGAAGTCCAGATCAAATATAGAACAAATCAAATATAGAGGAATCTGTATTTTGCACACAATCACAATTTTAAATACAGATAAAAAAAAATACAGGAGAAAAATACTAATCTGCATACATATCTGAAAATAGTAAAAAAGCTTTGCTCTGCACAAAAGGTCCAGATCATGCCTCTCTCTTCCTTTTTTTTTTTCTTCTTTTTCTCTTTTTCTGGTTATCTCTTATTTAATTGTTTATTGATAATAAATTTTGATTATTATTTACTTACAAATAAATTAAGAAAAAATTATTTATAGTTTTCCATTATATATTCTTAAACATTTTTTATATCTTATTAGATATGTTTAACAGAGGAAATTAATATTAGTATTAAAAAATTTAAGTATTTTTAAAACTAACCCATGTTTTCAAGATTTTGAAAATTATTTTTTTTGCTTCCAAAATATTATGAATAAAGTACTTTAAAAATCTAATGTATTATTTTAAAATATTTTATAAACATAAGAAAAATAATATTACAATATAATGAACTAAATTAAGAACTAATGATTAACTAGACATTAACTATAAAAAATATTCCTCATTTTAATATTATGTGTATAACATAAAACAAAGATCTAAATCATTATATGTCGTACAATATATTTTATTTTACTTTATTCCATACTCTTGATTTTTTTTGTATATAATGATGTACGCATTATATAACAAAAAACATGAAAAGAAAAATACATATTTTAGTAGTTTAGTATGACACTATTATTCCTAAAATATTATTTAAAATTTTAATATTTAATTAATAGATAAAATATGAGCTTTCTTAATGTAAGATTCATTTTTTTATAAAATGGTGCATAAGATCAATTTTGGATATATTTATATTAAATATCACTCGACTCAAAAATTCAAACCGGAATCGACCAGGGAAATACTGATTTGGGTTGGATTAGGGTATATGCATTTTTTCCGACTGGATAAAATGTTCAGATCTATGGATATTAGTATATCACGTAATACTTGGTAGGGTGTTCAATCCGGATATCGGTTCGTTTTTTTGGTTTCCGGTTTTTTTATTAATACAAAATAGTTAGCATATTATAACCATACTTACTTCGGTTTGGTTTGATTTAGATAGTTTTGGATATCAGTTTTTTTTTGTTTGGATATTTTTGGTTCAAATAATCTCGATTTTCGGGTGATTTGTAATTTTTATTTGATTTTTATTTTATTATATAGATAAAATATAGATAAAAATCAGTGACGTATGTTTGATATGCATTTGATCTGCATCTGCATTTTTTTGACTGTGTCACCATTCGAAACCAATGTATATAACAAAAATACCATTTTTTCACAAACCAGTTGATGTAACTATTATTTGAAATCTTATAATTTTGTAGGGAGTTTCCCTAACCAGACCAATTGATCGTACATAAACCTGATTCTATCTAAAACCCAACTTTTGAATGTCTTATTGACAAAAACAGAATGTCGTGTAACTATACATTCGTATGTAGTGTATACATCTACACAAGAAACTACATGGTTATTGGTTCATAATGTCTTGTAAATACACCATCCGTATGTAGTGTATACATCTACACAAGCAACTACATATAGTTCATATGGTCACATGTAGGCAAGAGGACTAAAAGACTCGGAGAGCTTTTGTAACTCTCTATAGACCCTTTGATTTTCTATTCTCCTACGAGTGAGTACGGTAACGAGCATGCCGTGAGAAACAGAGGATCTTAAATTACGCTTCACGATCTTTTTCATTGTCGTAAAGTACTGTTGAATAGGCAGGAGGACTAAAAGACTCAAGAGCTTTTGTAACACTAATGTCTACGTGGCCCCTAAAAACCACTATTCTTTATTGCAGAGATTTCATTTTCATTAGGGCATCATTAGTTTTTGTTTGTACTTTTGCCCTTACATCAAATAATTAATTTTGTTTTTAAAAGTACTAATAATTTGATTTTCCGGAAATTAATGGGAAGAAATATAGGTTTGGTCCGTTTGGAACATGCATGGTCCCCTCTACGATCCGATCTTTATATTTTGTCATATGTTATTCGCTATTTACTCCTTACGTTACACTGTTTATGTGTAGTGAATTTATTAATGTCTTTCTAATTTAGTTCGATGTACCATAGTTACACTTACACATTTATTTTGTGTGTTACCTACCTGTACCAATATGTATTGATTTTCAGTAACTCATGACTTGCTTCTCACGCATTTTCATTGTATGATGCCAGTTTATATTTCAGTTCAGTTCACGAGCTAACACTGAAAATTACATAACCTTGAGAATTAAGGAGGGAGCAAAAAAGAAGGCAACAAACTTTACCTTGAACTGAAACTCTAATAATTATGTATAAAAGCTAGGCTACGTACTTATCAAGATAATCAGTCGCATGGATCATAACACGTCTCAAATGTTGTACATATGCTGGAGCTTGACCAAGAACAAAAGAAGCATTATTTCCTAATTAAAATTTATCATTAGTTCACTGCTAATAATATCTACATGATATAATTTACTTTATGGGTATTATAAACATGTTATAATAACAATAATAAAAAGTTAAAAATCAGAGTGAGAGAGACAGAGAGAGAGTTGCACAGAAGGAATTTCACTGTCGAAGAAAGAGCACGCTCTTCGATAACGTAAATGCAATGCAAGCAATAAATGAAGTGAATTCATGAGAATTAGTTCATTATCATCATCGACATCCACTCCTTCGTCATCATCTATCTTCATTCAAACACACACACCGTACAAACATATGGATGAATCAATGATGACATGCTTTTACATGCATCTATATGCATGGTTTAAAGGCGTTACATATGGTTTAAAAGATGGAATATTACATCATACAAAACGGGGTATGCCTCTTGTTGTAAGCTTCTTATTTTGGATAGAGAAGTACCTTTCACCCACAACTGCACCAGTTATTGGTAGTTGTCACGATTTATTACTTATCTCTCTATCTCTCTCACTGTCTCTCTTACCAATTTATTGACTATACGGTGTGAGAAAATTGCATAGAATATTCAACGCACATGACGTTCCCTACCTCGTGATGAATTAAGAAAATACTATACGTTTTGATGTATATGTATATGGTACTATAATTGTGTTTCCTATCAATTCTATAGGTTTTGGACAAAAAAAAAAAAAAATCAATTCTATAGGTTCTTTTTCTTATAGATATCATAATTCCTTTTTCTGCGTATCGTATACTCTCATTTTATTTGTGATGATTTGAACTACTAATTTAAACACACTCTAACAAATATGTATCCACTAACACTAGTTTTTTTTCTTTCCTAAACACCACACTAGTGATTTACACTTATTAAGCGAAGATGAATAAAATCCTCTCTACGAAAGTACTAGAAAAAAGAACTTTGTTGAAAGTAAGATTTTTTTTTACTAATAAAAAGTGTAAGATTTATGTTTCTACATGTTTTAGCAAAAGGGTGAAAAATGTTATTATTTTATTGCATTTGCATGTATATATTTTCTAAGAAGGAATAGATCATCAGAAGAGTGAAAGAAAAAGCAAATAGTGTTAGTTTCCTAGAAAGTTAGAGAAGAGTGATCATTGCCTTCGACTGAGATAAAGATGAAAAATTTGAGAGAGATTTCACTTCATTAATGATTTACATTGTTTGGAGAGGTTTTTCTAAAGAAGAAAATTTTTATTTTTTAATGAAGAGATAAAGTATCGTTGCATACAAAATTCTCTTATATGAATCTCTTAACCTCCTTCAATACTAATGATAATTTTACATGTATGATATTTGTTACTTCTGTTTTCTATTAAACAAATATTTCAAGTTATAAACCCACCCTTCCATTAGTCCTTTGGACAAAGAATGTTTGTTCCAAATTGCAGCTAATTTTTTCTTTTGTTTTTATTGTTAAGTTAAACTCAGTAACACAACTTTTTTTTAACCAGAGGTCGTTATATGGAATGATAAATGGTCAAGATCAATTCAACAGAAGACAGATCAATAGTTTGTGATGGGATAATATAAAAAGGTGTTCTGTTTGCACACATACACACACATCCCTTTTATCCAAATCAACAACACATCGAAGCTGCTTTTTTTTGCTTTCCTTTTCTTACGGGTAATCATTTTCTCATACTCTCTCCCCCCATCAACAAAACATACAATAATAATTAATCTTCATTTTTCATTTTTTGTTTTGTATTTATATATTTATAGGATCTTCTTGTATAGAACAAAAAAAAAATGTTAAAACTATGCATATAGGGTTCCGTTTGGCAATTCAAAATGTAGGACTTACTAGCATACTGATTCATTAAAAAATATTCTGTGAATATTAGAATCAATGTATTTTTTGGGAAGTTACAATAAATTAACAAAAACATACTGTGGAGTGTGGACCTATAGGTAAGATACAAAACATGTACTGTGGGCCAGTGGCCTTTTTGACACTTTTTGTACGTTGTGACAAAAACATAAGCGTAAAAATTGGGAGAATTTTTCCTACTAATCGTCTAAAAAATCAAACTAAAGGTGAAAATATGGTGATTTTCTAAAATCCAATTAATAAGATAAATCATTTGATTTTTATTTTTAAATGAGATGAACCAAATGTTTGATTTCTGAATTTTTTTTGGTCCAATTACAAATTATTTCGGAAATGGGGATAAACTAATGAATGTTTATTCTATTTAATTTTGTTTTAGCTAAAAAAAAATTATAATTGATAAAAATTATAGAAAAAATCTATTTGAGGATTCATAAACCTAAATAAGAAATTTTATTACTATTTGTAAGAGTTTTATCCTCCAAAACTTGAAAAACATTTAACTAATTTTGAAATATATAATTTCATATTTATGTGTTACTTTTTATATAATTATATTTAATGAATTAAAAAATGTAATAAAAACTCCTTCTTAACTAATTTCCGTTTTACTTCCAATTATAATAAATCTATTGAACATCACCCGACTAACGCTTAATGATTTTTTGAACGTTGCCGGTTTTGGAGGCACCACGTGTAAGCGTGACGGTCTCCACAAGAAAAAACGGCATGCAGTATAGTTCCATTGCCATAAAACGGCATCCAGTCTAATACACACCAGATACGAGAAGAGAAGGCTTACCGGATTTGTAGATGAACACATAAATTTTGTATTTTGCAGTGTTGACTGTAAAGTTACACTTTTTCTTCCGAGCTCTCTTCCCCGTCGATTTGACTCGCCTGCGATTCCGTTCTACGTCGAATTTCTCCGATTCGTCTGGGTTTTACAGTCAGTGAGTCTTCTTCTCGATTTCTCTGATTTCTCATTTCTTCATCTACTTTCGTCTCTCGTCTCACCATCTGTAACAAAAGCCTTGCTTTTTCGTCAATGGTGATTTGAAAATCGCTCGTCTCGTCTCGTTTTCCGTAACCTAAACATGTAGAGATTCCGATGCTTCAATAGAAACTTGATTTTGTTTTATCGTGATTTCGATTTGATTGGTTTTGGGTGTCACTGAGAACTTTTCATGAATCGCATCAATCTCCAAAAGTTTAGTGTGTTTTACAGAAATTGTTGGATGAATAGTGCGTTTTTGGTCTCCAAAATCAAAATTGCTTCGCGTGAGGTTACATGTTCTAAAGAAATGGTCACAATCTTACTGCCATTAGGCTTTATGTACCTCTTTGTACCTCAGGACATAGCAATTTGCAGCAATTTCATGGTGTTTGTGTCCATCCCCAAACTCAATCATTTCGAGATATCGCTTACTTAATGTGTTGTTTAGGCGCTGAATATCTTGATTTTGAACTATTGTATTTGATCTAAGGACCAAGAAACGTTTCACCTGTTGACACATTGAGGTGTCAAGGAAGATTTTGGTGGTTATGTTTAGTGTTATAATGTTCAACGTTATGAGTTGCTTTTTGCTAAATGTGACTTTGAGCTCTCTGTATTTGTCTTGTTGCTGAGATTTGCGTTGTTACATCTCCTGAATTGTCAACAGCTATGACTAAAAGAGCAGCAGAAGAAGCGCCTCCTTCACTGGATAGCAGCAGAACTGGACCAAACTTTTTGGGTCACTATAGAGATCAAGTAGCAGAGCTCTTGTCTCAAGGAGAGAGGATCCAACTTGGCACCACTAAGAAGTCTCCTACTGAAGTCATAGGAGCTGAGAACGAGAAGTTGAATGCTTTGTTAAGGGAGTGTGTGTGGGAGCTCATTCCAGAGGTTGACGAGGTACAGTGAATTGTTCCGGTTGGTTTTGATTTGATGAGCTTTTGATGGAGAGACGTTGAGATTATGCAATTTTCGTTTTGCAGATGCAGTCTCGTGTTTTCTCAATGCGCCAAATGTCTCAACTGAGTAACAAAAAGCCTGAGGATCCTGCTTTTAAAGAGGTGAGATAACACAGTTGTTACATTCTTCAACCGACAGATGTTTATGAAAAATCCTTTGTGTTTCTGAATCAGGTTGATGAAGATATACAGTTACTTATGAAGTCTGATCCTGATCTTGTCAAGCAAATGGTGACCAAACATACGAATGAAGTTCTCGCCAGCGTAAGGCTCTAAGAAACTTTCCTCTTCCATAACATATAATGAATGTAACATAGCTACTTAAATTGTGATGTTCTTTTCTCTTTTGGTTTGATTAGCTGAACAACATGCAGAAGCAACTTGAGAGCCTCCTTGACAATGTGGCTAACTCATGCAGGTATGATATACACAGTCTCTTACTTCTCTTTGTCTTTCTCCGACGTTCTTCTTTCAATGGTTTACTTATGTGTTTTCGGTTAACTCTTATAAGCAGACCTATGAGCCGAGGCGAGAAGCAAGATCTTCAAAACTCAATCATGGTGCTACCTGGAGAAAATCTCAAACGCGTTGCTGGAATCGTCAAAGACCATTACGTAGCTTTGGGGAAAGAGTTTCCTGATGAGGTTACAGTCAACATGGAGGAAGAGGTAAGCCATCAGAATATCTGACATTGACTCTTTTTGTCCAATCATTCATATTGAAATATTATAACGCAATTTCGAAAACAAATGTGTGTTTCAGGACAACATAATGCTTTGGAGACTGCATTTCTACGTCGCCGCCGTGAAAAATGCTCGGAGACTCGCAAGCTAAGTGGTACAAGCAGATATCAAGAGTTGTCCCAAGTTTTGAGTTTTGAGTATATAATGAAACGCAAGGAGAAGATTTTGGTACACAGTTTTCTTAGAATTTTAATTAGAAAGATCTGACCGGTTGTGGTTAAGTACAGAGATTGCAATCTTCTTTTTGGTTCTGCCTTGAACAAAGAAACTGCGAGATTAGGTTTGAGTTCAATCAGATTTCTTCAAATTCTTTTTACGCGTTATGTTGCTCTTTTTATATTTTTGTTTGATTGCCTTTTCCTTGATTTGCTGATGTTATTGAAAAGCTTTCATGTTGTTGTTTTCTATTTGAAAATGTTATCTGAAATGAAAGAATTCAGTTGTTTGATTTTTCATTTTATATGCTACTCTCCGTTTTGCGTTTTTGCTACCATTTAACCTTTTTATAAGTTTCCAAATCCATTATCCATTTTGATGTAGTTAAGGTAAGCGAGAATAAAAGAAATAAATGAAAGAAGGAGAGTTTAATTAGGATTAATTAAAGAGAAGCGAAACTTAAAAAAATAGAAAAACAAAACGAATTGCTTATCCGAATAAACCAAATGAGTCTAACCATTAAAAAGTAATAACATTATCCAAATATTCTATGGGATGTGTTTTCAGACAATGTAAGTCTGTTTCAGTCTCAGGTTCCGGTATTTAAAACTCTGAACAATCAAAATCCACATCCCTTGGAAGATGGAATTTCTGTATCTCAAATGAGTAGACAAACTGCATTATTTACGATCAAATTTATTAAAATGTAAGAAAAACGATATTTCAATATTGTTACATTTCTTTCTTCTTAAATATTGTTTATAGAGTTGGGTTGTTATACTATGACATTGATTTTATATTTTAATTTGTCTTCTTGCATTGATTTTCGATAATGCACCGAAAATGTGCATTTTGCCATGACAAAACATCATATGAACACTGGTGATGACCAATGATATTTTTAGTTAAACTCTAAAGAAATACGTGTATCTATCCTAGCTTTGTTGATCATTATTTGAGTGTCATACCTGAAAATTTGGAAGATAAAAACATTAATTTTCCATAGAAGTATTTGTGATTACATCAAAATTCCTCAAATGATTACATATTCATGTGAACTCGTGCTGTAGTATGGGCTAAAGGCTCATCATAAAACAAATGTTTTAGGCATCACAATATTTAAAAATATTTAATGGTTAATATTACATAAATTTGTTTTTTCTAGTGGCATTGTTGTCCATAATGTCAAAGTTCGAGACCTATAATTAACGGTTCGCTTGGTTGAAACCATCTTAATTCAAATCATCCTCTTCCTCGCCATCTTCGCACGAATCGCTTTCAGGGCAAGAATCTTTGTCATGACGAAGACTAAAACAAGTCTCACAGTAACCAAAAAGCTTCTCATACTCCATCTTCACAATCACATCCACTTCCTCAATTTCAAATCGAACCGGTATTTCAAAGCACAACGGTTTAGTACCATCGATACTCACTTTAACCATCGCATTCACTTCATCAACTTCTCGAACCGTACCAATCTCATCTCCGATTCTCCTGAAAATCCGATCTTCCCATAAATCCTCAGGAACACCAACGATTCTGACCCAGAAATTGATCTCCGATGGATAGTCTCTGCGTACAACCGGTTCCCATCTCACAATCGAAACCATCCATTCGTTAAAAGTGAAAGTCTCTGTTTCGAGCACTTGGAAAATATCTTCTTCTCTCTTGAAATCAAACCGGAACCTTCCCAAACCCAAATCCGAACCGGTTACTCGATCGTCATCTAGTTTCCAGATTTTCGGCATTAGGGTAACCAAAGATCCAACATTCTGCATCTCAGGATTCATAACCCTACCGATCAGAGTTTTTCCGAGACTTCTGATTATATCAGAGTTATCGAACCAGGGAACCCGAATTCTTAGCACCGGTGCCGCATTTCTTCTTCCAATCTCCGACATTGGTAAGAGAAAATCAAACACAAACCGAGATTTCCGCTTAAACCGTATGAAAACCGATGATGAACCAACCAATACCAGAAAATACAAGCGATGGTAAGAGACGAGAATGATTATTGCAATGAATCGCTGTTTGAATTTATACTACGTAACACCATCGATGAGAGTAATCATCTCCGGAAGAATCGCGCAATTCGAATCCTGGCGAATCAATTTTTGCCTGATTTTGAGTTTTCATTTCTGTTCCTTCACTCCTACCAAATCTGTATATATACACGATTTTTGATTTCCAGATTGTACGGAGATTTCAAAACTTGCGAATCTAGAAACGACCACGTTTACATAATGGGCCTGAAAATATAGGCCCATGTTATATATATATATTCAAAGTTGAGCCTCTCATTACCTTGGCGTTTACGTTTCGATCGTAAAGGCTTGAACGTGTGTTGTTTTAGGACTGTGTATGCAACTATGAGTCTATGATGAATGATTTTGTCTCTTGTTTCATATATATGATTATTTGATGTCACTTGGTTTGATTGTTAAGTTTACTCTGTGACCAAATTAAAATGTATTTGAAGCACGTTTCGTGTTGAATAGAGTGACTTTTCTTTACATTCATGAAAACAAAATAACACATTCAAACTTCAATCGAGTGGAGAAGAGAAGCTGAGATGATGTTGAAATCCTAGGCATGGATTCTAACTCTTCCATCATCTTCTCTCTCTTTACCTTTGCAGACTGATTTCTTCAAGGAGATTCCAGCTCTCTTTAAACACTTGGAGTTGGCAAATATGTATCGTGCTACTTCTTTCTCTTCATTTGTTCCTCCATATTCGTTCCACTCAAAGATCTCGAGATTGTTTGACAAGCATTCGGGAACAGAACTCGGTTGGTTCCACGAAAGTGGAAAAGCCTCAATATTATTTAATCTCTGTGAAGCAAGCAACAGCAAGGGATATGTTAGTCAACACGTTTGCTTCACAAATTTTAACTAATAACTTGTGCATGGTACGGTTACGAACCTCTTCGATGAGAAGAACTTTCAGTTTAGGAGAATTTTGAAGCAACAACACAAACGGTTCAATCCAATCTAAGCTAGTAAAATGTAATTTACAATCTATAAGCTGAGAGAAGTCAATGGCCTCACAACAAGCAACCTGTAATTGAATGCAATAACACCTAATTAACCGCTACAAATTGCGATCATAATGAAATAACAATGATAACAAAAATAAAGGGGGTGAGGAGGTTGAAGTACCGTGAAAGAGCTCAAGAGTAACTCGAGATACGTGACCGAGGAAAGAGAAGTTAAGAACTCATCACCAGGGAAGGAAAAAACGTAGATAAGTGCTTTATCCAGGCTAAGCTTGTTCTCAATCCAGCAAGAGTTTGTCGAGGCATCTGCGAGCAAGAATGTCGTTAGACTCGCAGAATCTATGACCAAAGATCCTCCAATATCTTCTTCGCTGAGTACTCTTGGAACCGCATCCAAATAGTCTAACCTCTCCAGAGATGGCACTTTTACACTAAATTTTGTCACATTGTCTTGTCCAATTCGCATCACATACAAGTGTTTGAGAATGGGACAACTCGATAAAAGCCTAATAAGAGAATCTTCATCTTTGTATGTCACATAGATAAGGTCAAGATGTGTGAGGGATGGGAGACATGCCTGAGAAGAAACATCTACAAGAACCTTGTCGTGAAGACGTAGACACACAAGAGTATTGCACATATAAAGGCTTGTGGGCAAGACAGTAGGCTCAGCGGACCACATGATATGGAACGATAGCGCGAGAACCCTACGATCAACAATAGCATTTGCAATCAACTTTCCAAATTCAGCATCAACAGGACAATGTGGACCGAGTTCTATAAGCAATTCATATAATACGGGTGCCTTGTGGAGTGGCAATGACTCGTTAAGAAACCGCCATACAGACTTTTGTCGCTCACTTTTGCCAAGTAAACGGCCTAATAAACCGCCAAGAAATCTTTTGTGAGTACCAACATCCTCTTTGATCTCTTTGTAATCGAGTCGTGGCACCATTTTCCAAACAGACAGCCATCGTTTCGACAGAATCATGGTAGTCACTGCATCCTTTGTCGGAAGGAGTAACAAAATCCGAACGAGCAAATCTTCTGGCAATGCACTAATCTTATCTTCACCTCTTATTCTCTTACACCCTGTCAATCTTTTCTTCACTAATTGTCCCACCAACCATGTCGAGCCGAGTACAATCAAAACCCTTCCTAACATTTTGTTTGTTTGTTTGTTTTGTTTTCACAAGGGAAGATATGCAATGCTTTAGGGTTTTTAATCTTACCCAACACGTTAGGGTTTGGAATCGATCTAGAGTGTTCTTGTGATTCTGTATATTATTTTGTTTCTTTATATTATGTAAACAAATATATATGTTCGATTTTTACCTTCCATTTTTGTTGGTTTTTATTTTTTCATTTACTTTGGTAATAAAATATGGATTTTATGATACTTCCATTCTCGTTATCCTTTTAAAGCTACAGAGAATTTTACAGAAATAAATGAAAAGATATGTAGGTCTCCAATAACTTTCTTTCGTTAGCCAGTGGGTTTTTGCCTTTTTGGCTTCCCAAAAAGCGCATAGGGAACATGATCTAAGAAAGAGTACCTATTGGTGCATGAAAACTTTGATAGATCCATCGCGGCTCAAATTAACACACAAGTTTAATTACCCTACACGAGGACCTCTTATTTTTAAAACCAAATAGAAAAAATTAACAAACACCAGAAAACCAAATGCCTTGTAACACAAGTCATCAAACAAGATCATCGAAAGACAGAGCACTTCTGGTGGCTGACAACTCTGACTTCTCCTTCTCAGCAAGAGCATCCAGCTCCGAACACTTTAGCTTCAGTTTCAGAAGATTTTCCTCAATTTCTTGGAGCCTGGCCAAGCCAGACTTCTCCTTCTCCTTGTTTTCTTTTAGCTGGTCCAGCTTCTTATCCAGCCAGTCCACTTTAAACCCTGCGTCTATCAAGTACGTCAGCGCAATGTCTGCTTCCACAAGATCTTCATTGGAGAGCTCCTCAAGTGACTGACACAACGTCTCTATTACGCTGAGCAGGAAACTCATGCAAGCTTTCCTCAGATGTTTGTTCTTTGCACGGAAATCCACAGTAATGTCTGGGTGTCTTTCGAATATACGTCTCACAGATTCCACCTGCGAATGTACAAAGTTTTTCAGCTTAGAAGCTTCTCTTTAATACTACTAATATACACAATAGAAGACGAAATCATGTTCTTTACCTGAGAAGAAAAAACCTCAAACCCATTGACATCCATTGTTTGAATCTCCTGACCAAGCACATTGTTACCAGCCTCAGTAACGGTTGATGCCACAGTGTTAAACCCCATATCACCATTTAGTAACTTGATGATTCGGTCCATATTAGATTGGTTCGGAGGACTTGTGTCCTTACCGCCATCATCCGAAACAGTAGACGAAGCATCATCATCATCATCATCATCATCTGAACTCTCTTCAGATGTATCATCATCATCATCATGTGAATCCTCATCATCATCTGAACCCTCATCAGATGTTTCATCATCATCATCATGTGAACCATCATCAGAGGTGTCATCATCATCACCAACAACATTCTCGTTAGATGCATTCTCAGTTTTTTGGGGCACTTGAGAGTTGCTGAGAGAGGCATTAGAAGCTTTGTTTGTTTCTTTGCAACCCAGAGGTGATGCAGCAACACCCAAAATCTCCAGTACATCTTGAAGAACGTGTACTTGAGCAGTGAACAAGAGTCTTTGTCCACCAGAAATCGTTCACATCTGTCACGAAGTTTGTAAAGAGGCACAAACTTACTAAAACCACAACTCCTATTCGTTGCATGGAAACAGTTGTTCCCTCCTAAGAACGAATCAAAACACATAGCAAAATCACAATCATAATCACAATCATCACAACCCCAAGAACGAGATTCTTAAACCAAGATATGAAAAACAATCACCTGCCACTTGGTCCGATTTACCATAGCCTTTATTCACAAGAGTTATGGTAAATTTCACGTGTTTCACCCACCCTGGTGGTGGTGAAGAGCCAGGCGCAAGTTCCAGAGACACCGATAAGTAATCATCACCATTACCATATGTTCTAGGATGAGCAATAAGACGCCTGTACAAAGAAAAAAACCAAGTCCATCTAAAAGAAACACAAACCTCTATCGAACAAAAAAATAATGTTTGGAATCGTTTTGATCATCTTATACCAGTTGCAACCGCCGACAAAGAAAGGGCGAGAGTGGTAAAGGCGAGAGTATTGCGTCTCTTCATCCAAAGAGAAGTTTTCCACAAGCCAAGTGAAATTTACCATGATGGTGAGAAAGTTTAACGACAGAGCACAAGTTAGGGTTTAGGCCTTGATTAGGGTTGAAGAAAGGGAAAAAAAGAAGAAGAAGAAGCTAGCTTCTTTCATCACACGTTCAACATGTCATATTTATAATGATGGTATGTTGTCATATTTGTAAACCAAACCAAATCGAGCCAAACCGAACCATTGTTGGTTGAAAATTTACTAATTACAGTAGTATGAAGTAACGGAACCAAACCGAACCTAAATCGAATTTGAGATTAAGCTGAATTGCCTGAACGGGCCTAGAAACGTAAAGTAGGCCCAAATTGAAGATCCAAAGGTGTTAATTGAGGAAGAAGAAAACTCTGCAATCTTTGCTCCAACTATTTCTTCTTCTTCTTCGTCTACTTCGTTTCTCTTCTCCGATTCGAGCTTTCTTCCTCTCGCAAATTGTCTAATCAAAGGTAAAGTTAATCTTCTGTAAACTTTTAAGCTCTCTCTTATCCTCCTCAGTCTCTCTGCATCTCTCGTTTCCGTGGATTTTCTCTTCCCGATTTTCCGGTGAATCCAACCCCATTATCTAGCTTTCTCGATCCGGACGATTTGATTTGATTTTACCTCACGGGTTTTTCAAATTACGTGATTAGTAGTTTCCCACTTTGTTTTTCTGCTGAATATCGTGTGACATTATCTAGCTTTGATTCCCGAATTTGCTTCTGACGATTCGATACTTCACTATTTTTCCTGATGCTTTTTTGCCTGATTTGTAGAGTAGTGAATCGGAAAATGTCGCAGTCGTCCGTCGATTTGCCGCCGAAGGGTGGGTTCAGCTTCGATCTGTGCAAAAGGAATGATATGCTTACACAAAAGGGTCTTAAAGCTCCAGGGTTTCTCAAGACTGGAACAACTATCGTTGGGTTGATATTCCAGGTCTGTGCTTCTCTCACACGCATACTCTAAAAAATGTATAGGCTTTGCGTTTGCTTTGATAGCTTCTGTGTTTTTAGCATAGTGTAGCTGTTGAATAGTAACTATTAAAAAAGTTGACTCAAGGTTCAAGAATTATGTGTTGAGATGCGAATGTTAACAATTATAGAGGAAATAATTTGGCTTTTTAAGGCCTAGTGCTTTGATATACCACAAAGAGAGGGCTTTTGGATTGTGATTGTGGAGCACGGGTTGTGCGATAAGACGTATTTCAATTGATTGAGCACCTGGTTAGCTTCAGATAACATTTGGATTGCTCTAACCATTGTGAAAGTATGAATTGTTGTTGCTTTTTATTAGCTCTTTGCCTCTCTGTATACCACTGCGTGCATTATGTGATGATTTGTATGTGAACTTCTCTGTCAGATTCTGAGTAGATGATTGATGAAGATATACGCTTCTGATATCATATATTTGTTTTGCGTAGGATGGTGTGATACTTGGGGCTGATACAAGAGCAACTGAAGGGCCCATTGTCGCTGATAAGAACTGTGAGAAGATTCACTATATGGCACCAAACATTTACTGTTGTGGTGCAGGAACTGCTGCTGACACTGAAGCAGTAACTGGTAATTTCTTAACAACCAAATTTCTATCTATATTGCTGCGCCAGATCAACGTTAATTTTCTTCAAAAGCCAATGCTTAGATAATTTGATTTCTTTCTCACTGTTCAGATATGGTCAGCTCACAGTTGAGGTTACATAGATACCAGACTGGCCGAGACTCTCGGGTCATTACTGCTTTGACCCTTCTCAAGAAACATCTTTTCAGGTATATTTTGCTTTTATCATAACCAGAAACTCGTGCTGTCTTTACTAAGAGGCATATGTAATTTATCCGCTCTTGTTCATGTATCGTTTCAGCTACCAAGGCCATGTCTCTGCTGCTCTTGTGCTTGGTGGTGTTGATATCTCAGGGCCTCATCTGCATACCGTGAGTTTTAAGCTCTAAATATATCTTATAGCTCAGGTTCTTTTGTTTTAAATTAATCTCTAACGCTTTGGTTAAAAAAATGCAGATATACCCACACGGTTCAACTGACACTCTACCATTTGCTACAATGGGCTCTGGTTCTCTTGCTGCCATGTCAGTGTTCGAGGCAAAGTATAAAGAAGGTCTAACTGTAAGTACATCAGAGACATTTATCCTTATATCTTTCACATCTCATATGGGTCTGTCTGAAGAGACAACATCTTTTATATCTTATATCTTTAACTCTTGACACAAAATCTTTCAGAGAGACGAAGGAATCAAGCTGGTTGCTGAAGCCATATGCTCTGGAATATTCAATGACTTGGGTAGTGGTAGCAATGTGGATATCTGTGTGATCACAAAGGTTTGTCATTTTGCATTTTATCTCTGTGCGTTGGGATTAGCTCACGTCTTTTACCTTTGCTTTGATTCTTACTGTTTGAGATGATTTTGGGGACAGGGGCACAAAGAGTACCTAAGGAACTACATGGAGCCAAACCCAAGAACCTACGTTAGCAGCAAAGGCTATTCATTCACCAAGAAAACCGGTAAGAAACTACTTGACTGTTTCTAGTTGTTAAAGTTTTGAGGTTGGTTAAGTTCGATCAGAACCTTCTTCTTCTTACTGTTTTCTCTCTATGTGAAAACAGAGGTTTTACTCACCAAGATCACACCATTATCGGAGCGAGTCGAAGTTGTAGAAGTTGCTGGTGAAGCTATGGAGGAATGAATCTCAAACATGTGACATCAATGTTCTACCTTGTCTTTTACATTTTAGTATCTTGTTACCTTATGATAATTAATGAATTATTTGGTTTCACAATTTAGCAGTCATGAGAAAGATTCTCGAATCATTTGAAAAGACCTTGTATTTTACAAACAAAATTGTTTTTTTTTTTTTTGCCTAAACAATCTCCTAACAAGACTCATCGTTCCTAATCTTTTTCTTCCTTGAAGCAAAGCTACTTGGTCCGATCTCTATTGACATTCTCTTTGTTCTGTAGAAGAGACACAACAGTAAACAATTAGAAGTGAATATCAAAATCAGACAAACCAAACCAAAGTTGTATAAATCGATAAGAAGAGCAAATGTATATACCTCTCTGAGAGCTCCTCGGATACTTTGGCATCACAATGAGAACCTGTATTAGAATCAGATGCAAATCTATTAAAGTTTCAAAACGAGATGAAAGTGGAACCAACAAACAGAACAAACAGAAAAAGAGCAACCTTTGCAATTTTCTTCATCACCCTCGTGCTCTGACTCTGAACCAGAACTTGACTTAAGCATCCAAAAATCTGCTTCATCGGAATCAGTATCTTCCTTACCGCCTCTTGTTTTCTTGGTCTTTCCGCTTGATCCAGTTCTTTTTCCACTTGCTCTATCAAACCAAAACATTACAAGCGTGAGACTTTCAGATTCAGTACAAGATGCCAGTGAGTCTGATCTTTAAGTGGAAACATTTATTGACCTAATTTTGAAGAAATCTTCTCCCATTCACGTGTTTCCAGATATGTTCCTCATTCTTGTTCACAATATCTCCTGTAAGCTTGCACACGAGTTTCGAACTGAGAACACAGCCAAAAGCAAGAAGAAAGCTTAAAAGCTTACTTTCTAACTATGATTATGAAGCAAAGATCTCTCTGAAACTATGAGCTATATAAAGAGGAATCCAAACACATAAAAGTCTCATTTTCTTGGCCACAAAAACTCAGAAAGTAGCAACCAAAGGTCCTCAAATGGTATTTATCAAAACCAAAATCAATGAGACTCTAATGTAGAAATGATCTACATGAAACTTGAAGCTTTATAATCCGAAACTCGAGGAATACAAAGACATGAAAGTGCAACTTTTTCCCTCAGAAAACATCAAAAGTTTCATCATCCACTTTCTTTAACAGATGTAAACAACTACAAAGGATTTGTTTTGGGTTTCAACTAATTTTGATAGCTTGTGAAGCCTCAAAACCACTTTAATCTTGAAATTAGCAGAATTCTAACTTTCACTCTTATAATCCCTAAACCCACTTGAAATATCTAAAATTTAATGTATTGATTTGACGAGGAAAAAATGGAGAAACTTTGGCTAACCGAGAAAATGGCATGTGATCGATGAGTCCCAAACGATACCGTTTTTTACGAGCGTATGATTCTTCGTAGGCTACAACCTTGTGACCTGTCGCGACGCATCTGAGCCGTCCGTTTCCGATATCAACGAACATAGGTGAGCCAAACAGATTCGTCGACTCTTATTCTTTCGCCTTCTCCATCATCATCTCCTTCATTCTCCTTTCTGAGTTCGCAGGAATCTTTGAAGAGGTCTCAATCTTTGAATTGCTCTAGTCTCTAGACTCTCTAGTTCACTTAGAAGGTCTCTAACATTATGTCCATTAAAAAAGATACGAACCAAACCGAATCCAATAGAAAAACCGAACCGAAACTCATTTATTCGCCTCTAGTTATTTTGAAAATTTGTAAAAAATTGTCTGTTGTTCAAAAATTCGCAAAAAAATTTGTAGTTTCAAGTGTATAAATCCAAAAAATATATACATATCAATGTTCAAAATATAAAACTCACTATGTTTTAATTACTCTAAGCAGTTTTAGATAAAACAAAAGAAAATTGAAATAAAAACTAATCTTTAATAAATAAGGTATCATCTAATATGTAAATCAAATGTCATTTAAAGAGTAAAAACCCATTTACGAACCCCATCAAAAGTCAACATACATAATAGGAAAAGTAAAAGTAAAAAAAAAAAAAAAACTAAAGCACAAATTAAGTGGTCAATGATTTCTTGTGTCGGAAGCTTCCTCCACGGTGGTGCAACGGGGAAAAAGGCCAAGAGTAGACTTATTATGAATGTTGTAATCCATTAAAGTCGAACCATCTTCATGCAGCCGTTGGCCGTCAAAAACTAGCAATTGCATGTCCTGTGGCAATATTCCTTCCTTGTCATAAATCTTGGCCTTCAAATTCGTAACCGTATCACAGCTTTCCACGTCAAGAGTAAAGATCTTGTACCTCCCAAGATTGGGATTGGGATTTCTCTGCCAAGTCTTGACAAAAATCTGTATAGCAACTCCCATATGCATCGAAAGGTGAAGAGTATAACCTATATCAATGTTGTAATCCGCTAAAGTCAGACCATCTTGAAGCTGTTTCCCGCAAAAGAGTAGCCTCTGGTACTCCGGTGGAATCCCTTCATTGTGATGAATCTTGGCCTTCACGTCTTCTATTGTATCACAGCGTTCGACTTCAAGAGGGAAACTCACGATCTCATTGTATTTCGTCACAGTCTTGACCAAAAGATGCATCGCACCTCTCAGACGCTGCACAAGCTCAAGAGTTCTTGAGCATTCGCCGCCAATCTTGTAATCTTGAAGTGTTAGACCATCTCGAAGCTGTTTACCAGCAAAGCGAAGCACCTGCCGGTCCACTGGGATCCCTTCCTGGCGATGAATCTTAGACTTGACACTGTAAATCGTGTCACTGGTTTGGACCCCATCAAGAGTGATTTCATCTCTCGTCGCAGTCGTGACGTAAATTCGATTATCAGCTTTCGAAAGCACGATACCGTGAGGAGTTGACTCATTCTGGATGTTGTAATCCGCAAGGGGCTTACCATCTGCTTCAGGCTCGACAAGGTGAAATGTTGACTCCTTTTGAATGTTGTAATCAGCCAAAGTACGACCATATTGAAGCTGTTTATCGGCGAAGATAAGCCTCTGCTGGCTCGGAGGGATCCCTTCCTTTACTTCTATCTTGTCCATGACGTTTTCAACGGTGTTTGAGCTTTCGACCTCAAGAGTTATGGTCTTGCCTGTAAGTAAGTGTCTTTACAAAGATTTGCATAACCATCTGGAGACGAAAAGTAAGTACAGCTTCGTTAGCTAGCGCACATACACCTGACAAAACTAGAGAGCTACAATCACAGCAAAACGAGAAACCCTAACCAAGAATCACAAAAAAAAAAAAAAAAGGAATACTCCGATTCAAGAGTATATCTTAAAACAACTTAAGTAAAAACAAAAATATCTGAAAAGCCACGATAATCTCAGAACACAGTCAACGAATGAACAAAAGTAATCGAAGAAACATATACCTTGAGACTTGACAGAGGAAATCAAGAAAGTTTAGCAGAGCTAGTTAGGTTTGCGTTTGGAAGAATTACAACGGAAAGTGTTCTCCTTATATTGATCAAACCAAATTTAAATGGAAATAGGAAATACAATATAATGTAAAAAAAAGGAAAATCTAAGAAACCGAAGTTCTAGGTTTAACGGAATAACCAATAGACCAAATTAAATTAAACATATTTGTTTTTATCATCAGATAAAGCTATCAGTTTTATTTATTTTATTATTTCAAATTCGTCAAGAAATAGATTAAATGCTATCATTCCGTTGAAAAAAAAACTAAATTAATGTTATGTATTAAAAAAAATAAGAAAGATATCTCCTAACTACTGTATCATATGTGGATTATCTTTTGTAATTAGTCCAGGAGCTTACACTCTTTAGAAAAAAAAAAATTCCATAATTCAAGTCATGCATGTAATAACAAATAGCCAATAGGGGGTGGGTTTGAAAAGGCATACAAAGTTTAATCTGAATTACAAACTGTTAAAACCAAAACACATAAGTGTTACAAACAAACGACTTTCCAAGCACTTTGCCAGATTAAGCCAACATGAGTCCCACGAAGTGGTCTTTTTTCTTGTTATTAAGAAGAACAAAACATATTCGTGACAAAAAAAAAAGAAGAACAAAACATAAACAAAGAAATAAGTAAGTACTATTAAAGATTCCAATGACGAATTTAAACAGAAACAGAAAGAAGTTGAATCATTATTACTGAAACAGAAAGTCAACGTTGGAGCTTCCATCGTTTCTTGTGTCACAAGCTTCTTCCACCACGGTGTTGTAACGGCTAATAAGCTGAAGAGTAGAGTCTTTCTGAATGTTGTAATCCTCTAAAGACAGACCATCTTCAAGCTCTTCCCCGGCAAATATTAGCATCTGATAGTCCGGTCGCATTCCTTCTTTCTCACGAATCTTAGCCTTCACACTCGCAATCGTATGAGAGCTTGCCACTTCAAAAGCGAAGGTCTTAAACCCATGAATGGGATTTTTCGGCAAAGTATTGACAAAAATCCGCATAGTTCTTCTCGGACGCTGTATAAGGTAAAGAGTTGACGCTTTCACAATGTTATAATTCCCAAGGCTTCGACGATCTTCAAGCTCTCTACCACCAAAGACAAGCAACTGCTGGTCCGGTGGAATCATTTCCTTGTGATAAATCTTATTCTTTAATTTCTGAATCTTATCACAGCTTTTGAACCCATCAAGACTGATGATATTTCCCGTCAAGGTCTTGACAAAAATATGGAATCTCAGACGCACCACCACAAGGTAAAGAGTTGAGTGTTTTGCAATGTTATAATCATGAAGCGTTCGACCATCTTCAAGCTGTTTACGATCAAAGAGAAGCACCTGCTGGTCCAGTGCGTACCCTTCCTTGTCGTGAATCTTGGCCTTGACGTTGTAAATCGTATCACAGCTTTGGACTTCATCAAGAGTGATGGTCTTTCCACTTGTAGTCTTGACAAAAACCTGGAAAGGTTCTCTCCGATTCCACACAAGGTGAATAAATGATTCATTTTGAATGTTATAATCCGCTAGGGTTTGACCATACTTGAGATATCTACCAGCGAAGACAAGTATCTGCCGGTTCACTTCGGTCCCTTCCTTGTCAAGAATCTTGGCCTTCAAGTTGTCAATCGTATCACTGCTTTTGACTTCAATAGTGATGATCTTGTCCCAAGGACTCCTGAGAAAAATTTGCATAGCATCTCTTAGACGCACCGCAAGGTAAAGAGTTGATTCCTTCTTAATGTTATAGTCTGCTAAAGTCCGACCATCTTCAAGCTTTGTCCCTCCGAAAACTAGTATATGCCTGTCCGGTGAGATCCCTTCCTTGTCATGAATCTTGGCCTTCACGTCTTTAATGGTGTCTGAGCTTTCCACGTAAAGAGTGATGGTCTTGTCCTCACTGTTCTTGTCCGCACAAGTCTTGACAAATATACGCATCCCACCATCTTCTTGAAAAAGATCTGGATCCCTCAAAACTCTGCGTCCCATTTGCACAATGTAAAGAGATGACTCTTCCTGGATGTTGTAATCCGCAAGTGTTCGACCATGTTCAAGCTGTGTACCGAAGAAGATGAGTCTTTGCTGGTCTTGAGGGATCCCTTCTTTTTCTTGTATCATTTCCATGACGTTGTCAATAGTGTTTGAGCTTACGACCGCAAGAGTTATGGTCTTGCCTGTAAGTGTTTTTACAAAGATTTGCATCTGGAAACGCCAAAAAAAGTGCAACTTCGTTAGCTAACACACACACACATTACAAAACTAGAGAACCACAATGACAGCAGCACAACAAATAGCCCTTGAAAACTACATTCAAAGCAAAACGACAAACCCTAATCTCAACCACGAATCACATAACAAGAGAGAGACTATCTGTAAAACTCTAGTAATAACAAAACTATCTGTAAAACCAGCCTTGACAATCTCGGTTACTGAAGAGAGAGAACAAAGTTAACGAATGAACAAAAGAAATCGAAGAAACATATACCTTGAGACTTGACGGAAAATTAGAACTCAGGAAAGATTAATTTGAAGAAATTGAATTACAACGAGGGGAAAAGTTCTCCATAGAGAGTTAGAGAGTTTGATCAAAATCTGAATGAAAATAGGAAATCTAATGTTTTTTTTTTCTGTTAGATAATGCCTATATAACTGTATACGGAAATCAAGTAAGATTTACAGAAATTAAGTGAAATAAGAAAATCTAATGTAAACACATAGATGGAAAATCTGAACTAAATTTAAAACCAAAACCAAATTTCCTTCATGTAGCGAACAAATATAACCGAAATAGATTGAGCCAAATGTAGTTTAGTACACTGAACCGAAAACAAAAAACTGATTAAAAAAAAACTATAAATCAAAGACTGTTGCTTTCTTCAAAGGAACATGTTATAGTCAAAAGTTTCAGAGAAACCACCCACTAGCTTCTGTGCTCTGCATTGCTACTTTCATGGCAATAACATTTCAAGAAGGTCTCTAACAGCGTAATAATTGCATAATAAGTACATCTTGAAATTCATCTCATAAATATTCAGTTACTTGGAGTCCAAGGTTGTAATTCTCACAGTTTAGCACTTTTGATTTATTCATCTTAAGTTGCTCAAGTGTTTTGTATGATTCTATCTGTTAAGCTTCTGGTCCCCGCTTGGCTCTTGTGCCCGCGGTTGATTTAGCCATTTTGGCTCTTATATTCAGCTTGTTGAACAATTTCTCTATGTATGGAGACTAATTCTATCTATAAAGTCTAGTTCGTCTGAAAAAAACAATTGATCAGGCTTTACAGTTTGATTTAAAAACTACAAAAACATTAATTTAGCCTGATCTATCCTTCCATTAAAAACTAAATTAATGTTTTTGTATTAAAAAATAAGAAAGAGATCTCCTAACTAGCTACCGTATCATATGTGGGAATACACAGATATATTTTATTTTTATTAATCCCATAATTTAATTCAGTATGAACGAATATGGGTGGCTTTAAATAGAGACAGACAAATTATTGGATCCAAAATATCTGAAGTGTTAACAGTTGTGTATTTATGATAGAGTGACTAATAATAGAATACTAGTATACGACTTTCCAAGATCTAGCCAGATCATAAGCCAACATGTTTAAATCATGTCAATGAGATCCACGAATTGGTCTTCTTTTTTTGTTACTAATAAGAAAAATAAATACACGAAGAAATAAGGAGAAAATTACTTAATCTAGCACTAATTCAAGTTTCCATGACGAAATTTAAGAGTGTTTTTTTTTTTGTATAAAAGTATTCGGGAGAAAAATAATTCTATCCGATTTTTCAAAGAAACACATTGCGGATCCTATTAAAATCTAGTATCCTATGCTCATCCTATGATAGAGCGAATAACAAATAATAATACTACACGATCTTCCAAGAACTTGCCGATTAAGCCGACATGGTAACGTGTAAAATCATCGTGCCCACGAGTTCCACGAATGTCTTTTTTTTTATAGAAGTTATTTATTTTTCTTTTTGTTATTGAAAAAAAAATGATCAAATAAGTACTATTTTAAAGATTCCATGACGAACTTATATACGGTAACACCGGATTTTGATTTTGGTGATCAAAATTTAGGTTTAATTAATTTGAATTGATGAGTTTAGGATATTAAATAGGAATCATTTCTATACTTTTTTTTTTATATAATCAAGATCCATAATTTTACACGTTTCTCTACTACAAACAAAAATAAACCAAAAGTCCAATCTTATCGCATCGCATTCATGACTTCTAATCATTATTGATAAACTATACATGAAATGTAAACAACGAAACGTATCAAAATATATCCTTCTCCGGAAACTGAGCCAACAAAAGGTTCCATTTGGTTTTTCATGTTTTAAGAAGTTTCCAACTTTAACCATTCTTTTTGGATTTCCCGGCGAAATGGCGAGCGACGGTCATGACATTGAACCATTACTCCAACACTCTGGTAGACCACCGCCGGAGCACCACGACGTCACGATTCTAACGCCGTCGGAATTCAAAAACCGTCTACTGTACGGCTCTCAACGAGACTCATCTCCGTCATCCTCTTCCGCAACCTCACTCTCCGACTACTCAACCACCCTCAACCTCCTTAGATCATCCCAACGAGCTGCAACAGCTCCTGCTGCTACGGCGTTTGCGACCAACGATCCAACAACTCCCCCAATAGATCGGGAAACAGAGCAATCATCAGATCCAAACTCCATTGCAAGACAATCTGTTGCAATGCTTATTGTGTATCTCTCTTTAGGTGTGCTTATCTATTGGCTTAATCGAGACGGCTACGCACTGAAGAATCAAACCCATCCCGTCGTTGATGGTTTATACTTTTGCATCGTAACAATGTGCACAATCGGTTATGGAGACATCACACCGGACAGCGTCACAACGAAGTTGTTATCCATATTGTTTGTTCTTGGTTGGTTTGTTCTCATGAACACATTTCTTAGTAGTGGGATCTTGACTTACTTTCTTGATCTCCAAGAAAGCTATATCTATCGAAATTCAAGATCATCATATATATTCGATGTAAGGAAAGGCAGGATGAAGACTAGGGTTAAAGTTGCATTAGCGTTGGGTGTTGTGATATTAAGCCTTGGACTTGGAGTTTTGATTATGCATTTCGTTGAGAGAATCGGGTGGTTGGATTCGTTTTACTACTCGTTTATGTCGGTTACTACAATTGGTTATGGAGGTCGTGAGGCTTTTAAGACGTTGACAGGTAGACTTCTTGCTGCGATCTGGATGCTTCTGTCTACTTTCTCTCTTGTTGGAGCGGTTTTGTATTTGGCTGAAGCGAGAAAGGAGAAGACGAGTAGAAAAATGGCGAAGAGAGTGCTAAGTGAAAACATGTCTGTCGCTCAGTTCTTTGCAGCAGATATCGACAGAAGTGGCTGCGTGAGGTACGTGCACTCGCTTTTCCTTTTGGACATTTCCTCCAAATATACTATTTTAAGTTTTTATTCCAAAAGTAGACTTATACATTTTTGTAATTCAAATAAAAAATGATTCAAAACTCCTTAAGAGAAGAAATCTAAACCATAATTTGGAAAAAAAGAACTCAAACATAGTGTTTAGTTTTGCGTGATTCTATAATAAAAAAACAAATGTTTTTACACAAAACAATTTGTGCTACTTTTGGAAATTTTGAATTCAGTTTGCTAGATTTGCAGCAAAAAAATATTTTGGTTTATTACTTTATTTTAAGGTATTTATCTTTCTTATATCATCTTTTCAATTTATCATGATCTTTGGTGCAGTGATCCTCTTGCTTTATGTCATGCATTATCAAAACTTCTTCTTACAATTAAGCTTTTTATTTGTTTGCAGTAAAGAAGACTTTGTGATATACAAACTAAAGGAGATGGGGAGAATAACTAGTGAGGACATTAGACCGATCCTTAACCAGTTTGACAAGCTTGACCCAAGCAACAGTGGACGTATTGCTCCTTTAGATTTATCCACTGCAACTTTTGTTTAAGAACACACTGATGCACCGAATCTTCATGTTTTGCATTCTTTTATTTGGGCTTTTGTTTATTGGCTTTGTGTGTCGAACACAACTTATGTGTTCAACGAACGATTCATTAGCTCTTTCAAAAAAGGAGAAACTTATATTTTTCAAAGAGCTTTCATCTGGAAAACACTAAAAGGAGAACTTTCAAACCCTGGGCGTAATCGAAATCTGTTGAACTACATGGTGTCTAAATCCAAGTTTATCTGCGAGTTCTCTTAGAATTGTGTGACCTAACTTGTTATTTAAGTTCCCTCTGCGAGTTCTCCTAGAATTTTTGTGACCTAACTTGTTATTTAAGCTTCCTCTCTCAATCAAACACACATTACAACATCACAGAAGATAGTAATGAAAAAGATCTTGTAGATTTATTCCCATTCCGAGTATAAAAAGGTCTTTAGATGCATAATTTTTATCACAAGTTATTGGTTCTTCTTTTTCTTTTTTTTTTTCAAGTTATTGGTTCATCAATTGGATATTGTGGTTCGGTTCGGTTCGGTTCGGTTCGCTCTAACCGAAAACTCTTAGAGAGATCAAGTAGAAACAAAACAGAGCAAAGGCTCTGTTTTTTTCATCCTTAATGGTGAGATTGTGCCGATCTCGACTTAAGAAAAACGATTTGAAAACTTAACAACCAATTAAACATCTCCAAAATCTCAAACCTTTCTTAATATGAATACAAAAATGCTGATACATAAAGTAAACGCTGATACTGACATCATAAAGTAAACGCTGATACACATCATATAGCTCATCTCCATTTCAGAAAATAGGACATTGGTGGGTTTTTGTGCCATGGTGCAATTTTTCCATATATCCACTTGTGCCATTGGGTTCCGTGTGCACACTCCATTGAACAAGCGTATCGAAGAGAAGGACCCCTGCTCTCAACGAAAAGGGAAGGGAACATGCAGCGGTTATCACAAACCAGGCAAAAAGGTCTACACATACCATTGTTGGGCAATACTATAGCATCAAATAATGTGTCCCATGGCTTGAGGTAATACATGTCTCCAATTACACATTTGATATGGAGAGTGACCCCACAATCATCACAACCATAAAACCATACGCTTGGATCTGTCTTTCCTTCACAGATATCACACCACAATTGACCATTGTTGTGGTTTTCAAGGTCATGATGCAACGATAAAACATGATCGTCGCATCTGTGTTTCACTTTCCTTGGTAACATGGCACACTCCATGCCTAGAGCATACTCACAAACAATACAACTTAAGACATAATTCGAAACTTCCCCACATGCTCCACAAGTCTTTTGCTCTGCTGTGGTGCGGTACAAGGGATGAGGATGCAGTTCATGAAGAAAAGGCTCCGGAATGGAAGCGCACCGCACATCTATCACAAAATAAGGGGGAGGACCACTTTCACAGAGTTCTGTGGAACTACATATGTACCTGAAGCCGTGGAAGGATTGAAGACAATAAGTACACATGCACCGGTCGTTCTCATACATAACCTGCAGACTAAGCTTGTGGTTGTGCAGGATATTCCGCTTCAAACGAGGAAGACTAGCACATGCTTTATGTAGGAAGAAGATGCATTCTTCACATTTGAAAAATGGATCGGAATCCATGGGACGGATGCAAGCGTCACACCGCATCTTTTCATAATCGGCAATATCATCATCAACAAGCCCTAGGTTATGCTGGTGACTGAAATGTTTAATTTCCTTGTCATTTATAACCTCGTATGGATCTTCAACTTCATCCTCTTCAGGCTCATCTTCGAGTTCTTTTCCATCCCACACATCTTTCCTTGTGGCACATTTTGAATGAACAACATAGTCAGGACAACGTTTGCAAGAGAAAGCACCAAAGGCCCCATCGATCTTTTTGCGACAAACTCCGCATTCCCAATCTCCTAGGTTGAGATCATAGGTGCGATAAATCCGGTGTTCGTGACGATTGATGTTTATGACTCGAGGCAAATCGATACAAGATTTGTGCAACGTAAAATTGCATTCAAGACAAACATAAGGATTACGCTCCCCACCAATCCCACACGCGTTACAAGTGAAGGAGATCAATCTCGCCATGAGGGTGAATGTATGGTTGTGGCTCTTTGGTTGATAAACCGTAAGCGGTGGTGGAACTACGGAGCAGCGTACATGTAGGCTGAAACTACACGTGGAGCAATGATACGTCAGATCATCAAGCTCATATCTACAAAAATGGCATTTACCATCTGTATTCGCAATTGTCTCGGTCGAGACAAGCTTGAGAGGATGCCTGGAGTGACAAGGGATGTTGATGACGTCCGGGACGACCATGCAATAAGAATGCAACCCGAAATTGCATATTTGACAATAATACCCCCAACCATCCGATGAACCGCATCCATCGCAACTATGTGATCCACTACGAGGACTCGTCTCTGACGAAACTTCATCATTAGGGAAATCCAGACATACGGATTGTAACGGATGATTGCAGGGAAACTTCACTCTATGTTTTGGTTGCTTCATAATGAGGCTACGATCGGGTTGTTTTTTTTGTTGGATAAAGTCGGAAAAATTGAATATCCAAGCCACAAGTCTGTAGTTTTTCGATATGAGTTATATCATGAATGATGAATCGTGTAACCAGTGACCTCTAAATGCAAGATCATATAATATTTTAGCATTACCCCAAGTGGTATTAGTTAATACTACTATCGATAGTCAGCCAGCTCACCGTGACAGGTTACAAACATAATTTATTCATGTACCCTTTTTGTCGTTTACTTGTTCAGGTTGTAAAATTGATCTTCTTGATCTAGATACATTTCTTTTTCATTTCGTCTTAGCTGGAATCTTTCCTCTCTCTCGAATTTGATGGATTTAATATTTGAACAAGTACGATACGGATCGACATATATTAATGCCCACGGATTTTTTTTTGTCAACTTAATAGAAAGCTGATATGGGCTTTAATCACTCAACTAATTCATTTATGCACCAAAATCTTAGAAAAAATTGAATAACACTACACCAGTAATAGCATACAGTCATGATACAGATTAATTAAAGTGTAAAACCTCTAGGTGCAACCTGCAATTTCTACAAGTAGTTTAGTTTGATGCTATGATTCTTCTCAAGACTGCTATGGGAAACAAAACTCCACTTCTTGTTGTGTAATATTATGTAATTTGATGGGAGCTCAACAGAAAAAGAATGTATGAATTGAACCCTTTGGAGGAGAACCTAGTCTAATGCGAGAGTCACCACTCTCACCAGTAATCCCTACAAGAACAGAGCCCATCCCTAAAGTGATGGAACCTACTTGAATCCCTCACAGTGATCTCTCTCTTCACAACCTTCGCTATCAGTTTTATCGCAGCGTGACAATCCCTACAAGCCCTCAAGTTCTTCATCACAACGATCGGAGACCCTTCCGGTGTACTAATCAGAGCAAACGCAACAGCTAAACGCTCACTATGGAACTTAAGCGACTCAATCTTCGCCTTCTCATCAACATCTTGCACAACCCAACTCGTATCAGGCTTATACCCTTCTCTCTCAATCTCATCAGTCAATTCATTGATCTTCCTCACGATCTCATCTCCTCTCGGATGCGTCTGGTCATTCGACGAGAACATGTGAATCTCGTGGTTCACTTCAACCCAGCTATTAGCCGTAACTTTCTTGATTCCTCGTTCACGCATCGCTCTCTTCACAAGGCTCACGCTTTCCCATTCCCCCGCCGTTGCGTAGATGTTAGACATGCTTACATAAGCAGCAGCGTCTCTTAGCTTCTCCATGCCAAAGAGCTTCTCCGCTGCTCTCTCTGCATGTTCTTGATTCTTGTGAATCCGACAAGCGTTCAACAATGAAGACCACATGATCTCATCTGCCTCAAACGGCATTTCCTCCATCAGCTTCTCTGCTTCTTCAAATCTCCCATTTCTTCCGAGCAAATCAAGCATACACGCGTAATGCTTCCTCCCTGGAGCTATCCCGTAGACCCGAGACATCGCCTCGAAAAACTCTGTTCCTTGCTCCACAAATCCACAGTGACTACAAGCAGTCAAGACCCCCAAAACGCTGACAGCATCCGGCTTGAGACCTCCTGAGTGAGTCATCTCCGTAAAAGCACTAATCGCTGCTTCTCCATCTCCGTTATCAGCGAACGCCGAGATCAAAGCGTTCCACGAAACCGCGTTTCTTTCAGGCATCTCTCCGAAAACACGAACCGCGTCTTTGACAGAGCCACACTTTGCGTACATATCAACAAGTCCAGATCCAGAGTAGACGTTCTCTGCGTTCCCTGATCTGATTATGAACGCGTGGAGCTGTCTTCCAAGCGACAACGAAGCGAAACCAGCGGAAGCTCTCAACACAGTAGCGAAAGTCGACTGGTCAGCTCGTAGATTCTCTCCTCGCATCTTGACGAACAGCTTGAGACCAGCTCCATGAAGCCCTCTCTGAACATAACCTGAGATCAAAGCAGTCCAAGAAACAGTGCTCTGCTGCGATAACCTCTCAAATATCAACTCAGCTTCCTCAAACATCTCACACTTCGCGTACATGTCCACTAAAGAGTTCCCAACATGAGCGATCGAATCAGCCGTCGCCACGATGGCCTGACAATGCACTTGCCGTCCCATCCGCAACGACGACAAGTTCGCCGCGATGCTCAGCACCGTCGCGAAAGGGAAATTCCTCCGATCAAACCCTATCCACTGCATCTCTCTGAACAGTTTCAAAGCCTCCTCGTACTGCTCAGCTTGCGAATAGCTTGAGATGACCACATTGTAAGACACGAAATCCAACTCTGGCATTTCTTGGAAAAGCTTCCACGTTTCAAGAACACGATCATGCTTGGAGTAGAAATCAAGAATCTGATTCCCAACCGCCACATCCGTTGAAAACCCTGTAGCAACCGCAGAGCCATGCAGCTGCTGGCCGAGAACGAAGTCATGCACCCCAACAACTGCCTTGAGAACACCGGAGAACGTGAAATCCGAAGGCTTGTGACCTGACCGCTGCATTTCAACAAAGAGACAAATCGCCTCTGTGTACAAACCATCCTTCTCGTACCCTGTGATAAGCGTGTTGAACGAAACAGAGTCCTTCTCTGTAATCTGATCAAACACCACACACGCCAAGTCTCTTCTCCCTATCTCACAGTAAGACTTAACAAACACATTGCAAACAGTGAGGAAAGGGTTCTGATCAAACCCTAACTTGACCGCAACGGCGTGAACTTGAGCCACCGCGTGCTCCGGAACGGCGTCGTTGCATCCAGGTAAAAGCGTAGCGAATGTTACATGATCAGGGAAGGTGAAACAAGACCTGGTCATGTCACGGAAAAGCTTGAAAGCTTCGTGGAAATGGTTGTTCCTTGCGTACCAACCCATCAAGATAGTCCACGTCACGACGGTTCTCTCTCTATCGACCATCGCGTCAAAGAGCTCTCTCGCGTTGTGGAGATCACCGGACTTGACGTAACCTGAAATCATCGTGTTGGTGGAGACTGTGTTCTTCTGAGGCATTTCGTCATACACCTTGCGTGCGTCAGAGACTTGACCTCTCTTGAGAAAGTCCTCGAGTATGAAGTTGGAGCGGCATGTCTCTGTGTCGAACCCGGTTTTGATGATCCGTGCATCGATACGACGCGGCGTTTGGAGAAACCGGAGCTGCTGTAGAGTCGTAGCGAGTGTTGTTCTTGAGCGGATGCAATAAAGCTTCATAAACCCAATTTCAAATGAACAATCTTCCTGCCAAATACGTATGATTTTATTATTTGGCAGTGTTATTCAATACTCTCTGGATCAATCTGAAGTGAAGTTGGCAAAGAATCTGAATTTTCGTCACTTGGTGATTGATAGAATGCTGTTCATCATAAGAAACACACGAATTTGAGACAATGTAGATTCAAATTTTTTTGACTGATGATTCAACCTGAAGAGCTTTTCAGATTTATGAGAGCTTGGAGAAGATGGAACTAAAGCTTGAAGACGATGAAAGGAAGAAGAAACACTGTTTTGAAGCATTTATTTGTTTAAAATCAATTCAATTCTGCTCGATTTTGTTTTTGGTTCATTCAATAAAAAAATTTGGTTTGGTTCGGTCTAATTGGAAATTGTTCGGTTCGCAAAAGTTCGGTCTAATTGGAAACTGTTCGGTTTTTGGTTTTTGGTTCATTCAATAAATTTTGGCTTGTAGAGTTGAGTACTAGAAGCAAAAGTAGAGCCAAAGTCACCACCAATTAACACAACTCTCAAATCTAAAAATCCATAGAAGAAGATTAATAGAAACTTTCGGTTTATTTACAAGGAGACTGATTGATTAAACCGTGGATAGATAATGAGTTTGGGTTTGCTTTCACTGGCGATGACCTTCTGGTAAAGGAACAACTTTGTGAAAAGGCACTGTTCTTTGAGGCAATGCTTTATCTTCCTCATCATCAAATTCAAGCAAGTAGCTGGTTTCATGATTCACAGAAACAAGAGCAATCACGTGAGTCTTTGTACTACAAAATTCCAGAGCAAAGCAAGAAAGAAACAAAGGTTCAAAAGAACTTACTCGTCAGACTTCCTCTGATGTTGGGGAGAGAATTTGACATTCATGTTCAAGTAAGGTTAGTGACTGCAAGACGGCTTCAAAGAGAGATGCAAATGGAAAAAAACTAACCTTTCGTGGGGTACTTATAACAGTGGCTTTGTAGAGTGCTGTTGTCCCTGGATATACAGCTAAGACGTGTTTACCAGGTGGAAACTCTTGCGTGCTCCACGGATCGTTTCCTTTAGGGAACGGTATGATGCATGACATCGGTAACATATATATCCTATCAATCAATGATCAGAAGAGATAACAATATTTAGTAAAATTTCTATAATGAAAGTTTTTGTATCAGATTTTTTTACCTCTGACCGCTTCCTTCTTCATCATCTCCTGGTTCTTCATCAAGTACTTCAATTCTGTGATCAAAGTTTGAATACAACTTTAGACTCAACACAGAAGGAACTTTTGTTTCAGATAAAAGAAGAAACTTTTGTTTCATATATAAAAGGCTTACTCTTTTCTTTCTCTATCAAAGTGAATGACTTTACACACAAACCATATATCCTTCTCAGCATCATCTGGTGTAACTCTCGCAGCGACCTTCACAAATCAGATGTGAGCAATGAGCATAGATTCTGAATTTCTGATCAAAGTATTAGTTATTTACCTGTTCACCCTTTAGACTTGAAAATGCTTCGATTAGATTTCTCATGGAAGGAGAGAGTCTCATTACATCAGAATCATATTTCATCCTCTTCTTCTTCTGGTCATTGCCTTCTCCCACTAATGTGATATCATTGCAAGCATCGAAAAAATTATTAATTCCTTTGTATTAAATTTACAGGAATTCATTCAAAAAAAAAAATTACAGGAATTTTAGTACAGAACACATTGTGTTTGTATGTACCTATTCTTCTTTGTTGTTGTCCGACACAATGTGGAAGCAAAGAATCCAACTGAGTAAGCAAAAAGTTCGACACTCTGCGTGTTAAAACACACAACATTCAAACATCAGTCCATAATCCATTCAAAGTATTTAAAATTTTTAATTCGCCATTGTAATGAGAATCAAAGAAATTGGCTTACGTTACTTCACTCTCCGAAAGCTCTTTTGCTTGAATGTACAGAATTTTGAGCTTTGACAATGAAGTATCACCAGGCTTCTCAACTATCTCAGGAGCTGCATTCAAAACATTAATCACCATATCAAATCAAATAATGACCAATTTAGATTATATACTGTTTCGGATTCATTGCATTGTAAATAATCACTAAGTTAGATCAATTTCGCTAATGAATTCATGATGTAAAAATCAAGACTTTAACTGACAAACATAAACATTGCCCGGAAAAAACGAAATTGAGTTTCAGATCATTACAAATTCGATAAGAAAAAATTGAGAAAATAACAAAATAAGTTTTGTGGAAACACTCACTTGTTTGAAGTTTCTTATGCATCTTATTGATCTCCACAAGAACTACTTCTTGTTCTTCCCTTAACCGATCAAGCTCTTTCGTGTATTCCAGAATTCCTTCAATGTCCGGTGACGACATTGTCCTCAGTTACCAAAATCGGCTTAAACGAGCAGACAAAAGAAACACAACAAACAAATCTTATATTGGATTGTTCGAATCGCGAAGTTTTTTTCTCTCTGCTGGGAAATCCAACAAAAAAGAGTTTAGATTTCTGTTCGAAGATCTTATTTCCTTTTTTCTGATCGACTGTTCTAAGATTTTCCTTAAATTTATAATTAGGAGTGAAATTGTGATGGATTCGTAGGTCAAGAAGAACAATACGATGTCGTTTATAAACAGAGAAGATTTACTGGATAAAGACAAGTGTTAAGCCTTTAACCTGATTAAACTTTAAACTAATCAGATACGTTTAGCCCAAAAAGAACTAATCTGATTATTGACGACGCTCCAAAAGATACATGGACCTACAAAATAATGTATACTTTTATTTTATTTAAACTCTTTAGAAAAATGTTATTTTATTTTATTTTACTTAAATCCCTCAATCCGACGTTTATTGATAAACCACAACATTAGCGTAAAACTCTATCACACGTAACGTAAGTCATAATTAGTTTTGCAGTAAGGTCGAATAAGATCTATGGATGGATTTTGTGTCAGACGAAAAATTCAAATTTAAAAATTAATCTGAAAACAAAGCAAAATCAAAAGAGAGGGAAAAAATAAATATTATTTATATTTTGAAAAAGTTATGAGTATTGTTTATTTATTTAGATAAATCATAATCAATATAATTAAACTGTTAAATTAAAAGTAATTACAAATTGAATGACTATTTTATAAATAAAAAAGTTCAATGGCAAAATAGTATATTGCATAATCTCATACCAAATATAGAAGCAAAAATAGCATAATGCTATTTTGCAATAGCATATGCAATTAGGTTGAAGCAAAAATTATGGCAAAATAGCATATATGTCATATTTAGCATGGAGATGCTCTAACAAAGTTAGTTCTACTTTCATAATTTGGTTTATTTTTTCTTGGCGAATTTCTAGACCAATCGTGGAATATGCATCGAATATATAGTTCTAACTTGAGTTTAATTCGATCAAATCAAAGGTAGTTTTGGGGATTTTTCGATTAATGAGATGGTTTAAGAAAAAGGGTTCGTGTAATTTAGAGTTTTTATCCAGAAAAATAAATCAAATGTTTATTCTCTCTCTAATGTGCCTCTACAATCCAACAATTATTGAATTGGGCCGAGAAGGTTTTCCTTTGACCCGTTAACCGACACTCGACTCGCAGGCCCAAATACTTTTTCTATCTTGTTTTGTTCTTGTTTTTCCTTTATACAAGTTTCAAACTCCACCAATAATGTAGGAATAGGATTATTACAAACTCTAACAAATCAACAAGAAACAAGAAAAGACAATGCAGAGGGAATCTAATCTCAAGGAAGATCAAGATTTGAGAAACATAAGCATTGTGTCGTGAGCATGATTTTATTGAGTATGGTCGGAACCAAAGATCCGAAGTTAATTATTAATCTCAACAATTATAATATGTTCAGTTTTCAAGGTATTAATAACAGAGAATCAAGATTATTAACCTGGATTAGGTAGGGAGGGCCCATGTGCATGTGACGGGTCCCAACCAGATAATCTTGACCCGATTTGGTATCACTTCTTGTCTGCTGACTCATGCTCACGTCATTCCAAACGTTTGCTTTTGATTAGTTTGAGAATTTGTGGAAATGGATTAACCATTAACTTTTGGCATAAAAGGAAAGTAGAACCTCGAGGACGGGAAAGAGAAAAGTTTAATATTATACTACTATAATTCCCTAAATCTGTTATTTCTTTCAAAAGAGTCGTTGTAGTATAGTGGTAAGTATTCCCGCCTGTCACGCGGGTGACCCGGGTTCGATCCCCGGCAACGGCGCTTAATCATTTTAAAACTATTAAACAACAACTTACATTTTGTCTTGCTGCTAAAATGACAAAATTACCCTTTTTCTCTCATTACATTGGTTCTCGGTTCTGCTACTTGGTTTGGTTTACATTTTTGCAGTCTCTTCGTTTTCTGAAACGGTCAATGGTGCCGCTTAGTATTCTGTATCGTGAAAATTCTATATAAGTAATGGCTTTTTGCCTTTCTCTGCAAGACTGCAAAATCAACCAAGAAGAACTTTTCTCTATACTCTTTCTCCCTCTAAATCTCTGAATCGTCGTCAATAAAAAATCACCTATACGAATTCAGGTAGTTGAATCTCTGTCTGTTCCATTCTCTGTACGTAGCTATGTTCAAATGAATTTTGTAAGTAGCAGCTTCTGATTTACTTTATATATGTAGACTTTAGAGCGTAGCGTTTATTTTTCATGGCACAGTTTCTCTTATTTACTTGTTGTATATTGCTTGTGTAGATGTTGGAGTCTTGTCGTGGCACAAGAAATATGGATAGAATCAGTAATCTACCAAATGAGATTATCTGCCACATCGGTTCTTTCATTTCAGCAAAGGAGGCTGCTTTCACAACGGTTCTCTCGAAGAGATGGCGAAATCTCCTTACCATCATACCCAAACTTCATTATGATGGCTTGGTTGATGATGAAGGGAGTTTTGAGGATTTTTTTGATGGACTATTGGCTATACCAGTGAGCACTCGTATAAGGACACTATCTCTAAAATGCAACCATATGGCTCAGTATGATGAACATATCAACCGTTGTCTCTGTGAGGTGGTGAAGCGTGGTGCTATGGTTCTTGAACTCCAGATAGAGGTCGCTAAAGAAGGTTCTTATTCACTGCCTTTGGAGATATTTACTTGCAAGACAGTTGAGAAAATGGAACTTGGGTCTGGTTTTGCTATTGACTTCATCCCTGCGGATGCTTTGATTCCAGCTCTCAAGACTCTTTCTCTTGACTCTGTTTTGTTCTATAATGATTTTGGTGGTGGTTGTGCGTTCCAAGCGCTTGTCTCTGCTTCCCCTGTGCTTGAGGAGTTGGTCATGGATGGTATTGAGTGGGAACGTTGGAGATGGTCTTGGGCTGTGTCTAGTCCGACCCTTCAAAGACTGACTATCCAACGTCAAGTGTGGGATTCTAATGAGAGATATGGTAATAGTAACAATGTACTAGATTCTCGGGGTCTTGCCTATGATTTTGACAGCATTAGTTTGGATGCTCCGAGTCTTACCTACTTGGAGTATTCTGATTATGTTCCAAAAGAGTATCCAATTGTTAATCTCAACTCCCTTGTTGAAGCTAAGCTCGATCTTCGTGTGGACCAAGATTCTATATGGGGAGGCGAACATGCAGAAGATTTCGATCCAATGAATATGGTTAATGGGTTAAAAAATGTTGAGATTTTGGACTTAACCATTGAAACTATGGTGGTAAGTCTCTCTCTATTGTTTTCTTTCTCTTTGATATATTATTATTGCAAGTTTGCAACCAATAAATAAAAGCACACTAAGAACCAGTTATAACTAGTAAGAGTCAAAATCTTGATGTTTTCACTTTACACCCATATGTTACAATTGATTAAATTAGTTGAGTTTCTTGTGTTTCAGATGCTTTATGTCTACCGTGAAGCGCTTCCAGTGTTTGGAAACCTCTTTCAGGTATCTGTTAGCCTTTCAAGCTACTGTTGGTATTCTCTACCGATTCTCATAGCAAAATCTCCAAATCTCAAGACACTCATCATTGAGGTAATGAGCCATTACTAATGTGACCGTAAACCCCAACAAATCACTCATAAAGCTTCATCTCAAATCTCTTTTTTTATTTTGTATCAGGATTCCGATCACTGTGTAGATGAGAAAGCATTGGTGTGCGTGTGCCAGTGCGTGTCAGAGACGTCTGACGTGTTATCTTCTTCTTTGGAAGTCCTAAATATAACCGGGTACAGAGGAACTATGGGAGAGCTTGTTGTGCTGATGGAGCATTTCTTGGGAAAATTAGCATGTCTTCAACTGGTGGAAGTTCATGCTCGAGTGTCAGGAGGTGACGAAAAGCTAAAAGTCTTGTCGGATCTGCTAATGCTTCCTAGAGTTTCTTCCAAGTGCAAAATCCAAGTCAAGTTTTCTCCAAAGCGTTACTAAGTGTCTAAATCTTCCCTACTTTTGCTCAAGAATATTTGGTTGTTGGAAACATGATACAATGATTCTGCTAGGCCTGATCCATCATCAGGATACAATCTAGTTTATGGTTACTGGTTTGGATGATGAGGGAATCAACACAACCTTTTTTTTATGTAACAACTTTCAACCATCTTATAACCATAAATAACTCTAAGCTATGATATTATGATTTGTTACATTTGCCAAACCAGTTTCTCTCATTTCCCTTTATAACCAAATAAACCAATAAAACAAATCATTTCATCATCATCTATACTATATTAGCAGCAGAAGAAGAAGAAGAAGAAACTTCCTCTACCTTTCTTTCTCCGGTGAGTTTGCATTTGTACTAGATACCTGATCTCCGTCTCTAACAGCCATTAATAACGAAGGTGCCAAATATGTTAATACTTTCAAAAGAGTCGTTGTAGTATAGTGGTAAGTATTCCCGCCTGTCACGCGGGTGACCCGGGTTCGATCCCCGGCAACGGCGTTAAATTTACAGGCTCCTGCTCTGCTAAAATGACAAAACTACCCTTAAATTTTTTTGCAGAATCACCAGAAAAATTATGCTCACTTCTAAAATCCAATTTATCGTCTTCCTTCTTCATCCATCCATGTCAGAAATCTAAAACCTCGCTAAAACCTAATCGAAATTGCAAGAGATTTAGCTCTCTCAGATCCCCAATCTCTCGAGGAATTTGTCTCAGAGAACTAAAACCAAGATCATCCATACTAAACCCGTCATTTTCTTTTTGCTTCTCTGTAGCTATGGTCACATGAACATTCGGCGATTTTGTAAGTAGCAGCTTCAGATTTTTTTCAATTTTTTTGTAGCTCGTCAACAAATTTACAGTGGTGGTGGGTCTTTCGATTAGATCTGTTTCGTTTTCTCCTTAAGATTTGGGTAGCATTTTACTTCATGGCACAAATTCTCTTGTTTTACAAACATGAACCAAAAGGTTTCAAGAAATTTTACTTGGTAGATGCTTGTGAATGTTTGTGATAGCCAATATTGTGCTCTCATGTGGTTTAAGAAGACTATTTAATTTTTGCCTGCTAATAATGGACTTTTGAATTGTTTGGTAGACTTGATTTATGGTTAAGCTGTGTCAATATGATCTTACATGTTGGTTGTTTATTAATCTTTTCAGGGTTGTAGAAAGGATCATAACTAAAACAAAAAGGATAGCTTTCTGATGTAAGTCCTTTATGTGGCTTGTTTATGGCATTAGAGATTGCTTTCCTGTTTTTTGCTAGGGTTCGTTTATGACTTTTGTGTTCTGTAGATGTTGGAGTGCACACGTAGGGATAGAATCAGTAATCTACCAAATGACATTATTTGCCACATCGGGTCTTTCCTTTCGGCAAAGGAGGCTGCTTTCATAATGGTTCTCTCCAAGAAGTGGCGAAATCTGTTTACCATCATACCCAAACTTCATTTTGACGATGATGATGATGATGGTTTGAAGGATTTTTTGGATGGAGTATTGACTCTACCAGTGAGCACTCGTATAAGGTCATTCTCTCTCAAATGTAACCATGTGGTTGAGTATGATGATCAGATCAAACGTTGTCTCTGTGAGGTCGTGAAGCGTGGTGTTATGGTTCTTGAACTCCATATAAAGGTCGCCAAAGAAGGATCTTATTCACTGCCTTTGGAGATATTCACTTGCAAGACGGTTCACACAATGAAACTTGGGTCTGGTTTTGCTATTGACTTCATCCCTGCGGATGCTTTGATTCCAGCTCTCAAGACTCTTTCTCTTGACTCTGTTTTGTTCTACAATGATTTTGGTGGTCGGTGTGCTTTCCAAGCGCTTGTTTCTACTTCCCCTGTGCTTGAGGAGTTGGTCATGGATGGTATTGAGTGGGAAAGTTGGGAATGGTCTTGTGTTGTGTCCAGTCCGATCCTTCAAAGACTGACTATCCGACGTCAAGTGTGGGATTCTTATGAGAGATATGGTAATGACAGCAATGTTCTAGATTCTCGGGGTCTTGCTTATGATTTTGACAGCATTAGTTTTGATACTCCGCGTCTTACCTACTTGGAGTACTCTGATTTTGTCCCTAAAGATTATCCAACTGTGAATCTCAACTCCCTTGTTGAAGCTAAGCTCGATCTTCGTGTGGACCAAGATTCTATATGGGGAGGCGAACATGCAGAAGATTTCGATCCAATGAATATGGTTAATGGGTTAAAAAATGTTGAGATTTTGGACTTAAAACTTTGAAACTATGGAGGTAAGTCTCTCTCTACTGTTTTCTTTCTCTTTGATATATTATTGCTACTAATAAGTAAAAGAATAGTTTATATTTAGGAACCATTGAGCTGTAAGAATCAAGGTGTTGCTAGAATATTCAAATGGTTCTTGATGTTTTCACTTTACATCCATATGTTGCAATTGATTAAATTAGTTGATTTTGTTATGTTTCAGATGCTCTATGGCTTCCGTGAAGCACTTCCAGTGTTTGGAAAGCTGCTTCAGGTATCTATTAGCCTTTCGAACTTCTGTTGGTATTCTCTACCAGTTCTCATTCAAAGATCTCCAAATCTGAAGACACTCATCATTGAGGTAATGAGCCATTACTAATGACCGTAAACCCCACAACAAATCACTCGTAAAGCTTCATCTCAAATCTCTTTTTTATTTTGTATCAGGATTCATTTCACTGTGGATATGAAGAAGAATTGGTTTGCTATTGCATGTCAGAGACATCTCACGTGTTGTCTTCTTCTTTGGAAGTCCTAAAAATAACCGGGTACAGAGGAATTATGAAAGAGCTTGAGCTGGTGGAGCATTTCTTGGAAAAATTATCATGTCTTGAACTGTTGGAAGTTCATGCTCAAGTATCACATGGCGAAAAGCTACGAGTCATGGAGGATCTGCTAATGCTTCCTAGAGTTTCGTCCAAGTGCAAAATCCAGGTCAAGTTTTCTTAAAAACGTTACCAAGTGTGAAAATCTCCCCTACTTTTGCGTTAGTGTATGTTTGGAAGTTTGGAAACGTGATCATTGATTCTGCTATGCCTGATCCATTAGGATACAATCTAGTTTATGGTTAGGATGAGAGAATCAAGACAACCTTATATTATGATTTGTTACATTTGCCAAGCCAGTTTCTCTCATTTCCCTTTATAACCAAATAACCAATAAAGCAAATCATTTCTTCATCATCAATATTAGCAGCAGAAGAAGAATAAACTTCCTCTACCTTCTTTCTCCGGTGAGTTTGCATTCGTACTTGGTATCTGATCTCTGTCTCTAACAGCCATCAATGAGCAAGTTCCCGGCGATTCCGGTGGCAACACTGTGTTTTCCGATGAGAAAACACGTTTGATCGATGGAGGAACGAGCTCAGGTGAGAGGTAACGTAGAAGCATTTGAATAATCTCTGTGAAGTTTGGTCGATCATTTGGATCTTCTCTCCAGCAAGATGTCACCACCATTGCTAAATCCTTCGGTAAATCGTCTGCGCTTGGCCTCACGTTCTAAGAAGTAAAATAAAACAGACCAAAATCCATTGAACAGATGAAAATCAAGAACCAAACGTCATGACTCAAAGAATCAAGAATCAAAACCTTAAATGCAGCGGCGTAAGCAGCTTGGAGATTGGACATGCCTTCAAAAGGCAGCTTATTGTGAATAAGCTCCCACAAGACAATGGCAAAGCTGTAAGCATCCACCTTGTGGTTATAGTGTTTCTTCTCACCGTGCCTCAACGTGACCGTACTATAAAGCTATTCAACCGTAGTTTTGTATTAAGCAAAACAGAGAAACGCAGAACATGAGAAAGTGATTATATATAGTAAGTACCTCGGGAGCCATCCAGCGATATGTACCGGTTTCCGCAGTCATCATCTCGGTTAAAGATTCTTCTCTAGCTAAACCAAAATCTGATAGCTTAACCGTCTTGTAATCCGCGGTCAAGATCAAGCTCTCTAGCAACCAAACAAGAAAGAAGATATAAAATAAGATCAAGATTTGTAACTTTTTTTTGAAAGTCTTGAAAGTGTGATTTCGGTTTTTGAAATGTTTAACCTGGTTTGAGGTCACGATGGATGACTCCGTGAGAGTGTAAGCATTCCATTGCTCGAGCAATGTCAAGAGCATAACCAACAGCTAAACGTGTGTCCAAACACCCTGGACGCAAACTCACAAGGTATTTACGCAATGTACCGCCTAGTAAAAGCTCAGTGACTATGACCATGATTGGTTCTTTGCAAGCTCCAATGAACTTGACCAAGTTCTTGTGTTGCACTCTGGACAACATTGAAACCTCTCTTGCAAATCTGCTCTCTCTTTTGGCAATCTCTTCTGGAGATTCTCCTCTTTTAACAATCTTTATAGCAACTGTTTTGTTCTTGTACCTAAAACAAGAAAATTAAATTTTGATAAATCCAAACAGTAACATCTCTGAAAACTCTCTCTATGATTGAATTTGCTCAACACTAAACTAAAACAGAATCTTGATACAAAAAGTAACTAATACATTTTCTTCAAGAACTATAAACTGACGTCAAAACTAAATGGAATGTTTTGATATTAATCTGACAAATGATGGGGAAGATTGAGAAATAAACTTACTTTCCTTCATAAACTTTGGCATGAGATCCTTCACCAATCTTGGGACCAACAAAGAGATGTTGAGGATCAACGATCCATTTAGGATCCAGTTCAAACACTTGATTTGAGTAAAACTCAGTTGCAGATCCCATTTCCAAAAGCTGAGATTTTTATCTTTTATTAACGAAAAAGACCTGTCAGATTCACTGATTTAGACCCTTTTGAGGATCAATCATTCTTGGTACAATCAGAAAGAAAGAAAGATGCTTTTTGGGGGTTATAAAGCGAAATCAAGAGACTTCCATAAATATAATAAAAAACAAAAAGCAAAACCCAGAAGGAAACAACAATCTCAATTTGGAAATAACAGAACAAATACCAAAAAAGATCCTTTCTTTTTCAGAACTTGAGTTGACACAGGGAACTGAAAGTTAAAAGAGACCCAGATAGAGAAAGAGATGGTCAGAATTTGATAATAAATGGTCGTACTTTGAAGAAGGTAAAGATTTATGAATGAATTTTTAAACCTTTTGTTTTTGGAATTTTACTAGTTTAAGATGAAAAAGACTTTCAATGATCAAAAAGATGTTTGATACTTCCGCGTAAGTAGACTGACAAGAAATCTCATCTCTCTTTGTCTTTTCTCTCTCCATGTCTTTTTCTGCTTTTTTTTTGTCGGCAAAATTTACAGAGACGTAAATCCGAATAACGTCACCAAAAATGATTTTTTTAAAAAAAAACGGACTATAGGAAACTACAAAAATTAAAGGGATTTTGCAGCCAATAACCATAAAAAACACTATAATTAAACAAGTAACCATATTATTTGATGGCTATGATATTCTCTGTATAATATACAATATATACCAAAATACCCTTATTCTTTTTCTCAGCTCTTCTCCATCGCTTCTCCATCTGGATTGAAATGGAAACCCAGAGAAATTCAGATTTTGTCACTGAAATTGAACGCAAATTCTATCTGTCTATTCTCCTTCATTTCCGTACTCCAATTATCGAAGATGGAAAACAATTTGCACCAGATTTGGGGTTATATGTTGGTGAAGCGAACATAGGGTAGAAGAAGAAAAAGAAAAGTATAAGAAAAGGATCAGATTCATACAACTATATTTACAACTCGTAATTATCTGATACTTGAGAGCAATTTCAGTTTGAAATTTGAACATCATATCTTGAATGAGCATTTGTATGGAGGCGATTGTGGTTGGTGAAGCGGCAAGAGAAGCCTTCATCGAATTTATTTGTTTTTCCTAAAGTCGATCTTCCATTGCTACATTCCCAATTCATTTCCTCAACTTTCATTAAGTGTACTTGTTTCAGTGATTTTTGGGTTTCTTTGTTCTATACAATCGATTCATCAAAATCAGGTGTGTTTCATCTCACGCGAAAAAAGTAGAAGTTTTTTTCAATCCTGATTCCAACTTATGAACTTCTCAAAGGCTAAAATCTCCGCGAATAGAAGAGTTTAGTAACCCTGAAAGAGCACAGATCCCGTGAGCTTCATCCTCACGAATTTTAGTATTTTCCTCCTCTCTCTTAAACTATTCCATTTATCAAGTGAGTCTATACTATTTTACTAACGTGTTACTGCCCTGAATGCAATTGAGAATCTAGTGAAGGCAGTAAAGACTAAAGAATGAAGGATCAGATTATATATGAATCCCAGTAATGAATTGAGGTCAGATGTGTATAAATTTGGAATAATTTTTCAGATTGTCGGAGGTGGAGAAGAAATGAAGAAAGGGGATAATGAAGAGACATAAATTTCTCTCTCCTTCGTATTAACTTTTGTAGGGCTATTTTTGTCCACTTTACTACCACTTTGTTATTTGCTTCATTTTCATATAGAAATGGCTATAAACTTAATTTAGATGCTCAATATGGTTATTCAACAAATTAACCCAAAATTAAACAAAAAATGTCAAACTTTGGAAGTCAGAAGAAATATATAATTTTATTTTACAAAAGAAATTTGTAACAAGTCTTTCTCTTTCAAAAATAAAATAAAATTACGAAACAAAGAAAAAGAAACAAACTCTTTTATTAGTCTCTTTAACAACTTCTACTATTAATTGACAAAAGGACAAAATTTTGTCAATTAAATAAAAGATCGTGGGTCAGAAAATACAAAAATGAAATAAAAATTAGTCGGTGGGGTGAGAAAGGTGGACCCTTTTGATGTACAGTCCTTTTGGTACTTCTACAAAGGATCATATATAATTACGTACTCATATTTTGCATTTCACTTTTTTTTGTTTTGTTTTACCATGTTGAAAAATGTTGAAATAAGAACAAAGTGTTCATGGATAAATGTATTATGAAGATAGCTCTTTTCGAAAGCAGAGACGATTTATGCGATTTAAAAAATTCATGTGACCATATTAATCTGATTAGAAACTCAAAAACATGATGCATACATTCTAACAAATTCGTTTTTTTTTGCTTTGAATATAATTTTACATTCAATTAAAACCAAAAATCAAGTTATTACCGACATTTTCACCTGACAGCTACTACAAAGGCCTTCTTTTCTAATGAGTCCAATAATGTGTCTTAAGTATTTGGGCTAATATATAACCATGCCTAAACTTTACAAACTCTAGAATCACATTGATTTTGTTGTGTTTATTGATAAACCACTAGACTAGTGTAGTAGTGTTTTACTACATTGCAACTTTTTGTACCAAAAGATAAGTATATTTTTCTTTGTTGCTAAAGAGTAATCAGAAAAGAGAATTTATGTTCGTTGCCGTATGTGTATAAAAATAAATGGAATATATATATATGTTTATCCTTTTAACGCATTTGTTTGTGAATTTCATCAATTTAAATATTTGTTCATAGAGCATTATGCTTCTTACCTTGTAAATTTTATCGAGCATGAAATAGACAACAATTAGCAGAGGCCAGAGGGTGCTAGTATATATGAAAGATAATTCATAAAAGACAGATCAACGTATTATGGTATGGTGTGAGCACGTTTAGAAATAAATATTCTGTAAACTTATCTCATTGAACTAATTTGACTATAAATATTTGTTCGTTAAAAATATCAATGTGTTGGATCGACATACACGCAAATCCGAAAGCAAAATGGAAAGTTTCTTTAAAAGAACATGAATCTGAAAAAAATCATGGATCAGGTAAAGAAGAATTTCTTTCTCTTATTACTCTCGAAGGAGTCAACATTCAGCGCACTTAGCAGAAATGATCATTTGTTTTTGTCAACATATCAATACAAATTATTTGCCATTTATTTGCTATTGGGGCAGTACACTATATATAGACCAACTATACGTTTCAACTTTCAACATAGGATACAGATTATTGTCTAAACATAATATCAAAGAAAAAATACTATAAAATATGAAGAATGCATTTTCACTTGTGGTTTTCATCAGCTTCGTTATCATACTTGCTTCCGGTAACACGTTTTACAGTATTCTTCTCTTTAAACACGTTCTCTTTTCTGCTAATTGACATAGATTCAAATCTCTCTATCAATACTTAATTTATCTTGTACTAATTAAGATAACTATCTCTACAGTTGCGAACAAGGTGAATGCAGGCAATTGCCAAGTCGACGGTCTAGGTTCTTGTGCACAATGTGATGAGAGATGCAAAGCGAAGCACGGGCCAACAGGCCAAGGCAGTTGCGATACTAGAAACCAACTATGCTTATGTTATTACGCATGTCCATCAATACCTCCGCAGCCCAAACAATGCTATGGCGGAACTGGCCTATGTACCAATGCATGTGACCAAAGCTGTGCGCAAAGATATCCTGGTGGATCTGGTTTTTGTGAAAGCATTGGCAATACTAGGTTGTGCAAATGCCAATATCCTTGCTAATTTTTTTTTTCTGTTTCTAATGTTTTTTGGAATTACGGAATCAATAAAAAAAAGCCACATCATTCTTCATATATCATCGAAGAAAAACATATATGGTCAAACCAGAAAATTAAGATAATCAGCTTTTCAGAAAACGGATTTAATCATTTAAACAAGTAGTAGAACGATTTTGGTTTCTGAACAAAGTAGAGTACCGTCAACATAGACTCGTTTGAAAATTTGTGTATAAACATCCGTAGGTCTATACTTTTACTTTTCTCAAAATTATACTTTTTATTATGTCAAATTTTACATTGTTTTTTTCCATTCCACTATGTGATGTGCATTGTATTATGTTTACAGACTAACTTATCCTATTATACAATGGTTATGATTTGTCTTCCTAACAACGAATCTAATACCAAGTACTCCATGTTCGAGTTATAACTATGATAAACAATCAAATTTCAAAATCTAATATAATAATCTAAAGATTTTTCCCTATTAGGTGGTTAGACAACAAGATTTTCATGTGTCAAATTAACTAGAAGTACTCACTGTTTTATACAATATGATATGAAAACAAAACGTTCATGTATTCCACTTACAGACAGTTAAAAACTGACCGGACTCCATGTTCGAATCATTTTCACAAAATATATGCAAAATAGTCAAGTTCCACTAGCTAAATCTCAAAATTTTAAATCTTCGTCTAACAGCTACACAATTATATAAGTGTAATCTAAAATTTAGTTCTAAGAAGATTTTTCTTTGCCAAATTAACTAGAAGTACTAACTGTTTTACACATTATGGTGTGAATACAAAAACGTTCATGTACCCCACTTACCGATAGTTAGAAACTGACCGGACTCCATATTCGAATCGTTTCATAAGTATATGCAAAACAGTCAAGTTCCACTAGATTAATATGGCAATTTGAAATCTTCGTCTACCGGAACTATAAATCTACCCAATTATACCCGTCTAATCCAAAAAATTATTCTAAGAAGATTTTTCTTTGCCAAATTGACTAGAAGTACTAATTATTTTACATATGGTGTGAAAACAAAACGTTCATATACCCCACTTACCGACATTTAGAAACTGATTGGACTCAATGTTCGAATCATTTTCACAAACTATATGCAAAATAGTCAAGTTCCACTAGATTAATCTGCCAATTTAAAAATCTTCCTCTAATAGCTACTACATTACATGTATAGCTTATCTATAATCTATTGATACCTAATATATATAGATTATTAGAGTTATACTAGCCTCGAGAAAATTTAGGTAGATGAGAAAACGTGGACCATTCCAAATTCTGGTAGTATTTATCCATTCACCTACAAAAATGGAATTTGGTTATCGATCAGATGCATGATCAGGTCTAGCTTTTGGTTAGCTACTTGAAGTCTAAAATATAATGAACAAGTGAAGAACTTCTCTTTTCGTACCAAAAAAAAAAAAAAAAAAAAAAAAAAAAAAAAAAAAAAAAAACTTCTCTAACCATGGCCTGGTTTACTTCTGTGGCGAAATTAATCAAGAACCTCTCTCTCCTTGCAAACGTTGGCTGTTCCAAAATGTGATGTGCTTTCATTTAATTCCGTTACGTGTGTGTGACTACAATAGCTGCTAGCAACTCAAGAACCCACTTGGAGAAACATAACCATTACATGAACTAGATCAAGAAAAGCTCTCATTTTCTACCAATAGAAACCAAGATTATTATCATGTAATAGCCATTAGTTTAGCATGATAGTGCTCATCATCGCTCTCTAAAACAAGGTCTAGCATTATAATTAATCAACAACTCTTCCTTATCATTACCTGTGGACGAAGCATGAGGCAATGCCAAGTCTCCGGTGCTTATATGGAACTTGTTCACCAATTGCTCACGGATATAAACCTTGAAAGTGAAAACAAAGAGTTAAGTTTTCAGATATGGAGTGAAAAACTAACAATTTGATTCACGGATATAAACCTTGAAAGTGAAAACAAAGAAAGAGTTGAGATGAAAAAAAAACCTTAAAAGTGGTTTCTCGTCTCTATCTTTTTCTTCATTGAGAGTCGCACATGTTCTCTACCTTGAATGATCTCACGCCGGTAACTGCTCGATTCCTCCGCCGGAATCACAAGCTAGAATCAAGAGAGACAGAGGGAGATGAACAGAGAGAAGGGAACGGAAGGGAGAGAGAGAGATGAACAGAGAGAAGAGAAAGGAAGGGAGATGATCACAAACAACGGTCATGCAATTTTGAATAAGGAAGAGAGAGTATTTCTCTTTGTCCCATGTATACTGTATATGAGAAATGTCTAACGGCTACTTGTCGTTTCAAAGTTTCCCCATCAAATCAACTGTCGTTTTAATGCTTGTCTCCAATGTCCAAAACTATGTCGTTTCAAAATTAAAAAATGACTTTGTACAGAGCAAAAACTGATTTAAAAAAAAAAAAACAAAAACAAATTAAAAACATTAAACAACTAAGCGTACATTAAAAACATTTTGTATATTCACCAAAAAAAAACATTTTGTAATAATACTTTGAGGTCCGATATTCTTAGTTGTTTTAACAGATTCATGTCCGAATGGTTCATAATCCTAAACCCTCACCCTTACAATGTTCCTTAACCCACACGTTAGCTTCAAGACAGGAAATTCGCTTCTAGGGTTTCCTTTCGTAGTGGTTCGGATATTTCACATCAATGGACTAGTAATTTAAGAGTTTCATGTTCATGTTCATGTTCATGTTCGGCTTCCCTGTAGTGGCTTAACCAAACGCCAAAAATGAGAAACCATGAAAGAAAACAAAAGAAAGCCTATACTTGGATAAAAGATCAATCAGTCAAAATGATACTTGCACAAGAACTGAATCTCACTGTGTAGCAAAATTCTGAAACACTTAAAAAACCAGTGAGATCTACAAAATTTTCGTAAACACAGATGAAAGTCTCGGCTTTTTCAGACAATCAAAAAGCGTAAATAATAATACAAAACTGAAGAACATAAATAGTAATAATAATAAATAATACAAAACGAGTACTACTACTCTTGTGTGATCTTCCATCATCGACGTTTATATAAACATGCTTTCAACTCTGGCCACGCGATTTTCTTCTTGTCTGAATTCAACTTCTCCTGTATACACAATCAAAAGAAAAAGGTTATGATTAAAAGTCTAGATCCAAGCTCCGAGACTAACCAAGCGTACAGGAAGCATCTTTCAGTCACTAACCTTTTTCTTGAAATGCAACAAGATGAACATCTTATTCGAAAAGTCCTGCACAAAGAAGACCAAAATGGGTTTCTTTCTTTCCTTCTTGTAGTGGAAAAATTATAAAAGAAGAGTATATAGAGACAAAAAAAAGTATACCTTTAACTCTGACTTAAATCCAAGTTCACAAACAGCTTTCACAAAGTCTTTTGGGTCTGCTCCTCCATTGTTTGGATCAAACCTGCTTTTTACTTCCGCTATAAGAAGATAACCGCTGTTGAATACACCCGATAAATTATTTATTCAGAAACATGACAACAAAAATTAAGGAGAAGAAGAGTCTGCCAAGTTATATAAACAAAAAAGAAGAACCTTGGACGAAGAACTCTATATGCCTCTCTGATGTAACTTGAATAGTTTGTTCCCATTAATGAAAGACAGAATACAGCAACATCGACTGATGAAGATTCAAGTGAAGTCTGCAAACAAAAACAAAACCCATTTTAAGTCCGAGGAAGCAAAGAACGTCATGAAGTTTAAAGAATGGAGTAAGATTTGAATGTACATTTGACATATCGCAAGCAATCACAGAGGGGTTCTTTGCAACAAGATCAAAGGAGAAAACTTTGTTCTTCACACTCTTTGCAATCCTTGCATCACCTGAAAAAGAAAAGTAAACATTTTTATAAAGCGATCATCTTGTTTAAAAAAGCAGCAAATATATATATAGGATCAGATAATGATCTTACCACAGCCAAAATCAGCTACAACTAGTGAAGAGCTTCGAGAAGCTAACCAATTTATCATGGAGTTAACAGGAAGCTCAGGCCAATTTGACATTTGCTGCTGATAACCTGTGTGATACTGAAACAAAAAAAAAACAGAATCAAATTACTTTTGAAATGCAGATGATTCAAGTAGGAAGATTCTTGTTCTGGAGCTAATGTGTTTACCATATCAAACAAGTTTGGATCTTCTTTGAAATAGTCTAATGCTTCTTTCCCACTGAGAAATTGAAAAACGGAGTTAAGCTCTGTTTGAAAGTGAAGAGAATTTACCAGAAGGAAAAAAAAAATGAAATTGAAACTTACGAGCAAGTGTAGAGTTTCTCGTTGAGCATCCTGAAGTGTCCACCGGATAATCTCTCTCGAAGCTGCGATTTTCGATTAATTGGTTCAATCAAAATCCAATCAGACGGCAATCAAATGTAATTGACAGAGAGAGAGAGAGAGGGAGAAGAGAGAGAGAACCATATCGAGAAAATTGGAAGGTTTAGGTCGTTTCGATGAAGCTGAAGGTCCTCCATTTTGATTGCTTTTGGTATCTCTTTGACGCTTTTTGTCATTGTTTTGATTCTTCGGAGTCTGCTTAGGTTCTTCTTTAGGAGGTTTAGCGATTTCTTCTTTGGGAGGTTTAGGTTTTCTCTGTCTCTTCCTCTTCTTATCTCTGCTAGCTCCTTCCTCTGTCATGTTTCTCGCCGTCACCGTCGCCGTTGCCGTCTTATTTCTCTCACCGGAATTTTCCCGACTCTTTCTCTGCGTTAGGTTAGTTTCACAAGTAGAAGATTATGTTTGTTGACAATCGTTTGGGCCATGGTATTAAGTTTATTGGGCTTTTCGTATTCGACCCAACCCAATTATTTGTCTGATTTTTTTTATCTGAGATTTAATACAAGCCGTTACTGAAAAAGAAATTGCAACAAAGCAAGAAAGTTTGGACCATTCACACGCAAAAGTCAGATATGGCCATTATATAACGATTTTCACCAAACCGCAAATACAAAACATAAATTCCAGAAACCAAAAAAGTTGATATGTTTCTTTACTGGTGTAGAATCACAGACAAAAACATAATTCCTCAGTTGTATTATGAGATCGAATCGACGGAAGTTTTCATTTTTGCAATAGTAATCTCCAAAAATCAACACTTCCTAAGAAGCGTAAAGGTTGTTAGGTTCCTCTTATCCTGACCTCTTGTAAATGGTGAAAGCAATCATGGCTACAGTTGCAACGGCTCCAACCACAGCTGCTCCAATGTAGATTTCTTCTTTGTCAAGAGGCTGGAACCAAATGGTGCACTTTCTTACTTCTTTCTTGATTGGCTCCGGCTTTGAGTTTTCGTTCTGGCAACACGAAACGCTGCCGTTTGATCCTTGACAACATCCTCCTCCAGTGGATTTATCCGCTACGCTGTTACCGCTTGGTATCACTGCCTGTCCATGCTCTCTCTCAGGCACACCTCCAGGTAGACCCATTTGTCCCCTGAAACCATCAAATACTTAAGAATAAGTAAAGTAATGGATCCTAAGTTGTACAATGCTATTAACAAGAGTTTGGACCCATTACCTCCAAATCCTTTGAATGATTTCTCCTTTTGCGATTTGCTGGTCAAGCAATTCAGGTACATCTTCAGGAGTTACATATCCATACCTTTCATTTCAAAATCAAACAGAACGTTAATCCAGAGATACACAAAACATTTTCTTTTGATCCAAACATTTTTTACTTACCAATTGCCAAAAATCTTTCCAGATGAATCAGGACTGAAGATGATTATGTTACCAGAATACTTGTGCTGTCCAACGTGAGAGCAACGCCTGAGAGAGATTTGCTCTGAGAGTCCACGAGAGCCAATCTCCTCCTTGAACCTCTCTAAGATCACAGGTCCACAAACACCACACCTCTTATCACGACTCGCATGAGTACACACGAATACAAATGATCCAGATAGCTTTTCTTCTCTCCCAAATCTCCATGGCTTCTCATTCACAAGCACATCTTCAACGAAACTCTCCACTTCCACTTCCTCATCCTTAATCCCTCTTTTTATTATCATGAAATCAACACGAGAATTAGCATTTCGAGTCAAACTTATGCAGTTTCAGATCTACAATCGGATTTCTGCAACTCTAAAATTAGCTTATGCAATCTAATTACGAGTCAATCATGGTCTGGTCAACTGTTTTTCCTCAGAACAATTACGCCGAGAAGATTCGATTCATGAAAGATGTATACTCAATTGTTTAACGCTGAGAATCGAAAAACTAGAAGAAGACGAACTCACTTGTATCTGACCATATCCGGGAAAATCAATACATCTCCATCGGATCCACCTCCTTCGCAAACATTCAGCTTCGTCTACAACAACAAATTCAAAAAGCCAAAAGAGTAAGAAAGAGATACCGATGAAATTTTGAATGTAAACGAGAGCGAATCTGATGTTCGTATACCGGAACAGGGAGATCGGATTTGCGATCCTTGAGCAACGTAGCGAAACGCTGAGGCAAACCTTCGTCTTCGATTTGTGAGAGCCAAGCTTCAGGAGTTTTGTAGAAGACGAAAACATGGCGACCGTAAGAGTTGATGGAATTAGCGATGTCTGCGCTGTACATCTCCGGCCGCTTAAACCCAAACTCCGTGTCTTCCGACGCCGGAACAGAGCTCAGATTCTCAACATTCGCCATCGTCGGAGTAGAATAGCTATCAGGGTTTCGCAGAAGCCAAGAGACACAGAGAGAGAGAGAGAGAGAGAGAGAGAGAGAGAGAGAGAGAGAGAGAGAGAGAGAGAGAGAGGTTGAAGAAGCTAATTTTCAAAAATGGAGGAAGCAGTGCAACTTTCGATTTCTTTTGAGATCCTCCAAACACGTCTTGAGGCGCACACACGAATATGTGGTCCCACATTTTGTGATGTGACAGGTCAGTGATATATAATCTAGCTCACAGACGGATTTGAAACAACTGACTCGTCCGTCTTATTTTTGATCTGTGACAGACAGTAGCTTTAGTCAAACAATTCCACGTTTGTCAACGGTGCTCTAATTTAGATGCAATCACACGATTCACACGTATTATATCATTTTCTTGCAAGCAAATTGCCTCACGATGACCTTAATATATAAAGATTAGTCTTACCTCTGGTGATAATATTAATAAACCATAGTTATTAATACATGGGACGTATTGATACATGGGACGTATAAAATTTACGCACCTGGTGTAAATTCTTAGTTATATACATTGCCTAATCGTATAGTTTACGAATGAACTCGTCAATTTGACGTTGTTGTTTGGGTATTTCTCTACTTGACTCGTGCAAGAGCTGAAATTCTTACTTTTTTAACTAAAACTTAGTAAACGTTTCAATTGTCAATGCTATTCATTTAGCTAACGGAGTTTTGACGAAGTTTGTTTGCAATAAGCTACGAAATCATGTCGTCATCACATCACATTATGAAAGACAAAATTATATCATTGCATAGTTTTATTACCATTACCACAATGAGGTCCATGACCATAACAATGATTCATCGTACAGCTTATTTTGATTAAATTTACAAATGATTTGGGTAAAAAGGTTAAGAATTTTGGAGCAAATTGTCGAAATAAAGGTTTAAGACGTATCTAGCGGCGGAGAGAACATCGAGCCGCCTCTCACTCGGCTCGTACTTGCCTTTCCGGAGCTGATACCGATGAGTCACCGCCGAGATTGTGTATGTTTGCCCTTCTATCATCACATTCTCTCCGCATTGAAGATTCTGCAAATCACAGTGTTTTTTATTTAAAAAATCATCTAAAATTTTACACAAAGCCAAATCAATCTGATGAAAGATTATCAGTTCGAATACCTAATTGGAATCGGTAATTGGAATAGTTAAACAGTTTCAAAAACTGTAGTTGAGAGTTTTTAAAGTTTTCTTTTTTTTTCCTAGAATTTTCCCGGAAAGCTAAATGGAAGAAAATGAAGATTGAGAGTGAAGGGTTTGCATATTCAAGTTTTTCAAATTATCTCAGATTTTGACGGGAAGCCAAATCAATTTGACAAATTCGCAGCTCGAATCTGCGATTGGAAGCAGCATGGATTTTCTATTTTTTTTTCTGGAATTTTCCCGAGAAAAAGTTAAGTGAAGGGAAGAAGATGAAGATTTTTGAGACTCACATGAGGAAGGCAACGAACGCCAAGAGATTTAGGGGGAGGAGTAATTTCAATGACTTTATAAGGAGAATCGCTTTGATCTCTTCCTTTCTCTTTCCTTCTGCAATTTATCTGCAACCCCTTCACCTGCAAACATCCATTCACCCAAATCTCTTTTACAATCTTTGGAGGTACAAAAAAAAAAAAAAAAAAAAAAAAAAAAAAAAGGATTCGCGATGGAATTCGTTACTTTTCCGATACAGACGAGATTTGATGCAAGTGTTGCCATTTTCAAAAACAGAGACTGGATTAAGAATATGAAGAAAAGAAATCGACTTTCTGAAAGTTTCCTGAAAAAAACTTGTAAATTTGTATCTGATTCGCGAAATGGAACACGAAAATATAGAGAATCAGACAGACAATTGCGACAGATATTTTTTCGTCTCTATATTTTTGTGGTGAAGAACAAAGCAGGAACCTTCGGATGTAATCAGAGACTTCTCAAGAAAAATATGGAATCATACAAACAAGAGAGAGTGAGAGACTAAAGAAGATTTGGAGTCAAAACTCATACAAGCTAAAATCTAAGTTGTGCCACAAGGGTGAGAGTTAGGCCAACAAAGTTATCTAAAAATGTTTGATAAAATTCTCTCTACTCAAGAGGGAATCAAACCCTAAAGCCTCCTCTCTCACAATACAATACATGACCTAAGCATGACTTAAGAAGAAGAGTGAAGCTTTTATGAAACTTTCTCTACCTTCCATAAGGATGGTACCGACCAGAACCACCACCATATCCACCTCTACTTCCTCCTCCTCCACCATAAAACGAACCTCCTCCACTTCCGCCGCTACCACCACCAGCACCGTAACCACCTCCAAGACCACCCATGTCATAGCCACCACCACCACCTCTATATCCTCCTCCACCAGCACCACCATACCCACCAACACCAGCTCCACCACCATACCCTCCTCCGTAACCGCCACTCGGTCCACCGTAACCACCTCCCGGCTCACCGTACGGTCCACCATACATATCACCAGGTCCACCACCATACCCACCACCTCCCATCCCATACCCTCCTCTGTTGTAACCGCCACCTCCTCCTCCATAACGACCAGAGTATCCAAGTGGAGGCTCTCCTCTGTAAGGTCCAACACCACCACCATACCCACCACCTCCATACCCGCCAAACTCTCCTCCGTACCCTCCACCATAACCACCAGACCTCCCACCTCCATATCCCCCACCACCATATCCACCACCGTGCCCTCCTCCATAACCATCTCCATAACCTCCACCAAAGTTAGACCGTGAGTCACCGAACCTCTTTGACGGTGTAGTAACCGAGTTCGGCTTCTTCGGCTCTGCCTTCTTTATCTCTACCTATATAAGACAATACAACAATGTGAGTGATGCCATTAGAATGATCTCAACAAATATATGAAAGAGCATTTGTAGTTAGTTTACCTGAGTCCCAGAGAGCTCAATTCTGTTCCCTTTAGCCAAGAGAAGGTCAACCATCTCTTCACTTTCATATGTAACAAACCCAAACCCACGTGACCTTCCAGTTGAGTGATCACGCATAATCTGGTGCTCTTTCAGCTCTCCAAACTGCTTGAAAAACTCCTTGAACTCATCTACACAAACACCAAATCACACACAGATCAGTAACTTCTTCATAAAGAAACACAATCAAGAAAACAAAACAAAAATGGACTAGTGTTTCTTCTACCATCATCAACAGAAGAAGGAATGCCGCCAACAAATATCTTCTTTGTTTTGATGACATCATTGGACGTCATAGTCCCTCTCGGTATCGTCCGCTTGATTTCGACCTGAAGAGAACAGAAAAACGTTATCGCAATGTAAAGCACACAACTGTTAAAGGCGTAGAGCTCTAAAATCTAACCTGCTTGCCGTTGAGGATGTGATTCTCCTCCATAACTTTGTCGACAACAGAGGAATCAGCGTAAGTCACAAACCCGAATCCACGAGGCTGTCCAGTTTTTCTGTCCTTCATAATCACAGAGTCTGTGATCTCACCATACTTGCCAAAATGCTTGACGAACTCAGCTGCATTGACAAGAACAGAGAGTTTGTAAAGTATTGAACTTTAAACCACAGTAACCGAGAGAGAGCTAACCTCTTTCTGCAAAAACAGACACCAAAATAAGAGCTAACCTGAAGTTGTCTCCCTGGCTAAACCTCCAACAAATATCTTTCTACAAATTCCACAAAACATTCGTATAAGTACACTAAATTCACTATGTATTTTTTAAGAAATCCGGAGAAGAGGACTATATATACACTTATCCTTCTCTACTCTCCAGATTTCTCTAAATTCTCATCAAATCAGGAAGATTATTCTATCGACAGAAAGTTTGAAACTTGTATCTATCTCATACTCCTCTAACACAGGCCCTAACAAGCCATAATTTGAAAGAATTGAGCGAAACAGACGAGTAATTTTGAGAATCTAGACATAAAGATTAATAATAAGACGAAGCCCTAGAAGAACCGATGCTCAAATTCTTTCTCTTTATCACAGATAAGAATCGATCCTGAGAAAACACGCAAACCCTAAATTCATGAATATTTTCGGAAGAAGTAGAGAAAACGTACCCAGCACTATCGACGCCACCACCAGAGTGATGCTGAGATTTGTCGTCATCGTCCTCAACGTTATCGGATGGTTTCACTTGGTGGTTTTCATCATCGACAACTGTTTCCGTTCCGTAAGGGTCCATTGCCGGAAAAAAAGAGTCGAAAGCCGAAGAACCTTCGAGGCGAAGAAGAAGATGGAGAAAGAAGCGGCTGTCGCTTAAAGGCAAGCCCTAAAACCCTTTAGAGAGAGAGAAAGACGATATGTATTTTATCGTACTCCGCGAAGCACTTGATCTTAACTATGTTTCAGTTGTGTTGTGTTGTGTAAGAACGAGGGATGATGGTTGATCTCGCGTTTTAATATATAGTGGATTTAATCTTAACCGTTGGATATGTTTTTTAGCAATTTGAGGGAAAAAAAAAGAAATTTATCTCAATATTTCCTTTTTTTTAAGGAGAAACAGGAAGAAAGAACACAACGCTCGCTTTCAGAAATTCAATTCGGAGAATCAAGCACAGTCGAAAGATCAATTGAGGGAATCAGGAGTAGTTGGAAGATCGAATATAGGTTTCTTTTCTGAAAAATTCTCGTCTTGTCTCAGTAAACAGAGTTAAACTGATGATTTATGTGTTTTCGAAATCGGAAATAGAGGATGTTCGTGGACCCTTTTATAACAAAATTGGTTAATGTCACATAAACATGTGAATAGATTGAACAAACGGAAAAAGTTTTACACTTGAATGATGAGTATCCAACATTATGGAGGATCTATAGATGTAAATTTCACAAGGAAGACAACCATACAATTTCACTGAAGATGAGATTTGTTTTTAATCTTGATTGCACATTCATACAGAGCAAAATGTGACCATATCAACTTTCAAGGTTTTCAGTGAAGTGTATGCATTGACCATGCAGAGTATTTAGTGATCTATATAACCGAAAAATGATTGCACGGAAGCAAGTGCAATATATGGGACAAATAGATGGGAAGTTTGTATTGTTTAAGACTCAAATTTTAAAAGGGTTATATAGATCACTAGCTACTCTGCCTACAACTGAAAGTTGATGAATTTCCCTTAGGGATTCTTGTATTAAACGAAGGCTATATAAAGCCATGGAGGTTACATAATTACAACAAAATCAGGGAGATATACAAAGAGATATTAACAGAATATCTAAACAATAGGAATCCTAAACCGAATAATCCTATATTCTATCACCCTCCCTCAGTTGGAGCGTCGGGTTTCCGCACGGTCAAACTGGTTCGAAATTCGTTGAATAGACTTGTCGGTAAACCCTTTGTGAATATGTCAGCATATTGGAGAGAGGAGGGGACATGGATAACCTTAACTTCTCCAATTGCAACCTTCTCACGAACAAAGTGGATGTCAAGCTCTATATGTTTCGTTCGTTGGTGCTTTACTGGGTTTGAAGCAAGGTAAACTGAACTGATGTTGTCACAGTAAACAATCGAAGCCTTGTTGATGGTGCAGTGAAGTTCCAACAGCAGATTTCGTATCCAACATAGTTCAGCTACAGTGTTTGCTACACCTTTGTATTCTGCTTCTGAGCTCGAGCGTGATATCGTTGGTTGTCGCTTGGCTGACCACGACACAAGATTTGGCCCGAGAAAGACACAGTAGCCTGAGGTAGATCTTCTTGTATCCGGACAGCCACCCCAATCAGCATCAGAATATGCAGTGAGACAATCTACGTGTCCCTTTACCAGCTGAAGTCCATGAGTCAGAGTACCTTTTATATATCGGATGATGCGTCTCAGAGCTTGTAAATGAGGTTGTCTTGGATCATGCATATAGAGACACACTTGATGAACAGCATAAGAGATGTCTGGTCTCGTGAATGTGAGATACTCTTACATTCACGAGACCAGACATCTCTTAATCGGAGTTGCACAAGGTTTGCAGTCGCTCATTCCTGCCCGATTGAGAATCTCTTTTGCATAAGTTGTCTGACTCAAGAGTAGCCCTTTGCTGTTGTATTCAACCTTTATTCCAAGGAAATGATGTATTTTCCCCAAATCCTTCATTGGAAATTCTGATTTGAGGGAGCTGATTATCTGTTGCATAAGAGATGTAGATGAGGCCGTCAGAAGGATGTCATCTACGTAGAGGAGGATGTACGCCAGTTCACTGTCTTTCCTGTAAACAAATAAAGAGACATCGGCCTTGCTTGTGACAAACCCCAACTGGTTAATAAATTTTGAAAATCTCGCATTCCAAGCTCTCGGAGATTGTTTTAAACCATAAATGGGTCTTTGCAGCTTGCAGACGTGATGAGGAAATCTCTTGTCGACAAACCCGGGAGGCTGATGCATGTAGACGGTCTCCTCTAGTTCACCATGTAAAAACGCGTTTTGAACATCTAACTGATGTATCGGCCAGTTGCGAGCAACTCCAATGTTCAAAACTGTGCGAATAGTTGCAGGTTTTACAACCGGACTGAACGTTTCCTTGAAGTCTACCCCTGCCTCCTGAGATTTCCCGTTTGCCACCAATCTGGACTTGTGACGAGTCAACGCTCCATCTGCATCATGTTTGTGAGTATACAGCCATATAGAGCTCACAATATTAACATTTGGTGGTCTAGGTACAAGACTCCAACTCTTTGTCTTAATCATAGCATCGTATTCATCAGTCATCGATGGTGTCCAATTAGGATCAGAAAGAGCATGAATATGATTTTTTGGTAGTGGGGATTTGGTTTTGGTGAGAAGAGAAATGACTGTTTTAGGCTTTCGAATACCAGCCTTACTCCGTGTCGTCATAGTATGGCGAGTTGGAGCAGGAGGTGGCTGAGTCGGAGGAGGAAGTGTCTGAGCTGGAGCAGGAGGTGGCTGTGTTTGAGATGCAATTGGTGTTTGAAGAATCGACTGAAACAAAGGAGAAGCTTCTTCTATGGGATCAAGGAACTGATATGCAGCGTTTTTATTTTTGGTTTGAACAGCTGCTGGGAATTTTTCCTCATCAAAATGAACATGTCTAGAGATGATGATCTTATTTGTTTTGAGATCTAGACATCTGTAACCACGATGTTGGGAAGGGTACCCAAGAAACAAGCAAGGAGTGGTTCGTGGTGACAATTTATGAAGATTTGAGTGATTTAAGCTTGGGAAGCACAAACAACCAAAGACTCTCAAGTGATCGTACGTTGGTCGTTTGTTGAAAAGGAGAGTGAAGGGAATTTGGTTTTTGATTGCTGATGTGGTGTTGGTGGTCGTGGAGAAGCTGAAGCCATGGTGGAGGGCCCACGATAGGTAGGCATCTGGGCATACGGATTCCAGTTTGCAAATTGATTGGGCCAAGGACCAAATGGGCCAGGCCACATGTTTTGTGGACCCCAATTTGGAAAATTAGGTCTGAACGGAAACTGGGAATTGTTTCTGCCTCGTGAACGGTTGTTGTACCTCCGATTGCCACGGTAGTTGTTGACTTGGTGATGTTGTTGTGGTGGTGCCGGTTGCTCAGTTCTCGTTGAAGATCCTGAGACAGTGAGAGCAGTCGAAGAGGAGGCGTGATCTTTGTGAGTCGCTGACGGTTTGTGCGGCCTGTTGAGACGAGATTCTTCATTCTCCAGCATAGATTTGGCAGATTCAAAGCTGGGAAATGGCTCTTTGTGCTTGATAACATTGTGAATGTTGTCTTATTTTTCGTTCAGGCCATTGAGGAGGTATGTGACAAGCATTCGGTCAGTGACAGGAGCATCCACATTGGCGACGCGGTCTGATAATGACTTCAGCTTTTGACAGTATTGTTGAATTGTTTGGTCGCCAATTTCAGTTGTACGGAGCTCATTATCAAGCTGAATAGCTCTAGCCTCTTTGTTGTTTCGAAATTGATTTTCGATTCTGATCCATACGTCTCTAGCAGTTCCTCCTGGCGCAAACGAGGAGCGGAAAAGTGGTTGAGCAATGGTTCCGTAAATCCAAAGTTTGACCAATCCATCACATTTCAGCCATGGCAGATCATTGACGCCGTTTGGAACTAATGTACCGTCGAGGTGACCGAGAACATCGAAGGTCAAACAATGAGTGAGAAAAAGTTCCCTCCAAGCATCATAATTATGATCATCTAAATCAAGAATGAGAGGAATGTGAGATTTGATGTTGGTCACACCAAAAGCTCGTTCTATTGCAGCAGCAGCAGGAACAGCCATTGAAAAGAAATAAAAGCCGAAAACAAAAAAAAAAGAAGAGAATAAGAAGAGGGAAGAAGAGAGAGAAGGCTTATTGAGAAGAAGAAGAGAAAAGGTTCAGGAGTTGTGGCTCTGATACCATGAAAGTTGATGAATTTCCCTTAGGGATTCTTGTATTAAACGAAGGCTATATAAAGCCATGGAGGTTACATAATTACAACAAAATCAGGGAGATATACAAAGAGATATTAACAGAATATCTAAACAACAGGAATCCTAAACCGAATAATCCTATATTCTATCAACAACAACATAAAAAGGCAAGTCCTTACTTCAGTTCGCAGTAGAATAAAACAACGATCTCATAATTTTTTTCTTTTATTATCTTTGAAGCCGATCATAAATCTCCAAAACGATAATGATCACTAATGCATGAGTAATCACATTTATACCTATTGTTTTTGTCCTTACTCTTCATAACAAATGGCTGAACACAGCGCTTTTTGCAGATGACGTCTTTGCAAAAGGGTCGAGTAGGACCATCATTGGCAACCACTTCAAATTCCTCCTCGTCAATGGCTTTGAAACTGTGCCCTGGTCTAATATGTAGGTAATCTCCAAGTACGCAATTGACATGAAGAGTAGAGCCACAATCATTGCAGGTGTAGAACCACTCCTTTGGGTTTAATTCTCCCTCACAAATCTCACACCAGTACAATCCACTTGCACTTTCTCCATAGCACAAGGAAAGAGGATGGCGATCGTATTTGTGTCTCACCTCTTTTGGCAGAGTAGCGCAACAAAAGCACAAATCGAAATCACACTCCATGCAACTCATAACAGGGTGGCTTGATTGGCGACAAGCTGAGCACAACTTATTTTCGGTCGAAAAGCAGAACAACGGATGTGGATGACTTCCATGGTTTAACGTATTAGAAACTCTCGCACAATGAACATCTATTTTCGTATACTTATATCTGTAACAGAAACCAGTGCATTTTCTCCCACAAGTGCGACACAAAAAATGGCTGTCAGATGAAATTATACCTGGTTTGGGATTGACGCACAAAGTGAGTTGATGACTCTCAATCTCATGTCGTTTCTTCTTAAGAAGATTTGCACATGTTTCATGTATGATGAAATGACATTCCATACAAGTGTAGTATGGGTCGTTATAGATGGGAAAAGTGCAGACGTAGCAATGCTCCTTGTTTTCATCACTGCCACTAATAACCAGCCTTAGATCATGCTCGTGACTAAAATGTTTAATCAACCCTTCACCAATCACCTCGAACGGGTCAAGATCTTCATTTTCATCTTCAGGCACATCTTCCAGTTCCAGCCCATCCCACACGTCCATTCTTATCGCACATTGTGAATGAACAGCATAACGGCAAACGGAGCATGAGTAAGCCCCATACATCCTATCAATGCCTTTGCGACAAACTCCGCATACCCAATCCCCGGGACCAGGAGAATAAGCGTGAGAAACACGATGGTCATGGCGGTTGATGTGTATAACTCTTGGCAGTTTGATGCAATCTTTATGGATGATGAAACAACAAGAAAGACACACGCAAGGGAATCCATCGCTACAAACCCCACAAGCATCACAAGTGAAGGATACTTTTATCATAACTAGTGTGAGTGAGTGCTCGTGAACCTTCTTCGGCACATCGTCAATCACCAACGGGTTTCTAAGACAATGTCGGCATACTGTGACATCGCATAAGGCGCAATAATAAAAAAGCCCTTCAACCTCTTGTCTACACACAAGACATTTTCGACCATCGTCGAGTTGGTGCATAAACTCAAGGAGTTTAAGAGAGTGCTTGTGACGATGTGGATTGTTAATCTGGATGCAATCTTTATGGACGTAGAGATTACATGGCTTGCAGATGTAGCCGCAGTTGCTACCTTGAACGCCTTCGCCATTTTCACCGCGTTCGCTGCCTTCTATATGTTCATAGTTGGAGCAAGCACCGCATTTAGAAAAAATATTTGTAGGGTAAACAAGATGTTGGTGATGAAAGTTTAGTCTCACGGCACCAAGAAAACTCTCTAGAGCTTCCTCATCCATGTCTAAAGAGTAAGATTATTTCTGTTCTTCTGTTTTTCTTTTTCTTTTCTTTTCTTATTTGAGTCGAGTTATGGGAGTTGCTAGTTTTTTTGTGTAATGGCAGACAAAACTGTAGTAACCTTTCAATTTCATATATTATAGTTTTATATTCCATCTCGAGTTTGACGCAGTTGATAAAATATGACCTCCACATGGTAGTTGAAGCTGAGTCTTCTCCCTCTTCAGTCTTCACTACCCACTAAAACTTCTCCATGGCGCCATCACTTTTATAATGTTTACAACCATATTATTCGGCCTATACCAAACTGAGTGGCTGGTATTGGACGTGCAATTTAATATTCATATTTACTGATGGAGTAACCGATAGGGTTTGTGGTTTCTTTTGTTTAGTCTGAGAATGCCCAAGAGAAACACACGCTCTGTTTCGTTGAGAACCTTAGTTCTAGCCGAAAGGAAGAGATTAAGAAAGCAAAGCTTCTTGTATTAATAAAAGATATTGAATTGTGTCCTTACAAGTCAAGGCATCAATTCTTTATATAGGCAATCTAATGATCTAATACGATAAAGAAAAGGAAAAGCTTAAGTTCTAAGCAGAAAAGGAAAACAATTAAGAAAAGGAAATTAAACTAAAAACCCAAACGAAAGCGTAAAAGGAAAAGGAGTCCATGCGGCATCAGGTCACCCGGGGTAGAGAAAGATTCGCCCTCGAATCTTCAAGCTCGTCGTGCACAACATAGGGAACCAAATGTTTTACATTGAAAACGTCCGAAGAACGAACATCCGCCGGAAGACGGACACGATATGCATTAGCATTGATCTTTTCGAGGATCTCAAGTGGTCCAATCTTTCGAGCCTTTAACTTATTATAGGTACCAGGAGGAAACCGATCACGAGTTAAGACTGCCCAAACAAAGTCGCCCACAGCAAACTGAAGATCACGACGGTGACGATCAGCATCCAATTTATACTTTGCCGAAGAGACATTGAGATTCTCATGCACCAGCGAATGAACGTAAGCAATATCAGAGACAAAGTCCACAGCCTGACCATGGTCTCGAGTTTGATTGGGAGCAACACCTAAGTCAAGAGGGCCGCGAGGGATAAGACCATACACCACCCGAAAGGGGCTAAACTTAGTACTTCGATTAACGGCGTGATTATGAGCAAACTCTGCTTTGCACAAGACGGAATCCCACGAACGAATATTGTCACCGACCAAACAACGCAACATATCTCCCAAAGAACGATTTGTAACCTCTGTTTGACCATCGGTTTGAGGATGATACGCGGAGCTCATGTCAAGGGAAGTCCGAAGCAAACGCCATAATGATCTCCAAAAATGACTCAAAAACCGGGAATCTCTATCGGAAACAATGGAGATCGGAAGTCCATGAATACGATAAATCTCACGAAAGAAGAGGATAGCAACTTGTACAGCATCAGTTGTCTTCTTGCAAGGAATAAAGTGAGCCATCTTAGAAAAGCGATCCACCACAACAAAAATCGAGTCATTCCCTCTTTGAGTACGAGGTAAGCCGAGGACAAAGTCCATGCTGATATCCGTCCACGGTTGAGTAGGAACCGGAAGTGGCATGTATAGCCCGCTGTTAGAAGCATGACCTTTAGAGCGATGACAAATCACACAACGTTCCACATGCCGAGCAACATCGCGACGTAATGTTGGCCAAAAGTAAGAGTCTGCGACAAGACGCAAAGTCCTATCTCGCCCAACATGTCCTTCTTCATGTAGTTCCTTAATGATTTTCAACCTTAAACTGCAATCAGGAACACACAAACGATTGTCCAGAAAAATAAACCCATCGAGAAGCACGTAATCTGACCGAATTCCAGCTGATAAATCAGACCATATGCTCCCAAAGAATGGATCAAGAGGGTAGAGCTCGGTGAACACAGCGAATCCCACAACAGAGGCATGCATAGTAGTGAGGAGAGAGTGTCGTCTACTTAAGGCATCGGCAACCTTAAGGTAAAATGCTGTAAGTAAGCAATCCAAGAAGCATGCCTGGCCGAAATCTTGTCTTGACTACTCAAGTGTTTTAACGCCACATGATCCGTGAAGAGAATAAACTCTTGATGAAAAAGGTAGTGACGCCAATGCTTAATAGCTTGAACAATAGCATAAAATTCAACGTCATAGGTGCTGTAGCGAGCACGAGATCCTGCAATTTTCTCACTGTAAAACGCTATAGGACGCCCTTGTTGACTAAGCACAGCTCCAATCCCCAATTTGCAGGCATCACAATGTAACTCTAAAAACTTGAGAAAAGTCAGGCAAAGCTAAAATCTGCGCAGAAGTGAGCTTCTCTTTGATGGTTTTGAATGCTTGATTCGCTTCAGGTGTCCATGTAAAGGATGAGCTTCTCAGACAGTCTGTCAATGGAGCCGTGATGTTACTAAAGTGATGGACAAAGCGGCGATAGAACGAAGCCAGTCCATGGAAACTACATACATCACTAACAGATTTAGGCGTAGGCCAAGATTTAATTGCTTCCACCTTGCTAGGATCCACTGATAAGCCACGGTCGGAGATGATATAGCCCAGAAATAACACTTGCGATGATCCAAATACACACTTTTGACGAGCGGCAAAGAGCTTGTCACGACGTAAGACAAGCAGCACGGCTTCAAGATGTTCTAAGTGGCTTTTCAGGTCGGAGCTGAAGATAAGTATGTCATCGAAATAGACGACAACAAACTTACCGATAAAAGGCCTTAATGCTTGATTCATCACTCGCATAAACGTACTTGGTGCGTTGGACAAACCAAACGGCATGACCATCCATTCAAAAAGACCTTCGCGCGTTTTAAAAGCCGTTTTCCACTCATCTCCAGGTCGAATGCGAATTTGATGATAGCCACTCTTTAAATCCAGTTTAGAAAAGATCGAGGCTCTGCCGATTTGATCCAATAGATCGTCTAAGCGTGGAATAGGGAAACGGTAGCGGACTGTGATCTTGTTGATGGCTCGACTATCTACACACATTCTCCAAGAACCGTCTTTCTTTGGAATAAGTAAGGCTGGCACTGCTGCAGGGCTAAGGCTTTCTCGGACATGACCCTTAAGAACAAGTGCTTCCACTTGACGACGCAACTCATCATGCTCTTGTGGACTCATGCGGTAGTGTGGACGGTTTGGTAATGTTGCATTAGGCATCAAGTCGATGTGATGTTGAATGTCCCGTAAAGGTGGTAATCCAAGCGGTAAGTCTTCGGGAAACACATCAGAAAACTTGTCAAGGAGATCCGTAAAGGCTGGAGGAATCTCTGTAGAGGAGGTGGTGACGATCGGAGAAGAGATCAACGCCCAAATAGGCGGGTTATCACGTAACTCTGTTTCAAAAGCGGCTTTAGGTAAGATTAACAGTGATTTGGAAGAACCTGTAGCTTGTGGTTCTGCTCGTGGTGTCACTGTTGAGGGAGAGACTTCAACTTTTTCTGGAGAAGGTAACAACGTGACTGTCCGATCACCAAAAACAAAGCTGTAAGTGTTGGATTTGCCTTTGTGAAGAACATCACGATCGTATTCCCATGGTCGTCCAAGAAGAAGATGACAAGCATCCATGGGAGCAACATCACAACTAACTTCATCATGATATTTGCCAATTGAAAAAGGGACCACAGCTTGTTTGGAAACACGTAACTCTGAGCTGCTGTCAAGCCAAGCTAATGGGTATGGGGCAGGGTGTGGTGTAGTCTTAATTCCCAATTTCTTAGCTGCGTCTTCGGCGAGAACATTCGTACAACTACCAGAATCAACGATGAGTTTGCAAATCTTTCCCTTGATTGTGCAAGTTGTGCGAAAGAGAGTCGTACGTAGCCATGACTCTGTTCCTGCTCGTGGGGCTAAACAACTACGACGAAGGACCAGAATGTTGGAAGGCGGACCTGTATCTCCTTCGATTATGTCGCCGTCGTTGTCGTGATCGGATCCGTAATCATCAAAAAGCGGTTCACTACTAAATTCTGTATCATGAGCGAGCATAGTTCGGCGATTCATCTTAGGGCATGCCGTCTGACGATGACCGTTTTCTCCACAACTGTAGCAGCGAAGGGCACCAGTACGCGGGATACGAGAGTTTGCGATGGAGTCAGTTGGAGGAGATGGCTTATCATCACGGCTACGGTTCTGCTGCTCATCGGGAGATGGGCTCGATGATAGCTGATTTTGGGACTGTGGTAAACGGGTACGTGATCCTGCAGAAGACCAGTTGCTGCGGAATTGCTGTTCCAAGCCAAGAGCTCGCTGATGAGCTTCTGAGACAGAAGAGGGGTTGAATTGTTGTAACGCGAGCTGGAGTTGATTCCGTAACCCGCCAATAAACCGAGAAACTAGTTGTTCCTCTGTTTCGAGGAGAGTTGCACGAGAAACCAGCTGAAAGAAGTCGGTGGCGTATTCCTCGACTGAACGAGAACCTTGGCGCAGATTCTGAAGTTTATTGTAAAGAGTCCGTTCATAATTGTACGGAAGAAAGTTCCGTCTCATGTGTTTCTTCAAACGTTCCCAAGACTCTATTTTTGGTTTTCCCGATCGACGACGTGATTCTTTAAGTTGAGTCCACCAAGCTGAAGCACGGTTCTTGAAACGAGTTGCCACAAGTGGGACACGCATATCATGAGGAACTTTTTTAAAGTCGAGTATCTCCTCAACCATGTTAAGCCAATCAACAAAGTCTTCAGGATTGAGCGATCCCGAAAATTCAGGAATATCAACCTTAAAAGCTGATTCCCAGCGAGAGGTGTTGTTGTTGTGAACCAAATCTTGCCGCTCTTCTTGGTCGTCATCACGTTGCGCCTGGCGGTGCTGGTCACGAACGGCAAACAGATTATCAACCAACTCGTCGTCACTAGACTCTGACTGGTGATCTCTGTTTCGAGTTGTTCTTCTGCCCTGGTGCTGATTGTCTAAGACGGCGTGTAACGCATCTGTGATGGCAGCCTTTAGGGCGTCTTGAAGACCCACCGTAAACGCCTCCAAAGTGTGACGGAGATCGTCTGGATGGTCGTCGGGGTTTGTTTTGCGAGGAGCCATGATACCTGGACCGAGTTTTAATTGAGAAACCAAAACTTCTGGTCTCTGATACCAACTGATGGAGTAACCGATAGGGTTTGTGGTTTCTTTTGTTTAGTCTGAGAATGCCCAAGAGAAACACACGCTCTGTTTCGTTGAGAACCTTAGTTCTAGCCGAAAGGAAGAGATTAAGAAAGCAAAGCTTCTTGTATTAATAAAAGATATTGAATTGTGTCCTTACAAGTCAAGGCATCAATTCTTTATATAGGCAATCTAATGATCTAATACGATAAAGAAAAGGAAAAGCTTAAGTTCTAAGCAGAAAAGGAAAACAATTAAGAAAAGGAAAATTAAACTAAAAACCCAAACGAAAGCGTAAAAGGAAAAGGAGTCCATGCTGCATCATTTACAGGGAAAGGATCACTTGGCCTTTCCAAAAACTGAAGTGACATCACATGTTAAAATATCTGATTTACCTCCTAAATTCATGGAACACTGTCGTTCCCTTATGCAAAGTCAAAGACTTGTTTGTCCCGTAATAATGTTGCACGTTACACTTCTTGATATTGAAGAACAGAGTTAAATGCGTGTGTTTTGAAATAATATATTGTTACGCATCTCTGGCCTCTAGGATTTTTCACATGGCTTATATTCTTCGACACCACTTGTGACCTATCCAAATCTCTAACTGTCTTGGTTCGTACAAGAATTTTCATCACTGCAACTAACGCCATAGATCATAATCTATCTGTCGATTGGGTCAAATCTATCAAACCTTTGTATTTTGCAACTAACGCCATAGACCAGGAGAGTGGGATCGAGTTTGTGAGGCTGAATTGTGTTAAATTCTTAAAACTAAATAAAAAAATTATGCAAATGGCTAAACTCAAGTATATGTTTGTGTTAACAAGTGTTATATACTTTTATATATAGTTTTGTTTTGTACTGTAACAGTTAATAAAAATAAAAAGTAAGTATCATCTTTGTATTATAACAGGTCCATTTATAAAAAGGAAAAGTGAGTATGTAGATTACATCGATTACACATGAATAGTACTTGGCATTCATAGTTTTGGTTTATATACACCAACAATTACGTGCACAACTTAGGATTATTTCATATAATTATATAGTGAGAAGTTAAAATCATCGAACGTAGTGAGTTTATAAAAAATAACTAGCATTGATAGGCATGTGATCAATGCCATTAGGTTATTGTCTAGGTTATGACTCACTAAGTTGTTGGCAGCATCTCTATACGGTCAAACCCCACAAGGGAATAGAGACACTCTAGAGAGCATATACATGACGTACTAGTCTCGTTCTTGTTCTTGATCACAAAAGCATTTTCACACCGCAAATGACACACTATGCAAAACTGTCGAGATACATGATTGTTAGAGACCACTTGGTACTCAAGGCCATATAAAAGAAAGCTGTGTCCTGGCTTCATGTACGGTGATTTTCCAAGCACACATTCGATATGAACAGTAGAAGCACATGTTTCACATGAGTAGAACCACATATATGGATTAGTTGGTTTCTCACAGATCTCACACCAATAATGACAATACACGTGCCTGTGATAACGCAGGTAGAGAGGATGCTTGTCGTGCTTGTAGAAGACCTCATTCGGTAAGGTGGCGCATTTGAAGCACAAAAAGTTAAAAGAACATTCAACACAACTCAGTACGCTACTTGCTAATTTGCTACAAACCGAGCATATCGTAGGAAAAGATGTGAGGATGAATAAAGAATGAGAATGACTTTCATGTCGAAACTCGCCAGAGATCATAGCACATCGAACGTCCAACTTCATATTTCCACTCTCGTATCTAAAACCATTGGTTAGTGTCTTACAAGCATCGCATCTGAAAAAACTTTTGCCAAATTCAAGCTCTTCTCCTGGTTTGGGATTAGGGCAAAGAGTAAAGAGACTGTTGTGTAACTCATGCCTTTTCGTCCGTGGAAGATTAGCACATGTTTCATGAAGAATGAAATCACAATGCATGCACATATAGCACGTGCCGTATATGTAGACTGGAAGGGTGCATGCATTGCATCTTTGGTTTTCGTCGCGTAAAAGAACATCTTGATAAAACAGATTTAACGTATGTTCATGACTAAAGTGTTTTATAGCTTTGTCATCGGTTACCTCAATAAATGGTGCAACATCCTCAGTTTTATCTTCGGTATCTTCGTCATGCCTTCCTTCGAGCTCTCTTCCATCCCATACATCATCCTTTATGGCGCATTTGGAATGAACAGAATAAGGACAAATCAAGCAAGAATAAGCACCGTATTTGTTGTTGATAGACATATGACAAACTCCGCAGATCCACTCCTCCGGAGTAAGAATGTCGACATGAGAAATTCGGTGATCATGACGATTGATACGTATGACACGCGGTAAATCAAGGCAACTTTCATGGACGATGAACCAACATTGAAGACAAACGCAAGGATATGAGCCAGCATTTCCATCACCGCAAGCCTCACAAGTGAAAGAGATGGAATTGATGGGCATGAGGGAAAGCGGGTGCTCGTGAGCTCTTGGCCGGTCATCAATAACCAATCGCTTCTTTAGACAAGACATACACACGACGAACACGCAACGTGAACAATAGTAGAACATATCCCACAACCATTTTCTACAAAGAAAACATTTGTAAGCCTTGTAATAAGGATCATGGAGCTTGAGAGGATGTCTATGATGAGAAGGGATGGTGATCTCAATGCAGTCTTTGTGAAAATACAACTCACATTGAACACACGAGAAGCCTCTGGTGTTTTCAAGTCTTTCTTGGGAACAAACAATGCATTTTGAGGAGGTGTTTGTAGGGAATAGAAGATGAGGATGTGCAGACAATTTAATTGCACCAAGAAACCCTTCATGGATTTGCTCTATTTCTTCCATAGTTTGATTGTATTGAATTGATTGATTTGATATGTGTATATATTTATATATTGTTACGTATGCGTATGATGTATCTTGAGGACGAAATGATTCTTTTCTTCTAGATTAGTGTTAAACAAACAGTGGCGAATCCACATAGAGGAATAGGGTGTCAAGTGACACCATATTATTTTGGATTTTCTTTAATAGTTATATGAAGTTTTTAACATTGACACCAGATAAAAATTGCAATTGAACCCATAAACTTTTTTCTTCTTCCAATCTTCTCATATTTATTTTGAACTCATAAGCAAATTTTAGATATTAACCCATATGTTATTGTTGAACTTGCATATCAATATATTAAGAAAGAGTCGAGGTAAATTTTAATTTTTTTTTATATGAACCCAGTTGAAAAACTTTCTAGATTCGCCACTGTAAACAAACAAAACATTTCTTAACTTCAATGCAAGAAATCCTTTTACCAAAAAAACTGATGCTTAGTTTTGTCCGAATTTTTTGTAACTATCTTGTAAAACATTAGAAAGCCAAAATCTCGATAAACACAATTAAACGAATCCTTTAGAAATTGTAATTGTAGTGTATGCAGTTCACCAATATTTTAATATTTTAAAAATTGAACTGTTGCGTAACTTATTTAAAATGGTGAATTTTGTTTTAAAAGCCTAATTATTGAGTATGATGTATGATGTATGATGTATGATGTATGAGTATGACAAGGTCCATGTAATATAATAGAGAAAATTTGTGAGTTGAGTTTTATGTGGGATTATATAAAAATCAAATTTTCATAACAACCCTTTCTTAATTTGCTCTTTGAAGAGTATGCTATTTACCGCGTAGATTATTCCAACTAACAAAGTTACAAACTTTACACCTATACAGGCCAAAATATATGAACAACAAATGTGAATGGGCTTTCATGTTTAAATTGATCAAGACTTGAAGCGCATCGCACATCAATTTCGTAGAAATCATTATACCTATATGAGAATCCGGTACAAATACAATAACGGTGACAAACGTCACACATAAAATAGTTTTTATAGTACCATCCTTGCCATTATGACTGGTAGACAAAGTAAGTTTATTTCTGCATACCATGGGTCTTTTCTTCAGAGGGAGATTAGCACATTCATCATGAAAATGAAATCACATTGTGTACATTTGTAGCACAATTTAGAATCGAAGGAAAGAGTGCATGCATAGCAATGTTTATCTTCCTCGTTAAGTCTTATTGATGCTACTGACACCATCAGATTGTGTTCATGACTAAAATGTTTTATTAGGTTTTGATCTATCACTTCGAACGGCTTACTTTTACATTGCCAAGCCAGTTTATGAGAAGCTTGTCAAAGATGGAGTCAAAGTTAATTCGTTCTTAAAGATGAAGAAACTGAGGAGCACAACACAACATGGAGCTATGTCATACCGTAGGATGGACCTACTGAAGATGTACCACATGCCAACAAGTGTCAGAGGAATGATGTAAACACATGTCTGCAGAGTAAGAGAAGTAATGTCTTCGTTGAAAATCCTTTTTTACGTTTTTGTTAAAGCAAATTATATGGACGTATTACTTTTGGGTGGAGACTTTACATGCATTGTTTGATTGTATTGTTTCTTCCTAATAAACACTTGATATGATGGTAGACAAAGTAAGTTTTCTTCTGCTTACCATGTGTCTTTTCTTCAAAGGGAGATTAGCACATTCATCGTGAAGAATGAAATCACATTGTGTACATTTGTGAAAGAGTGATTCATACTGAAATTGGAACACTAGATTACCTAATTCATACTAAAAGCTACCGGAAAGTTTTAACAGAAATGAGAATTGAGTCCTTTACGTATTGAATACAATGACCCCCAGTTAATCAGATTCATATTTCAATTAGACCCGATTCTCTTGGAATGTTTTTCTAGGCATGATTCTTTCCTTCTATAGTGCAAACTTGTATTGGTATTCAATAAACTTATAACCCAAGTTGCTCATGAATTAGGACTTTGTACTATTCTTTTTTTTTCCTTTTCGATTAGGACTTCTACTTGAGTAACCATATGAAACAGCTTATGTCACTCTTAAGTTCTTACCTTGTTAAGAGCATTAAAAAATGAAAAAACAACCGTAACACCAGCCAAAAAAGACACTGTAAAATATATGTTACTCTTAACTCTGTTTCCCTTCAAGCAAGTAGTGATAATACAATGCAAACTGCAAGCATTCTAAAGAAGTCTTTTAATCAGTACAAAAACCAAAATCGTTTTTCAAAGAAGTCCAAAAACAAACGAAACTTTTTGTTTTTACACCTGCTTCAGAGCAAGTGAATATAATTTTTTTAAGATTATAATATTGTTTAAATAGTATCACTCTTCCATGGCTTCGTTTTGAACAGACTTGCTTGTGGAGACCAAGACTTTGTCCTTCCGTGCACCTGGTGCCACAGTCAATGAACTGTTTTGATCAATCTCGTTGGTTGCATCCTCGCGTATCTTCTTTTTGTTTGGCTTCAACCTAAAGTCCCACACAATAACCAAAGCCAACCATAATCAAAAACACGAGTCTGATTTCAAAGGGTATATATGAAGATTAGGTAAAGATATATTATATTTACCTCCTCCATATGTGATCTGCTTCTCTTTTGTCTTTGATTTTGCTAATCTTCTTCATGGCTATGAGAGTGTCCTGTACAACGTTCCTGTCATATCTCTCAGGTCTGTTTCTCTTCTTCTCAAACTCAAACGTTGTATCCTTTTGTGGAAAGCAAACACACACAGGAAAAAAAAAGACAAGCGTGATGGTGAGCATCATCTAACATTTTAACTGTAATTTCATTTACAGAAAGAGTTTTGATTAAAACATTTTAGTATAAGTACCTGAGTCATATCCTTTCCATGTGCCGCTCTGAATGCTTTAGTCCATTTAACCTTACGCGGATTCCTCTTCATCTTGAAGTTCTTGTGGCATTTAGACCTACAGAACCTGAAAATCTGCAAAAGGAGAGGAAAATTTTGCTTGTAAATGTGAATCAAATGCTTAATTATGTCCTCAAAACATAGATTCAAAGTTCTAAAGAACAAACAGACGAATTAAAACTAATGATAGACATCAAAACTGGTAATTTAAAGCTAGAGAAACCATACAAGATACGAGCAGCGAGACGCTTGACATATATAGAGTCAAAAGAAAGATGAAGAACAGAGCTTATTCTTGTGACTTATCAAGACTTTTTAATAACATACAAACTAATGTGATTCTCAAAGCAAGACTATTTCTGGTCAATTCGAGATTTGAAGCCAATATTAAATTAAATTACCTTTGCATCGTTGCGGACAAACTGGATACCATGTCCTGGATATACTGTAGAAGAGCAAAACCAACACTTGACCAATCTCATTTTGCCTCCTCCTTAATATCACTACAACAACACAGAGGATTCACACACAAAAAGGAGCTTCAGACAAGAAACTTAAAGACATAAACCAACAAAAACCGACCATGATGAGACTCAACCACTGTAGTAAGATACTTCCCCAGAAACAAAGCTAAGCAGATAGAGAAAAGTTGCGATTTTTAATCTAATTCTCTGTTTCCCTATCTCAATATTTCACCTCAATTCGTCAGGAGATGTAAACAGGAACAGCTAAGGATAATTAATCATGCAAATTTCAACAATAGCCCCAAAACGAAAACGAAAATCTCGGATTTCAGCGATAAGATAACCAGATTGAAATCCAATCGGACGAGATAAATGAAGAGAATCAAAAGAAAAGAAACGATTTGAGATTTTACGGACGAACCTGCAGGTGACTGCGAGAGCAATTTCTAAGAAAATTAGGGTTTGGCTCAGAACTCCAGAAGAATGGAGTTGTAAGAGAAAGGTGTGGCGAGAAAAATCTCTTTAGGGTTTATGCAAACACAAAACCGCCGTCGTTTTATTGTGGCCCACAATGAAACGGAGACAGTTTCCAGTAATATTTCATTTGAGGCCCGTAGCCCAACAATGATGCCATTTAGTATTTCGGCCCATTACATATGGTTACTTACTTTTGATGAAAACATTTTCTGAAGAAGAAGCATGCCATGTAGACGTTTTTGATTAATACACACATTAACTCCAAGTTGAAACTTTGTGATGCTTTCGATTCAGTCTCCCTTAACTCAAATTCTTATGAAAACCCAAATTAGCGGCCATTAACGGATCAAGTTCAAATGAGCAAAGAGAGAACAATGCACAAAATGATATAAACATTGCTTGGTTTGATGGTTTACAAACAACGATATGTTTTGATTTTTTCTCATTCTAATCTCTAATGAACAAAGTTTGCAACTCACAGCAAAATCATCATCATCCAAAGATGCAAAATCTCTACATAGTGTTTTGAAACCTCCTCCTTCCTTCTCTTCTGTAGTAAGGAGTTTCATCCACAGTCCTCTTCACATACTCCATAAACGGCGATGGTGTTCTTGGAGATTCCTCATGGTATATAACCGCACCGCTTCTTCTTTCTGGTGTTACCGGTGCTCCTGCTGCTACACCGTTTGTCGCCGCTGCTGTATTGGCTCCTCCTGGACCAATTGGTCTATCTATCACTTTCATCAAGATGATCACCGATATAATCACCACTACAACACTCCATAGTATCTTAAACAAATGAGAGGATCCATCTTTTCTCCGAGACGGCACGACTAAGGATTCACCCATGTCATAGGAGAAATCGATTTCTACACTTTGGCCTGCAAAGTACAGTTTATAATTCAATTCTCATCAGATGGTAAGTGAGAGAAACAAAGCCTTTTCTCTAACATGAGACAGAGCATATTCTATGAGCTCACCAGTAGCAGGGAGAGTGATGAGTATTGTATCTGTGAATTGCTCTGATGTTAGCACATTCACCTGAAAAAAAGGTTGATGAGTTACAAAAAATATTGAGATTAGATTACCGAGCTTATATTAAGGTTTTTCAAGTGAGAAATCACCTCGTATAGTGCACGCCCTGCGATACCATAATCTTCTCTCTTGATCAAGTCGATCGATAACCTACCTTTGTTGCGCCATTGAATTTGAACATCTGCAATTGAGTAGTTTTAAGTATCCTATGCGTTTCTTCATAAGAAAATAAAACGAACTAACAACTGATATATGGATTTTACCTGTGTTCCCCAGTATCGAAATTGTAGTCTTGTTTGAATCCGGGTTTATATTCAGCTGCAAGATCATTTCAAGTCAAACCCTCATAAAGCAACATATTATGGAATTTAAGATCAGATTAACGATCCGTTAAGATATTAAGAAACTTAATAACCTTGTTTGGCTGTGTAACAGAAAACCCTCCAATAAGAAGTGCAGATGCAGAACCCGAAACATGGCGAGCTTCTTTGAGTGAAGCACTTACGGAGAAGGACACATGAGGCTTCATGTCTTTTGATCTAGACATTGAGTGAACCAGATCCTTCGGTGAGTATGGGAAGAAAAGGCAATAAGTGTTGCCAGTATCAAGATCCATCCATGGCTTTGCATATCTTCAACGCAAGATAAATAAGAGTCAGAACAAGGCCGTGCATCTATTGAAACGCACAGTTGAAGTAAGCATCATACCCTATAAATGGAGGGTCTACTTGGCAGTTAAATGTGGCCCTGTTTCCGTTTTCCCTGTTGCAGTTTATATCATCATTGGTGAGTAATTTGTTGCCTATAAGGTTTTTGAACGCAACATTAAACGCTTACTGACCTGAATTTCACAGGAAAGTTATATCCTTCTGCAGGGACGTGGACATTTGTCAGCGTTTCTCTAGGAGAGTCAACATATATGGTGTTTCCAGGCAGCACTGTGACTTTTGTTTGCAGCTTCAAACCATGACTTTCAAATGTAACTGTGCAGATGCGACAAAGGATCAGCACCAAGATAGAGAAGATCTCTTAGTATCCTCTAGATATCCAACAGATGCAGCGGATAAGCATGAAAACATAAATCGATATTACCGTGAGCTGAGCCTTGGCTGATAGCTTTAGCTTGGCCGGATGCTGCATTGACGGATAGGACACTCCTGTTTGATGTAACCCACTGACCAGAAACTTGATGATCTGCCCCTAAATCACATTGCAAATGTCTTAGATCTTGCACACACACAAACAGTGTTTTTCAGCAGGATGGGCATTAGAGTGCATTCATCATGTAGATTGGAATTGACATTTTACCTGCTATGCTGAAATTTAACAGATTCCCAGTGTGAATGACCGGGTTTTGAGGATCGATATGTGCCCCAACCGAAACCTGGCAAAACAAAACACGTTTGATATAAGCTAATTGCAGATATTATAGCAGATGTATGCAAACGTATACGACAGCAAGTTATTTTTAACTGAGAAATTTAATGAACTTATACAATAACATTCATGATATTAGCCCATACCAGAACGTAGTCTGCTTTCCTGAGATTACCACCAATGGAAATCCGAATAAGAGCTTTACCATGTTTTATTCCCTTCATTATAAAGAGAACGAGATTAGATAGGAGCAGTCGAGAAGAGAACCATAGATTTATTAACTATAAGAATAGACTGTACTTCAAGATTGCTTAACCGACCTTAATAAACTGTTTTGACCGAGTATAGTGAATGTATCAGCAAAAGTTTCTCATAAGGATTAACGCACCTTAATGTAGACACTTGTTTGGTCACTGACAGTCTTCATAGATACAACATCACGATGATTGGTCTCGACATCGTATGTAGTTACACCATGTGCTTCGAGGAAAGCGATTCCTTTTCAAAACAAAAGAGCATATATATTAAAAACGAACAAATACATCAAGAAAATGTAGTGTGCACGTAGAAGTATGAGTGTGTTACCTAAAGTGTCATAGTAATTTATTGGAAGTTGAACTTCACCACCAACGGCAAGATCTACCACGTGGAAAGGAATCCCCTCACTCTTCATTCTTATTTGAGCAACCTGAGATAATTCTATGTTACCAACAAAGTAGACAAATAGAAGATAAATGGTGCAAGAAATTAAAAGAATAGTGAATCGAGTGGCTGTAAAGCAGCCACTGATCCTCTACGATAACTTTGCCTACTGAAGGATGGTTTCTATAAATCACACTCAATATACCTCAGCAACTCTCACACAAGCAGCAATCTCGACCCTTCCACTTGTGCGGTCTTTGGCTTGAATACATGCAACATTGTTGATATCTGTTGTTTTGACGCTTCCGCCATTAATTGATATGGTATCTCGTTCAAAATCAGCCCGAGAACTGCAGTCTTTCAATATGGAATATATTATATTGCCTCTGTGGCTTTGACCATCCCTGTGCTTCTGTGGCTCAGGAGATGATGGTAATAGACTTGATGACGTATAAAAAGGCGGAAGAACCCAGGTCATAGGAACCCCGAGAGAAAGAGGAAGCTCAGGCACAACTGATAAAACCATTGACGCTTCATATGTTCTAGATTCAGAGTACAAGCCAGGAGACACGAAATCACATGAGAACGCAACAGTGACTCTGGTTTTTCCAGCTGATCTGAAAAATGGAAAAGATAAAGCTGCCCATTAGAATTTGATGAGTCCTCTAGCTTATGTGTTACCAGATCTTACATTCTGCATAGACCTTAGCTGCACAGATTACATGAATACTTAGCTCAAGTTATTACTAACAAACTGTGTCATAGCCTTCTAGGCTTGGGTAGCTTAACTCTGCTCCGGAAATTGTTAACGTTCAAGCTAAATGCGCTAGCTAAGTCTACTTATAAAAGCTGAACGATGTTGAGTATGATGATGCCTTGTTAAGATATTATAGGATAGCCAATAGTAGCTTCTCATAGAGAATGAAGTTAAAGGACAATGGTTTGCATTTTGATTCGTTACTGTATATATGCTAGAGAGCACATGCAATAATAATCTTATGTTACCTTCCTTGGACAACATTGACAAAGCCAGCATTCTCTTCCACGTCAACTGAAGATACATGAAAACTTAACACCTAGCAAGGAAAAACAGAGTTTTATGTCATAAACATGGGAATCGAAAAATAGATTGCTATAAACACAATAAGTGAAAACTAAGAATAGGACCTCCTCATCTTCGACAGTCCACTTGTATGCTCTGCAGAGCTCATAAAAAGACAAAAGATCTCCCTGATAATGTAACCAAAAATCAGTTTATGTCAAGTGAGAATAGACCGCAGACGAGTTAAATTAAGCAGTAATTTCTTTCTGGATTATGATTCTCACCTTAGAAAATGATGGGAATGTAGGCATTTCATGGCCAACGGCCACAGTGTCACTTTGAGCTATCAGCATTGCATCAGCAGGAATTCCTACTTCGGCATTTCCAACTGCCTGACAAACTACAGCACCTTCACTCCCGTATATTGTTGCATAGATTGTCTGGT